GAACAGATCGAGGGTCATAAACTGCCCATGCGCGGAGTGACCGCTCGACTGGGAGTTGGGGGAGTCGACGGCGGACGGTCTCCTCGCGCGTCCGCCCCAGTTCAACCGGATGCTGTAGTCGCACTTTTCATTCTGACGTCGACAGTTCAAGCAGGCCGGCTTTTCCTCCCCACTGCGATGGTTAGCGATGGTTAGCGACAGGGGGTGTGGGATAGGGTTGTGACCCACCATTTCACTTTCCGAGCCTTGCAGGGCCTGGGGATGAGTTAGCGGACACCGACAGGGGGTATGCAGGGGATACACACCAACAGCCTTTGCGCGACCGGCGTTTGGGATCCGGCGCACCGGGTCTCCTGGGACGAGGCATTGACGTTCACCGGGAAGAGACTGGATCGAGAGAACCGGAGAGAAGGAGGCGCAATGGCACTAAGGCCGTTCGGTTCGAGACCTGATGTATTCCCGCACGACTGAACCCAGACTGTTCGCCATGCAGGAGAGCCGGACACGGGAGTTTTTTGCGCCTCGAGGGATGTTTGACCCAGGAGGACCAGAAACGATAATCGACGAGGCAACCACACTTGGTAATCGAACTCATCGAGGGAGGGCGTCGGTGATGGATGGAAGTAAACCCCACAGGAGGATGGTGGCGGTGGAGCTAAGGACGATCGATCGGTCAGATCTATATAATGGATCTGAGTATAATTGATTGGGGATTGTAATCGCAGGAACAATTGTCAGAATAGTTCGGAGTTGCCGGAGTAGTCGTAGTTGTAGTTGTAGTCGTAGTCGTAGTCGTAGTAATAGTCGTAGTACAGTTGAAGTAATTCGAGTGAAACACCCAAATTCACCGTTGCAACCACCAAGTAGTTACGCGGGAATCGAGTCCGGCATCAAGAACAGGGACATGGAAGATGGAAGGATTCTCGAAGGAGGCTTGCAGGTGGTGATAGGAAGAGAAAAATGTCGCAGAGAGCAGAAGCAAATCGGCTGGGGGAGAGAGAGTAGGTACTAGTAGTGACTAGGTTAGACAGAAAGAAGCTGATAAGTTGATCATCGCCGGGCTTTCTCTTTCCAGCTCTTCTCTTATTGACTGAGACAGCCGAAGTGTTGGACTGGTCTCCGCTTTGGTTTATGGGGTTAGCGGGGGATTAGTGGGAGATAAGCCATCTTGGTCCTAGGATAGTTACGATGGTGTATAATATCTATATTTGTTTATATTTAAATCTATATTTATATTTATATCTATATCTATATTTATATCTATATTTATATCTATATTTATATCTATATTTATGCCTTATCTATATATCGATATACATACATCCGATTATATAATATATACTGATATCAGGATCGGAACAACTCCGCCCTGTTTCCGCTTTCTCTTGGCATCGTCATCTCATCTTCGTCATCTTTCTTTCTCCTCATCTTACACCTCCTCACTGACGGACTCTCCGACTACCCTGTATATCATCATGTCTTTTGTGAAACACCCTTTGCAACGCTTATCCAGTCCGTCATGGGGTGTCTCCGCCGTTATCCATGTGGGTTCTTTATTGTACCTATTAACCGTGTGGGACTGATCTCTTTCACTGCAGATTCTGGGCTTGGCTAGTTTTGTCTGGTCCTTTAAATTGTATGACTTTCTTCTTATTAGAATATCAACTGGGTTTGGACCATGAACTGACGACAGTAGCATGCACGAGAACCCCAACCAAGCGTACGCCCCCAAAACAGTACAAAGTTTCGGAGATACTAACCTGCTTCAGCAACGAAGCCTATGGTTGGCACTTCCAGTACCTGACCGTCATCGGTCTATCACTGGCCACTCTCACCTTCGCCGCCGGTCTTCTCGCCGATCTGACCCTTTCTCCGCGCATCTTCCTGGTCAAGAACCTCCTGTCCATCTGCAGCACCCCGTTGGAGGTGCTGATCGGTTTTCTCTACTGGGGTCTCCGACTGGTCAGCTCAAACCTTATCTTCCCTGTCGATCAAATACTGACATGAATCGATGGTATAGATCGATGAACGACTCGTCATCCCGGAGTGGGCATACATCCCCATGAACGCTGGTAACGACGCCTCCCACTTCGCATTCTACCACCCACTCACATACAAAACCGATGAAACGGATAGACCTCAGCTTTCACGCCGTTCCCGCCATTGTCCTGTTGATTGACTTGCTCTTTCTCTCCCCACCTTGGACGGTCAGCATTATCCCCGCACTCGGGATCTCCAGCTCCATCGCCGTCGGTTACTGGCTTTGGATTGAGCACTGTCATGCCCATAATGGCTGGTATGTCCCCCCCCTCACTGTCTTCGAGGCCACTCACTCATAGACCAGGTACCCCTATCCCATCTTTGAGCAGTTCGATCTCGAAGGCCGCATCGCGTTGTTCATCCTGAGCGCCATCGTCATGGCTCTGAGCACGGCGACCCTACAGGCTCTGTACGGCCGGGTCAATGGGTACGGAACGGGTGTCAAGCCCAGAGCGCGTCCTGGAGCTGTTACGCAGAATGGGGGCATCTAACCACCATCATATCTAGCATTGAGCAGAAAGAAAGAGGGAGAGACGACAGGGTTTAGACTTGGGCATTGCAATAAGACTAGACGTAGACATTGAATAAACAAGATGCATAGTGAGAATTAAACCAACCATATTGACATAGTCTGAACGAGAGGAAATTTACCATTTGACCATAGGAAATATCAAGACTCTTGTCTTGTACGTACGAGCTATCTTCGACAGAAGTATATATACTCTGTCCAACCCCTCATTGGAGAAAAGAACCTCGGCGTTCCCCGCATTCCATAGCCGAACCCCAGATTTGGATTCTCACATATAGCTTATAGATGCGCCACTACCATAATACAGCTGCTGTGTCGAAGCAATTGATCGATTTGGCTACATATTATTTTAGACTACAGCGCACTTTACTTGTGTTTTTATATTCTTTCTGCAGGAAAATGCAGTACCTCCCCGAACGGGACTACAATGTCCCTGATATCGACCTGTTGAGTTTAATATTTGGTATTCCCTTCTCATACAACGAACTACAGTGAAGTCTCCCTAACCAACTCGAAACAGAATCCCCCCTCTCCCAAAGCACAGACTCAACAATCTTCCACGCCGAAGCCGCCTTTCCCAAAAACAACCTCACCAAAGCCTCCGCCCGCACCTACACCAAACGCCTCGCACACATTTTCCGCACGCACTTCTCCATCGGCGCCCGCGGGCCCGGCAAAGACACCGTCCTCTGCATCTCCTCCAATCAGGTCCTCCTGCCAGCAGCATTCTACGGGATTATTGCCGCAGGCGGAGTCTACGCTGCTGCGTCTGCTGCGCTGACTGTGTCGGAGCTGGCGAAGCAGATTACGCTTTCGAAGAGTACGCTTGTTGTTGCTAGTGCTGAGTTTGCGGAGAAGGCCGTGGAGGCGGCGAGGCGGTGTGGGTTGTCTGATGGGAGGGTGGTTGTGTTGGAGAGTATGGGGTTTAAGCGAATTTTGCGCCCTGCGGTTGGGGAGGGGTCAGCGGGGGTGAATTATCTTGCTGGGGGTGAGAATGGGAATCAGCTAGACTGGGAGCGCGTGACGGATGCAGCCACGCTCGAGTCCCGGCTTATCATCCTGCTGTATTCGAGTGGGACGACGGGTCCGCCGAAGGGTGTCATGCTGTCTCATCGGAATCTCGTCGCTGAGGCGCTTCTTCCACAGCTGATGCTGCGCGACTCGCGGAGACGCGTTGGCGCGGTGGCACCGCCGTACCGCACAGTGGGTCATCTGCCGACGGCGCATATCGCAGGCTGCCAGGGGTATTTTGTTACGCCTGCCGTTGCAGGCGGGACAGTGTACTGGATGGAGCGGTTCGAGGTGGGTGCGTTCGCGGAGTACTGTCGGCTGTACGGGGTGACGTACTTGTCGACGGCGCCGCCGGTGTATCTGAGCATTGCGGAGAGTGAGCGCGCGGGGCCAGAGCATTTCCGTGCGTTGGTACGCGCAGAGTCCGGCGCTGCGCCGTTGAGTTTGGAGGTTCAGCGCAGGGCGGAGGAGAAGTTGGGGTGTGTGATTACGCAGCGGTGGGGACTGACGGAGTCGACGGGGAGTGTTACTTCTATGCCTTGGGGGGCGGAGGATCCTACGGGGAGTATTTCGCCGCTGATGCCAAATACGAGGTTGAGGATTGTGGGTGGGGATGGGAGGGATGTGGAGGAGGGAGGGGAGGGGGAGTTGCTGGTGAAGGGACCGATGGTTAGTCGGGGGTATTTTGAGAATGCTGATGCGACTGCGGCGGCATTTATGGGGGATGGGTGGTTTCGCACGGGGGATATTGGGGTGTGGCGTGAGGGACGGATTTACATGGTTGATCGGATGAAGGTGAGTTGGGTGATGGGGGGAGTTTGGAGATGAGTGCTAATGGATGCAGGAACTCATCAAGTATAAGGGCCTGCAGGTCTCTCCGGTTGAAGTCGAGGCGCATCTCTTGACGCATGATGCCGTGGCCGATGTGGCTGTCGTTGGGGTGTCTGATCCCGCTGCGCCGGGGAATGAATTGCCGCGAGCGTATGTTGTCAGAAAAGTGGGCAAGCATGTCTCGGAGGATGAATTGAAGGAGTATGTCAAGTCTGGCATGGCGCGTCATAAGCAGCTCCGAGGAGGAGTTGTGTTCGTTGAGGCGATTCCCAAGAATGGGTCGGGGAAGATATTGCGGAGAGTTCTCCGCGATGCTGCCAATATGCGACAGTCCATGGGACAGGCGAAGCTATAATATTAGATATAGAAACAATCCAGGAGAATAAGAGTATATAAATTGGACATACAAAGTCAATTGAACAGCAACGATAGATATAGTGGAGAAAGAGAAAGTGGAGAATGATGTAGTTCGCTGACTAACCGCCAAGACGCCCGGACCTTTTCCTTGCCGGACTGTCTTTACCTTCTCCATCTCCATCTCCATCTCCATCTCGAACTGCATCTTCACCACCACCTCGACCCCCCAAAGATGCACGTCACCTCGCTCTCCAGTCCAATGCGGACTTTCGTTCTGGGCAGCCGTCTCGGCATGGCTCCCCGATGCCACAACGCAATCACCCCCTTCCACGCCGCCATCACCCGCCCAGCCAGCACCTCGGCCACACAATTCCAGCCCAAGACATCCACAACGACAACGACACCATCCCGACGACCCCAGCTCAAGCTCACCTCCTCCTCCACCTCTACCGCTCTCACCCGGGCAAACTCCACCACCTCCGATCCTGTAGCCCGCGAGATCTCCAAGCAACTCGACTGGAACTCGTTCTTCAAGCTGCGCGCCTCGCGCCGCCGGTACTCGCTCGCCTCGTCCGTCGCAACCTCCCTGGCGAGCACCGTCGTCGGCGTGCAGTTTCTCTCCACGCAGGATCTAGAGTCCCTCGGCGCCCAGGTCATGGGTCTCGACCCGTTCATCGTGCTGGGTATGGCGACCGCCGCGTGCGGTGCTGCCGGCTGGCTGGTTGGGCCGTTTGTGGGGAATGGCGTTTGGGGGTTGGTGAATCGGCGGTTTAAGCAATCTTTTACCATTGTATGTTCCTCACTTACTTCCTACTTTGACTGTTGGAGTGTGCTTTGTATATGCTAACTACTACTGTAGAAAGAGAAAGAATTCTTCGACCGCATCAAGCGCTTCCGCGTCGACCCGTCGTCCAACTCCATCGCGAACCCGGTGCCGGACTACTACGGTGAGAAGATTGGCAGTGTACAGGGGTACAGACAGTGGTTGAAGGACCAGCGGGTGTACAACCGCAAGAGGCGCAACTTTATCATTTAGCTTGATATCTTTCTGCAGCATGCATTTACTTTTGTACGAGTATCTCTTTATTCTAGTGTCTAGTTGGTTTAGCGGACACTTGAATTGATTTTTTGCATTGGCAAGACTATGAAAGTACTAGAGTATTGTTTCCATGAAGCTTCTGTGAAAGGAGATCACAGCTTCGAATACGCTTTAGCAATCTTCGCGGTGTCAACGTTGGCATCAGACCAATACTGATACGCAGGAGGGGCATCATCAACGGTACTGGTGAAGTTCGGCTTGCGTTTCTCAAGGAACGCATTGACACCTTCAATATGATCCCTATCATTCATCAGTACCATACCCATCAAATAATAACAACACCCAAGAGAAAAAGAGAGAGAATACCTAGACCCAATAAACCCCCCAAACACCTCTCCCTCCAACACATAACTCTCCTCCACCGTCGTCGGACCCCTCCACATCAACGCACGATTCACCGCACTCGCCAACACACTCACATGCTCCACCATATCAGCCGCCAGCTCCAGCGCGCGCGGCAACACCGCCTCCTGCTTCTCCAGCGTCTCAGCGAAGAGACCATCAAAGTGCGACGCCGTGCCGGGGAAGACACCACCGGTGGAAACGAGATACATGGCGCGGGAGTAGCCGATCAGTCGGGGGAGGAAGTACGAGGAGCCGGATTCCATGGTGACGCCGCGGCGGGCGAAGACGAGGCCGTATTTGCTTGTTTGGTGGGCGATTCTATATCATTTCTATTAGTATTGTGTTGTATTGCAAAGTTATTGCTGTTGTGGGTGTATATGAATGGTGTATGGTGTACGTACCTTATTGTTGCAGGAAGTGTCAACGTCAGACCTATACCTACAGCGGAGCCCTGCATGGCAGCGATGGTCGGCTTGCGGCAGTTGTGGATGGCGAGGGCGACGTCATGCTCGCTGTTGCTGTCAGGTTATCCCCACCTTCCATATACACACATACAGAGATAGCGGAGACAGAGAGAGAAAACAAACCTAACCCTCTTCACCATGTTTTTTCCCTTTCCAATCTCCAAATCCGCCCCAACGCAAAAAGTATCCCCAGCACCAGTCAAGACGATAACCTTTACGCGGTGGTCGACGTCGAATAGAGTGAACACACGGTGCAGGTCTTCGCCCATAGCTGGGGTAAAGGCATTGCGCTTTTCGGGACGGTTGAGAGTGACGACCACGATGGGGGTTGCGGTGGGTGTGCCGGGTGGGTGGTGGGAGAGTTTGATGTGGGTTGTTGGGAGGGATTCGTAGGAGGGGGGAACTGAGATTGCGGTGGTGTTTGGCATATCTGTGTTGTAGATGTTGGATAGATAGTTGGTGGGTGGATATGTTGATGGTAGGGAATGGGAGCGGAAGAGAAAAGGATGGGGAAGGAGAGAGGAGGAGGAAGAGAGTTTATATCCAGCACAGAATGGCTCTGTGATGGACTACTTGGTGAATTGGCTAGTAGGTATCCTTTGACGTGAATTAGCAGTGAATATGCAGTAAGAGTGATTGTTTGCAGTCTAAGGATACTATAGAGCTGGGTACCTGGTGTGACACTTTTATATACTGGTGCTACATACTGTACCTTACTGTTTTTCTTACCCAGTCAGTGCATGATAGAAGAACCACAGATATTGGGATCTCCATTATTAGTCTGACCTACCATATTCGTATTATATCCATAGAAAACCAGCTCGACATAAGAAACAAAAGAAAAGAGAGAGAAGAGAAAGGGAGAGAGATTACTTCCACTCATCCCTCCCCAACTTGACAATATCAGCCATCTCCAACACCCAATACTTCTCCGGCGCTTTTCCCTCTTCCACCATCCGCGCTGCCGCAACAGCAGCTCTACCGATAGTAGCTTGATCCTGGCCTGCATTCAATCAGTGTCTGTTCCAAAATGTACGGAGTAGACATCAACTTACCAATCCGATCCTGCACCCCCTGCCCCAACACACTCAAACACTCCACAGCCTTCTCCAACATCGGGGCCTTCGACTTCTCGCGCCCAATAATCATCCCCGGTCTCAAAATCACAGCATGCTCAAACCCCAACTCTCGAATAGCATCCTCCACTCCGACCTTCATCTTCGAGTACGGCACATAACCCGAGAAAAGCCCCCTCGTCCCCGCAGACGAAACAAACACATACGTCTTGACTCCCGCCTCCTTAGCAGCCCGCGCATTCTCAATCACCAGGTCGTGGTCGATCTTCCACTGATTCTGGAGTCCACCCGCTGCAGCTCTGGTCGTGCCGATGGCGTTGAAGACGGATGATGGTTTGGGAGAGAGCGTCGAGATCATGGAGCCCCATTTTGAGGGGTCGCTTTCTTGGAGGGCTTCGAGTTTGGGGGATGTAGCTGTTGGGAGGCGTCTGGAGATGGTCTTGATATGTGTGAAGGTGTCTGTTGTGAGGAGGGCGGCTAGGATTTGGGAGCCGACGGCTCCGGTAGAGCCGAATACTGCTGCTGTCATGGTATTATCGGTAGTATGATGGATTAGGATTGTGATGGTAGGATGCGGTGCTGCTGGTGTGATGGAATGGGGTTAATAATGCCGATTAGGTTTCCTTTATCCACGCGGCGCTGACATCATCCATGCAGGAACCTTGGCAGTATATTTATGTGTATACTATGGTTCTAGTAAACTATGTGAGTATACTATACGGAGTATACTACATGCTGTATCTTATAGAAACAACACTATAGTAAAAGGCTAGTATGTTATCCACTATCTGATGATCCAGTGGGTCCAGTTGAACCGTGCTGGCTTAGACGATTTAACCTCAGTTTAGCCTTGGCAGTATTTTCTAGATGAACAGGTCCTGGTGGATCGCTGCATTTCACTGCAGGTCATTTACTGCATTGTTTAGACCAGTATGTATGATACATGTACCTCAGCTCATGCTTACTGACCATTGTTTGCATCCTGCATCCATAGATACCGCACTGAAGACGCGCGTGGCTCCACCCCACACGCCAATAAGAACAAAATGCAGATAGGGCAGGGTTTTAAGATTATCATCAGCAATCTACAGTATGGAAGGATGAAAAAGCTTATCCTGGAATGACCCTGCCCTGCATCCTTGACTGGCATACCCTGATCTACTGGACAAGGAAGTTGGAACTCATTCCCGCTCGGCATCTCACCAGAATGCGTGGCCGCCATGCGTCCAGCGCTTGAGTTTACTCGAAAACAGAGACAGTTGATAGCCTCTTTTGCGGTGGTATATCTACTCTTGCTCTTGTTCTGCCATTCCAACTCTGCACGCGACCCGACGTCTTTCTTCTTCCAGCCAGATGTTGGCTACCGGCCACAGCGCAGTCTGCAGAGAATCGACGAGTCCATTCAGTACCTCTCCACTTTCAACCACTCGTTCACCCCCCATTCCACGGCAGACCAGACCGCGCCGACCAGCAATGTCGACCTCTGCATCGGGATCGTGACAGTCAAGCGTCCTCTCCAACAAAATCTCGACCAAACAGTCGGCTCCCTCCTGGACGGGCTCACCCCGACGCAGCGTCGCAGAGTCGTCCTCCACCTGCTCATCGCCGAACCCAACCCCGGCGACCACCCGACCTACCACCACCCCTGGGTATCCAACGTCGTCGACCGCGTCCTCACCTACGACGATGTAGATGCCCCGCAGTCAACCATCCGGCGCCTCGTGCGAAACAAGCTCATCAACAAAAAGTCCCTCATCGACTACAAGCTCTCCCTCGACGCATGCTACGACCACACCGACGCCCCGTGGATCATGATGCTCGAGGATGACGTTGTGACCCAGAAGAACTGGTACGAGCCGACCACGCGCAGCCTAGACCGCATCACAGAGTGGGACGAGCGCGACGCAGTCGCAGACTGGCTATACCTGCGCCTGTTCTATACAGAGAAGTTCCTCGGCTGGAACGCGGAGGACTGGCGAACGTATCTAGGCTGGAGCGTAGCCGCCGTGCTCTCCGCTGCCGTGGCAGGCATTACCGCCCGCAGCGGGCGTCCCTCCCTGCGCGCGGTCCTCACAAACCGCTTCCTCGCCGTGATCTGCCTCGGCTTCGTGCCTGCACTTATCGCGCTCTACTTCCTATCCGGTCGGGTGACCATGCACCCGATGCGACCGGGGATTCACCTCATGAACCGCCACGGATGCTGCTCGCAGGGCTTGGTCTTCCCGCGGCAGAAGGTGCCGCTGCTGTCGGAGTATATGCAGGAGTGGGCGGACGTGCGGCACTCCAAGCCGGTGGATACGGTTATCGAGCGATGGGCTAACGAGAACCGGTTTGATCGGCTGGCGGTGTCGCCGTCGCTGATGCAGCATGTTGGGGCGGCGTCGTATAAGGAGAAGAAAAAGGCGTTTGCGTGGGAGGGGTCACATCGGGTTTATGGGGCGCATGGGGTGTGGAGTATGAGTTTTGAGGGATGATATGGGTGAGTTGTTTTATTGTGTATTATGAGTATGAATGGTTATTGTATGATTATTGCAGTTCAATGATCTGGATGAGTGATAAGGGGGATCGCCATAAGAGTCGCTCTTATCACGAACTGTGCAGGGTCCACTCTGAACTGAAAATTTCATCTCCATATCATACTCTATACTATAGAATAGATCTTGTCCCCGAAAATGTTAAAGAATACATGAAAAAATTCAATTAATTTATTTATACCAAGCTAATGATCAATGTAAATGACCAATATTAAGAAACAATACCTTATCACAGCTGGAAAGTGGATAACAAACGTGATCCACTTCGCCCAGTAAGACTAAGAGCTCAACTAGACCTTTTTCTAATCCACTGCGGGCTCAACCTTTGTCTTGTCCTTTCTTTCCATTTCCTTTCATCCTCTGGTCTTGATTGAGCATTGTCGGACCTGGTTCTATCTATTCTTTGTCGTGCCTATCGAAAGGAGTCCCCTTTGCCACATCTCGGCATTCCTCCGAGCCAAGATTCTTTCCCTTTTTCTTTCTTTCTTCGGCGCAAACTTGGACCTTCATCCACCTCAACCACATCCACACACATACACTCACAATGGGTCGCATCATCTCCCACGGCCGCGGCGGCGCAGGTACTCCCCCTCTTTTCCTCCCATCAACCCTATATCAGTAAATCAGTCAGCTAACGCCCGTAAAATGATAGGAAATATGTTCACAGCCGAATCGTCCGCCCCGCCCCCCGACCTCGTCACCCCCACCATCAAACAAGAAGTCTACACCACCGGCCGCGGCGGTTCCGGAAACATGGTGCACAATGATCCGGACCATCCGGAGCTTGCGCGCGAGAGTCAGGATGTCGAGTCGCCGCCGTTGCGCGTGGAAGAGGCGGCTCATCATACTGGGCGGGGTATGTCCCCATTCCCACTGTCTTATCCAACGTACCCTTGGACAGGATATCTATAAAGATAGCGTGGCTAATATGATATCCACAGGCGGCGCAGCAAACATGTACATCCCCACCGCCGAAGAAGAAAAGCGAGTGCGCGAACAAGAGGAACAGCTACGACGGGTGCGCACGCAGGAGGAACAGCGTCTCCGTGAACAAGACGAGTATCTGCATCGTGTGAAGACGGAGAGTAAGGAGCGGGTGGCGAAGGAGGAGACGGAGAGTCGGGCTTCGTCGAGTTGATTACCTCTCTTCTTCTCCTTTACATTGTTTTTGTTCTATGGGAGGGGGGTTCTGAGATGGTAGGATGAGTAAAGAAGTGCTGCTGGCGGTGCTTTTGTGGGCTGTTGTTTATATCCCTGTTTCTTTGTGTTACATAGGGAGGTGGTCTGTTGTTGGTTTGTATGGTTCAGTTTGTTTATTTTGTGTTTTTCACTGTTTCTTTCATCTTATTGAGGGTTATGTCTTCAATGTCGGTGTCTTTGTTTATCGGGATATGCTAGACGGCTATCTCGAGATTGAGTTTCAATACTGTTAAGGTACTGCTGAAATATGACCTAATGACCAGATGGGTACCGCTATTGCTCAAGTCTAGTAACAGTGGTATAGTGGCAGAAATAGCAATAGCATTTAATTAAAGCTAAGAAATGTAACATCTAGTATAATATTAAAGAAACTCCATCATCAGACATAAATTGTATACTATCTACCCCTCATGCATTGCATGATATGAACATAATAAGTACTCAGCCATCATCTAAGTCTCAAAAGACAAGACAAGGCAAGACAAGACGAAGTCTAGCTCCCCCACCCTCTGTATCCTGCAGTCGAGACCAGCTCAACCTACCCACCCACCTACCTTCCAAGCAGAACCCAGAAGGAGAGAAATGAAGGTTCAAGGAAGGTTCACAAAAACCCCCGTCGCATCAACCACCCACCCACACGCACCCCTCCACTCACCCCCCAAAGCCAACCCACACTCCCGAATGATCCGCTCCCCCCACTCACCCACCCACCAAGATGCGCGCATCGCATGCAGTATCACCGCATAATGCGCGAGCAACACCAGCGCGAACGGCCTTCTTGAGCGCACGAGAGCGAGAAAGGCGGCTGGGACGTGGTAGGTCCATTGCATGGTTGATAGGGGAGTTTCTTCATTGTTGCTGCTGTGGAGTAGGGTTTCGAGAGAGGAAGCGAGGTGGGTTATTGTTGTGGTGTAGGTTGATGCGGGGTGGGAGGGGTCTTGGGTGGATAGGGTGTTGTTCAGTCTTGTGAGGGCGGTTATTGCTAGTTGGGAGGTGTTGGGCATGCGGGCGTCGTGGCTGGATGGTGGGCGGGGTGAGAGGGGGTTGAGGGGGTTGTCTTTTGTGATGGAGTTGTTGGTGGCTGTTATGGTGGGTGATGAGGTTTGGATGTGGGTGAGGATGTGGCAGAGGTTGTCGATGGGGTTGTTGTTGGATGATTGCATTGTCAGAGGCAAGGCGAAGGAATATACAAGGTCGATATGGCACATGGCGAATACAGCGTCGCATGTAGACTTGTTGAGGGTTTTGACTGCCTTTTCGAATCCGCACACGGCCTTGTTATAGTGACTCTGCGCCGTCGTGATGTATTCCTCTTTCGAATGGTCATCGCCGGTAGAAGCGACGTGAAGGGCGGACAGCGCCATAAGTCCGTGTGTGAGGAAGGGATGGGCAATGGCCTCTTGGGGAATAACAGCCTGCCAGGTTTTCTCGACGGAGGTGCTTGTGGCGATGGAGCGATAGGTTGCGGTGCACCATTGGAGGGTGAGTTCGAGGTCTTGCGTATTGGGTGTTCCAGCGAGGTCGATAGCGTCGCTATAGTTGGATGGGGAGGTGGCAGACGGTGTCGATGGAGAGTTGATCATGATGGTGGATGTCATATATCTGAACTTCGCGCTGCGAGGTAGAGAGTAGCGCTGACAGGGTCAGTATAAGTGAAAATATCGACACAAGTACAGTATCGTGTCATACCTTGACGTGTCTCTCGTCGCATTCTAAACACCCATACTGCGACAGCCTACGCGATGGCTGTATAGGCATTATAAGTAGTTAATTCTGCTTCCAAACAAGAATCGAGCAACACCAGCGGAACAGAACAGGTATAAGTAGTCTGCAGACAAGCTGGCAGTATAACTAACGGCGCTATGCTCGGGCACTTGATATATCTGACGCTTGATTTATTTGACGCTTGATTTATCTGACATGAGTGCCTCGCAGTAATTGATAGGCGAACATTATAGCGTACACGCATATGTATATAGGAGCTAGATGACCAAACCAGTAATTGCAATAAACGAGTAAACCAGTAGATGCAGCGCTTGGACCACTGAATCCATCCCCACAGGGACATACATGGGATAAGCAGGTAGGCTATTGGATGAAAGCATCAACTGCATTGTCCTTTCTAGGGAAAAGGTCAGCAATCCAGTGGCCAACGCGAATTAAACATCCCTGTCAGTCGGTATACAAGAGATTGAGAGGGAATCCTGACCTGAACGGGATGACCGATGGGACTATTGATAATAATTAATTATAGCAGCCAGTCCAATCTGCTGCTTCTGATCATTGACCCATCTGGGTTAGGATTGTTGCTAGCTGTGGGGCAGACTAGCGAGATGAGTTGATCTTCTCGTCATGCCCGGTTGAGACAATCCTTTTACTCTTTTGGGTAATACTACTTCTTGGATATCTATTGATCTTTTCTTGGCTGTCAGATCTCGACTCCACATTTTGTCTCTTTTTCCAGTTGACAGTATGATTGACATCACGACAAGTTGATCTTTATTATGAGTGACCTTGGTTATAATGTCTACTACAATCAGACATTATCAGCAGTCCTGGTACGGAAAACACCGTTGCAAGAAGACAAAGAATATTCCACTATGCGCCAACTAGCCTACATGGCCCCAGGATCACGATCCTCCAGGATCTAGTGCCATAACTGCTAATCTGTCGTCTTCCACAACGTGTCTCATCAAGACATACAGGGTTGTGATTATACTGTTGGCAGCTAACCAGATAACCAACTAACCAACTGTAAGAGTCATTCATGTCAGTCACTAACAGCTGTATAATATGCACGAGGGTCTCCCTTATCTTGTTTAGGAAACGCTCCCTGCAGGATGCGAGGTAAATACAGCATCAACTACTATAGGCCAACGCTTTTACTCAATTCGTCCTGGTCTATGCAGAGGAGCAGATAATAGCACACGGAGCTACCCCAACAAGGGAAATGCACATCTCGCATCAGCTGTTGTCAATATTAAGCTAGTGAAGTATATGAGAGTACCACCGCTACGGTCTGTGTGCAGCCTTATACAGTGCGTGATTTATTTATTCTACTTTGAGGTGAGCGGTTTTATCTAGGATAGTACCAACATGTGCAGGTTTCTTAGGCTAATCCATTTCTTATTCCCTTCCCTTGTAATCTCTGTTGGAACTACAGCCAAACATCCAACAGAGAGACCTTGACCTTGACCTTAACCTTGGACAGCTAGGAAGTCACACAGCAGGTGATAAGTCCCCAATAACCAACAATGTATCAACCTTACCCTCAGTCGTACAAAGATCGGCAGTGCATCTCGGCAACTGGCATTGGTTTTTCTTAAATGAGTGTAACCTGGAAATACTTCAGAATAGAATAGCATTAGTCCTGGAATGGGAACGGAACTATTACGTGTGGATGTACGTATTTGAAAAAAAATGAGTGTTGGTTTTATTATCCCCCATAAGAGCTAGGTGATTTAGTTGACGCAAGGTGATGGTCGGCTTTCAGTCTATGTTTATCATGTCTGTTGTACACGTGGTGAGGTTTACCTTTACAAGGTGACTGACTGCGTGGACTACTGTCTAGATAGATCTTGTTCCAGGTCTGTGCGATCATCTGTTTCTCGATTGAGTCAAACAAGATATAAGCTAATTCACTCATTCGAACTACTCGCTAAAAGGATAACATAGACTGTCAATCAACCAGTCCATAAATTCTTCCCATACAACGCCAAAAGCGCAAAGTGGCTGCCCAGAGCCGGTCTCGCGCGGAACGCGTAGTAATCCCCCGCCTCGCCCTCATCATTATCCGCCACCCAATACCGATCGGAGAATGGCGCGCGGTTGCGCCCGTTGGAGATGTACGCGTGCATGTCTGAGATGAACATCTCGCGGGTCGCTCCGTCCACCAGCGCCGCCCCGTACCCTTGCCAGTTGGTCTGGCCCCAGTCGAGGTCGCCGTTGAGAGCCAACCCCGCTTCTTTGCGGACCGTCGGGTAGAAGTCCGTGGTGATGTTGTACACCTCCTCTGGGAAGACGTTCAGGCGGAAGAGCCGGTCGGGATAGTGGTTGTAAACGAGGAACCAGGTGTCGTTGCCGTATTGCATGACGAAGAACTTCCCCTCCGGGTCGGTGCCCAGGCGCTCGTGGTACAAGGCCTCTGCGATCTCCCTGCCGTACTCGATGTAGCCGTTCTCGCCTGTGAGATGGCTGTACAGCGCCAGTCCGCTGGCGGCCTTCATGGCCAGGTTGGTCTGGTTGGCCATCGCGCCGAGGGCATCGTTGAGGGACTGCTGCTTTTCCGGATACTTGCCGTGGACCTGCAAGTAATCGGCGTACTGCTTCAGCAGGTCGGCGTACTCGGTCGACATGTCCTTCTTGCCAGTGGCATCCTGGTAGCCATAGATCATGATGATGACGTTTCCGGTCTCCTCCACGGGCATGTACTGCCCCTCGGGGTCGTGGCCGGTTGCATTGGGATAGTGCCGGCCCAGATCGTGCACCGCAAACTCATCCGGATACGCGTCGCTCACCATGTACTCGAGGACGGGCTTCATGAGGAGCCGGATGTAGTCGGGGGTCAGGGCGTAGAACACCGGAAACGCGGCGTACATCACGTCGACCGTGTTGATGTTGCCGTTGCTGGAGATCTCTTTGATGAACGCGCTGGCTTCGGCCGTATCCATGGTGTCGTGCGGCACCACGATCTCAATGCCTCCGTAGATCTGAGCCACGGACAAGGCGAGAATGTCCGAGTACTTGGCGCCGTAGGACTTCACGCCCCACTCCTGGATCATGCGGTCGAATTTGACCGACTCCTGGGCCGCATCTTCGTAGTCGTCCAGGAAATATGTCACAGCCGAAATGGCCGTTGGATATCTTGCTCGATAGTATCCAGTCCGGAGACCTCCGATGTAGTTGATGGCTTTCTCGCGGAAATGACCGATGGCAAATCTGACGGAAGTCTCTCCTTTGGCTTCACCGAGGTCATGCGCGAAAGCGACGGCACCATCGGCAGACCAATCAGCGACAGTGTTCTTGAGAACCCCGTTCTTCACGAACTGCGATCGGACAGTGGACGTGGGTCCCGCCTGGGTTGACAATTTGCTCTTTCCTGATGGACGGCTAGCATATACCGTTTCGCCCCACAAGGCCTGGTTTTCTTCATTCTGCGAAAAGGTGGCTCCCCCTACTGGATTGACATGGAACGCAGATGTCGTGCCATTGTGGGAGGACCGCCAGTCCGCCTTGTTGGGCTGACCGGTCCACGAGGAATCGATATCAGAATAAATCTGAACCTTACCCTTGCCCTCACCGACAGTAACGGTGAGGTAGGCAAAAGGCAGGGACTGGCGTAGAAGATTCTTTGGGGAGATTGGAGAGAAAAAGTCCAGCGTGATGGTGCGCGATCCGGCCGTGAGGGTGAACTTGCTGTGGGTAGATGTGTAACTTCCCCCGGTGACAGTGGCTGGCTTGACACCCTCCAAGTCATCAGTCACTCCAAACAGACTGTACGCTTCTCCATCTACCCGGGCGATGATTGACCATGTCAGATCGTTTCCAAACCAAAACTGCGGAGAGCTGGAGGGTAAATTGGGCGCAAATTCCCCGGGAATCCAGACTACCAAGGGTCAGCATACAACAACTCAACCAATCACACTGTAAGCTGTGACTTCAGAACAGGTGAAAAGGTAGAAGGAATGGAATGTGTAGAGAAAGAAATAAAAAAAGAACTGACCAGACAGGTACGGAGTACGGACAGCCAATGGATATGATGGAGGCGTCAGAGGCGTAAAGGATGGAGCAGCCGACGTGATGGACACAAGAGCAGCCACCACGACTGCCCATTGGGCCGTCAACTTGGCGAAGTATCCCATAGTATGTTGTGGGCAATGTGAGGATCAGAACAATCCAGAGTTACAACCATAAAAAATTCGGTCGCTGCGACTCTCTACCCAAACAGCAACGTTTGAAGGTCGATCCTTCCAAGGGGCTGGGGTGGTACAAATACCTTTCCCTCCATCCCCGTCCTAGATATGCGGGCTGCATTCTCGCGAGGAGATCTCCATCAGGCCCAACAACATCTCGGCACAATGAATCTCACATCCCGCAGACGGCAGGGGAAAAATTGGAGAAACGGGCATGGAATGGACCAATGGTCTCTTGTGATGCGCGAGGGGGAGGGACCATGCGGGTCATGAGGCGCAGTCAATGCGATGATAGAGAGAGGAAGGAGGAGGAAGAGGAAGAGTCGGAAGTAAGAGAGGAGTTGGTTTGTTTGTTTCTCACTAGTTGCATCTTTAAGGCTTACAAGTATCATCCATTTGATCCATCTGTCCAGCTCAGTCTCCACATCACTCTCACTAACTCGGTCAAGCGGCGATGCAAGTGCAGATCACACAAATCATAAGGACCCAGCACCTCCACCCCTCCCAGAGCTAGAAATTCTATATTAACTATTATCAGCACGCCATTCCTTGGGTGACATGCGACTCCGACTTTTGCTCGATTCACCTATGAGGGCAATCGTGAGTCAAGGTAACACCGGACATCCTTGAGACTCTCCCAATAAGAGAGGTCCATCTCGTCCAGATGCATGGAGTCAACTCTTAGTATGGGTCTCGAAGTCAACTCCCCGCAAGGGATACACCGTTATATTGACGGGATGCATCCCGCTCAGACTAGGCTCACAAGATATCATGGTCGGAGTGTCGTGTCTGTCGGAAGATGCCGTCATGTTTCTTTTCTAGGAGGTTGATCCGGTGGGCTCAGATGATATCTGCCGTGGGCGTGTCTTTTCAACCCGACAAGGATACGGGGTATACTCGCGTGCATTCCCAAGTAAACTTTGAACGAAGTGAGGGTCGTTGGCGATTATCAGCGGGGTGATAGATCAAAAGGCACCATGCAGGTACTCTTCGGAAGATTCTCTGGTGGAGGCAGTCTGCCCAAGCGATCCGACTGTGCTACCTTGTGTCTCCCAGATCCATTCGATGATAATGATGTGATCTCACTGATAAATGGTGTTTGCGCGGCTGCAACGCATAAGGCGCGAGATCCTCAACGGGCGGACGTCGGCCTCACTTCCCGTGCAAGCACTGCCATACCAAACCTCACTAATCCCTCGTCCGTGACACCACTTCGACCAGCCAAGAGGCCAATATTCAATACCATCAGGCGACCCGTCTCCCCCGCACAGCCTCGGACCATTCAAGCTCTTGTATAACATGCCAAGTCTTCCCACAAGGCCAGACACAAAGTCCCCGACCGCAAATGCCCAGGTCGCCGAGACAATTCAGCAGAGACCTTGATTCGGAAAGCTAGTGACCGTGGGGGTTGGGCAGCGATACAGAGTCCACCTTGTGACAAGCTCACCGACAGCCGAAGTGCTCTCTAGACTCCCCAATCACAACCCCGCAGCCTACATCATACGAGAGCTCCCTCATGGACGCTATTCTTAGCGCCCTGCACGTCTGCCGTCATACTTGGCGCTGGCGGGACTTGTGTGTGCGGGGTAGACAGCCGCAGTCAAGATCTGATCAAGCGATCTGCTTCCATGGAATTTGTCCCTTAAAGTGTCAAATGTGGGCTGCAACCGTAGGATTTGCATAGTCTTGGAAGTCACCGGACGGCATCATTCTGTCTTTGTCCTTACAAGCGGGGTTCTTTGAGTTCCGGTGCCCTAATAAACTCATCTGAATTGCTCAAGGCATCGAAATAACAAGGCTGGAAGCACTACTGTTGCGCTAGTTTATGAGATAAACCAAGAAGATATACGAGATCAGGTGTTACTTATGAAGTCATTCCAAGTATCTCCTCGGACATGCTCGCTGTAGTTATACGGTTGACGGTTTGGGGATCCGACTCGTGGATCAATCATACTATGTTGATATGTGGCAGACGTTCTAGACAATCCAGATGTCTCTTGTACACACCGCTAATTCAACTAGGATACTGGGTAGTATTAGTTATATTCAGCGCGCTGCTAACCGGTGGGTTAGATGTGTAGATTCCTGCGCTACTCGCATATTTATTCTATATAGACGGCCCCCGAAATATGCGTTATTTGGATCTTTTTAGTAATGCCAATTGATATAAAATGAAAACAGTGTGGTTGGTACTGTACTATGCTTGAGTCTGGGCCCTCAAACCTCTACCATGGAGAAAGATGCGGCTTGACTTCCCCGTTGAGCTAACACTTCAGTTCAGGGTGGAACAATGGCTCTCTCAGCTTCTGGGTTTGTTCCGGCAAATGGGTATCTTTCGTTGACCTTTCTGTTTTAAAATACTGCAGGATGCTACCATCACGAAAGTTGAGAGCATGAGAAAGCTATAGCATGCTGTGAGAACAGACCTCTAGATAATTGGAACAACCCTCACCAGCTGTTAGTGTCGTTAATCTAGCTTATCTCCCGATCATTGAACGCTATTAAAAGCCCCAGCCAGTTTGTAGCTTGCCAAGATGATCCCATGGATGTTCATCTCTGTGTCAATAAGCAGGCCTGACCCAGGGAATTGAGCCAGGAGCGTAAGACTTCCAGCAACAGCAGAGCAATAAAAACAACACGCAGTAAGTATAACCAACACGAGCACACGCCTTTCAAAAACACAGTCTTTCCTCTACCCTTCTAGTTTATGACTAAATTCTTCAGGTCCTTTCAACAGTTCATACCCATGAGCCCTCTGATCTACAAGAGCATTCACTCGCCAACGGTCCCGAGTCCCCTTTCTCTTTTGGCAACATCTCGGCACAGCTAGTACCTTCTTCCAATGAATATCGACAGTGAATAAAAGCCATGTATTCGCATAAAGGCCATAATCATCCTCAATCTCAATAATGTTAACCTGTAACACTTCCGATTTGGGATCATCAGCTGGGATAAGATGGTCGAATGTTACGCCGTAATAGTCAATCAATCTAGTTGATACATGGGATATCAGGAATAGTCCAATCTGACTCCACTGGCAAGCAGGTGAACGTACTGCTCCGGACGCTTTTCCGGCATCCAGCCCAAGTACTCATCCCGCACTACCAGATCATCCGGGAAATCCAGACAAGCATCGCGTCCGTATATCTTTTGGTACGCCAGCCGTGCTAGCTCTGGGCCTGCGGGCTGCGGGAACGGTCGGTCTAGAGGATCTAGATGCCATGATATATGTGGTAGGAGCCGTTGGACGGCGATCAGAGGACCTTCAATTTGAATTCGGAGTGGTCGATCTGGTGGTGGGAGGTGATATTGATGGGCGGGAATGTGAATACAGGGTGGAATGTATAATGGGAATGCCATTCGTAGGGCTGAGCCACCTGATTGCGTCGCTGGAGTTAATGAGGAGTTGTGGTAAAGAACTAAGGTGCCCCGGCTTGTACAATATGCCTACTCGTATCTAATTAGTATCTTCAATTCGTCGCGTGGCTGAGCCATGGGACGCGTGGAACTCAGTCACGATTAAGATGCAGCGGCTGGGATAGCCATGTTTTGATAACCAGCCTGAGTGTAGACATGTTGGAAAGAGCCAAGGTATTACGACAAGATGAATAGAACGCGAAGAAAAAGGTCAGACCATGACAGAAAGCAATCCTGCGAACAAACCAAATCCTCAATGACATTGTCCGAGTCAACCACTGGATAACAACATATCGATCGCAAAGCATGCCGTGTTTCCTCCTCCCTTGGAACTCCGCACCATGGCAACTTTGTCCTTTCTCTCCACTTGTCCCTTCTGACCCCCCTTTTTAATTGATTGGTCATTTATTCCCTGCATAGACACCTAGGTAATGAGACATGTCCAATTTCCCCGAGAATGACCGATCATGGCATCCACGCAGCGGAAATGCGCAACACCCAATTGACATATGCCACTTGCCGCTCCGTCATGCACGCCGCTCGTTCCGGTAGGCTGCGTTGTCCTGGGGGATTCTGCATTGCATAACTTAGTGGGATTCCACAGTTGGGCTTCTTTCTCTTTAAAAAGGATTCTATGGATTATATCTATTCTATTTAACGAGCAATGCTGTCCAAATTGGACGCGACTGAATGACTGACAATGAGACTCACCGCCCGGCTGACTAAGTGACTACCAGATTATCTACAGAGTATACGATATACGAACACGGAATAAAACAGGATGATCCCTCCAGAATGGTCAAAGGGGAAGATCGCAGACATCAAAGCTCGGACCATCGGGCGCGAGAATAATTTGTCATGAAGCCCCATCCAAGGCTGCAAACGGGGGATGATAGTGTTAAGTTGCAAGGTCAACCCAAAACGGGCCTGAGGGACCCAACCGAGAGGTTCAACGGTGCGACCATTGGTCGAGTCATCTTATCTTCCCCACGTCGTAGTCAGTTTTCAATCAATCTTTTCTCACTTACTGCCGCAAGTCTAACTTAGTACTTCTAGTCTCCTTCTATTTTAGAGATAGGCTAGGGAGCTTGTCTTGCCGGAAAGAAACCCGGTGGGTGGGTAGGTGGGGGGAAGACGGTTACATTGCTGGAGCCCCACGGGTATTGCATATTTCGAGTTGGACTGTGAACGAAGGATTGGGAGGAGGGATGATCATGAAGGATGATCGGGAAGATTTGAGGAGGTGGGAGAAGTCGAAAGTTGTACGTTGTGTCGAACAGAGGATGACGGTCAGCAATGACAGTTGATACACTGATTCAGGGGCTTGACTAGGACCCTTGCGATTAGTCCGACCAAGTCAGCAGCCAATATGGATTCGTGGACAACAGTCCGAACCCGACGGTTTGGGTCGCGGAAGTTCCTGCGCCGCGTTGATCGACTGATGGGAATTGGTCAGAAAAGGGAAACAGTTCCAGGTTAAGGACAATGAAATACCGATAGAATTGTAGAATTCAGTTGTCTTTTAGTACCAGAATCATGACACGTAGAAATGACCTAATATGTCGAGGATTGGGATCATGAGTCTACCTAGTACAGTGCAGTGAGAAACGAGAGAAAGGATTGAATGAGCTCATCATCATCCCGGACGCATTTTCCCACCGTCACGGTTTGAGTCTCGACCGATTTTCTCAATCGTCACTTCTCTTCGTCACTTCCACTTCTCTCTCTCTTTCTTCCCCACCTTACTGCTCTTCCTCTCCTCTTCTCTCTTCTCTCTTTCTCTCTTCTCGTCTCTTCTCTTTCTCTTCCTCCCCCTCTCCCTCTACATAACCGCCAACCGACCGACCGTCCTGCTTCTCCCGGCATCCTGCAGCTTCCCCTCATCCTGACGTCGTCCGTTCCCTCCCCCACCATCTTTTTGCCGGATCCGCACAACGGACTCGCGCTTTGTTGGAACTTTCCGACCTTGGAACCTCTGGATTGCCGTGGTGGGTGAACCCAACGTACTGTACGGTTGACCCGTGGGAGGCGCAGTCAATCTCCCGCGCTTGACACTGACAGCTTTCCGCTTACCCAGACGATCAACCCTTATTTTCTATCGGTAGCTTGTCCACTGGACTAGCGCACACCTTCACCTGCTCCTGAAACTTCGATCGCGACCGAAACGCGGAACTCGACGGCTTCTCGACAGCTTCCAGCGCCGTGCGTCCCGGTCCATTTACGCTTTCTGGGTCGCCCCTCCTTTCGCCACACCATAATTTCGTCACCCTCGCCTAGGGAGAGTTCCGGGAAAAAAAAATCACGAAGAAGGACAAAGAAGGGCAATTGCATCTCGCAGTCACCGTCCGATATCTGGTTGACCTCGTGAGCACTCGATTTCCGCCGCAGGTCGCGCGGTTCTGCTATCGTTGGAGCAGACTGGCCAGGCTCGATTTGCGCAACCCCTCCGGTCGCTGAACCCGATGCTGCGTCGGTGACGGTCAAATCCATCTCTTATTATTCTGTCTATCCGCACGCTCTCTACCAACCCACACTATATCAGCTTATCGAAGCGACCAACCATCGAGGGAGCATTTCCCTATTCAGTATTACCGCCCTTGTTTTCTCGTGATCAAAAAAATATGTACGGAGTAGAAGAAAGACACCCCGGGCCGCCGCAACCCCCTCCGCTCTCCATGGATCGCATTCCTCCTCCTTCCTCCTCCTATCCGACTCCCGGGTCGGCCGGTCCAATGGGATCAGCCGGTCCACCACATATGCCGAGTCTGGCACCGGTTTCGACCATCCATGAAGGTCGAATCTGGTCATTGCAGGTTGTACAGCAGCCCATTCGGGCTCGGATGTGCGGTTTTGGTGATAAGGTGCGTAATCGCTTCTTCACGATCGGTCCCTCGAGGATGTCCCATCATGCTCACAGATTCCGCTGCTTAGGATCGACGACCCATCACCCCTCCCCCATGCATCCGGCTCATCGTTCGAGATGAACAGACCGAAAAAGAGATCGATATCAAGTATGTCCCGGGTTGACCTATGTTTGCGCGGGGAATACAGTTACTGACGCCGGGCAGCGAAATCGACACGTCGTTTTATGTGCTGATGGTGGATCTGTGGAATGCCGACGGGACCGGGGAGGTGAACCTGGTGAAGCACTCGGCCACCTCCCCTTCGATATCGACGGCCATGTCCTCATCCTACCCCCCGCCCCCGCAAACCATGTCTCCCTACTCGGGGTACGGTCCAAACCCCTACGGGCAACCGATGGGGTATCCCTCGCAGATGAACAGTTACTACGGCAACCCGCAGTTACAGTATGGATACGGGGCCAGTCCCCAGGCGCACTACTACCAACAAGCACAGGCCCCCTACTACGGGAATCCCGTCAATGCGACCAACCTCTCGTCAGCCCAGCCCGTGTCCTCGGGGCCGGGCGGGATGTTCACGCGCAATCTGATTGGCAGTCTGAGCGCCAGTGCATTCCGGCTGACCGATCCGGAGAACAAGATCGGCGTGTGGTTCATTCTCCAGGATTTGAGTGTGCGGACAGAGGGCGTGTTCCGGTATGTCCCAGTCTGCTTTTTTGGGGGTGGTTTCTGGTGTTGTCTCGAGCTAACGTGGGGTGCAGATTGAAGATGAGCTTCGTCAACGTGGGCACCCAATCGAGTGATATGCCGTCGGGCATGACGGTGATCAATCATGGATCGGCACCGGTGCTGGCGTCCGTCTTCTCGGAGCCGTTCCAGGTCTTCTCAGCCAAGAAATTCCCCGGGGTGATTGAGAGCACGCCGTTGAGTAAATGCTTCGCCCTGCAGGGCATCAAGATCCCGATCCGCAAGGACGGAGTGAAAGGGAGTCGCGGTCGCAACAACGACGATGATGGAGATGATGATGACTATTAGGCGCAAGGAAAGGGATAGAGGATGGCGGGAATGGACGAGCAATAAAAATTGGGAGATATACATTCTCATTCCGTCGACTGGTCTTGACGCATTTACGGGCCTCGGGTTTGGTTAGTGGTGTTTGGCCGGGTCTTTTTTCTTCTTTCACTTTTTCTTCTCTCTATTCTTATATTTATTTTTCTTTCTTTCTTTCTTTCTTCCTTTTTGTCGTTTTGTTTTTTGTTTGAATGGGTTGGGGTGTTGTTTTGTATGGATGTTTGGGTGGGGTGTAAAGGCTGTTCTTGTTTGCTTCCTTCCTTGGAATCAATTTCATTCAATTTTTTTTTCTATCTCTTCAATCTTTTGTTCGATGTATCTCTTATGGTCTTTATTTAGATCGGTCCCATTACCGGTTTGCCCGCAGGAGCTGCATGACACTAAAACCGAAGAGGACTCGGCCCCGACGGTTCAGCTCCGAGGTCCATCGACTGGAATTGACCCTCCAACACCGCTCAATTCTTCAGCCGGAACCCGGAATGCCATGTCCTTGGGTTGTGGGGATGGTCAGGCGGCGGTGGGGGCGCATTCCTGGCCTGTTATTGTCGCTATGATTGCTCTTATTGGAATGGGTCGAACAATGTCCAGCAAACGAACACGAGAGCTGAACTGAGACTGAACTGAGACACCATGCGGGAAATTCCCCGCTTCACTCCATGTCTCATGGAACGTCATATTAATATCATATTTCCTTGCATATCTTCGGCATCTGTCCGCTTCACTGGCGCGGTTGGGGTGGCATCCGGGTTTATATAGGCTAAAAACGCCGATATAAATACCGTTTCCTTCCCCCATCTCTAGCTATCTATCTCGATTCCTCTCAAATACCACCTCAATAATTCAACAAAATGAAGCTCCAAATTGTCGCCTCTCTCCTCCCCCTCCTGGCTTCGGCCGCTCCCACCGCGGAGTCCGCCAAAGATGCAGCCCCCGAGCCAGCCTTCGGCGTCATGGCTGTCAGATCCGCCTCCCCCATCCACTTCCTCCCCATGACCGCTGCCAGTCAGAAGTTCTGGCTAGGCGGGGAGACGTCCTCCTACTGTCCTACTCCTCCTGTTCCCAAGGAGGATTGTCCCCCGGGAACGGACACGGTTTTTTCTCCGGGTGGATACGCCCTAGTATGTCTCACTCTACACTTTCACCATCTATACCCATCCATCCCCACAATATCCATATACTAACGAAAAATGAAAAACAGAACGTAATGGTCCCCGGCGGCCAACGCATCTACGTCGACCCCACCGGCGCCCTCCGCTTCACACAAGCCCACTCCGGCGCCATCCCCCCGGGCTCCGCCATCGGCCCCTTCGAATACACCCCCGGCGACTCCTACGGCCGTTTTACGTTCACGGGCTTCGGTGCGGACGGATTTATGGCTTGTCCCGCCGAGGATGACCGCTGGCAGGTGTTTGCTGCGATCCAGAATGCGACTGTGCCCGGTGGGGATGTGGGTGCGTGCTTGGGCTTTTCGGCCATTGCGCCGACGGCACAGCATCAGGGGTTTGCGGCTTGGCAGTATAATTGATTTAGCGATACTTGTGTAGGATTTGGTGATGGGGTTTATCAGATGCCTGTATACATAAGTATGTATGTATGTATAAGGATTATGGGTGGATGGTGGATGGATATGGTATGGATAATAAACAAGATAATGATAATGGACGGAGTGGTAGTTATTGGTATGGCACCATCTGCGATGTCAAATTCAACAAGTTACGATAATATAATGCAATCAAATTCATTCAAATCTATCCAACTCTAGGGTATCTCAGTTCCTCCAGATGCGAACAGCCTTGTCCTTCCCCCCACTACCCACCTTCTGCCCATCGGGACTCCAATCCACCGCAAACACCTCGTCCCGATGTCCCGGCAGATCCATCGCCAGCTTGCCCGTCCGCAGATTCCACACCTTCAACGTCGTGTCCTTGGACGAGGACACCAGCATGCGCGAGTCCGCGGAGAAGCAGCATTGGTAGACGGCGCCGACGTGGCCGCGCAGGGTGGTGATGAATCTGATTTGTTAGCTTATTTCCACGTAAAATAAAAATGGGGTGGTGTGTGTGTAGGGATGGGGTACGTACTTCCCGTCTCGCCCGTTCCATAATTTGACGTGGTTGTCGAATCCCGCTGAGGCAATGTACGCCATGTCTGGCGAGAACGTCACGTAGTTGACTTCCTTCTGGTGGCCCAGCAGTCGCGCAACTGGCTTGTTCGAGCTCTGCGGCTCCCACAGGTACATGGTGAAGTCGTCGCTGGCGGAGACGAGCTTCTCAACGACCTGGTTGTTGACGGTGGCCGCCTGCTCGAAGCGGCGCTTGGCGGCCGCGACCTTCTCCTCGTCCGAGGCGGGCACCTTGCCCGTGTGGTCGTGGTAGGCCGTGCGCAGGGCAAAGTCTGTCGACAGCGCGAGGTGGTTAACGCGGTGGGCGTGCGCCGCCAGCGTCTGCAGCAGGACGCCGTTCTCGGCGTTCCACACCTTGATGGTCTTGTCGTGCGACGCCGTGTAGATCTTGCCCGTGCCGCCCCAGCGCACGCACGTCACCGACGCCTTGTGCCCCGTCAGCACCATGTCGATGCGCTTCGACACCACGTCCCACACCCGCACCGTCGAGTCCTTCGACGCCGACGCCAGCCGCGGCCGGCCCGTCTGCTGCAGGTGGTACGGCTCCCACGCCAGGCTGGTGATCCACTTGGTGTGACCCTTCAGCGGGCCGCCCAGCGCCTGCCCCTTCTTTGCGTCCCACACCCGCACCGTGTTGTCCATGCTGCCCGTCGCGATGATCGCCCCGTTCGGCGAGTAGCTCACGGCCAGCACCCAGCTGGTGTGACCCTTCAGCGTGTGCAGCGGCGTCCCCGTGTCGCAGTCCCACACCCGCGCCGTCGAGTCCCCGCTGCCGGTCACCATCGTCGCGGACGACACGGGCGAGAAGCTCGTCGCGAGGATCGCCTCGCCGTGCCCGGCGATCGACGCCGTGCATCGCGAGACTGCTTTCACTCGAAATACTGCCTGCGGCGTGTAGTACAGTTGCACTGTGTCCTCGGTTGTCTTCAGCCCGGGTTTCAGCAGCGACTGGTACAGATCTTGCAGGATGTCCACCGTCAGGCTGTCCTTGTCGTCTTGCGACTGGTAGGTGAAGCGGTATGGTACTCGTTCATCTTCCTCCTTCACCAGAAACAAAACGTTAGTTTTACATTCCACCATGTTATGGATGCGAACGTACATGTCCTTGTAGCGTATTCAGCAACGTCTCCAAATTCTTCACACTGGTATCCCCCACTGGCACCGACACAGCAGGCCCCGTTGCGGAACCGGTCGCCTGGTCGTAGAACTGCACACGGATGCTGCCCAGATTATCGGGGATGCCCTGGATCTCCTGCTGCTGCTGCGCCTTCTCGGTATCCTCGCGCTTCTGGCGCTTCGTCGGGGGTGGGAGGAGAGTCGCCATTGTGCTGGTTTGGGTCTGCTGGTTGTTGTTCGATGTCGCTTTTGGGCCCGCCAAAAAATTTCGTGCTTATCGCGGAGACGACGATTGCGCTAACCGGTTTCGGATATCTTATCGATACTCAGTATACTTCAGTCATCCACCTCACTTCTTCTCTTCTTCTCTTCTTCGTCTTGAGCTTACTGAAGGAAGCAAGAGATCATTGACTAGATGTCGTTTTCTTTCTCGCAGGCTACCTCTGTAGCGGACTCGTTCGTCCCTCTCTCCCGCCAGAGTAGTGGTCCGCTACGGACGAGACCGACAACAACAGCCACCAGTATAGCATCTCAAGATATCATCTGTGCAGTCAGTGAGTCGCGCGGTATCTCGTCCACCGTGGGACTGGCTTTTGTCAATCTTTCAACCGCCGAGATGGTTCTCTGCCAGATCTGTGACAGCCAGACGTATGCCAAGACGATCACGAAGATCAGCGTCTTCGAGCCCACGGAGATTCTGTTCATGAACACAGCGAGAGACTCCAAGTTGTACTGCATACTTCACGAGAATATCCCAGACACTACCTTTACGTTCCTAGATCGCAGGTGCTGGTCGGAGAAGGCGGGCCACGAATACGTCGACAGGCTTGCCTTTCCGGAAGATGTAGAATCGGTCAAGCTGGCTCTGGGAGGACACTTCTTCGCGGCGTGTTGTCTTGCTGCTGTATGACTGACTCCTTGGAGGTTGAGACGGTGTTGCTGATATACCTTCAGACCCTCAAATACGTAGAGCTCGAGTTAAACCGGATTTTTGCATCTCACTCCCTCCGCATCCGGTTTGAGCCGTCGCAGGGCACCATGTCCATAGACCTGTCGACGATTGTCTCACTAGAACTTGTCCAGAACATCCATAGTACCAAGTCGAAACATAGTCTGTTCGGGCTATTGAACGAAACGCTCACTCCGATGGGATCGAGGCTGTTGAGAGCCAATATCCTGCAGCCGTCCACGGAGCAGTCAAAGTTGCTGGCACGCTATGATGCGGTGGAGGACTTGTCGACTAAGGAGGATATGTTTGTGTCTGTTAGACAGGGTCAGCCCTTGCTCTCTACTACTTCTGTTCTCTCTATTGCGACTAACCATGTATCTACAGCTTTGAAAGGCTTTATTGACGCAGATAAAGTCCTGTCATCTGTGAGTTCTCTCCTCACAGGCTCGGAAGCTACTGACAAACCAGCTTATACTGGTTCCCACGAAACGAACCTTCCAATACGTTGAGCAGTCTGTGAACAACGTAATCATGCTCAAGTCTTATGTGTTTTTAATCAAATCAATCTACAAGGCTTTGGGCACCGCTCAAAGCAGCCTATTACTGACGATAAGAGAGGTACTGTGTGCCGTCGACTGCTGGATAAGCTAACCTCGAATAGCTGTGCGCACCGGCGGGCCACAGAGGAGTCGAGCAGCTCATCGAGTCTACCCTCAACGACCATGTTGCGTATCAGACCAAACCGCTGGATCTGAGAAATCAGCGGATTTACTGCGTGCGGGTGGGTTTATCCACCACATGGTTGTCCGTGTTTAACTGGTATAGACTGGGGTGAATACTCTGCTCGACGTGGCGAGACAGACATACAAGGAAACGAACATGGATGCTGTTGATCTTGTAGCACAGCTATCCGGTAGGCCCAGCCCATATTGATTCTGAATCTAATCTCTGACGTTCAATTCAACTGACAGAAACACATAACCTCAACTTGGACCTAAAATTCGACACAGCCCGCCAATACTACATCAGCATTTCCGCCGCAGAGACAGACTGCTACCTCCCGGAGATATTCATCAACGTGTACCGCAAGAAGAAGCGCATCGAGTGCCAGACCCTAGACCTCGTCAAGATCAACCAGAAGATCGTCGACGCCCACAACGAAGTAGTCAGCATGAGCGACCAAACTATCCAAGAACTCATCCGTGACATCTGTAGCGAGATTTCCATCCTCTTCCGCGTCAGCGAAGCCATCGCCATGCTCGACATGCTCTCGACCTTCGCCCAGCTGTCCACCTGCAACGACTACATCCGGCCCGAGCTGACAGACGTCCTAGCCATCAAATCCGGCCGCCACCCCCTCCGCGAGAAGATCCACACGAAGAAGTACGTCCCGAACGACGCCTACGCGACGCCGCAGTCCCGCTTCCAAATAATCACAGGCTGCAACATGAGCGGCAAGTCCACCTACATCCGCGCCCTCGCCCTCATGACCATCATGGCGCAGATCGGCTCCTTCGTCCCAGCAGAGTACGCCTCCTTCCCACTCATCCACCAGCTGTTCGCGCGCGTCTCCACAGCAGACGACCTCGAAGCAAACGTGTCCACCTTTGCCTCGGAAATGCGCGAAATGGCATTCATCCTGCGTAGCCTGGAACTCACCGACCCCACAAACAACAAAAGTATGGTCCTAATCGACGAACTCGGCCGCGGCACCAGCACGACAGACGGCCTATCAATCGCACTCGCCATAGCCGAAGCCCTCCTTTGCACAACCCACACCCTAACCTGGTTCGTAACCCACTTCCACGACCTAGCAACCATCCTATCCGCCCGCCCCGGCGCCGTCTCCCTCCACCTAGCAGCAGACCTCACAGCAGACGGGTCCAAAATGACCATGCTCTACCGCATAGCGGAGGGAGTGCCTCCCGCGCAAGCTTACGGCCTCGCACTCGCCAATCTAGTTGATTTCGCGCCTGATGTCATGAGGACCGCGCGGGAAGTATCTACTGCGATGGATGCTCTTGCGAGGCGCAGACATAGTCGGGCGAGGTCGGTTGGGGTTGCGCATAAGCGGAGATTGCTGCTTGCGCTACGGGAGCAGTTGGTTTTGGCGCGGTGTGGGACGGTCGTTGGGGAGGCGCTGAGGAGGTGGTTGGTGCGGTTGCAGGATGACTTTGTGGTGAGGATGGATGCTGCTGATGGGGATGACGATTCATGTGAGGGTGTTGGAGATGGTGATGGGGATGGAAGTCTGATTGATACGGATAGTGGTAATGATGGAGATGGTGATGGGGATATGAGTATTGCAACTGATGATGATAGCGACATCGAGGTCCTTTCTCCCGATCACGTTGAGATCCCAGCTACCACCGATCAGATTGAACCATCATCTGCTGAGATAGCCAGCATCCCACACACGACAGTGCCCTCATCTGTCACACCCACACCCCACGCATATACCTGGTCTCCTTCACTTGGAACAGACCATCCCATGAGTGAGATCTGCTCGTCGGATTCTCCTTCAGCTATGGTTGATTGATTCACAGTAAGAGATGGGCAGAAGCGCAATTATCCTTAGATAGTATAGTATTCTTAGATAGTGTACTCCGTAGTAGTTATATGATATAGAGTATGTAATAGTAATAATACATTAATTAACTTTTCCACCACACTGGTGATTATGTCCAATGCTCACTCACGCACATCACATCTACAGTCAAAACCATTCCACAATGACCAAATCAGCTAGCTCTAGTTAGGTTAGTTGTATGATGACCCGCTAAACACAAGCTTTTCAACACCAATCAAAAGAAAAAGTGATAAAAGAGAAGAGAAAAAGAAAAAGAAAGGGGTAAAGAGAGAAAGGGACAATGGAAGGGGTAAAAATCAATTACACGCATAACGCTTATCTCACTCCCTGTGCACCACAAATAAATCAAAATATAGCTATGTACTTCATGAATCCACCTAATACTGAGTATGATCAACCCCAATGAATAAGCGTCTGCTTCCCCTTCTTCCCCTTCCCCTTCTTCCCCCCACCACCGGGTAACTCAGGGAATTCCTCGTCGGGGTTCAGCTCCGCCTGGGAGGATCCAGCCCACGGGTTGGACGGCGCAGGGCGCTGGTTGTCCCAACGGACGGTGCCGCGGGTGAGACCTGCCATCAGAACGTTGGGTTTCGGAGCGGCTGGGAGGGACGGGAAGGCTTCGCTGCTTTTGGGGTTTACGGGGCGGGAGGGCGTGGGTTTGGGTCTGGAGTAGGAGGAGGAGGGGTTGGTAGGGAGGGGGATGGACGTGCTGCGGGGGCGGACGCTCCCCAGGTTGCGCCGGCGGCGTTGGCTTTGGCGGAGCGGGCGGTTGCCGCGGAGAGCGGCGGGAATGGGTTGCTGGCTGCGGCTGCGGCGGTGGCGGAGGATGAGCCTGGGAGGGCACCGCTTCTGCCGACGGCTGAGCGGGAGGACTGGGCGGTGGAGGACTTGAGGCGGAGAACGCGCTTGCCGCCGAGGCCGGTGCCGTTGACAGTGCCTGGGGACATGCCCGGGATCATGCCGCCGGCGCCTGGGAGGGCCGGGTAGTCTTCGTTGATGGCGCGCCAGTCGTTCCAGGATTGGAGCAGGGCGGTGCGCTTGGCGTCGTCTTCGTAGATCTCGGCGAGCTCCTTGATCAGCTTGCCCAGTTCGGTGCTGGAGGTGTCGAAGAGGGAGAAGAAGGCGTCGATGAGTTCGGTGGCGGTGATCTGGGACGTCCGGAAGTGGGAGACGCGGGTGCGGAATTCGTCGAGTTTGCCTGCGTCGTTGCCCAGCAGGTTCGCGGCGCGTTCCACCACGGCTGCGTGACGCAGACGACGGGCTTGCTCTTGTGGCGAGACGGGCCCGGAGTCTGCTGCGTTGAGACTGAGGGACCTCAGTTCGGCCACTGGCGTCGAAGGGGCCGCGGGTGTGCGGGCCGGGGTGGCGGCCCCGGACCGCGGAGGCGCGCGGACGGTCTGGGTTTCGTTGCGCGACAGTTGGCCGCCAAAGCTTCGGCCCGTCACGGACTGCGAACTCTGGATGGCTACTTGGCGCTGATAGGCGACCTCGTCGCGCCGCAGCGCTTGGGCGCTGGATGGGGGAAGAGGCTCTGAGTTGGGGTCACGTCCCCGGCCGGCACCACGGCGTTGTCGCTGCTGTGGTTGATATGGCGTTCTGATGTCAAAGGCAGACAGGTCCACGATTCGCGCATCCCGTCTGACATCCTTGGACATTCCGTTGGGGTGGCATTCCAATTGATGCCCCTTGAGGTCCATTTGCGACTCGAAGACAACAAACTTCTTTTCCAGACACTCTTGGTCGAGACACAGGAAGTGGTCTTTCTGGAAGTGTTCCTCCAAGGCATTGTAGTCAATGTAGTATTGCTGCTGGCGAGTCGAGGACTGTCGATCGCAAATGTAGCACCGTTCATGACGGTCGCGGCAATGGGTATACAGCTCGTCATCGCCGTAGAACCGCTGGCGACAGAACCCACACTCAGGGTGGCCTTTGAAGCCACTTTGATCGACGGATCCGGGCACGTCATCTCCATGTTTCTCGTGTTTGCGCAGCTCCGCCGCGGTAAAGAGCGCATGCTCGTGGGTGAAGACCTTCTTGTTCCTCGTACACAAGTCGCTATTGTACAGTCTTAGGTTAGTCTCGCGGTGGTTGATCTTCATTCGCATCCATCACATACCACATGACCTTGCCGTGCTTGTTCTTGACATGGCGGTGCAGATCGGGCCACCCCAAGCAAGCTACGTCGCAATTGTCGTCGGGGCAGTTATACCGCAGCAGCAGAACGGTATCCTCAAAGATATCATCATTCGCATACTGGATCCCGAGATTGTCGTCCTTCTGCGAAAAGTCCGCGCTCGTAAAGTCCTCAAACCGCTTCGTATGGTCGTCCGTAAAGATCACGTAGGCCGACTCCGTCTGGTCGCAGATAGCTCGTTAGTAAAATATCTGTATTATGCAGATCCTCTTGGACATACTCGACAGTGGGCACAAGCTTTATTCTTGTACAGGGCCCGGAGGCGGAGCGCACAGATATGACAGGTGCGGTGATTGCACGGCGAGACGGAGGTATGCTCGACGGTGGAGGCACAGATGAAGCACACCTCGCTATCGTCGGCGTCATCATCCGTCGCAGGGGCGGTCGCCTGTTTCGCCTTGGACAGCGCGCCCGTTGGCGTTGGCGTAGCGGTCGTGGACTCGGGCTTCTTCCCGCCGCGGTCCTGTTTATCGCCGCGGCCTCTGCGGGCCGGGGCGCCCCTGGATTTGGAGCCCCGACTGGAGCTCTCCGTCGACTGCGCTGGCGTTTCGCTCTGATCGGAGCGACCACCGCCGCCGCCGCCAGCAACACCATACCCTCGTCCCCGTCGACGACCCCCGCGGCTCGGGCCTTGCGGGGGAGCTCGGGACGGCTGAGAATCAGACATGAGGGGCAACGGAGCGGAGTTCGGGAGGGGGAAGAGGGGCAAAGGCCCTAGGGAAGACGGGAGTCAAACGAAAGTTGTCTGCCTGGTAGGAGGAGAGATGCGACGAGAGGTAATTCTGGCAGGCGACTTGCAGAAGGAGGGGAAATGGAATGAAATGAGAGAAAACGGGCCAAAACGGCCAAAAAAATTGGTGGTGCTCGGCATTGCTTAGTGAGCAGGGAATTATGCATTATGCCGAGCGGATCTCCGTCGGGCTCTCCTTTGGGGTTAGAGGGAGGCTCTCATGCAGCTGTTCCTGTTATACCACGCCATTCGAGGGTCTTTTTGCTTAGAGTGGGACTTGGATTATCTGAAAGACAAAAATGTTTCTGCAAGGACTAAACTAGGTTGGTTACCAAGTCAAAGCCACACGGTACACTCGATAGACTTTGGTGGCTCACTCGACACGCCTATTCTTTCTACGACTGTTGGACCACGTTATATGACAGGATTAGTATTTAACTATGCCACGATGCGGGGGAAATCATCCGCATGCTAAATAGTTCCTCCCCTATCAAAGCATTGAACTTGCGTGCCTGGCTCGTTGCCCATCAGCGTTCTTCCACGTCCCAGCGTCCCACGAGCGATGACTAGATTCATCCGCAGGCCACAGTCAACACCAAGAAAAGGGACTCGAGGCGACGCCTCAGAAAGAAAAGGATCAAATATGCCACAGTGTCACCTCCCTCCCTCCCAATAACTAAATCTCAAGATAACCAACATCCGTCGGGTCTGTAAGAGGATGCCAACTCCCGCTGTAGAAAAGATCAGCAGTAACGATAGAAAAAGAAAGAAAAACAGAATGATATTAAGAAATTCACAAAGGAAAGGGAAAGCAATCCAATCGCCAATGAGTGTCCGGAGTAAAAGGAGCGCATCGTAAAATCACAAAAACCAATCATGATCACGCCTGGTTGCCAATGCGGTGCAGTAACAGGTATTCGGAAAATCGTAAAGAAGGGAGCCATGGAGACAGACTCCCGGTGGCCTATGATCCTCGTAGGCTCCCGCCCACATACAGTGGAGGGGCGGCAGACTATTCATCAGGACTATATAGGTTTTGGCTGAGAATCTTGGTCATCGTAAACATGTGGATCCGGTCTTGCTTGAAGACAGCGCGCATGGGTTCGTCGCAGCGGATCTGCCGTCGGTCGCTCGGGTCCTGCAGTTCATGCTCGTGGATATATGCCCAGATCTTCTTTACCGTCTGGGGGCGTGACAGCTGCAAATCATTAGTCGATTGTGGGGTCCCATCGGGGTGTATGATACGCACCGTCGATTCACCCCCTAACAGAGCAGACAGGGCCGGTGAGAGATTCAGGGGTTTCTAAACACCGTTAATATCCAGGGCCAATTCTGAGGGGCTGTCAAGGATCTTACGTGGAATCCAGTGGACCGATTGACCTTCTTCCCCGCATCCGACCCCGACTCCAAGTCCGAATCATCCTCTGCCCTGACCTTCTTCGCCGTCTTGGCCTTGGTTTTCTTTTTGACCGGCTGCGTCCGGCGCGTGTTGCCCCCACGGGTCGGACGGGCGCGCAGATTCTCTTCCGCCTGCAGCTTGGCCGCGAACACGGCATCTGCATCCACGTCATGGTCTGACTTCTTCTTCTTGGCCGGCGGAGTCTTGCTCGAGAGGTCCGCAGGCTCCTCGCTCTCCGCCTGTCGTTTCTGCGACATGGACGACTGCGCCGGGGAGGACGGCTCCACCGGCGTCACGGAGTCCTTGTCCTTCCCGTGGCCATTGGTGGACACGGAATTCGATTCGGGCTGGGGGGACTCGCCAATGCCACCTTTTTCCGCGAAGATATCAAACCTCTCCATGATCAGCTGCTTGATCGCAGCCTGGAACCCGGGGAACAGATCATGTTAGCGCATTGACCATGACGCTTCACGGTGGACGGAGACCCCCAGGGGAGCGGAGGGACAAGGGAGAGGGAGAAGGTATGGAGAGATCGGATGGCGGCGAGAGGGGAAAAGCGGGCAAGCACACCTTCTGCGGAGTAAGATCATAACCGACCACATCCTGCAGGCCTTTGCGAATGCGCTTCTCCGAGATCGTCGTCAGATCACTCTTGGCCAGAATTGAGTCGATGATGGGGACATAATTATCGCGGGAATCCGGGGAGACTGTCGCGACAGGAAAGATGATGTCAGTTAGCAGCGACTTCGGCAGGCATTGGGGCGACCTCGGTCATCCAACCGATCGAACGGGCACTTACGCGACATCCTTCTTGGTCACCGTTAGGCGAGTGTCTTCCTCACTGCAGGGGGGGTGGGCGGAATCCAGGTGGGATTGACAGGGGAGAAATTCTATCGGGACAATTGTTCTACTGGATCAAATAGGGCGGATGATACTGGAGGGGGGTGACAGGGACGCGGAAGTCGGGGTCACGGTCCAGGTGAATTGTTGTAAAAGATCGGCCGTCCAGATCGGGGCGTAGCGCTGGCGCTTAGGACCGGCGGGGCATATGGGACCAACGGGGGGAGGTCCCCAAGGGAAGGTGATCAATATGACAGGAAACGAAAAAGAAAAAGAGATAAAAAAAAAAAAAAGCGAAGATCGATCTAGAGCAAGAAGAAGAATAAGAGACAGCTAACAATGAGCAACTGACAGCCAACCCACAGAGGAAGCGAAGCCAGTTGGGATGTGTGGGGGAAGCAGTTTATCTCGAAGTAGAGAAGTAGCGCGAGTGACCAACGACAGCGCACGGGGTGGGGTCCCGTGACTGCCCCGTGATTGAGATCCCGTGATTCATTCGTGATTGATCCCGTGACTGAGATGTCATGACTCAGCAGCTGGTCAGGTGACACGTTGACCAGTTGGCAGATATCAGGTGACACTCTGACTCAGATATTATTCAGCACATCGCACACAGAACACGCTTGGCGCTTTGGTTTTGTTCGAGTTTTGCCCTAAAAAAACAGGCCGAATGGGTTCGCTCAGCAGAAATCATCCCCCTCTCCCCAATTAGCAGCCAAGCATCCACATCTCCCTCGTCGCCGTTGGCTCTCCCTCCAACTCCCCCCCGACATCCCCCCCCCCATATACCATCATGGCGCCTAGTTTCGATACTCTCTCCGAGCAAGACCTCCACGAGGAGGAGGAGGAGGAGGAGGAGATCGACTTCTCCGGTGAGTCCGACACAACGCTATAGACAAAGGAAGACGAAGATTTCCACGTCCGGTATCTAACCTACCTCTTCGATCGCCAGATCTCAAAGCGCAATATGAAGTGCAAGTCGACGAAGGCTTGGACACATTTATCGTTATCGATGGACTCCCCGTCGTCCCCGCAGACAGCCGACAAAAGCTCGTCAAATTCCTGTTGAGGAAGCTCAACTCGGTCGGCCACACCTCCGAAGATGCCGTCTTTATGCCCCTGAGCGACAAGAACATGACTGAAGGGTACGTGTGGGATGGAAGAATGGATTAGGGGGTGGTCGCAAACCCCCGTGGTTGGGAAAGACTAATGGGATTGGTTCCTGCAGATTCGCCTTTGTTGAATACGAGACCCCGAAATGGCCATCGCCGCCGTCAAGCAGCTCCACGGAGTCCCCCTGGATAAGAAGCACACCCTCATGGTCAACAAGTTGATGGATATTGAACGGTATGGCCGGGAAGGACGCGTCGAGGAGGAATACAAGGCCCCCACCGTCGAGGCCTTCAAGGAGAAGGAGCACCTTCGGTCCTGGATGGGCGATGTTCACGCCCGCGACCAGTTCGCGCTCTACCGGGGTGACAAGGTCGGAGTCTTCTGGAACAACAAGAGCAACCCGCCGGAGAACGTGGTGGATCGGGCCCACTGGACGCAGCTGTTCGTCCAGTGGTCCCCCAAGGGTACCTTCCTGGCCTCCGTCCACCCGCAGGGTGTGCAGCTCTGGGGCGGTGCATCCTTCTCCAAGCAACGCCAGTTCCCCCACCCCTTCGTCCAGCTGGTCGAGTTCTCCCCTCAGGAGAACTACGTGACCACCTGGTCCGCCCGCCCCATCCAGGTCGAGGAGGGCAGCCAGTCGACCCTGTCCTACGAGGAGGATGGCAAGAACATCATCGTGTGGGATATCACCACCGGCAAGCCCCTGCGGTCCTTCGTCTCCCACGACCTCACCGCCGGTGCCAGCGCCGAAGGCGAGCCCAAGAAGAAGGTCCAGTGGCCCGCCTTCAAGTGGTCCGCGGACGAGAAGTACGTCGCCCGGATGCTGCAGGGCCAGTCCATCTCCATCTACGAGCTGCCCCGGATGAACCTCCTCGACAAGACCTCGGTCAAGATCGACGGCGTGATGGACTTCGAGTGGTCCCCCGCCACCGTCACCCGGGAGGGCGTCAAGCAGTACGAGCAGCTGCTCTGTTTCTGGACCCCGGAGATCGGCAGCAGCCCGGCCCGTGTCGGTCTCATGAGCGTCCCGACCAAGGAGATCGTCCGAACCCGGAACCTGTTCAACGTGTCCGACGTCAAGCTGCACTGGCAGTCGCAGGGCACCTACGTGTGCGTCAAGGTCGACCGTCACTCCAAGTCCAAGAAGTCCATGGCCACCAACCTCGAGATCTTCCGCATCAAGGAGAAGGGCGTCCCCGTCGAGGTCGTCGACAGCCTGAAGGACACCGTCATCAACTTCTCCTGGGAGCCCAACGGGGGCCGATTCGTCGTCATCACCACCGGCGAGGCCGCCCAGGGCGCCGCCGTCGCCCCCAAGACCTCCGTCGCCTTCTTCGCCCCCGAGAAGAAGGGCCCCTCGGCCGGCAACTTCAAGCTGGTGCGTGTCGTCGACAAGAAGAACAGCAACGCCATCTACTGGTCGCCCAAGGGCCGCTTCGTTGTCGTCGCCACCGTGCACTCGCAATCGAGCTACGATATCGACTTCTGGGACATGGACTTTGAGGGTGAGAAGGCCGAGGGGGAGAAGGACCTGGCCGCCAACCTGCAATTAATGAAGACCGTGGAGCACTACGGTGTCACGGACGTCGACTGGGATCCTACGGGCCGGTACGTGGTGACCAGCGCCAGTTCCTGGACCCACTCGGTAGGTTTCTTCCTTTCTTTTCTTTTTTTTGCTTTCGTACGCGTCAGACAGCGGATTACTGACACGTTTTAGATGGAAAATGGCTGGACCCTCCACACCTTCGCCGGTCAAACCCTCTCCGAGAACCCCACCGACAAATTCAAGCAGTTCCTCTGGCGCCCGCGCCCCGCCACGCTCCTCAGCAAGGAAGAGCAGAAGCAAGTGCGCAAGAACCTCCGCGAGTACTCGAAGGAGTTCGACGAGGAGGACCGGTACGCGGTGGACATCGCCAACACGGCCGTGGTCGAGACGCGGAAGCGTGTGCTCAGCGAGTGGACCGCCTGGCTCCGCCAGCAGAAGGAGCTCCTGTCCGAGGACAAGGAGGTCTACGGACTGCCGGAGGATGTGGACGATCCCAAGCTGGCCAAGGACGCTCCCCCTGCCACGGAAGACAAGGGCGAGGCCGTGGTGGAGGAGATTGTCGAGGAGATTGTCGAGGAGCACGAAGAAATCATCAATTGAACGGAGCATGCTGGAATTTAATGTTAGGTTTTCTCTTCCTTTTTTCTATTTTTTTTTCTACTCTTCATTTCTCTACCTTCTACTGCGTCATCTGTCGATATCCTTTTTCCTCTCGGGGAGCGGTCTTCGCTTCCCTCTTCCTGTGAGCCTCAGCCTCTTGTGATCCGTTTACCATGGTTTTCGCGCGGGATGTCCGAAACCATGAAAAGTGAATATATGTGTACTGCATATCCCGTTGGGACTTATGTGCGCGTTGGTAGCATGAGCGATGACAATGATGAGTTGTAGTAACGGCCTAGTAGAACAGTTTCTGCGCGTAAGATAGCGTGTTTGACATGAAGCTTTATAAATCAATCTATAACATCTGAACCACAACGACAACAACAGCCAAAATACCCTTCCACCCAAGTCTTTTCCCCCCGTACACCCGCCCAGCTCTACTATCATCATCTCCATCTCCACCCTCATCAGCAGTACTCGAAGGCCACGGCCCAGAGTACGTACTCGACGGCTGCACATTGACGCGAAAAAACCACTTATCGTCGTTCCCACCCCCACTGCCACCTCCACTCCCACCACTACTCCCAGCAGCAGCAACAACAACATCAGACCCATCAGCAGCCCCAGCAGCGATCTTACTCCTCCCTCCACTGCTTCCACCACCACTATCGCCACCAGTATTACTACTACTCCCACCCCTGCTACCCACAACATTCCCCGCAGGCGAATACTCACAAACAACATACCACCCCTGCGCCATCTCATACTTCCCCAGCGTACTTTCTTTTTGCGCGCGCGTTTTCCTATCGTTATTGTTGCTATCCGCATCGCGAAAACCACAATCGATAGCCGCGCAGCCCATCTGCTCCGTCCCTCGCCAGACAAGCTGTGTAAAATGGCCCGTCTCTTCCGTAAAGCCGGTTGGGGTATCGTAGTTATACATATGGCTTTCGTCGGCCCAGGCTGCGATGGCAGCTTCGGGGTCGGGGTATCCGAAGGCGAGGTTTTCGCCGTGGGGTCCGTGCTAGTATTCATTAGTTTATCTCTTTCCCACTGTGTCATTTCAACATCCATAGCCAAAGGAAGAACAGTCGGAAGGGTTGAACAGTATAGTCTCTAAGATAGGGGGCCAACTCACAGAATGCTCCCATTTACAACCCCCCGCCCAATCAGCCGCGTACTCCGTGAGCGTCTCGTTCCAGACGAGGGCTGAAGCGTTGTGGCTGCTGCGGTAGTCGTTGGTGGATGCGAGGACGGTGTCGCGGAAGATGGAGGGCGATGTGTAGGAGGGGGGGTGCGGTGCTGTGGGGGTCATTGTTACGTGGACTGTTGTTTGGGTTGTTTGGGTTGTTGCTGTTGGGGTGGTGAGGGTGAGGGCGAGGGTGAGGAGGGCGAGGAGGGATATTCCTTGGTGTTTTTGGTGTTGTTGTCGTCGCATGGTTGGGGATTGGTTGTTTGGTGGTTGATAGGGTTGTTGTAAGAGTGAGTGGTGAGTGTCATGTAGCTATTGGTGTGTAGTGCCTGGACTCGACGGTGCTATACAGATCGCGATGGATTGCAATAGTTATACCCCTCAGACAAAAGCAGAATAAACCCCGAATATATACCGATCATAGCAAACAATCATCGATGTGAAAGTAGCAAGACAATGCATCCATCCAAGGCTATAGACAAACAAAAACCACTGAAACACTCGCCTTATTCACAACTCCCCATTATAACCAAATTCAGTCCAGTCCAGTCCAGTCCAGTCCAAGCCACCACGGCGGCACCATGTTTAAGCCATTGTTCGCAGCGAATGAATAAAAATAGTTGACTTCATTGCCTCAGTAAGCGCTTGCTCATTGACGTCAGTTGGGTCGGCGCGTAGTCACCGGGACCAGTATGTGGTCCATGACGGAGGAGAGAGACGATTAAGCTTTGGGATAAGGGGAATAACAGGTGCAGGAAAGTCTATCTTGTGCTGGAAGAGTATCATGACATATACATAGGCGGTGGGAGTCTTGGTGGTTGGTTGTTCCGGGACTTCCTTGTGCCCCACTGCTACGGAGACTATAGATGGAGATCCACTTGCTGGAATGCAACACAGGGGTATTCTATTTCTATGGACAGAAGGCGGAAGGAAAGAAAATACGAAATATATATACACACCAGGAAATATCCTCACATCACGGTACATCCAATGCCATACATGGCGCGCTCGACTTCCTTCTTAACCTGGTACCAGTCGGCCCGGCGCTCGGCGAACTCGTAGACTTCTTCTACCCGCCAGATCCCGTAGAATCGGTCGCCGTCGGCAATCACCGCTGCGAGCTCTTTGGAATCAGACGGGTCAATCAGGTAGATTTGGGACAGTTCGCGGAAGGCTTTGAAGTAGAGGAGGAGTTCGTTGTTTTTGAGTGTCTGGACGAATTTGAAGTAATGGTTCATGTCGCTGGTCGGGTTAGTTAGGGCGGCATTCGCAGAGTTTAGACGGGGTGCATACCTGATCAACTTCAACGATCCCTCAACGCTGATGCGTTGGCGCTTCAGATGCTTACACAATGCGGTAAACAGCCGCAATCCCACCTCCTGGTTGAAGACGTCCAGCGTGCTCTTGTCTGTACTACCTACCAGCATCTGCGTGTGCGAGGAAACCACATCGACCACGGCGCTGGCCGCGTCGGTCACGCTGACGTCCATGGTCTTCCGGTAGGGATCGGTGGATACACTGGGGTTGAAATCCGTAGCCAGCTGCCGCGTAGCAAGGATGTAATCGACCTCCTCCATCAACACGTCAATGCCCTTGCTCAGCCCCGCAGCCACCCGCTCATCAAGGTGCTGCTCGAACTTCTTCTTCTCCTTGACGGCGGGATCGAGGAAGTCGTTCCGATCGGTCAGCTTGGACCCGATCAGCTCTTGCTCGTAGAAGACGTCGATCATCTGCAGGATGAGGTCTCCGACGTTGACCAGTTCCAAGAAAGTCACCAGGGGTTCCACGCCGGATTGGTCACGGTCCCCTTGCTCACGAGGCCGGTAGTTGGACAGATGATTGACGGCCTTGTTGAAACCGGCGATCAAATGGCGGTGTCCCAGGATGCGAACCAGCGCAACAAAGATTGCCTCGCATTGTTGTTTGACGACGCCGCCTAGTTCACCCCCGACCCGGACGAACTGCGCCGCTCGCTCCAGGCTCGATTTGGCCGAGTGGACTAGGCCCAGGGATACCTCGATGCTGAAGAGCGAGCTGATGCCCTCCAGTTTCGATTTCATGATGGCAGCCTTGGCGGCCAGCTCCGATGTGGGAGCCTCGACTGCTACAGGGGTGGCGGGCGACGACATGGTAGAGAACCGATTGGTACCCTTTGATCCACTAGCGCCATCATCCGCAGTAAGACCCTGGTCGGTCTTGGTTTCCGATGACTTGGTGCTGGAGAAGCTAGGAAGGATGTTGACTGGCGCCATGATCACCTTTTTGAATGATGTCAAAAAGTCTCGCTTTTCAGCCTGTCGGTTGATGTTGGATAGCAGGAACGACTCGGTCGAAGCGGCTTGCTCCGACAACTGTCTGTCCCAGTCTCCCACCGCCGACTCCGAGAGTTTCTGGAAATAGTCCAGTTCTTCTGCCAAATACGTGTCCAGGTGCGGCTCGTAAACCTTGGTAATCACTTGGTCTACGAACTCGTCCAGGCTATCTTCGGAACCTTGAACCGGCAACAGAGTGTCGGCCAAGTTCAGACACTGCGCGAAAGTTCCAGACATTGCGATCAAGTACGCTTCTGTGTTTGAGCGATGGAGCTCGTCAAAGACGGCCGTCAGAAACGGGAACAAGACGCCTTGTCCCACTTTGTCGATGAATGGAGTGGCTACTCTTAGCGAACGAGGAAATGCGCGATTGATGATCGAGACCTCTTCGTTGTAGGCGACACTGAATCGCGTGAAGAATGCCTGGGTATGCTCCAGCTTCACCTCCTGTGTCGTTTCGTCGATGCAGTCAGCCACTCTGCCGAAGTCCGACTTCCGCGTGATGATATGGTTGTGGTGGATAAATAACTCAACGGCCGCCGCTCCGCCGTTCAGGACGTAGAGCACATGCGCATATTTTCGCATGCGGTCCTCGATGTCGTCTGTCTCATACCCATGTCGGAACTCCTTGACTGCCGTTGTTTCGAACATCGACACAGCCGACTGGAGTCGGTACACTCTTTCGTGCCAGCCATCCGTCAAGTCGCTCTTGGAGAACGCTTGCAACTGGGAAAAAATCAAGGCTTGCTGGTACGGGTCGGTGTAGCTCTTGTAGACCAGATTATCGGGAGACGCGCCCAGATTCGCGATATCATCGTAGAACGGGCCAAGCGCGGCGTGCACTTTCCCGTATTGCTGACGCGCTTCTCCGCGAATGGATTTGACCTGCCGCATCACTCCCAGGACGGGATCATGTTCCGAATCATTCGCTTGATCGTCAGCCGGAACAGTGCTCAGATTGATCTGATCGAACCCGTCTGAAAGCGAATTCAGGGCAATGGCGGGTGTCTGCGCAGTGCCAGCCCCCGGACCAGACAGCCGTTTCGATTCTTCCACCAGCTCCTGTTCCTCCACCTTCTCCACATTGGCAATCGTCCCAAAAGAATCCTCCACGTGTTTCCTCGCCTGTACTTCATCCCAGCAGCCCATAAGCTTCAACCTCTGAACCCATCGGGTGTCATCGTATGCCATCTCGTGCAAGAGTTTCGACGAGCGCGCTACTCGGATAAGGTCGGCGGGGGAGAGGTATTCAAGGACCAAGGATATAATCTCTAAACCGGTGTTAGATCAAAACATCGCATCGCGGTATCCCAGAGACCACCAAACTCACCTGCTGGAAGAGACGCCCTGGAGACCTCCTCCATGGACGCCATCTTCAGCGAAGCCAGCACATCTCTGCGCGGTTTCCCGCCAGTCCGTGGCCCGTTTCTCGCTTTCGACATCTTGTAGATTCAATTCCGGCATCTGGAGGACCCTTTGGGTGTGTTTCGTGTGGTGTATGACCAAACCCGTTTGGTGGCAGTCGGTGGCCAGTCCACGCTCTGCGGGGTAAATCGGACGACAGAAAGGTGTCCAGGCGGATCAATATTATAAAATTCAAGATGTGAAAGGTGCACAGGCCGATACAATCATTATCTAAACAAGTTCAGTGCCCCGTGGGCAATTAGTTGAGCTGGGGAGAGAGTTGAGCACTGGATGAACCCCAGAATTTCCCAAGTCAAGCGACTGATCGGCCCCCAATTTACCGTTTCCGACCGCCCAGCAGTTATCTATGAGCTGGTCACTTCACAGAGATCTGCTATTCTCGCGTGCCAGAATTAGAACAACTCTTATTATCCAGGTACAGAATTCAATAATGCTTAGTAAAATGTGATTTGTCTTGAAATCTTTAGAAACAAGAGTACTGAGAAGGTCTAGGAAAATATTGATCCCTATATATATCGTAGCAGCACTGATCTAAAAATATCCCATCAGCCAAGCTCACCTGCAATAATATATATAGAATATCCCACCACTTCAGTTCTATCTACTCAATAGGTATTAGTTATGTAACTCATACTGATGTGCAAATCAATATTAGCCACGTCTCGTGTTTAACTGAATCCAAATTCACCCACCATATGGAGTTAGAGTTATCGGTGGCGACAGTTTATCCAAAGACTTGAACTCCACAAGCCACTGTCTGCCCCCTTGCATGTTGGACATTTGACGGACATTCACAGTGGGACTGCCCCTGCTTTGACTTTCATGACGTGTTCTGTGTAGGTTTGGGCGCCTTTGATCAACTTCGGTTTTGGCTGGCAATATGGTAGGCATCTGAGCTGTAGGGTTGTATACAACGGTAACAGAGATGGATTCTAACGCTATATACATGCAGTGTGAAACTTACCAAATGATTTTATATAGGACATTCTGGGCAAACGGCCGGCTGGCATAGTGGTGATAATAGTCTAATTTCACATCAGATGGGAGGAGTCAATCTTGCAAAGAGGAGTCAATATTGCTATCAACAGGTATTCGTTGCTAGTCCCAAGACCACCCTGTATGCTGTTTGTGAATATACTATAGTGGGTTGAAAAAATCAATGGATGCATAGTTGGGTTGTTCCAATGCAGTCTGTGTATGCTCTGAGATATGCGTAGATAGAAGAGTAGGAGAATTGTCCTGTTTGCATGTCCATGATTTACTTACAGCAGTAAACTTCTCAAGCGCTGCTCGACATCTTGCCCAACTTCTCCCTTCCCAATTGATAAATATATACTTCACTTGTCTCTACTTCTCTCGAGCATTATAACACGAGCTTTCAACTGATGATGAACACGACTACGTGCATCACCCAGCCAATGGAGGTTTCTCAGCAGCCAGTCCTTCACATTGAGGCCCGCGTGAAAGCCGATGGCATCGTCGTTCGCACTGATGTGGTAATATTTCTTCTCTCGACTATTCTATGCCCTGCACAAAAGAGAGTCTCACAAACAGCAGATTAGAGATGAAATAACCAAGTGGCTCGTCGATCATTTCGTGGTCTTGTCGCTGGGCCAGGAGATCTCTTCGTTTGGTAACGTTGCCATGGCATGGATCTTTGATTTGTCCTAAGTATAGTACAGACGGTCTCAAAACGCCATACGTACATGCAATTGATTCCATCACCGTCACAGAATGCAATGGAGGAGATTCCGAATCGGGAGCATACCGACTCCAACAGGTCGAATTGGATGTACAGGCATACCAGCTGCGACCCCAGTTCGACCAGGAGAGTTCGCAACAAACCCAGCATCCGGAGGAACCAGCGAATGATGGTGACGAGATACCGAAGGAGAGGGTGATGGCTTTGCCGAATAATGAGTTGGACGGGCTGTGGGAGTCGTAAGGCAGCCCCTTGTCTACTCTGTAGATTGAACGTTGACCACGCTGCACGGAACAGATTGAAATTTGACCAGCCTATTCAGTTCAGTCTCCTACACGCAGTGAGTCGTATGGGTATGTCATTGGAACCAATACCCGCCCCGAGAGATATCGTTCTATAGAGCTGACGAGGCAAGTGCTTTTTTCTGCTCGGAAACTCAGCAAATGGGTTATCAACTGGAATCGACTGGTGCTTCTATGGGGCCCGCCTGGGACGGGCAAAACAAGTCTCTGGTATGTCAATCAGCTATACCAATGTAGCAGACACTGAGTCAAGGTGGCTACAGTCGCGGTCTCTCCCAGAAGCTCGCAATACGCCTCGGAAAGCTCTACCCCGAAAGCAAATTGATTGAAATCAATGCACACACTCTTGGAAGCAAGTTCTTCAACGAGAGTGGCAAGTTGGTGAACAAGACATTTGAGAGCATTGAGACGCTACTAGAGGAGGAAGAAGACACCTTCTTCTGCGTCCTTATCGATGAAGTAGAAACGCTGGCTGCTCGCAGGGAACGTGCGCTCAATAGCAATGAGCCGTTCGATGCTGTCCGTGCCGTCAATGCACTGCTTACCGGGTTGGATCGCTTGAAAAGCCATTCGAATGTGGTGGTCGTCTGTACCAGCAACTTGGTCACAGCATTGGCAAGCATCTCTCTTTGCTCGCGTACTGTAACAAATTGCTATGCTAACTGCGGTCTTGATGACAGGACCCAGCCTTTCTTGACCGCATCGACATCAAACAGCACATACCCCACTTATCCGACAGGGCCATTTACGAGATCTACAAAGAATGCCTCGAGGAGATGAGCCGGCGGGAGATCATAGAGGGAGTTACCTTCGATGTGATCCAAGTCGATCCGCAAGACCCACAAACAGCACTACAATACGTGGAGCAGCCTGCGACGAATCTCTTACTTCCCTCGTTCGATGAGATGATCCTGAACTATCAGATCTTTTCCGACGCCGTTCCCAAGCTGCTGGCAGATGCAGTTGCCGCGAGTGTGGTGAGCGATCATAGAGGCTTTGGTCATTATGACGTTGGGTTGGCTCGGACTGATGGCAGTAGGGTCTCAGCGGTCGCACTATTCGACGATTGCCTGCATTATCGCTCGTCATGTATAGTAACCGCACCCGAAGCGACATTCGAACGGCCATCCAGGCCCTCCAGACGGGTATCGCGTCGGAAAACCAGGCCAAGCCGGAGGCGCTCTAGGGACCACACATTGCCGGGTGGAAGGGAAGTGGCCCGATTTCGAATGTCTGCACCACACATGAGGAAAATTCCTGTCGACGAGTTTATACCGAATGAAGGAGCATATTCTCTACTCCATAGTCCAACTCCATCCCCCATACACAAGCTAGGGTAGACAACTAGAGCAGTCATCATGTGTTGCTCAAATTTGTTGTTCCGAAAAATCGCGGTTTTCACCGAAGACAGTTAGACCGGGCGGGTCGGCCAATCAGCGGGAAGGTTTAGGCAATTCCAAACCCGCCTTAGAGAAACTTGACGGTTCAACCTCGACCTCGACTTCACCTCCAAAAGCACTCTCCTGTGCGCTGAGCCTCCGTCCCACTCCCCTCCCCCCTCTCCCTCCTTTCCGTCGCTATAATACCTTCCTGATTCTCCGTTGATCGGAAGGTCCTTCATACATTCAGCATGCTGGGTCGTACAGCCATGCGCGGCGTCCCCTTCCGGGGTCTCGCCCGGCAGTCTTTGAACAGAACCTCCACGGTAATCACCCACCTGACGCCCCATTGGACCGAACCCATTCGGACAATGGCTTCACCATTCGTCTGAAATCCTTCTTCGGGGACTCTCGACTGACAAAATGACCAGCGGTCTGCTTCCTCGTCCGCCGGTTCCGAATCCGCCAACTCCCCCTTCAACCTCACCCTCACTGCCTCCGTCGCAACCGCTGCCGCCCTCGGTTCCGCCGCCTATCTCTTTGGACAGGAGGCTTTTGCCTCGACTCCTGCTGAGGAAGGGTGAGTACTTTGGTTCAAACTTCTGGAGGAATGGCCATTCGATCAATTTGGAGTCTCCGATGATCCCGACCGGGCAATGGCATTGGAACAGAATTGGAAGAGTACAAGATGGCTGACTTGTCGACTTCAAAAGATTGCACGCTACCGCCTATCCTTGGGAGCATGCCAAGTGGACCAAGACCTTCGATCACCAGGCGTAAGTTACCACGACCGTGGCCTATCGGGGCCTCTTTCCCGTCCACCCCGAGAGGGAGGGCATCGTTGACACACCATTTCTTTAGTCTCCGCCGTGGTTTCCAGGTCTACCGTGAGGTCTGCGCCAGCTGCCACTCCCTGACCCGTGTGCCCTGGCGCTCGTTCGTCGGTGTCACCCACACCGTTGATGAGATGAAGGCCTTCGCCGAGGAGAACGAGTACGATACCGAGCCCAACGACCAGGGTGAAATCGAGAAGCGTCCCGGCAAGCTGTCCGACTACATGCCCAGCCCCTACAAGAACGAGGAGGCTGCTCGTGCCGCCAACGGCGGTGCCCTGCCCCCGGATCTGAGCTTGATCGTCAAGGGCCGTCACGGTGGCTGCGATTACATCTTCAGCTTGCTGACCGGTTACCCTGACGAGCCCCCCGCTGGTGCCTCCGTCCAGGAGGGCATGAACTTCAACCCCTACTTCCCCGGCACTGGTGAGTCCTGCCAGAATCTATCATCTATCTGATGTTACGTGTTGCTAATATCCCCTTTTCCAGCTATTGCCATGGGTCGTGTCCTCTTCGACGGTGTCGTCGAGTACGAGGATGGCACCCCCGCCACCACCTCCCAGATGGCCAAGGACGTCGTCGAGTTCCTCAACTGGTCCGCCGAGCCCGAGATGGACGACCGCAAGAAGATGGGTGTCAAGGCCCTGACCCTCCTGACCGGTCTGTTCGCCGTCAGCGTGTGGGTCAAGCGCTACAAGTGGTCTCCGATCAAGACGAGGAAGGTCGTGTACAGCCCCCCTGTCTCCCCCCGGCGCTAAATGTTGCAGTCAGTAGACGGTGACATTGCAGGCCCCGTGGGATGTGGACGGGGACGGCGAACCCGGTTCGCATAATCGTGACAACGCCCGGGTGTACCTTACTCTCCATCTCTTGTCAGCGGTTGTTTTGCTAGTCATTGGTCTATGCTGCGTGTTTTGTTAGATGTTATTTAGGACACCTGTATCTGTACCCTAGATATTTTTTTCTCCTTGAAAATTTTGTTCCAAGATCCAATGCACCAATTCTCTTTTGTTATATTATATTATATGTTATTGAGGTTTGCTGCTTACAACTGCTGTAGACTCGTGCACTCTCTTACGCGGGAGAAGACCACACCTTATAAACCTTTGCGAAATAGAAGCCCGAATAAATTGATATCTACAGTATCTCTAATGACACACGACCTAAATACCTTTATATATATACCACAGATGCAGGAACCCTCACATACCAAATATTTCCCACCCTCCCCACATCCATATATACCAACCCACTCAATCCACCTTCTCAACCGACCGTTCCCCATCCCCAAAGATCCTAAAAAACACATGATCATAAGACCACCACATGGACGGCAACACCAGCCGCTCGTAACAAACCAGCCACGCCGGACTGCGCCCATCAGGCCCAGCAAAGACCTGTTTCAGAAACAGCATCGGCAGGAACAGCGGGGCCCAGACTGCTGTGAAGACCACCCTGCCGATCTTCTGGCGGAGCGTGGTCGCGCGGTACGGCGGCAGTCCCGCAAGATAGCGTCTGTATGAAGTGGGGAGATCGTGTTCCGCGGCGCCGTTGACGATTAGGCCCAGATAGCGCGCCGACGGCTGTGCGTAGCCCAGTTCGGGGCGGGAAATGGGACGAGATCGCGCGGGGGATTTCGCGCGCGAGGCCGTGGTGCTGTTGGAGGGGGAGAGGAGGGTGTGCGCTTTGAAGGACGGAGTGGTGGGGATGGTCGGGATGGGGTCGTTGGGGCTGTATGGCTCCGCGAAGGGGTGGCAGTCGACGACGACGTCTTTGTAGCCGCTGCCGCCGCCCTCTGTGGCGATGATGCGGGCGTAGTCGGTGAGGGTGACTTCGTAGGCGACGCCGACGAGGGGCTTATTTGGGTTGTAGGCGTCGTCGTCATCGTCGTGGGCAATGAGGGGGGAGTCTTCGGCGCTGGATTCGTGTTTGTGGGACGGGTCGCGGAATAGCGTCGCTGCGAAGCAGGGCTCGAGGTATGGGAGGCCCGGCATGTCGAAGGTCAGCCGCAACTCCGGGACTATGACGTTGATCTGGGAGAGCGGCTTGATGCCTCGTCGGCCGAGGAAGGTCTTGGAGTTGAGGTTTGAGCCGTAGGCGAGGTAGAGGACTGTTTCCTCTGGTTCTTGGAGGAGGGCGTCATCGTGCTGGTGGGCGAGCTTCTCGGGGAGGTGTTCGGGCAGGTGGTCGTCGTTTTCGAGGGATTGTTTTGCGGTGGATGCCTGCTGTCTTTGGGAGGTTGTTTCGGGCAGATGGGATAGATGGGAGTCCGCTGGGAGAGAGAACTGCGTAGAGTACGAAACACCATGGTTGTCATGGTGGTTCTGTATCTTGGTGTGATCAGTATGTGGCTGCGCCATTTTGAGGTCCTTCGTTGAGCACTGCGGTCAACCAGTACGTATCCTAGGTAAATCTGCTATTTATGTTAGTTCGGCCCCAAGAGAAGATTCGAGCAAAACATTATGTAGCGGAGTGGTCAGTCATCGTTTAGGCCTTCCACGTCCTCGGCTGAAGCCCAAGCTGGTTAGTTGTCGCTCGTTAATCTCTGGGGTCGGAAGCCGGGGGAATAGCGAGCCCGGCTCGGTAACGGAAACAGGAACCGCCGAGGGCTTCAGATGTCAGCCTTGTTATAACCATCAGTTACTGCCTAATTCCATCCAGCAGTATAATTAGCATGGCTTTGCAGTATTCTGCCGACGTGGCTGATTTGTATTGGGTGTTCTTATGATAGCAACGCTGTTGAATAATTAAGCCTGTTGTCTGCAGCTCTGGGATGGACAACTATACTAACCGTGCAAAGTGAAAAAGAGTTCGATTGCTTCAAATTGGAAAATGGTATTCCATAATCAGGATGGAAATGGCAGTAGTAGATCAGTAGTAGTGATTCTGCTTCCTGTAGGAGAAAGTGGCCTAGATATGGTCAAGCATAAGCAGATATGTTCAGTCATAACTTCAGTGCATCATGTGATGGACACTCACTTCTCGAAGCTCAACACAACCTCTTGTAATGGATACTGTCGTCCCATCGTGCTTGGATTGCAAACCATCAATAACACCACTCGTGTATTTCGTACAGGATGTCGGGCTTTGGCTCCAGAGCAGCTGGCTCTAGAGCAGCACTTGACAAACAGCAGAGTGCACTCAGAGTTGAAGAGTTGGCTTCTTTGCTGGAGCGTGTATCCCCCGAAGGAACAGAAGTGATCACTAGGATTCAGTCTGTCCTAAACATTGACCCTTTCTTCTGGATTTTGCTGATGTGTGGGCTGTTAAGTCAAATAGTCGAAACGTTACAGGACAGCGAGAACCCGATCAATGAGCAGAGTCTGTACCATAAGCTTCTGTTGGCTGTAGAAGGAAACAGACACAACATCATTGACGCTTTGCGCACAAATGCATTGCACTACATCGCATACCTCCTGGTCGATGCTGGTACCGGAGATTGCCAAACTCGAGGTTTATACCTTTTGCTGGTTTGGCTCTGCTCTGAAGTAATGTCGCAAGTGGCTCTGACATTTATTAGGATGGGGATCCTGTGGCTCCAAGGCATGATGGCGAAATCTCTCTTCCAAATGACGAATACCCTCTCCAGCTGAGGAAGAAGCTCGTCGATAAGCTGTCAGAAATATTTCACGATGGACAGCGGGATGATCACGGCCGAAAATTAGTATTTCATGAACTGCCCATTAAACGAACTGAGCTCATGTATTCAAGGCAGGGAAAATCTTAGTGGACATGTTACTGGAATGGAAAGACTTGAGCCAGGCGGACCTAAGACCTTTATGGTATGCCAGGCTATGGCCTATGCTACTATTAGTACTAATAGTGCCTAGGATGAAGTTCGATTCATCCCCTGACAACACAGTTTTAGGATTTTTCGCTGGGTTGATCACTCACAGACTGCTTTCCTCGACGGCCGACGGGAAGTCTGCATTTGACTTAGTTTATACGCTTCGTGAAACCCCGTTTTGTTTCTATTTGGAAAAGATACAGTTCGATCCCCCGAAGTTTCTCGCGGATATATCAGCCATGATGGGACGAATCCCAATAATATATGTGCCACAACAATTGCCGGTGCCACGGGCTCAGGTGACAAATTATATTCTCCGGTCTGTCAGTATAGACTTGAAGAGTCTGGCGAACAATATCGTGCTTGCAGCTTTAAGTCCTACGGAATTGACATTCATATATTCCCCGGCAGATGAATGCAATGGGTATTTCGAATATCTTGAGATATCGTTTCCGAACCCACGATACATCCATACATCATTTCATATAGATGATGCCAAGAACCAGCACCTGGTATTGTATATTGACGACGCGGGTCTCGTTTCCAGAAATGGACAGAAACAAAGAGGAGACAAGTTGACGATAAGAATAGTTTCCAGTGATAATCTGTCGGAGCTTAAAGAGAGACTGCGTTCGATCACCGGCGAAGACAAACAGGCGAACAGGAGTGGCTCCATGAGTCGAAGATCGTCGTCCATGATCATAACCTTGGACTCGATAGAAGATATCGCACGGAAATCTCTTCTTAACGAAAGAGCCCACGAAGAGAGCCTAAGGTCCAATGCAGTCCGGCCCGACGGAGCAATTGTTGGGACCCTGCTGGATAGTAACCAAGAAAGCCATTCACATCAAGAGACAAGTCATCTAGAAGATGCTGAAATCACCCAGGCAAGTACACCAAAATGTAACATGCCCCAGAGACAGGAACAGAATAAAGATGGGAACAATGTCATGACCATGTCTCCCGCACGGAAAACTCCTGTCAAAGAACAGCTTGAGGGAGTATTCGATTGCTCAAATGGAGACCAGTCAAAATCGCCATCCGTAGGACTGGGATTAGCGCCAGGCGGGCACATTAGTATGGAATACGAAATGATGACACCTACTGCAGAAGAGACAGGCATACATCAAAACCAATTGACTAGCCCACAAAAGTCCAAGAGCCCACTACAAATCATACGAGTCGAGTCTCCTGATAGGAGTATTGAAGCGGCGAGAAGTGGATCACCGGGTGAAAGGCATAGTCACGGTCTGCACTTGCGAAGGGGTTCCAAACGACTTTTAACGAATACTCAAGAATCTCTAATTTTTCCGCCGCGACGGCCCAAAAGAAAAGTCTACAACTTGAACTCGAAAGCGGCCGTGGATTGGGATGAAGACCTTCGGCCCAGTGATGAAGCCGATGAGACTGAGCCTCCACCGAAGCGTCTTTCTCGGGTTGGTTTTACCTCTGTAACATCGCTGATATCATCTCCATTTCCCGGTGATGAACCTTTATTTCGGCCGAAGCCCAAAGGACCATTGAAACGGCAGAAACCTACAAAGGCGAAGTCTTTGGCCACTAGGAAAAAAGAATATACAAGGAAGACAAAGAGCAGAAGAAGGAAGAAGGAAGAGCCCATCCCAAAACCACGTCTACAACTTGACATTGCTTGTCAGACCTCCCAGAAACTTCATGATGAAAGGTATGGGGACACTGAAATGACTAATGATAACGGACTATGTCTCACCGATGGTGACGAACAAACCCAAATCAACGTTCTCGACGGATTGCCAAATTTAGGAATTGAAGTCGCAGGAGTTCTTGCTGAGACTGACACCATCCTTGTGGATGTTGCAGACACGAGCAAGTCTATGCTGTGCAATGAAGACGGTGACCTTGCAGGAAGCACACCCGAAACGATGCACCATACCGACGCAGACCTGGGCCAAAGCGACGAGGAGCGAGCAAGCAAGGTTAGCAATGAGTTAAACCAGAACCTAAGCCAGGATTTTGAGCAACGCGAAAGTCTAAATGAAGGAAGAGGGTTGGCTATGGGAAAGAGGCTTGCAGCGGCTTTACGAGGAAGCGCAGCCACGTCACACGAAGCAGGCCACCATGATGCAAGCCGTATTGATATTGATGCGAATGGGAAAATCGACAACAATAGCTCCTTGGAGACAGTTTCGCCTGCTCATTCAGCAACCGCCCAAGACGTAGACATCGTGCCTACGGCGGAAGAATACAATGTTGACAGCGTCAATTCAACATGTGTGACAGATACCCAAGTAACTGATGGAATTGCCACGCCGACTCTGATACCACCAGAACAACCTAGCCTACAATATACTAAGGAAGTTCTACACGCACCGACCGAGGGAAGCAACCGATCTGACAGTGAGGCATTGAACAAAGAATCCAAAGCTGAGAAACTCCGATACTCTGACATTTTTCCTAAAGAGAGTTCTTCACATGCGCACTCTACATGTCAGACTCACCAAAGGCCGTTGCACTCGGTTCCTGCGCCGAGGAGCGATGACTGTATAAAGTGCAGCACAGTTGAGGGAAAAACAGGTCTCACCGCGACTATCAGTCCCTGCGAAAGGACGTCACCCGTCAAGACAGACACTCTGCCTAACATATTCCGTGCTAATTCCCAAGCTCAGCTTAGGCATCCCAAACGGCCAAGTGAAATCTCGAGAACAACTATCGTGGACGGGAATGGGAGCCCAAGACTTTTCCCGCAGACCGAACATGGTCATCAATCCCGTAGCCGGTATATTTGGCCAAAAAAGGAACGAATATCACCGATAGCCAAGTGTAGCAGCCCAGCTCACTCCACAAGCTCAGAGATAGTGTCACAGGCTCAGTCATTGAATAATGACCTGATTCGTGCTTTTGTTGTTTCCCGCGAAAAACTCGGTATCCACTCGGGAAAGGGTGCACGGGAGAAGTGTGCCATTTCTAGAGAGTCGACTGTGGCGAGATCGGAATATGCCACGGATTACTCTAGTATGGATGATTCCTCTTTCAATACGGTGGATTGCACGATTGCAGCGCGTCTTGACAATGGTAATGAAGCGACTCCCCCAGTACTCATCTCCGCAGCAGATGCGGGATTGACCCAGCAGGATGATAGAGAGACCGCCGATCGAGTAAACAAGCTGTCTCCAAATCGTGATAGGCTGCAAGTCCAGCCAAAAACAGGTCAACACCGAAGGGAGGTGAACAATACCACGGATCACCCCGTACTGCTGCAGAGGGTGCATGAGATGGCACGAAATGAGTTTTCTGCCTCTAACAAGGTAAGCAGACCAAAGCAGACACGCGCAATCGATGAGTTAGCCTAGGTAAGCTCAGCTGACCGCAAGGAGGATCTTTTATGCCAATTGGAGCAAGAGCGGAAGACCATCACCGAGGCCTTGGAGACGTATCGTCAACAGTGTCACCGAGTACTGGATCAACTCTTCGAGGCCCAGAAAGAGCAAATCAGAGTGTGCCGGGAGCAGATGGAGGGGGTGCAACGACACCACGCCGACATCTGCAGGGAGGTTACCGATCGCCTGGAAGCAAACGAAAGATCGCTGCTCACGAGCGCTGAGTGGGAACTGTTCAAGTGTGGCTCGGAGAGACCGATCAGACCTTCGCCACGCCGAGATCCCTCCGCTGTGCAGTCACCCAGGGAATAATTACGAAAAAAACAAATAAAAAAAGGGCCGCGGACGGGTGAGCGGATCATGGGGACCCATCCAGTCAGACACGCATCAGAGTCTTCGTGTTACCCTTGAGTTCCAATCTGTGTCTGGTACACATCAGCATGCAATCAGACTACATTGATAGTGGTGTATTTTATGGACACAGAAAACGTCATTGCTGGAAATTCTGATGCCGAGGATAGTTTCGTCGGAGATAGAAGCTTACAGCTGTAGGGCGCAAGGTCAGCACAGGCAATACTAGGGATGTACCCACCCTCTAACCCAAGTAGGGATAGCTGTGTAATACTAATGGGCCAAAGGGTCCAACTTGATGCTCCGAGCCCGGCGCAACCAGAAAGCAGCGAATGAGAAGCACGGCCAATCGGGTGACCACCCTCAGGCACCAAGGCAGCGCGCACCCGGAATGCCGCCGCCATCACGTGCAACCGTGAGTGGTCGATCGCCGACATAGGAGCCTTAAAAAAAAACCAGTGGAGATTTCGTCAACCCTAGTGTGGATGTCTGAAGTGTGTCATACTTTATTATACTCAAGTCCCCCCTCGCACCCTGTGTTCAAAATTTGACTCGTTGGTTGTTTCTCGTTGTCGAATCTGTTGTTCTTGCCTGTGTTAAGCTAGAGTACTCAATTGCTACTTCCCATTGTGCTCCCCATCTTACTACTTACTACCTACTACTTCCCCCTCTCCGCCTCCGACATAGCTCTTCAACCCCACCAACACCACCACCATGTCGGTGAGTCATACTCCTCAACGCGCTGCAACCAACTCAATTGCGGTCTTGAATACTCACGCAGAATGCTTGTGATCATTAGTTCTTCATCGAGAACCCCAACGTCGGGCAGAATGATTCCTTGGAGGATTCGAGAAGTACGGCCCCCGTCTTGATCTAGCCATCATGAGCGCGCTAACCCAAGCTTCAACCTTCGACAGTCAAGGGATACAACCCTCTCACGCCCCCTAACCTTTTGCAACATGAGATCGCCCTGTCGGACAAGGCCAAACAGACGGTGATCGACGCCCGTGCCGAGGCCGTCGCTGTCGTCCAGGGTACCGATACCGACAAGCGCCGTCTTCTGGTCGTCGTCGGCCCCTGCTCCATCCACGACCCGGCCATGGCCCTCGACTACTGCGACCGGCTCCTGGCCCTGAAGGAGAAGCACAAGGATGAGCTGCTGATCGTCATGCGCTCCTACCTGGAGAAGCCCCGCACCACGGTCGGATGGAAGGGTCTGATCAACGACCCGGATATCGACAACAGCTTCAATATCAACAAGGGTCTGCGCACCTCCCGCCAGCTCTTCGTCGACCTGACCAACAAGGGCATGCCCCTGGCCAGTGAGATGCTGGATACCATCTCCCCCCAGTTCCTGGCCGACTGTCTCTCCGTCGGTGCCGTGGGTGCGCGCACCACCGAGTCGCAGGTCCACCGTGAACTGGCCTCCGGTCTGTCCTTCCCCGTCGGCTTCAAGAACGGCACCGACGGCTCCCTCGACGTCGCCGTCGACGCCATTGGCTCCGTCAAGCACCCCCACCACTTCCTGTCCGTCACCAAGCCCGGCGTCGTCGCCATTATCGGCACCGTCGGCAACCCCGACTGCTTCGTCATCCTGCGTGGCGGCAAGAAGGGCACCAACTTCGACGCCCAGAGCATCCAGGAGTCCAAGGCCAAGCTGCAGGCACAGGGCCTGCCCGCTCGTCTCATGGTCGACTGCAGCCACGGCAACTCCCAGAAGAACCACAAGAACCAGCCCAAGGTCGCTGCCGTGCTGGCCGAGCAGATCGCCGCGGGTGAGGATGCCATCATGGGTGTCATGATCGAGAGCAACATCAACGAGGGTATGGTTTCTTCCTTTCCACCATTGACATTTCCTGTGTCCTCGACTGACTTCTTTCTAGGTAACCAGAAGGTCCCCGCTGAGGGCAAGGCCGGCCTCAAGTACGGCGTCAGCATCACCGATGCTTGCATCAACTGGGAGGACACCGAGTCAACCCTCGACAACCTTGCCCAGGCCGTCCGTGCCCGGAGAGAGAAACTGGGTTCCCAGTAAAGTTCCTGTAATTTGACGTCTTTCTTTTCTTTTGATGAAAAAAAAAAATCAAGCGAGTGTTATGTTGATACGTTTATTCATGCTCTGCGATGGGGAACGCGCGTCTCTCGGAGACTGCCATCGCCGTCGGTCAGTGAAAAGCAAGAGTTTAGCATATTCGAGGAGGTTGAACCCAGCAGGGGGATTGAGATATCCATTACCCTTTTGTATTTTCTTACTAGTCCACGAGAAGTTGTAGAAATAATGAAAGTATGATAACCGTACCAGGACTTGGCCTGCGATAGATGTTTCCATTGCTTAGTCTATTCGCACGTCTTCCCTATCTACCATAGACATCTAGCCTGGTCAATATAGCACGGGATGATTCCTAATGAACAAAATCTCGTGGGAGTAATTAGAATTAGCCAAGGAGATATCAACGACTGTCGAAGAACCTATACTCATGACGATGTACTAGAAAGTGACGAGTCTGGGTACAGCAAATGTCCCAATCCATGCTATCCCCTTGAAGCTCCCTGAGCAGACCCTCCAGGTGCCCACTCACATCTATTGCCTAGTAGGTATACTTTGTCAACCGGTGCTCAACGCGCGTCCAGAAATGCCACAGAAAGGCCCTGGACTGTCTTCTGGCTTGACACATGCATGTTCTAGCAGACCTATACCTATATCCCGATGACTGCCCTGCATACTGGAGGATGGGAACCCAGATAGGCTGCTGATCCTCGCGAGATAGATACTGCGATCTAATTCCTCCGTGCGTATCTACTCACGAGATGATCCTCTGCGGCTCTGGGAAGTATATCACCCTCTTTGACTTGTGATACCTCGTACCTATCTCACCCGTGTCCCGTATGGAGAGTCCACTGTCACGTTGGTCTGGGCCCGGTCTCTATTTCGCGCGTACAAAACCGTTGTGGACCACGTGTTGCGACATCGGTATAGGTCATATATCTCGGCTGGCTGTACCATGATGCACTGTAATATAGCACCGTCGTTTGGAGTATCTGGTTTGGGCGGAGGAATTCATGGCCGGAGGTACCATTTTCGAGAGTGATTTCGATGGATCAATGCGCGTGGATTGCGACTAGCTGGTGCATGACCTGAGGATTGGGAGGACAGGATCTGACTTTGATGTGCTAGTCTGTGTAGCTGTGATGAAGTAGCTGTATGAAGCCATTGGAGTGCCATTGTAAGGAGTATAGAAAGTTGTAAAAAGGTACTGTCAGTGTGCCGAATGTACGCCGCGTCTGCACATTGATACACTCATGCATGTCAACAGCCAGGGACCTCCACTCTCCCGGTGGAGACAGGAGAAGAGGCTAGTCGATCGCGTGGGTCGCTTCACGTCCCACTTGAACCGACCAGGATCGAAGCGACGCCGGATCACGTGCGGGCGAGACGAGTCAACTCTCCCGCGCACCACCAACACTTGATCCACCAACTTCACATCATTTGTTGACCGTCCCACTCATCTCCCACTATCCCTTTCCCCCCCCAAGATTATTAACGCCTTGTCTACTATTGATCCGTACTATTGACATGTCGATTCCACCAGCTTGATTGATCGATGATCTAGAAGCACGTATGTCAGCCCAAGCCCCAACAGACTCCGCCCCTGTCGATCCTGCTACGGTGCGAGTTACACAACGTCGACCCCTCGCCTGTCGAGGTAGGGACCTTCCCTGACACTGTCTGCGCCTCTAAAGAAAATATACATTACCGCAAGGGCACACCTAATTGAATGTGTAATGTCTAGAATGCACAAAGCGAAAGAGGAAGTGCGATAAGCAGATCCCCTGCTCGCGATGTCGACGGCTCAACCTGCACTGCTCTAGAGAGGTCGTCCACATCCGGCAGAACACGGTGCGACATGCCGCGGAGATTAATTTCCTCAACTCCGTCATAGCGGATCTCGAGGTGCCGTCGGCGGAGGGTCTGCGTGCCACCGTCCAGCGGGTCAAAAGTCGCATTGCGCAGCTCCAGTCGGGCGATGAATCCGCTCAAGTAGACGATGCCGGCAGGCCTCCGGACGCTCCCGAGTCCATACCGGACAGTGGCACCCACGAAGGCCCCCTGCATCTGGATACAGGGGAGGGCGCAGGCGCCGTCGGGCAGGCGGATTCGTCGCTCCTCACGGCCCTCGAGCATCTGGCCTGGGACCGGAATTCGTCCGGCTGCTTTCCGCACCGGCGATGCGCTTGCCAGTACCGTAGAGAAGGCGTAGAGCGGTTAACCCTCAACAGCCAAGCGTTCCAGTTTTTCGGATATATTGGCGAATCTGTGATTCGAGTGCCGGATGCGTTTGCGGCGGAGAAGCTCGTGAACTTCCACATCCGCCACGTTGCGTGGCACCACAACTGTCTGCATTCGCCCACCTTCCTGGAGCAATGCGACGTGTTCTGGAAGACGGGACGATGCGACCATCCGCTCTGGATGGCTCTCTACCTGTCCGTCCTGAGCTCCGCGGTGTGTTCGATGCAGAATAGTGACAAGTTCAAGGCGGTCCTGGGTGTAGACCTCGACACCATACAGTCGGCCCAGGACCTGTTCGCCGCGATGGTGCAGGTGCTGTACAGCTCCCACTTCCTGAAGAACATTTCTATATACTCGGTGCAGGCCATTGTCATTTCCACGGAGGTGGCGCACAATCTCGGGCTGAGCCAGCTGAATGCGACGCTCTTCAACTCCGCCGTCCGCATTGCGGAGTGTCTGGGGCTGCACAAGATTGAAGACCACGCGAAGCCTCAAGTGCAGACCCGAGAGGACTGGTGCGAGCGGATTGAACGGGAAGTCGGGAAACGGGTCTGGTGCCAGATGATCATCCAAGATCACTTCGCTATCCCCTTCACCGACACCTACAGCATCTCCCCCATGCAGTACTCCACCGGACCTCCGCTGAACGCAGACGACCACGATCTGGTCGACAAGCCAGTCTCAGTGCCAACGATCAGCACGTACGTCCGCGTTCTCGTACGACTCGCCCTCCTAATGCCGGGCTTGGTCGACGGACTGGGCCCCATGAAGCACCGCAAGCCCATCCGGGAGCAGTACGAGCACATCCTCGAAGTCGACCGGAAGATGCGCGCCGTCGTCAAAGACATCCCGTCGTTCATGCTGCGGCGCGACCGAGCCAAAGAAGCACAGGTCCCATGGCTGAATATCGCCCGACGCAGCCTAGCCATCACCTCCGCCGAGAAGATCATCATGATCCATCGCCCATTCCTCTTCCGCTCCTTCCACTCGCAGGCCTACGCGCACACGCGCCGCACCTGCGTCGCCGCCGCGCGCACCATCCTCCGCGAGCACGAGACCATCGTCAAGGAAGACGAAACCTCCATCTGGACACACACCGCCTTCTGCATCACCGCCGCCATCATCCTCTGCTTCGAAGTCAACACCCTGCCTTCAAACCACAAACAACTCGCCCCAATCTACACCGGCGCGATAGAAGCCGCACGAAACCGCCTCGCCACCCGCACAGGGGACATCCTCGCCCAGCGCGGCGTCGCCCTCATCGACGCCATCTTCCTCGCCGAGCAGTCGTCCACGGATCCGTCGCAGACCCAACTCCCCTCAAAGTCAATCGACTTCAACCGCATCATCGTCGAGTACTCCGCGCTGCGACAGCTAACTCTGGGCTCCGACAGCGACGGGATCCTCGCCGGCGCAGACACAACCAGCAGCCACGCGGACGTCGGCGTCAGCCTAGACCTCAACAATAATGCGTCGTTTGCGCCGGCGGCTGAGATGGCAATTGACTTTGACACGTGGTTTAACGGGATTTTCTATGGATTTGAACGTGGGATGTAGGGTTTGTTAGATGTATTTGGTTGGTTTTTTTCTTTTCGATAGGGGTTGTTATTTGTTGTTGTTTTTTTGTTTCTTTCTTTTGTTTATATTTCTGAACGCAGATGAGCCTGGAGCTTATTTGTAGCCACCACCAGCTGGGGCTACCCGCCTACAGCGCCTGCCTTATAAAGGCGTCCAAGGCAGTCCAATGACGACGACAACGTGATGTAGAATACCTATTTACTTTATATACCACCCGAGGGGATCAGAAGCAGGGGAGGCGGCACTTTTATCTTTATCTTTTCTTTTATTCTTTTTTATCTTTTTTTATTTTTTTATTTTTTCTTCTCTTCCCTTTTTGATTCCAACCAAATTTGACTGAAGTGGACTAATGGACGGCTTGGATAAGGGAAACTACTTGTAAAAGTGATACTATATTAAATTATATTATGAACCTATGTGCAGAAGCGAGGTATCTGCATCACATTTTGCTGCTAGGATTCAACTTATACACGTATAGATACATTGCTCCTTATATAATAGTATACATATACATACATCCTCATACCGATTGACAAGTATGAACTGTAATAGAAATAAAATAGAGAAGCTCACGCCACGCTATGTCTTGTCCGGAAGGAGATGTATTCAGGTGGGGGAGAAAAGAGAAGAGAAGAAGCGAAGAAGAGAAGAAGAGAAGAAGAGAAGAAGAGAAGAAGAGAAGAAGAGTCTATCAAAATCAAAAACAATTATCAACCCATCTCCCCTCTCGTGTACTCAGCTCAGGAATCTTAAGGTCAACTATACACGCCGCGAACGAGGTACGCCGTTTGGAAGCGGGTATACTAGTATGCGCAGGGTCATGTGGAGCAGGGTAATTCCCATTAAGTGTAGTGCGATGGCGATGTTGGTGTCGATGCACGCATGAGTATTGGCCGCCGAAATTGTCGTCGCTTGATTCCTCGCGTTTGCGCTTGCGAGATGATCCCGGAGATAAGAAACCGGGCTCGACTCGATCGACTAGTTTGGTAGACGCGATGTTGCCATCTGTGCCGACGGAGAGGAACTTGCATGGGGTGTCTGAGGCTTGCTGGGCGGGTGAGGTGAACGTATCCACGTCGATGATGTTCGTTTTGCCTGATGCGCCGAATGCCCAGATACGGGCTCCGCCGAAAGAAGTTTGGATGGCTAGTTCGACGACGTTCGGCATACGACCGATCTGCTTGCCGTAGATCTTGAACGGCCACATCGTGGCTGTGGGTCGGTAGCTGACGCTGAGCAAAGATTCCCAGTCACCGTTCTGGTTTTGGACCAGGCTGTCGCGGCGCTTTCGAGATCTCTGGTTGTTGTCCAGGAACCAGTCTCTTGCGAGGTCGCTGTCGCCGATGACGTTCTCTCCTTGCTTCTCGCGCTCCTTTCGGATGACGTTGAAGACGTCAAGAGGCACGGAATACAGGACGATCCGGTCCCCGTAGGCGGCAACTATTCGTAAACCCCAGTCTAGGTCAGACCCTGCTGCGAATACGGTTGGCGCTAATTCCTCCCTGATGCCGTGCGTGGTGTAGTTGGAAGGTGGTGGGACACAAACGAGAGCCCTGGTGAGACTCGTGGATCCGCCAATAGGGGCATCGGAGCCGATGCAGAGCAGATTGGTACGCGGCTCGATGAACAGGATGTGCAGACCATCGTTGATGGGAACTGCGCGGTAATGGTGGCAATGGATTGCCCTGAGAAGGCTCAGACTACTATTTTGTTCCGGAGTCCATCGCGTAAAGCATTGCACATCCGCCAGGAGCCGCAGAGGACAGGGCTGATGTCTTTCTCCCTGTGACGCCGAGTGGCAGTGGCAGCTGGGCGTCGCTGGGCCAGCCAGTGACGAGATAAGCCGCAAGTCAGCCGGAGATTCTGATTGTTTGGGGAGAAAATGAAGAATTTCGGAGGGCTGCGACATTGGGAACTGCTGGCGGCATTCACGGTTGGTCTGTTCGTCAATCCAATGCAGCTCGACACTAGTACCGCATCCGAAAGCCACACAGTGACGGCCTGGACAGATAGCAATGCTGCGCGGGCGATCTTCCGTGGAGCAAACGTCGTGAAAGTAGTGTTGGGCAGTCAATTCCATATTAGACGTCCCCCTTCGCATAGGCGAGCCACCTGCCCTAGGAGAACCTAAGGGGGCGAACTGTTTTAAAGTTTCGCCCTCAGCATCACCCGGAGCAGTCAGGTCGCACACCATCCCCACACGATTCCGCAGCAATGCCGCAAGAACCAACTTTGAACCGCTTGTATCCATCGTAGTCGTGACCACTCCAAAAGGACACGTCACGCACGCAACCAGAGCTAAGTTCCGATCCTTTTCGTCTTCTGCATTGAGCTGCACACGGCTCCCATACTTTTTGGTGAGTAGATAGTAAACAAAGATCCTGCAATCCACAGTAACCAGGAGATAATGGCCGCAATTGCTAACATGGAACTTAGATTTCCCCCGAGTCGCGCGTCGGTGGTCGTTCACATCTGCGCGGAGTAATTTGGTGGTACGCTCGGGTCGTCCATACGAAAGATTAGAGAAGTCCACGACACAGGTCGTCAGAAAGCCTGGCCTCTCCACGTTCATCTTCCGCCCAGATAGGACACATTCCGTCGCAAAGCGTCTGCTCATCTTCCACGCAAGACTCTCTTCCAGGGAGCCAGATAGATTCTCTGTCCGGCAGTCGCGCTGCCACGAGTCCCACCAGCCAGCGCGTTTGAGCATGCACTCCAGGAGGCTCTCATTTAAGCTAACCCGCATCCATTGGGAACACGTGCGTCGGGCATTGTCGAAATCTCTGGGGCTCAGCATGAAGAATATTTGTATCAGAATCTCTGGAGGTGTGATGTTCGCTGCTGGACGCACCGGGGGTGCTGCTTTGTCGATCGTGCGAGCCCAGGACTTGCATGTTAACCGCAATGACTGTCGAGACTCGCGGGAAATGACACCAAGAAGCCTCTTGACTACAGCGGACGGGATTCCTGGAGCGAGAGCATTTTGAATTAGAGGCGAGGATGGGCAATGCGGGACGTGGACCATGCAATTGTGGTCTTTCATAGGACCGGTTTCAGAAGTAATCACTGCACACGCATCCCATCCGCAACTTTCTTTCGACGTAGAACCGAAATCCGAATCTGGAGGGGTGCACAAAGACATGTTGTTCATGGAAGAGAGATCATGTAGGAAGCTTGTATGCACAATGCCAGCCGGGAGCCGCGCACGGATAGAATGGACCAGATGATAGTAGTGATGGTTGGTCAACCTTCACGAATGGACAGAATTGATCAATCTGTAGTTCTTTGTTGCAAAGATAGCGCATTGACTTCGATGGACTAATTCATGAACTAGGAGCCCAAGCGCTAATTATCATGTTCCGCCCTCATCGCTCTGCAGTGAGAGATCCAACCGGAATTCGATACACCTCTAAAACTGGTCAGTACGTGATAAACCCAAGGCTTTGCAAGCGCGAGTGGGAAATTTACCACGGCACACAAGACCTTGAAAGTTGACGATATGGCTCAAAAAATCCGGAATCAAGAAACGCAAAAGACGTGAGAGGCGAAAATGTACGATATCCTAATGTACAAAGGAACGAAAGCGCAAGTGAAGCGCAAATGTGAATAGTATAAGATCCAGCGAAAAACGAAAGCAGCTGTAGAAATAATGCTACTCTTTGGAGCTCTCCACGGCCCATGGCTGACACGGGTATTTTTTTCCATGTTACCCATTCTGACGTCGACGGTAAGTAAGGCTCCGAAGCCAGGGACTGCATCCAAAGCTGGGGGCGTTTAATTAGAACTGATCCGAGCGACTGAGACCAGGCTGTCGAAGAAAAGTGGATCCCCGTTAGCGACGATCTGCGGGTGGTTGATGGGGGGCAAGAAAGTTCCACGAGCAATCAGCGGCGGGCTCTGGTAAGGCCGACATGGCCGATCGCTGGGTCAGCCAGCGGAGTGGAGACATGGCATGGGACGATGGACGAGTGAGATGATGTCCAAAGTAAGATAGAGTAGTATCCCAGGCCAAGACGGTGGTATTAGCAGGATTCATTCAGCATTTAGATCCCGTGGCATTCTGGATCGGATGGAATGCTGGAATCAACCCTGATCCACAATTGATCTTAAATCGAGAGTTGAAGTAGCAGGAATGAGGAATGAAAGGGGATGGAATGTGGGCAGAGACACCGTTTTGTCGCATGCGGTCGAGAAGAAGAATTGGAAGGAGAGCGAGAGAGAGACAAGTCTGCAAGGACGACATCTCCTCACCGCCCAGGAATGATCCATCATCTCCTTTCTTCTCTCTTCATGTTGTCACTCGCACATGATGGGTTGCGCATTCCTCTGCTAGGAAGTTAGACCTCGAGTATCTATCATGAAAGATGGTGGAAATTCCACAGGATGTCATAGTTCTTCTACGTGCGCGAGCTGTATCAATACTCGACCATCCGTATTCACTCAAATGCCCGTATAACAGAACAAGTAAGTGGATTGGAAGTTACATGACCGGTTACCAAGTACTAGATAAGTATTACTGAGCACATACTAAGAGTCAATCCTGGTGTCTCACTAAGCCTATAAGTATGCTCACGAAAGTAGCACGTTCTCTATGAAACACAGAACTGCAAAGTAAATACATATAACAAGGTAACAAACACTGCTTTAAATGATCCAAAGTCAATAACTCGTCGGCGAAATCAAACAGTACAAGTCCGGAATCCGGAATCGCTCACGAACAAAGAATGCAAAAACATAAAAAAGGAGAGAACCAAAACGTTAGTATACATGATACGTGAGCCCGTAAATCAGATAGCTATCAGATCCTAGAATGGCATAGCGGTCGTATATCGTAAAATAAAGAACGAGAATCATCTTTTGTTGTTGTTGGTGTTGGTGGAGTTGTTGGAGGGGGGATGATGGAAAGTCAGTATCAATTTCGAAACCGCACATATCCGTGAAGTCGGCATAATACTGAAGTCATTTTTGGGTTGTGCACGATTACAGCGCTGACAGCTAGCCACTATGGCAAGCTCAGACTGCAAAGTCGCTCGGGGTCTCGTGGTGAGAAAAGTGGATAGCACCGCGCCCTGGCAACCAGGCATCATGTAGAGGGAGGATGAGGCTGGGGTTGACGTATTTATTCAACCGGAGACCCAGCGCTTGCCCTCCGATCCGGATGGGAAGGGAGTCGCGGTCAAGGCCGGACGGAGGGGAGAACGTCGCGGATGATGAGGGCGAGATCTCTCCACTACTAGAACTCTCTGGGCCGATGCTCTTCAAAGCAATGAACTTGGTGAGGGGCTCGTAGCTGTTCGCGAAGAAGTAGCTGAACCAGACAGTTGCGGCGAGCAACGGGACCAAGAGCAAAGACCGGGCAATTGCCTTCCGCAAGGCGAGAATGCCGATCATTGCAAGCTGGAACAGCATCAGGCCAACCAGGACTCGGTGGCAGATCATGGGCCATGCCCGTCCGGTGGAGTGTTGCTGATGGTCCATGGCGTACAACAGCTGGTATTTGTAAATGAACTGCCCGATCGTGAAGTAGACTAGCCCGAAGAGACAAATCAACCAGGAGCTCGGGAAAACGCTATACACCAGGCAGATGTTGAAAATTAGAATCGTTTGCGGAATGGAATAGCCGTAGCTGAACTCGGGCGGTGTCGACAGCTCCGCATACTCCCGGGGCGTTTTGGCCCTGAAGAGATGGAATGGATACGATATCACGCTCCCAAACTCCAACAAGCGGAAAGGGAAAATCCCCACGCCCTGGAGAACCAGGAGATTCACGTAGAACGGAGTCAATTGTTCCAAGGACCCCGCCAAGGTATACGCGATCGTGGTGGTGTCTTTAAACGCATCGCGTAGGTTCTCCCAGACACCGTAAAAGGTGGACGCGGTCCCGAAGACGGTGAAGAGAAGGAAGAGGTTAAAAAAGGAGAAAAAGAAATTCTTCGAAATAAGCGACAGTTCAATGTCGCCGCGCGACGTCATTCCTTGCATATGCGATAGCCCTGCATTCGGTCAGTAGTGTCCAGCCGCATGGCAAAGAGCGTACGTACAGTTATACAAATAAGGGACAATGACAGTCATGAGTGACAGACCCAGTGTCGGTAAACCGGTCTGGACCAGGGACATCAAGACCGGATGGCGAGCCAGCAGGTCGGCGAACTGGGGAAAGACTTTTTCGATAGTTTTCAACTCCAGCAAGGATGCAAAGGGAACGAGCAGCACGGACCAAAAGATCGTCAGAAAGCCGATCAAAATAGTCACCGACCACGATCGCATCATTCGTTTGGAACGCGGCACGGATGTGTTCTTCCAGACAACGTCCGCTGGCGCGGGCGCCAATCTTGCCAAAAGGAGCATCGGATGCGGGTCCAGGATTGCTTGTATAACCATCTGGGCGGCGGCGATAGACTCCATTGTCACAAAGGCGAGCTCGGTAGGAGGATAGGTCAGTTTGCGAGCGTGCTTGATCACCTCGTCGATTCTTCGCAGTTTCTCTTCGTAGTAATCGATCTCATCCACGGTGCGGTAGCGCAGTTTGAGTGGTCCATACCAGAGACGAATCGTCGGCCGTGCGTTCGCATCGTCAGTGGTATGCGACCGTCCGTTGTCCGACAGGAGTTGCATTCGTTCGCTGTCGTCTTCTGATAGCAGACTGGCGCCACGCCGCCGCCGATGTTGTACTAGTGGTAGCTGGCTTTCGTCCAGCTTCACGCGCTTATAGCCCACATGCTTAGTCCAAGCGCGCTCCAAGTGCCGTATGATCTTCATTCGCTTCTCAACCAAATGTTCAAGGGCTCCCCAGTCCCGACAAATCGTCACACTCTGAACCTTCCCAACGTGTAGGCCTTGCATGAAATCCCTGATCGACTCCTCAGACCGCATCTCCGGGGGGATCCCTGATAGACGAATGGTCCGATCTGTCGTGCTCGCCTGATTCCCGAGATACTTTTGCCGCGTGCTGATGACATTGTCCGTTTCACGGAGCAGTAGGTAGATCGTCAAGCCACTGAATATGTAGCCGAATATCACGTACATGGATAGATAACTGGGATCCAGCATTAACTGATCCTTGTCGTCGAGTGGCTCACTCCCGTCCCAGCCCGGGATCCCATTCTTACCGGTAAACTTGTAATGGACCGGGAGGAGGATCAGGACGGCGATCGGAAGGAGTGCAAGCAGAAGTCGAATCGAGAACTTGAAGAACGAGAGGAGCTGTGTCGCCAATGGGTCAGCTTATTCGACTCCTGACCATTATGGAAACTGTGTACATACAACATAGGCATCCAAGCCGGCAGAGTGGAGCACATCCTCATCCGTTATCTTGTATAGCGCAGGGATCCAGCCGAAAAGACTGTCCGGGAGTTCCGGGAGGTGTGAGGCGGCGCAGCGTTGTCGTCGTCGGGCAGCGTACAGTTCGGTCCATTTCGGTCGCAATATCTAGCAAGATAAGCCTTAGTTCAAAAAGCCCCACGGGATAATGAGACATACACAGAAGGCAAAAAAAGCAGTCAACCCGAGCGCTAGACTCAGCACGAGTTGAGTGTAGAGATCGCGTTGACCGCGAGTCTGATCCCCCCAGCGTGGCTCGTGCGGGTCGCCTGGTTTCTCTATGACCACGGCCGCGGCAGTCAGAATTTCCGCCGCAGCGGAGCTTGTAAGAGACATGTTCTCATGGAAGGTCGATGGTCAGGTTGTTTGCTGGATCACAACATATGGGAGGCGATCTTCGTAACGGCAGGGATGCGGCCCAAAGAACTGACGTCAGGGACGGGTAGGTAGACGACCTTGTGCGGAAGATAAGTCCGCTCTGACAGTGATATCAGATAATATTTGGTAATTGACTGATAGAGAGAACCCAACACGAGTGACAACACTTTCAAAAAAAAAAAAATAGGATGATACGGGCGAAAAGAAGAAGTCGTTAGGCCGCTGGGTTTGTTTTGGAAGAGCTCACTGGGACAAGTGTACTGCCGATCCTTTCAAGTGGGATTAGCTCCGCCATGACGGGTTTAGCTTATCGGTTGGAAGGCGGTCTGGGTCTACTCATGTGTAGATTGACTGGGTCAACAAACTCTGTCCAACAACCATACAAGTGATGGCTACTAACGCTGACATTACAGGTAGACGCTCGATTGAAATATTCAGCCAGTCTATGTACACTAACTTGGCAATTCTTATCCTGGGATAGTCCTTCGTCACGGATGATCTCATATCTCGGATCTCGCAGCGCGTTTGAGACCTTGACAGATGTCGATTGACTGGCAACTGACGGATGATTCTCAGTTCTCGTGTCATAGCCCGGTGAAGATCTCTTTGTTGACTCCACCGAGGGTTATCTACTCAGTATAAGGGCTACTAAGCACAGCTCAACCCAAATCCAACATACGTCTACAACTAGGGACCACCGCCAAAGCCGAAAGCAGGGCATATATATCCAAATCAGGCTTGGATAGATTCCTAATGGAGTACCTTAAGAAGGCCAGGTACTCCCGCTAGGTTGTGTACACATGTCTTGTCATACACTCTTCATGTTCGACTACAGCCAACTAAAGGTACTCGTGACCGAGGAGCGTGTCCCTGGGAATGTTGTAACCCTCACATATGTCTTCTGTGGCCATATGTGCGACACATCGGGTCACAGTATGCCCGCGGATGTATTCCGAGGAGACGACTTCCAAAGGATGCATATGGTCTTACTCTGTGGACCAAGTGTGGTAGCCGCTGGGAAATAGCACGATGCAGTAGCAATGAGGATATAGTCGGTAATTTCCATGTGTTAAAGTCAAACTCCAAGATCTGAGACTAACATGACGTGGTATAATTCTGAATTTGAACACAAGACCCTGTTTAGATCATAAACGATCCATCACGCTATCTTTCTCTAACGTTGGAAATTATAGAGGCGGGCCTTCTACATCAATCTACTTCACCACCGCCTCAACATTCCGGCGACACAAATAGAAGGGGACTATGATCTAACATTCCGTAGACGTGTTGAGAGTTTTGAACCACGGCCAGCTGTAGCCCGGCCGAAGTCACATACTCAGACTTTAACCGTCCATATCCACAGCACTCCACCCGCCTAGCCAAAAACAGCCCATGTGGAGTCATACAACTATGAAGACTGCCGGCTACTAGAGTACATCCGTCAACATCCGTCTTGTCTGCAGCTGGGATGTTACATTTGCTAGCATGTCATTTCATCTTGACCATCTGACCGAAAATACCAACACCAATTGGCGAATGGTAGGACTTGATATCCAACAGCATTCAGGATAGTCGTTCAATGTATCCTACGCGTCCGCGCCCAACGACCTACAGCACGTATTCCCATGGGATTGTAGGCACACAGACCCTTTGTATATTCAGCGTATGTAGGCGTAAGAGTGAGTTATCAATATATAACAAGTATGGCATCGCGAAAAGAACCACAGGGATAGGCACATGAAGTTAGCGCTCAACGCAACAGTGCATTGTCAGTAAAATCAACAGAAGTTATAAAATTACCCAAATAACCCATCTCTGCAAAATAGCCAGATAAACAGATATCCCGATGTCCCTCAAGGGTAGTCGCCCTATCGCATCACAATCAGCCAAGCCCACAAACGCGCAAGAGAAAAGAAGCTCGGGAACCTCCACTCTCTATCGACACTCCAGGATAGTCACTCACCCTGAAACTAATAAGCATCCAAATTCGACACCCTCCCCATCCTCGGTTTCATCGAAGAAATGATACTCTGCCGTCGCTGAGATCGCGTCATATTCTCCTCGGCCAGCATCTCGGATATATTGGTGTGACTATCCGCCTGGGGCGCTGGCCCATCGCTGGGAGACCCGACAGAGGTGGGAGAAGAGTCGCGTTCGAAATCTCGCTGGGCAGATGAGCTGTCGAGGGGGAATGTGTTGAAGTCGAGGGTTGGGAACGTCATTTTCTTTCCTGATATCCTTCTTTCGCTTTTCACCCTTCTTGTGTCTCCGGGCGTCCGCTCTCTTCCTCTTTCTCTGAATAGATAAGAGAGCAGCTCACAGAACACCTATAAAAGAGTAGTAACTCCGCAGTACAGCCGTCCTCCATCCAGATTCCCGAGTCAAACGTAGTATTTATGTCCCCACGCTGACAACGCTGACAGACCCCATGACGTAAGGTACATACCCAAGAACGCAGCATGATCCACTCCCCAAGGAAAGTCCCTACCCGCCAATCCTCGTGTCTGAAGTATAGTCAATTGATGTGGTTGTGAAGCATGCATGCACGGTCAGCCGGCGTGGACCCTGCTGTCGTGCTTCACCTGATAGGAAAGGATTTGCGTGTTGTGTGCGAGGAGGGATAGTCCATGGGCTTAGCTGGTTTTCCTTATTCTATTGACCCTGGGAGTTGAGAAGGGTCTTGTTTGTGATACAGAGGAAGGGTGGTAGACTCGTATAGACCGTGGACCCTGCTTGGAGTGTGGTACACACTGTATTTACTTTCCTTATGAAGTGCAGTGATTCGAGAGGTTCGTAGGGAGTGTAGATTTCCACGGAGAGAAGGGGAGCATTGCTGAGCTGGAATGTCACACGAGATAAGCTGATAGGTAGCTACCCTCATAGTTGGTGATGATTTGTGGGAGGTGAAGGGTCAGGCATGTTCGTGTGGATTTCTACACAAGTATGCAGCGCAAGATGGAGTCAATTATGCGGTTCGAATTCTTCAATATGCAGTGCAGTGCCCCTGTCACCCGATATCGGGCGTGATATCTACATCATTTAGATCCACTCCCTGGTTTAACCTAAAATGGATACACGGCAGACTTGTCACACTCCAAGAAGGAAGTACTCGTGATTAGTAGGTGTATACCATTGGGTAGGATACAATGTCTCATGTTGGTTGCAGAGTATGACGATCTACTCGAGCCCAGACCATTCAGTAGCAAGGTGAAGGTCAGTTACGAGGTGAGGTTGCACAGTAGATAAATAGTATTTGCAGATATTATATCGTCTTTTGTGCCCACAGTCAATCAGTCCACACACCATGATTACCCCATGCCAGTCGCGAGCTGAAATAAGCTATCCCGTCTACGCATGTTGCGCGATTCTCGATGCATCATAATACAGATCCAGCAAGCACCCTGCAGACCACGCTTGCGTCGGAGACTATATCGTAACAGTTAGCAAATGGCTCAAACAAGACATACCACCAAGAGAAGAGGCACTCACCGAATCCGCACAATACGCTCCATCGCGATTAGTCAACTCCGTAAGCCCCTTCCACGGACTCTCCCGAAGAGCACGCTTACACCCCTCCAACCGCCTCGTGACCTGCTGGAATGACTCAATGCGCTCCTCCGCCGTCTTCCGCCGCAAGAGATCAAAGTGCAAGAACGCGCGCAGGAAGTACCCCCGCTGCCAGACCCACTCCGGGCCCTGGTGGTAGTTTCTGCCCTTGGAGGTCGCGAAGTCGGTCGAGTCCTCGGAGTTGTTGTAGTTGGGGCGGTAGTTGAGATCGGATGGGTCGAGGGTGGCCATGCCCATGGGTCCGCAGAGGACTTTGTCTGCTAGCGCGATGGCGTTGAGCGCTTTGGATGGGGTGAAGAGGTCGGGCGCTACTGTCATTGCGATGGGGAAGTTCGACCGCAGCTGGTAGTCTTCGTAGGGCTTGCCGGACTTGTACAGGTCTTTGTAGATCCCGCGGCGGTTGATGATGCTCGGGTCGATGTCGTACTGCTGGTCCTCTTTGGGGTTCAGCGGGACGTAGTAGCAGCGTTCGAAGCTGGTATTGATCTTGGATGCCCAGTCGCGGAGAGTAACGGATGAGCCGTCGTCGAGGTCGACTTTCTCGTAGGGATAGAGTCCGCGTTCTTTCAACCCTGCAGCCCAGGTTAAAGCGCTGTAGACAAGCCCGGTGATCTCGATGGCCGCGCCATCGCGTGGTGTCCCGGGAACGCCCTTGTTTCCTGCCTTTTCACTCTCGCCCATTTTATCCTGCCAGGTGCCGCAGTTGGACTGGCTTCCGCCGAATATCAGCCCCGTCTCCCAGTCGACCCGCACGTCGATCTGGAACCCGTCGGGCTTCATCTGCACGTCCAGATCTGGTCCGGCATTGTATTCCCGGAATGAAAGACCTTTGGCATGTCGCTGGAAGACCTCTTGGATTATATCGGCGATCGTCGAGTGTTGCGAGTAAGCTCGGGAATCATCGAACGGAAACCATGTATCATCGTAGGGGAGGAACCGGCGAGGAACCTTCTCCTTCAGGATCTCCATCCCATTGGGCGCGATCTGCGTATAATCCTGAATACTCTGCAGAAGGAACCACACCGAGTCTCGCGAATTATAACGCGGCAGCTTCCCACTACTCAGTAAATTAGGAATCATCCCATGCTTGAGAACGCTCGCAAACGCAAGAATATGCTCCTTCGCGACATCGAACCGCCCAGTACACAGAAGCAAGCCTCGAAGCGAGATGAAAACGTCCCGACCCCAGCATCGCGCCCAGTCGGTGGCGAAATGCGGCAGCCCAGCAGCAAGACTGGGCACCAGTTTATTGGGCCACAGCGACGCCGACTTCACGTAGCCCGTCTGCTGCACGCTGACCATCCCCAGCTGGTGGATGAACTCCTGTCCTTCCTGGATGTTGCTTCCAAGCAGTTGGATGCCTCTTTTCCACGCGGCGTTGTAGCCAGCCTGGACGATGAGGGCGAAGTATCGTGGCAGGAGGAAGCTGGGTAACTCGCGGACCGGCTGGAATCGCTCGCGGAACCACGTCGCTGGGGCGAGGAGGTTTGAGTATCCTTCTTGCTGTGCGGCTTTTTCCAGGCGTCCGACGATGTAGTCCAGTGCCCATTGGCCCTCGCGGAGGTTATCGCAGATTGGGTGCCCGAGTTGGTTGTACTTGACAATGTCTTCGAGGGCGCTCCACCATCCTTGCAAGCCAGCGTAGACTAAAGAGCCGTGGTTGGGGATGGAGTAGGTCGCGTCTTGCCCGTTGCTGGAGTCTCTTTGCTCTGCTTCGCAGCGGTAGAGGGCGAAGTTCAGATCAATCAGACTGAGCTTGGAGAACGCTTCGTCCGCATCCTTGGTGATGTAATTATCGAGTCCCACGGCGTGTTCCGCAGCAGGAATGGAAGTTTCGAACAGCGCGATGGACCCAGCCGTGAAGTTTTCCAACGTAGAGACGGTGCTATCGCTGCCGTTGAACTCAACCTTCGTGCCTTCGAATTCACGCACTCGGCTCGGTAAGCCCCGTAGATACGACTTGTCAGCCATGACTTCTTGCTTCACCTCTTCCCGGGTATCGACCTCCAGCTGCCACGCTCCCAGGCTCTTGACCCGCGTTCCAATGAGATGAGTCGGCGGCAACTGATACTTGCTAGCATGACCAGGGAACGCCGTATGCGCTATTAAAAAGACACCCTTCCTCGTCTTCGGATCGACCCTGTGCACAGTGATGTACTCCCCATCGTGATGGATATGCGTCTCGTCATAGCCCTGCACACCCATCGTAGTATGCAAGTGATTCAAAAGCTTCTTAACACCCCCAATCCCCCCATCCAACGACGACGAATCAACATCCTTATCCTCCGAAAACTGCGAGAAATACAGCCTCTTCTCATGCACGAGGTCCACCAGCTGCGGATAAATCTCGTCGTAGCCCATGACGCTCCCAACCGCCGAAGCACACATAGCGACGAGCGCCGCGTTCGGAAGCGTGTCTATCGCGGTGCGCTTCTGTGCTGGAACCTCGTTGTCGTGCGTGCAGTCCATGAAGAGCGCCTGGACGGGGCTGGGGCGGATATGGCGGATAGTCCGCTGGCTGTCTTTTTCGCCGAACGACGCAATCGCGTGGCTGCTGCCTGCGGAGGGCAGGTCGAGGTCGAAGCTCCCGATGGGGTGGCCGCCGTGGCGATGGACGAGTCGGCTCAGCTCCGCTGTGCTCCAGGCTTGCATAGCCTCTCTGATGAGCGCGTTGATGCCGAGGCGTTTGACGAAAACGTAGTCGGCTTCTTCGGAGCCGGTAAACAGCTCAGCGAAGACGGTCAGGTTGGGCCGCACTTTGCGTGCCTCGTCTAGCAGGTACTCGGCTACCACCAGGGGCGTTGAATGGCAATTGTCGATCCGGAAACCGGAGAAGTACTTGGCCATGAGCCGGGTGTACTCTGCCATGTAGTCCCACAGGAAGGGGTTGTCGTCGCGGCTGGACCCGTATCTCAGCTTGACGCAGTCGCCCCAGACGATGACCTCCCGGCGTAGATACGCCCTCGAATCGGGGCCGGCGTTGTCGCGCATCGCGTCGGCGTTCCAGATCCATCCATTGTTCGCGAGTGCCAGCGCCTTTTCGTTGTGCTTCTTGGTGACTGCGTTGACCGGGAGTCTTGTGAAATACGCCTCAATCAGAGGGTTCTTGTCAGTGACAGGGCCCAGCTTCGGCCCGTGGTCGTCGATCCGGAGGTACTTGATGCGGTTGAACAGTTGATCCATGATCTCCGCCACATCCTCATCGTACTCCTTATAGAATGGCAGGTTGACTTCGTCCAGGATCTTCGACAGCGCGTTCTCCGCCAACGAGTAATCCGAACTCGCACGGCGGAACGGACCGAACATGGCCGTCAAAATGGCAGCGCCAAACTCCTTATCGAGCGAGCGCTCGAACCGCCCCAATATCCTCTTCGCAGTCGGAATCCCATGCTCCCGAATCAACCTCGCCTGTTGCGCCAAGGGCCAGCTCTTGAAGCCATCGAGACCCAAGCGCGCCCACCGGCCGGTGTTCAAGTCAACCTTCCCGGCCTCCCTCCAGCTATCCACTGCTTTCACAAGATCAGCCCGAACATCAATGACATAAAACTGCCACAGCTGCAACTTCTTAATAACCTGATCCTTAGCGGCATTCATCACAACGACCAAGTCATCCACAGACTTAAACTCCGTCGGGAGACCCTGCGCCTGGAGATCCTTCCCAAACCGCAACAGAGCCGTATCAAGATCCAGAGCTGCCTCCAGCCATGGCGCCGTCTCAACGCTATACCCGGCCTCAGGGTGTTCCTCCAGCCATTGACTATTATGCGCGGTGTGGTTCCAAACCACATCCGTTAACGACAGCAGCCCGTACTCATTCTCCATAGTCGCCACCAACTTAGCCACGTCTTCTTCACCGTTAGGAAAGCAGTCCTCGTCGAATCGGAGCTGATCAAATATACTATAGGGGGAGTTCGACGCCCCGCGCTGCATCAGCGGCGTGAAATGCACCATGTTGTAATTGCGCTGGCTGATCCCCCGCAGATGCTTGTCCCAGTCTGTCGGATACCGCCCCATGAATTTCGATATCACTGAGAAGATTGACAGCGCGTTGAGAGGCAGATCGCGACCGCGGACTGTCAGCCGCGGCGACACATCGATGTAGTGCACGGGCGTCCGCTTCGGCTCTTCCGCTGCAACGGAGGAGAGCGAGAACGCCGGCAGCGGCGCATATGTAGTGTAGAATGCGAAGCACCCGGGTCGGGTGATGGGGACGTCGATCTGGATATTCTTGTTGAAGTCGGGCTGTAATCTACAGACGGTCTCAGCGGGGTGTACTGGGGGTGGGGGAACATCTCTTGAATCCAAGAGTAGACAATCCAATTTCTTACGGGAATCTTCGAAACGCCGTCCGATCGAACTCTTCGCCCTCCTCTGGGAGATTAACCCACAGCGCCCCGTCTCTGCAGATGGAGCTGCTTCCCTCGATCACGAACCGCAGCGTGTACGGCGGGGTTGTCGGGGGAGGGAGGTAGATGTAACCCCCCGGGACATCGGGGGAGCCATCGTCCTTCAACGGCAGGAGATAAATCTGCTGAGAAGACATGGTGATGAAATTGATCCCAACAGACTGAAATTGCGATTGTGGTGGTGATCTCTGAGAGCTGCTCCTGGCGAGAGAGAGAGAGGCGGTGTTTAAATCTCGCCCGTGCGCAGGACAGCAAACTCCCCGAAAGGCTCCCACCCAAAATATACCTAGACCGAAAGCCAGAGTTACCGGACTAATATAAGAGGGGGCTAGCAAAGAGGGGCAAACCAAGGCAGTCGCGCGTGAAATGCAGGTTTTTGGCCACTTTTGTTGTTGCTAGGTAGAACCCCGCGGAGGGTCTGACATCATATCAGACTTGCATGATCCATCTCGGTCTCGAACTGTCTCTAAGCGCTCTAGTATCCGCACGGGCCGCAAAGAGGCAAATGGCTTGGAATGTTGGGCCCTTAACGTAGGTTGAAAATGACATAGTTGTATGTAGATGAGATACATAATTAGTGAGATAAGTAGTGACAAAATAGTGAATAGATGGATAGATTGGTAGGTAACTCTATGGATATATATAATCGACAAAAAACAAGCAAAAAGCACCGGTCTATCTGCGAAATGGAAAAGAAAAAACACCCGGCTTTAACATGCGGCACACATCCCAGATGGCCCCAATTTTAGAACGATGAATGGAATCGAGATCGTGAAATACCATGACAACTGCCACGGCAGGAAAACATCATCAAATTGTGCATCTCAGCCCTTAGAGCTTGGACAGCACGGCGTGGCTGGAACCACCACCGGGGGTCGTTCCATTGGCGCTATCACCCGCAGTGCATGTGGGTTTGCTGTTCGAAACGAGGATTAGCGCCTGACCCTTAGTGGAAAAGACGGTGTAAAGAAAAAGGCTATTTACCGCTCAATGTAAGAAGGAATGTCCTCGACTGCCATAGAGCCTTCAAGGACGCCTGGATGCGAGTTAGCAAAAATTCAAACGGGAGAGAGTTGTGGGGTAACGTACGGTAAACCGCAGTGAGCAGAGGGAACTCCTCCTCGGAGCCCTGTCTCTTCAGGAAGCTGTTGACTTCGATGGCAGTCAGAGTGCCCTGCAAGCTCTGGCCGTTGAGCTCGGTCTCCTCGACCTTGGAGATGGGCTGCTTGCGCTCAATGCTAAGCTTGGCGCAGCGGAAGTTGCGGCCCGCGGCGCAGCTGGTGATCATGTCGGCCACGCCGGCACTCTCCTCGGTGAAGGTCCGGGTGTTGATCGTGTTGCCGAAGAACATCTCACCGAACTTGACCATCTCCAGCAGACCGACCCGCATGATGGCAGCCTTGGCGTTGTCGCCCCAGCCCATGCCCTCGACCCAGCCGGCGGCGAGCGCGACGACGTTCTTCAGGGCACCGCCCAGAGAGACGCCGGCCACGTCGTGCACCACGCGGATGTGGAAGTAGGGACGGTGGAAGAGGAGCTTGAGGGTGTTGTGATCAATGGGGGGGTAGTCGGAGGGAAGAGCCTGCAGCTTGGTCTTGGACATCTGGCCCGAGACATCGCGGTGCTCAAACTCGGCCAGGTTGGTGGTCGAGGCGGAGGGAGTGCCGGTCGGGGAGGGGCCCTTGGAGGGGGCTGTGGAGTCCAGGTGGGGAGGATCATAGGCAATGCTGGACTCGGACCACTTCTCCCGCGCCACCTCGTTGGCGATGTTGGCACCGGAGAGGGCACCGCAGTAGATGCCCAGGATGTTGCCAATGGTCTCGGAGAAGAGGCTGATGCCCGACTCCCTCACATCGACACCCTTGATGCAGGAGATACCACGGGCATAGGGCAGGATCTTGCCCTTGATCTGTTCACAGGTGCGGATGATGAACTGATGGGGCAGGTTGAAGACCAGGATGGTGCTGTCCTTGACGGCATCCACCACGGAGGGGTTGGCGTGCAGGTTGGAGGGGAGGGCGACACCCGACAGGTACTTGACGTTCTCATGGGTTTGGTTGATGATGTCGGTCAAGTTCTGGGGACCCTGGCAGAGAGGCGACGAGGGGTTGTAGTGGGGAGAGTTCTTGGGGATCTCGACCTTCTCCTCGTGCACCCACATCTGCACATCCTTCTCGAAGACGGAATCATTGCTGGCCGCACACTCGGCGACGATCTTGGCGATAGCGGTGCCCCTGGAGATTATTAGCATAGCTCGACAATAATATCGGTCTGGTTTGATAGCTTACCAGTTGCCGGAGCCCACCACGGTCACCTTGTGCTTGCGCTGGTAGGGAGAGAGAGAAGCCATGATGTCGTGTATATTGTGAGAGAATTGAGACGGGGGTAGATTCGATCGAAAGGAGGAAGTTGAGAAAGGTTGAAGTGGATGGGGACCCCGGGCTTTTAAAGTGCCTGAAGGGATTGGCCGCCACCACAGAAGAGTTGGGATAGAACGAACGAATGGGAGGGCTGGAAAGACTGGGAACCGAGGTCGAGCTGCAGATACGCTGAGGCAAGGAAGGCAAGTCCGGCGAGAGAACGACATCCACACGGTTTCCTCCAAATGGGGATGGCAAACCTGTTAGGACAATTCGGCCGTATCACACTGATGCAATTTGGAACCAAAAAAACAGTGGATTCGATACCCGTGAAGGTGGATCTCCTTCTTGTCCCGAGGAGAGGAACTAAACCCGATAGAAGCGATTCCGGTGAGAGAAATGGCGATCCGGTTGCCGGTCTCAGGTAAGGAGGGCGGTTTGACGGGAAAATGTCCAGTACGTCACTGCGGATTGAGGTTGGGGTAAAACCGTAGGATAATAAAATTAAATGGAGATCGAATGCTCGTGGAGTCTCACTAGGGAGAGCTAGGATGAGAGCAGTCCGATGTCTCCATATGATTACTGATACAAGCTCAATTTAACCAGATGCCTACTATCGAGTTGATTACATCAAATGATAGAAATAAGATAGGAATAAACGAATAAGATAGGAATAAAATAGGAGCAAACTCGGCGTCTAAACTGGAATACTAGAGAAATAAGATTGAGAGAAACCTGGTTCACGAGGCAAACAGCATAATTCGCCATCAAAAGAAGCATAAAAAATATAGAAATATAAAAAGATAAAAGAAATTCAGATCAAATAAAATAATTTTTTAAAAAAAATCAAATAAAAATAAAATGAAAATCAATTGAAAAAAGGCGCAAAAGTCGGCAGAAAAGTGGAGCATCATGTGGGCGGTGAGAGAATACCCCCAGAAACAGCAACCGCCCGTCCCAATCGGGCTTAGTGGCGAAGAAAACCCCTCGGAAGCCGCCACGCAAAATTATCGTGGTTCACCCGAACTTCTCGTCGATCTGCTCGCCTTTTGCTCTCTTTTCCCGACGGCTCGTGGAGACCATACCGTCTATACCCTGTGCACACGACGGTACTACCTGAGGTACTTGCGCTGACTGAACTCCGGTGATCGATCTCTCAGCATGGTAAGTCAAGCGTTGGATCCCGTCCCACCCCGGGTAATTTCCTCTTCGACTGACCTGCTTCCTTCCGCAATATCAAAGGCCCCTGTTAGTTCTCTCAAGAAGAAGCAGTCGAGGGTGTCGACTGCTGGGAAAGGTGCCCTGCCGTCGACCAGGCCGACCAGCTTCGATCAGAATGACGCGCGCGGGTCGAAGAAGGATAGGCGGGCGATGAAGCACTCCAGTTTCGTGACCAAGATCGAGAAGAACTCGCAAAAGTCGTCTAAGCGTCGACGGGCGTCCAACAAACTGGCCGCCAACCTGGAGTCGCTGGCCGATGCGCTCCCAGACACAGAATCGGACCTCCACGACCCCGACAGCCAAGTGAACATCATCAAGCAGAAGACCTTGAGGCACAAGCCCGGAGCCATGAAGCGCCGGGAACGACTGGAGAAGTTGGAGCGAGATCGATTTGCGAAGAACATGGCGCAGATGTCTGGCATGCAGGCATCGTCATCGTCGGCGCAGCCATCCAGCGCAGCGCCGGAGAATGATTCCGGCGCGACCTCGAACCGATGGGCTGCGTTGCGAGGGTTCATCTCGCAAACAATGGAGCAACAACCGGCGTTTCGAGGGAACAAGTGAACTTAGGACATTGGAGTGTATTACTCCATTCTCCTTGATAGTTTATGATTAGCATCTAGACTACGTGTCTCCTGAAGACAAACACCCTGGAGGTGTGGATTCAGGCGTACGAACAGCCAGCACTTACACCGTAGACAGTGGATTGGGTTGGGCATCTACTCTGGGTTCCGGGGTGTATACGTCCGGTCTCTGGAGGTATACGTTTCCCGGAGATGGAGAAATGGCGGGCCAATCCTCCAAATTGCAGTATGATCTCTTGAGGATACCTGCTACCAATCCATACTCGACACCTAACCAGCGAGGTCAACGCTGTTCATACCCCACATTCATAAAAATGCACCAGCTACAAGAGTCATGTTTCTTTTAGCTAATACCAACAAAGTCAAAATCGACCCTCGCCTAACCTGCACATTTTACCAACCCCCGGGGTCTCCAGATTAACTCCCCGGTTGCCCCATCGGGCCCTAGTGTTCGTAGGGCACATATTCCCTGCCCGTCCAGGCCCATCTCAGGTCCGAGCAAATGGAGATCCCTACATCTAAACTCATTTCGGCGCTTCCGTCGGAGAGATGGTTTCAAACCGCCCCATGACGTAGTCTTTCTGCAAGTTTAACCGCTAGTCCAGATTGCCAAGTGCCTCTTGGTCAGAGCTTGTGTCAACATAACTGTTTTCTCCCCGCCTGGCAAATGTAGAAAGTCAGTAGAGAGAAGGTTCGGTTCTGCAGCCTTTTAGCTAATGCATATGCATTGCTGGGGATCTAGCCGCTCTGGCCTGCCGCCATGAGGTCACCGAACTTGAAAGTGTGATTGAATCGTTCTGCAGACCCTCAGATGAGACATTTTTCCTGGCTCCGTTATTGGCCGTTACAGCCTCTGTGGACAACGGGGGAGCTGAGTAGTCCGGCAATTCCCCTTTTAGTTGCGAGCCAAGGTTGAGTCTCCGGGTCTCTGGCGCCTTGCGTCAAGCCACCTGCCGGTTGCTGTCATTGTATAAGCTCTGGTCTCTTTCGGACTGCTGTTCTGGTGGAGAATGGACCGGGTGTATTACGTTCAGATTACACTGTGGATCCTGATGTCCGGTCTGGATCACTCGAACCAAAGATTCGACATTTAACCGGTTTCTTACCCGGTTCTATATATCAGGGAGGTCCAAGATTTGGTAATCTTCGATGATGTTAAGCGGTGAAAGAAGAAGAATAACAACGAGTTTGTTCCTCGCCTCGTTATAGTCCAATCGTTCGCATATCACCACTGAAAGCCTGTTTTGACAAGCACGGGCCATTCCCAAGGCTGTCTGCGATCCGAGCTCTCTCTATCACGCGCATTGACTATCCATTTCATGGAACGAGTGCAATTCGTCAGTTGGAAAGCTATGTTGATATCAGTGCGCTGAGCACATGCTTTCGCATATCGTGCCACTAGAGGACAGACGACTTCCGAGATCAGCCATGCTACGTGCGGCCTGAAAAACACCCTAGTGATCTGTCTTTGAGTTGGCATTCTTCTAATGCAGCTCCCTTCCGGCCGAATAACGAGTACACCGTTCTTCCTAAACAGGAGATGCCGGACGAAAGGCTTCAGATCGAGACTGACATGGCCATGTCTGCTCATTGGACAGGATCTGCCTTGCAAAAGCACATATATGACATCTCCTCATCCCCAGCATAAACGAGGATACAAGGTATGGCCTTGATGTGTACAAGATTCTTCGTCGTTAAGATCGCAAGTTGGTGTGTGTATTTGGCGGTGTCGGATCGATGTGAACCGATGTCTCCCAAATATATACCCGTATGGGTTCCTTCTTGGCATCGTCGAATGTGAACCAGCAGTGCTCTCAATTGTAAACCCGTAGCATCGTGGTCATGATGATAGCCACAGAAGACAGTATTATCATGGATGAAGACTTACAATGTGGAAGTCAAACGGATAGCGCCGGCTGCCGGGGTCCTCACGTGCTGCGGGGAAGCTGATTGATCCGCATCTTATCTCTCTCTCTCTCAGCGTCATCGCCATCTCCAACTCTCTCTCCGCCATCAGCCCACTCGGCCTGCCCCTTTCTCCCCAACGTCATCAATCTTATTGTAGGAAACTTACTTCAAACTCCTTTTTGGTTTCTCTTTTGATCCTCACCCGTCCACTGCATGGTCATGCTACGACTGCCTCTATGGCGCCAGTCGCCGCTCCGGGCGCACCGCTTCCCTGTGGCCCGTTATCGGCGAACTCCCAGCTCACCCGCTCCAGCACGCCCCAGCCATCGCCTCCTGTCCTCAACCTCAGCATCTTTCCCTACTCTCTCGCAGTTTAATCGGTCGGATTTCACGGGACAACCGTGGTCAGGAAATTATGAAGCGGGTCTCCCGACTGCAGGACCCCTGGGGTCGACTCCGGCTTTCGGAGCGCCGCGCATCACGCCTAAAACGTTGAAGCAGTACCTCGATCAGTTTGTGGTCGGACAGGACCGTGCAAAGAAGATCCTCAGTGTTGCTGTGTTCAACCATTACCAGCGGGTTCAGGAACTGCAACGGCGCGCGGAAGAGAATGCAGAGCTGTTGGCGAAACGGACCCGGAGAGAAGCTATTGAGCACCATCCGCTTGAAGGTAGGGCTTGCACCAGCAGTTCACAGTGACCTCAAAGAATGATTCCATTTTTTTGAATCATTGACTAATACGGAGTAGATGACTTCCCCGGTCAACAGAAAACTCCCTCCATCGCCCCTCAGTCGAATCGGCCGCCGCCTTCGGAGCAGCCCGAACTCAACGATCCGCCAGCGCTGGAGTTAGAGAAATCCAACATCCTCCTCCTCGGCCCGTCTGGAGTGGGTAAGACGCTTATGGCGAAGACGCTAGCAAGGGTCCTCTCTGTCCCCTTCAGCATCTCCGACTGCACCGCGCTCACCCAAGCTGGCTATATCGGGGAGGATGCTGAGGTGTGCGTTCACCGACTCCTAGCTGCTGCGAACTATGACGTCGAGCAGGCCGAGCGCGGCATCATCGTTCTGGATGAGATGGATAAAATCGCAGCGGCCAAGGTCAGCCACGGAAAAGACGTCAGCGGAGAAGGCGTGCAACAGGCGCTTCTCAAGATCATCGAAGGCACAACTGTACAGGTGCAGGCGAAACAAGAGAAGAACGCCCCTCGTGCAGGCAGCGCACCCAACAGTTACCCATCCAACAGCCCGTTGGGGAACCCACCATTCCCTCCGCCCACTGGCGGCAACACGCCCCAAAAGGGCGAAGTATACAACGTCCGCACGGACAATATCCTGTTCGTCTTCTCCGGTGCATTCGTCGGCCTCAACAAAGTGATCATGGACCGCATCTCGCGCGGATCCATCGGATTTGGCCAGCCCGTCCGCTCACAGTCCACCGCCAACGAGCGATCCGGAGACTCAGGCGCCTCAAACAATCAACCGATCCCTATCGTCCCGGGATCCGATGAAGAAGCCCTATACAAGAAACACCTCCCATTCTTCAACCCCACGACGCCGCAAACCCCAGACAGCGAACCCGTATACTTCAACGCCCTAGACCTGCTCAACCCCACCGACCTCCAAAGCTACGGCTTCATCCCCGAGCTTGTCGGCCGCGTCCCCGTCACCGCCGCACTATCCACCCTCGCCCAACCCCTCCTCGTCCGCATCCTCACCGAACCCCGCAACTCTCTCCTCGCCCAATACACAACCCTCTTCTCCCTCTCCGGCATCGAACTCCGCTTCACAACCCCTGCCCTGCACAAGATCGCCGCAAACGCCTTCACAATGGGCACCGGCGCGCGCGCCCTCCGCACAGAAATGGAAGCCATCCTCAGCGACGCAATGTTCGAAACCCCAGGGTCGAGCGTTAAATTCGTCCTCGTCACAGAGAACGTCGCCGCGCGCGGTGAGAAGCCCATCTATCTCGCCCGCGGCCAGGGCGGCAAGTTCCACGCTACAATCGCAGCTGAGGAGAGCCAGTGGGAGGATAAAGCGCGTCGCGAGAAGAATAAGGAGAGGAAGAAGAAGGGTGATGCTGCCCAAGCTAATGATGCTAACGACCACGACGATCCTTCTGGCTTTCACGAGTATCGCTCGCGAGCGGCGGGTTCTTAGTGTTGACTCATGGCTCTTCGAGCTGCTCTCTCTCACTCCCTACAGGCTCTCTTGATCATTGCCAGTAAGGCACACACACACATCCAAGTTTATACCAAAATGAGCGCATGTTTCCTCTTCTCGTATTGTGAATATCAACCGCTATCGTACGGCGTTTCTTGGAACTTTTGCATATTTATTTCATTTCTGCGTCTCGTCTTTACAGCTCCTTGGTTGATCATATTATGGATATCATGAATTGCGGGCAATTATCTCAATTTCATTAATGGAGTGCATTTATTCACCTTCATTTCTCATTTCTCATTTCTCATTCTCTTCCTCTCTCTAATGAGATCCTTAAATACACGTACATGTGTAGGCGTGCGTGCATCGCCTGAAAAACAAGAGACAAAAAAAGTTTTTGCAACAAAAAAAAGAAGAAGAAAGGTACTTTACATACATGGTATCGTAGTGGTTGGCATCGACCGACCAATTTAGTTTTAATCACCCACCAAAAGTTTTCTTTCTTTTACGAAGGCCCTGGAGAAGAAGAGCACGGAAACAAAACAGCCAAGTAGATGTGATCACTTGTACCCCTGCGGATACTGAGGCCGCGAGGGATTCTGCGGATGTCGCCTATCCCAATCCCGATCCCCTCCCTGATCCCCTCCCTCGCGCGATCTCCAGCCGTGGTTACCGCCAGGTCTGGGAGTCTGCGGCGTCGTAGGCGTGCGCTGCGTGGAGCGAGGGTCAGTCGACGACGAAGGCGGTGGTCCGCTTTTTCCCTTGACGATCCAGTCGTATTTCTTGAAGTCGATATTGAAGGCGGTCATGAAGGCCTTGGGCCCGTGTTTGACGTCTACGTGCTGCCAGGCGCTCCAGCGCTCGGGAGGGGGCAACTGCGTGACAACGTGGAAGTGACGGAAGACGTGCGAATTGACGAGGGCCCAGCCGGCGAAGAATTCAGCCAGGTGGTCCGTGTTGCGGTGTTCCTGGGAGAGACCCTTCGGGATGTCTGGGTTGTCGACTTCGCTGCGGGAGCCGTAGTTCGGGAGGAAGGGGGGCGAGATGACTTTGCTTTCGTGGTATTCGTCGCTGTCGCCGGCGAGGATTTCGGCGTCGAGCTCCCTTTGGCTGGAGGTGTAGCTGAGTTGGAGGATGTGGTGACACATGGCTATCCATCTGAGAGGGGGGTGGGTGAGTACTTCTTTTGTGTTGGTTTTTTGGTGGGGGTAGTGTGACATGTACTTACATTGCGTGCTCTGAGGGCTCCCGGGGCTCGGGTAGCTCAGACAGCCAGTTTATGATGTCCGGGCGCAGCATGATCTTCCAGCTCCCCGGGAACTTCTTGTTGGCGTAATCGTTAAACCAGGCAAGGATGATCAGAGACGCGCGCGGCTGGCGAAGCATAAAATCTTCCGTCATGAGGATCACGCCCCCATGAGGGAAGATCCGCTGGATATGTGTTCTGTGTCGCACGTACTGGAGAGGCGTCGCGAGTGACAAGTTCCAGAGGGTAAATTTACCTGAGAGGATCTCTCTGAAAGATGGCAGTGTGTAGTAGTCGACGAAACTCTTATGGAACTGAGCAGATGTTAGTGCTTCCAGGTTTTTGTATGCAAAGACCAAACCAGCTTATAGACGGGACCATACCACAATGACGCCGGCCTTGGACACGGCAAACTTCTTCCAGTCTTCCGGTAGGTGATTGGAGAATACCACTGCATTATTATTGTCGAGAAACGCCTTGAGGATCTGGTATTCCTGCTGGGTGGTTTCGTTCCCCTCTGGAAACATAAGATAGAAGCTCTGGCTACCACTCGCCATATTGACAGCCGCCAGAGATTTGAAAGTGATCCCGAAGTGTGTCATGAAGAGCTCGTTCAAGTCAAACCCTTCAACAGGCGGTAAAGGCCGCTCCGTAATCTGGAGAACTACTGCTTCAGGCTCTGGGGCAAGTGCGACAGGCGGAATGGGTCGGATGGGTAAGACAGCGGGAGGAGAAGCGGGAGGAGGGAGAGGGGTTTGAACAGGTTCGGAAGATGGAGGAGATCCAGGAGGAATAGAATCGAGTTCCATGGGCTCTGACATAGCTTCCGGGTCGTCGCGGGGTGGACTTGTATTTTGGGGCGAGTGGAATGCTCCTCGACTGTTGCTAGGTGGATGTGTATCTCGAGGCGAGGGAAATGATCCTGGGTTGTTGCTAGGTGGATTTGTATCTTGGGGCGGGTGAAATGCTGTTGGGCTCTTGGTGTTGGCCGGCAGTATAGTGCTTTCCTGTGATCCCTTTGACGTAACGCGCTGAGTAAGGGGTAGATTTATCTGCAAGGGAGCCGTCGAGTCACTGTTTCTGTGAAGGTCTGCTTGGGACGTGGGGGCATCCCAGGGCGTGCGTTGGGAGATAGGTGTATTTGTGATCCATGGCGTTCTTTCATGAGAGATAGACTCGTCTACCGGACTTTGCAAGGATTGCTGACGCTCGCGCAATGAGGGGATTATTTTATGAATACGACCCAATGTGCTCCGTACGACGAAGTGAAGAGGGGACCGTGGATCATTTTGCATGCCATCACTGAGGAATCCAAAGCCTGTTGAGCCAGGTGGATAGACAAGAACCACGTTGAACGGATACTTGTCAGAACCAAATATTCCCACCATGTTCCTACGTTGTAGTAATTCTGCAAATTTCACGAGATCCGGTTCTGTATCTTCATATGCATGGACTGACCCTGTGCAATATTTTTGGTTGGCAGACTGGTTGACGGTTAGGTAATGTATAAACAAGAAGAGTGATTCTTGTGCTTCACCCTCTTCTTTTATTCTTGTGTCTGCTTTGTTGTCCGGACAGAAAGAAAAGGGTCATGGATTGTACCCTACTTACATTTTGGCATAACCTGTCATACTCATCAAGCGAGCAGAGGTACTGAAACCACAAGTCCACTTCGCCATCTCTCTTACAATTTAGAAGATTCTTTCGACTGTAAGAACTGAGGCCAGCCAATCTGACATTGCCAACCGGGGTGTTTAGTGGGCCATAATGCATAGTGATGAGAAGGTCGCCTGGGTCCAAAAATCGCTTCACTCCGTTTTTCGCAATAATGTATTTGCCACGGGGTTCCCGCGATGGTTCCCACGGTCTGTCAGACCTCGAATCACGAAAGCGGTCTGGGCGATCAGCGTCCACGGGGGCCCGACTGGATACCTCGTCGCCTTTTTGGGCGTCAAACCTTGAATCACGAAAGCGGTCTAGGCGATTAGCGTCCATCGGAGGCCAATTAGATATCTCGTCGCCTCTTCGAGTATCGAACCTCCAATCACGAAGGCGGTTTGGACGGTCAGCGTCCACCGGAATCTGATCAGACACCTCGTCGCCTCTTCGAGTATCAAACCTCGAATCACGAAAGCGTCTTGGACGGTCAGCGTCCACCGGAATCTGATCAGACACCTCGTCGCCTCTTCTAGTATCAAACCTCGAATCACGAAAGCGGCTTGAGCGATCAGCGTCCATGGGAATCCGACCGGATACCTCGTCGGCCCTTCGAGTGTTACGCGGAGAATCGGACGGCGACGGCCCTGCAGGGGGTTCAGTCTTGTCGTTTTCCGGATGACGACGGGTATCCGTTAGAGACTCGCTTTCAACAGTTGTCTGGACCATGTAAGGGCCAAGTTTTGCTGCATTGGGGTTCGACATGGGAGTCCACTTCGACGGCGGTACGAGGTCCAGTTGATCGATATTCGGAGGAGGCTCGTCTCTCTTCGCCTTTTCATACCTCCACCTGGTCGACAGACTGAACCGATTGTTTGGGTCGGTGTTTGACGCCTTCCTGGCCGTTTGGGGGCGTTTCTCACTGCCACTCCCAAAGAGAATTGGTGGCGGGGCTGGCTTTGGCGGCTTTGGCTGCGAGGAGAGAGCCGGCTGAGCATTATGTGATGCTGTCGCTTTGGTGACAGGCTGACCGACAGCATCGGAGCGAGACCCCGTCAACGGGACATCGGACGTTCTACGCTCGTTGCTGGCGATTCCAGTGAGGCGACGAGGAAGGCCCAGGCTTTGTCTCTTGGCTGCCCTCTTTCGTTTTCTCTCCTGGCTGGCTTCCTCGAGAGCGAATACATGGTTTTCCCATTTGATGATATCAAAGGGTTGACGCCTTCCTTCCTCGATGGCACGCTTCGTCCTCGCCCAATCCGCCAGGGTCTCGGGCGTGTTGAACGAGTCGGCCGGTTCCCAGGAACAGCGTTCTATGGGATAGCCTCTCCATTTTACAAGGTATTGGGGTTGACCATCCGGAGCCTCCAACTCACCCAAGACGGACTCCACTTCATATTCTGAGAGTTGTTCACTGGGGGTGGTAGAAGTGAGGGAGATCTCATCGTCACTCTTGCCCGTCATTGCGCGTGCCCATGACAAGGCGTTCAGGATTGAGGCTCAATTTCTCCCACGGAACGGGGGCAGATCATCAAGGAATGTCCGCAGTGAAATCATGGACCAGAAAGGCAATGGCAAAAAAGAGAGAGAGAGAGTTGAAAGCGGTTAAGATCACCACCACCTGTATGATAGTTCCCGTTATCACCGCCCCGGCGTTTAGGGGACTTTGGACGGTCAAACCTTGTGAATTATTTGATCAGCATGTCCAGTGCAGATACGAGAGACCGACAGCAGAAGTGAGATGGATAATGCTTCAGCTAATCAACATGTACTGTTTATCAGTGTTTATCTGGATTAGGATATAGATCTGGAAATATTCGCATCAATACAATCGATAGTCCGCGCACTACAGACGAAGACAGCGACCGGGGGCCGCACGTGATGGCACGCTAACCGGAAGGAGCCTAAGGCATTCGGCACAGCGATGGGAGCATCTCTGGATAACCTCCTCCTATCCTCCTATTGTCGTGCTTCTGTCTGTCTCCTTTGCCTACTTCCTCTTCTTGCATCTTCCTCCTTGTGATCCTTCTTCTCATTTAGTTTCTTGGCTGTACGTATACTGACTCCTTTCTCGTTCTTTCTCTTCTACTCCTGCTTTATTGGTTGGGATTTGGGTTTTGTTTGGTCCCGTACAGTGCTAACCTTACTGTTGTCCCCCCTCTAGCGACCACTGCTCACCCTGTTGGTGTTCCCTACGTTCATCCCTATCTCCTACCTCGAGTCTTACACCTTCTAGACACCGTCAAACCTCCATCCGCAAACAAAACACCCTTCATCATGGCTAACGACGAGTATGATGTGAGTACTGTCCCCTCCGTCATCCCTGTCCGACTATCTGTGCCATAACTAATGGGGTCGATCCGCCAGTTTCTCTTCAAAGGTAATGTTGCCACCTTCTGCCCCCGCGCAGCCACCGCAACCACCCCCCTTTCTCGCTCTTTTTCCCAGTCGCTCGAGAATAGGATAAATATGATGTGATTGGGGATAAAAAAGAAACGAATGTAAAAAAAGGAGAATAAAGGCCTTGGACTGACCGATATGTTGGCCAACAGTGGTGCTGATCGGAGACTCGGGCGTCGGAAAGTCCAACCTGTTGAGTCGTTTCACTCGCAATGAGTTCAACTTGGACTCCAAGTCTACCATCGGTGTCGAGTTCGCCACCCGCTCCATCCAGGTCGACTCCAAGACGATCAAGGCGCAGATCTGGGATACCGCCGGTCAGGAGCGTTATCGCGCCATCACCTCCGCCTACTACCGTGGTGCCGTCGGGGCCCTCCTTGTCTACGACATCAGCAAGCACCAGACCTACGACAACGTCAACCGGTGGTTGAAGGAACTCCGCGACCATGCCGACTCCAACATCGTCATCATGCTGGTCGGAAACAAGAGCGATTTGAGACATCTGCGCGCCGTGCCCACGGAGGAGGCCAAGCAGTTTGCCAGTATGTTTGCGCTTGGGTAGTCTAGGTCTGAGGATTGATCTTATGCTAATCGCTCGACAGGCGAGAACAACCTCTCTTTCATCGAGACCTCCGCTCTCGACGCCAGCAACGTGGAGCTGGCCTTCCAAAACATCCTCACAGGTTCGCTCCCTTCCCCCGCGCGCATGATTCAACCGGTTACTGACACACCTAGAAATCTACCGTATCGTTTCCAGCAAGGCTCTCGAGGGCGGGGAACAGATCAACGTGGGTAACCGTGAAAAGATATCGATCGAGAACACCCAGGATTCGGAAGCCAAGCCGGGCTGCTGCTAGAGCGTTGGCCATGTACCCGCGACGAGTTTATTTTTCTTTTTTGATGTGATAATCGAATGGTCTTTGAACTTTCAGTTTGTCATTTGCTTAGCCTCCACGGAGATGATACACAAGAGGGGACATTGTTTTCGGTCATGGACCGTTGTATGACGCACCACACTAGCTTCTTTTTCCCTTGTTCTTTTTCTTTCTGACCTTTGTTTTCTATCCTCTTACGTCTTTTCTACCTTCTTATTTTTTTCTCTCCCCCATGACTTGTTTGAAATTGATATTATCTTGATTAACGGATTCATGTCTGCTGGTCTTCCTGACCTTATCTGGTTCCGGCTAGTCTACAGGGATTCGGTTACCGGCGTTGTTGAAGAAGTACATACATTACATACATTGATTGGTCTAGTTTGGTTTGTTCTTTTCCTTTGTTCTTCGTCCACGATCATAAGAACCCCCTACAGAGTCACAAACAAGCAAAACGTAAGGGTGAATGAGGTTGAGGCCACATGGCGTAGAAATAAAAATGCTTGGTAGACCCCACCATAGCCAAACCTCCGAAATGACACTGCTCACCGCAATTAAGGCCTAGCCCACCCTTTTTTTCCCACAGCTAGCACCACCACAATCCTCATTATCATAATCAACCCATGCAAATTCCAACCATGATATAATTATGAAGAGGAAGTGGAAGTCAAAATACTGCCAACGGCAATACTAGCATTAGTGGTAACCAAAATCCAACACCGATGACGACGACCTGGACATAATAGGCCCACCGCAAGCGGAAGAGACCCAGACCCACGCCTACCAGAGGGGGGACTGAACCATGGTATGAATCCGGTGCTGTACGCGTAGTAGCTAGCTATACTGTGCTATACTATGTTATGCTATAGTAGACAAGAGATAGCCATACATCCCTGAGATAAATCATGGCTTTTGTCTAGTCCGCCGCAACATCTATTCTACAGGGACAGATATCATAAGCCTGTCTCTGTCTTTGTAGGTCAAAAGTAATGGGAATAGGGCAAAATATCTAGCTCTGCAATTAACATTATGTGTATATAACCGATACCCACTTGACAGTTAACATAAGTAGGTAATATAATGATCTCACCGACCCAACGGCCCCTAATAAGATTAAAAACACCACACTACCTACCAAACAAAGTAACAACGTATACCATAACCAGCAGTCCCCCCTACCAAAGACCCCCAAAGCAAGTCACTACAGACAGTAGCAACTATTATGTACTAGCCAGGGACAGTGTCTCCACCAGACACAAGACCATGTGGATGCATGGTCCCCCTTGTCCCCTATCCAGCCACTAATCTTCCAGGGTGTGGTTTAGGGCGCGACGATCAGGGGGGAGGGAAAGGCCGTTAATGTGTGGTTCTGTTAGTCAATGCTTTATCGTGCGCTGCGAACCGAGGGGTGCTGGTTAGTGATTACTGGGAGGGGAGGCTTCGAGGGATTCTGGAACGTTTGGGGTGGGACTTGTGGGAATTGTTGTTACTAACCTGTCTTAGTCTTGCTTTCTTGGTTGTCTGTGTGTTGGATTACCTGTGTTGTTGGTGTTGTTATGATGGATGTGCTGGAAGGTAGATCAAATCTGACCGTATTCCCTGGAAAACTTGACTGTTTTGATAGTGACAACAAATGATCAAAGAATCTATCGCTAACATAGATAAAACAACTCAACTATCTACTCGCACAACCCCTACCTCTCGACCGGCAATCGCAGCGCGAAACTCTCCCACATCCTCCCCCCTCTCCGCCATCACCCACTCCAACGTATCACCAAACGTCTCCCCATTATCCCGGAACCACTCCCCCAGACTCTGCACGAAAACCTCCACCTGCTCCTTCATTGGCGCATACTCCCGCAGCCACAGCACCTGTCCCGGATCCAGCTTCATCATGTCCTGCACGACGTAGTAATGCGGGATCTCGTCACCCCAGCCCTCAGCCCCGGGGTCATGGAACAGGTCGTTCCGGAACCGGGATCGATACTTGGCTGGTGATTCCGTTGCGATCGATGGGTGCGCCGAGTAGAAGGGCTGCTCGACGCGCTTGTCGGGGCCGAACGTCGAGCCCGCGTCGGGGCTGGGGTAGTTGAGGTGGATGTTGAACGCCAGCTGGTGGTTGCCCTCGGGGTATCGCTTGCGGAACTTGCGCTGGATGGTCCCGTTGCTGGGGCAGATATGGTTCTGTACAACATCCCCGACGACGGCCCGCACGTCCTCGATCTCCGCCAGCTCCCCCGGCGACCAGTTATGCAGGAGCTGGGCGCGCTCATGGACAACGGCGCGCAGGTTGCGCGAGAGGCGGTCGTAGGCGCGCGCGTGGAACGCGCGGTGGTACAGCCAGAGACGGTAGAGAGCGCGGCGTAGACGAAAGCGCTCTAGAGACGTCAGGGAGCGGCGGTTCTCGTAGTCGAGCTTCCACTTCTTGACGGGGTAGATGATTTCCCATTTCTGCGCGACCCGTCCTATCCTTACCATCTGCTTGAGCATCGGGTCTGAGATCGGCGCCGTCCGGGCGACGTGTGCGGGCTGGCTTTGGTTTTGCGTTACGATCTGGGCGATGTCGTGGAGGGGGCCGAATTCCCGTTCGGCTACGTCTGCGAGGAGCTGGAGCTTGTTGGATTGACGGTAGACGTGGTGGAGGCGTCTGGTGGTCAATGCGAGGTTCAATACGTCGTGGATGCTTTCGCAGGAGCGAAATATGTGGAGCAGGAGCTCTGTGGCTAGAATGTTGAATGACATGGCTGGTTCTATGCTTGTGGGATATACTTTGCTTCGTCAGCGCTGGAAATTTGTTGTTCAGTGGTCACAGCACTCACATTGCTAAAAGATGGCTGTAGCAGTATTTTGAAATAGTACGAAATCACTGAATGTAAATGCGATTCGTTATGTGTCTGATGCACGGTGCACAGCGTTGCTGATTGACTCAACACTGCTGTCGCAATCGAGTCGGAGACCTAAGTCGCGACCCCGCTCTTGGGGCTGTCTGAATCGAAAAGGGACTTGATAAAAAGCTGAGTATGCATGATGGAGATGGGCGTGTGACATTGCAGTAGCCACCGAGGGCTAGATAACGAAGGTAATGCCATGATGCTTGAGGAAGGGATGTAATGACGACGGCGTCGCGCTGCTTATAAGGCGCCGCTATCAGACGCTTATCTAATCACTCCCTAGAAAGGTCAATATCATCGATTTCGATCAATTTGTACGGGGACAGTACGGAGGGTATGAGGTTTATAAGGTGACTCATTACTGCTCGTCAATGGACTGACGAGTAACATATCTATACAGACGTTGGATCACACAGACGACAAGTTTGAACTGATTACATCAACAGACTTTTATAAATTCACACCAGACGCCAGAACAGGACCGCAATCGTTGGATCCCATGCATCAATCACATGTACATCCCCTGAGGATATCAAGTCTAATAGCCTTTGGACCAGAGAGGGAAAAGAAAAGAGAAAATGCAGCAGTAAAGGGGAAAGAAATCATCCAAACAGCTTCTTCGTATCCAGCGCACCGGGCTTCCGGCCCTCCGCCAGACCCAGCGTCGACCGCTTCGTGACCCGGTCGCTCTCCGCTTCCCGACGGTTGACGTGACGAGCGGCCTTGCTCACACGGATCTCGGAACGGACCTGGTTGGGGCTGACGTATTCCTTGTTCTCGTAGATGACCGGACCGCCGAAGCTGCCCTCCAGAATGACAATGGGCGTCAAGACGAAGCGCGGCCCAACCTCAACCAGGGACACCTCCGGCTGCGCATCCTTGCCCTTGGGAGCGGGCTTCGCCTCGCCCTCCTCCGGCTTCTTAGCCCCCGCTTCCACCTCCCGGATCTCGTAGACACGGATCCAGATCTTTCCATCAACGCCGAAGATACCGATGATGCGATCGATGAACGGCTTCATGCCCTTGACACCGCGCTTGGGGACGCAGAACACGCCGCGCAGCATCTCGCGCACCAGGCCCCGGTACTCGTTGCCGGGCTTGCTCATCTCGGGACCCTGTTCGTCGAACGACTGGTCGAACACCACAAGGCCGCGGCCGCCCTTCAGGCAGTTTCCGCTGAAACCGGCGTTCAGCTCACCCATCGTGTGCAGGTTGTTGACGTGGAACTTCAGCGTGGGGCCGTTGGGGGGACGAGAGAGCCACAGGTACAGATCTTGGCCGCGCTTGCGGGCCTCGAGGAAGAAGATCACGTTGCAAGAGTGAAGGTCCGCGAGGGAGTTAAGCAGCATATTGTAACCGGCCGTCTTCTTCTTCGTGTCGAGCTTGGTCTCTTTGCAGGCATGGGGAAGCAGACCGGCCAGATCTGAGAGCAAGTGTCGGTGGCTGCATTGAGAAAAAACGAGAGAAAAAAATCAGCCCTGTTTTTGAAATATGCAATGTCGAGCGCAATAAACTTACCGATAGGAAGCACCTCGAGAAGTGAGCATCAGAACGCGAGACTTGGGCATGAACCCAGAAGCAAGCTGCTGTTTGGCGACATTCGCCGCATCTTCGTCCTCGTCCTCTTCGCTGTCGGTGCTATCTTCGTCGCTGAGAAGATCCTCCATTTGGATATCCTCGTCCTCCTCCTCTTCTTCCTTCGCAAGTCTGCGAGCATTCTTCTTCGACATGGTCTTGTAAACGGCCGCCATTGTGAATATATTTAGGGGCAGCTGTGAGGGGGAAAAATTGAGAAGTGGGTTGGGGTAAATACTCTGCGACAAAAAAGCTTCGGCGAAAATCAAAAAAGTTGCGGGCAGAATATTCTGCTCCCCTCACCGCCCCCGTATCAGCGCCCACGTGACATTACCCGAATAGGCAGTTTATCTTTACGATTATTTTGTATGCCTCAGGCAGAAATATCATACATTGCTGGGTATATCTACTTGTCGTAATCATTGGAAAAATATATTCAATATACATCAAACACAGAGAAAACATAGCTGATCCAATCCCAAGCTACGTCTCAAAAAACTCGGTTCAGATTGGAGAAGCCCTCTTGGGCTACTTTCATTCCAGCCAGGCGATTGGCAAACTCAAGGCTTTCATGAAGAGAAAAGTCCTTGTTGCTAATGTGGGTATAGAGGATACCCCCGATGAATGTATCACCAGCACCGATGGTACTGACAGATATCAGATAAGTGTTTACACAATGCATATTAGAAGGGAAGAGACTTACTCGACAACCTGAAAACCAGGAGGAGTGTATGCGGAACCGTGGGAAGTCTGGCCAGCGCGTTTGTCTAAGCCCCAAGCTCCCTCTTGGCCCCATGTGCAATATAGCGATGATCTGGAGACAGTTAGCACATCTATTATTGCAAACAAAAACTCTCAATATCATACGCCTTGGCTGTCACAGCGGCTTGACCGTGGAGGCATTCATGAGCAGATTTGTATCCATTTCCCTACAGCCAGTCGAATTAGTGCATCAAGCTTTCCATAAACTAGTTTGCAATCTTGATAATGCTTACCAAAGCCCAGCTTTTAGAGTAAAATATAATGTCAGCCTCCGCTGCAAGCATCTCTAGCCCCGGTCGTTGGGGTTTCTCCACCTCCACGCTGACAACCACGTCAGGAAATTGCTGTCTCAAGTAGCGTATGCATTCCACAGTCACATCGGGAATCCGGCCCTAGCAGCTGATTAGTCTGTGCCGCGAATATACCAAAAACACAATCTTACTTCAAAATGAAAAAGCCGCGAGTAATGCCCAAGACGGTCAGCAATGCTGGTAAACTCGTCGATCTCCATCTCAGGGAGCTCGTTGTAATTTACGATGGTCCTGCTCCCGGACGCCTGGCTCTTGATGATATAGCTTGACGCAGGCTCGCTGAATTGCTCCCGGTAAATGCAGTGGCTCAGATCAACCCCTTGAGGTAACGAAGTCTGGACCTGCTGGACCCCCGCTGATGATTTGGCGGGGAGGACAGAAACGAGACCTAGTTGAAGGTCTGTTTTGAAGGGACAGTGCTGGATCAGTTGTTGCAGGACCTCGATGCTGTTGGGGCAGTTGCCTCCCCGGCGATGGGTTATACTGCTTGCGCGCAGCTTTTCATCCTCTCCGGGATAGTGGGGTGCTCTGGTGATTGTTTGTGAGAGTGTTGATATGACGTTATGGGCGGGAAACCTACGTGAGGATGGTGTCAATGTAGCATGCCCCGACGCCTATCAAGGCCGGCCTTTCTAATCGTTCGAGAGCTTCTCTCTTCCCAGTATCCATGCTGTATCAGTTGACTTGGGCGATGATTGTTTCAGCTGTGTTTCCTTCAGGATGGAGGAGGGGTAAACGCGCATTCTTGGAGTTGATACGGTATTTGATTAGTCATTAGGGTATATGCTCCCTCTGTCGATATATAAAGAAACAAGACACAACTAAACACATCCAAAATGTCATTGATCGCACTCCACTAGCCCATACACTAGAACTGCTGTTGCAACATGACCGAGAAAGCAGGTCAAACACAATTATATACACACGCCAACCCCATCTACTGAAAATACTGATGAGAAGGGTGGTGGCTCAGCTCGACCGCGTACTGTGGACTCTCCACATAGTGAACGTTCGTTGAGATGGAAGCCCGCGGAGGTCGATTAGGAGCCCCGTGGTTCCAATTTCTCTGCACATTATTCCGTTGCCGCCCTTGCGGCGGCTGGGTTGGACCCCTGACTTGTGCATTTTGCGTAAACCGAGAAGGCCCCGTTGGGGTAATGGGCGGTTGTCGTGCTGTCCGATTTGGTCGGCCAAGGGGGTTCCGGTTTGGGTTTGGGTTTTGCTGTCGATCTGAATTGCCAACGGCTGGTTAGTACCTTGCGGTACCGAGGGATTGATTGGACTGGACAAGGAACTCACAGGGCAACGGCGTATCCGCCTGTGGGGATGCTGTCTCGCCAACGATAACGACATCATCCTCAAATTCATCGTCATCTAACTGGTCGTCGTCTTCGTCACTTTCAATCTTGGGGCTCATATTGCCCATCTCTGCGGCTACCTCCTGGCGTTCTTCGCGGTACTCTTCTGCCATCTCACACAGGTATATGAAGCGTCGTCTGCAAAGTCAGTGGTTACTGATGGGCGGGACGACGTGCGGCGGGCACAAACCCCGGAGAAACATACCTTAGCATATCCACGGAATATTCCTCCCCTCCCAGAATCTCCGAAAGCTCTTTGAAGTTGGGAACCTTCATGTTGGTCTGGGCAAATATAGCCAGAAGCACCTGGCGGTCCCGTCGGTGGTTCCAACGCTTCCATGTCATGGGTGTGCGAGGGCGTTTGGCGACGCTCGACGGCTCCAGTTGCTCCCTCTGTGTGTTCGGCGCCCTTGGTGTATTTGGAACCCTCGGTGTATTTGGAATCCTCGGTGTACTCGGCTTTGGAGCACGTCGATTTCTAGACATCGCGGTAGATAGGTTCGAAAGCCCTATATACACTGGATATAAAAACGAGCGACTGGAAGAAATGTGGAGGAGGAAAGAACCTACTCTAGAATGCCCACAATTTATACGACTGAGAAGCGGCATTATTCTCAGACGCGTAGAGGCGCGCGCGCGTCGAAACGCCTAAGCAGTGGGGATGAGCAGAGGAGCTGCGAGCTATCTAGGCTAGCTCTCGTGGTATAGGACATGTAGCATCCATTGGACGATTAGGGCATATTGCAAGGAAGGAAGGGCTAGTATGCTGACCGGAAATACACGGGTCCAGGAGGACTGGTCAGTTGACGGTGCGGCTTTGTATCAAAGACAAATTTACTGTTGATCTCCACGGAGTGAATGCGATTTTTTGGGTATTGTGTGAAACGGGGGTAGAGAGTGTGTGTTTGAGCTATCACATTGGCCCACATGGCTGCATGAAGCCAAGCGGATAAAAGCCCTCCATTTGCATTGGTCGAAAATGTTTTCTCCAGATGTACGGTACAAAGGATGCTAATGACAAAAAAAATCCGATGCGTTTCTTCTCATTTGTGGTGTGGAGGTCATTCAGTCAGGTTGGTTGTTAGAAGAAAGGACTGTAACTATGTCAGTTGAGTGGAGAGAACACTCTTCTGTCGACCTGACAAACAACATGATCTATTCAGTATAATACCCACAGGTTGGCAAAGAAAAAAGAACAGTTGTAAATAAAAGAGAAATTCCGATACATAAATGTAATTCTGCAGGTGGCAACAGTGGTTCCCAGGGGTCATGTCATTTCCTTTTGTCTTTGAGGACGGATATAGGGCTGGAAGAACCATGTGACACCGGACTGTTGGCAATGGAATGCAGGCACCCGTGCTTGCAAATAATTTCTAGAGGCATGTTTTGGAAGACAAAAAATCGCTATATCTGAGTTGCTGGTTCTCTTGCATTGCCATGCTTTGTCTTCTACGGCTGAGTACAACCTGATGCAAGACATGCGAACAACCACCTGAACAGAGATCAATCCCATTGAGGCTGTCCAGACTGATCTGCAAAAGAATAGCCTCAAACTGGTATCTGTTTTGTCTACTTTGTGTCAATGGATCTGCTTTCAGTACGTGGTGTTGCCACTAACCAGTGCACCTCCAGATAGTAGCTGGGCCAGAATATATATTAGGGCGGAAGTGCACCAGAGTGCATGTTTCTCCATCAACCTCAACCATCTACACTCCCACACACCAGAACTTCAAAAACTGTGCTCACTTTCTTCTTAATCTATCTTCTACTAGTTTGACTGTCTATTAGACCACTACCAACCATGTCCACAAATCCCCGCCGCGGCAAAGCAATGCCAACCGATGGCCCAACGCCTAAATTCCTTTATACGATCATCAAGCAGCTGGACCTGCGATCAGTAAGTACTAATTTCTGCAGTCTTTTGGAAGAAATTGGCTACTAATCGCGCACAGATTGACTGGAGCCTAGTTGCCTCCCAGCTAGAGATTTCCAACGGCCACGCAGCCCGTATGCGCTATGCTCGCTTCAAGCAGCAGATGGAAGGCACTGTACCTGGATCACGAGCAGCTCGCGCAAAGAAGTCCCCCAGCAAGTCCAAAAAGGGATATTCCAGCAAGGAAGACATGATGCGAGAATCGACCCCTGCTCAGCAAGAGCAGTCCCAACCTCAGCAGACTGTCAAACAAGAGCCGCTGATGTGCCGGTACGAGCCGAATCCTTTCGTCAAGAACGAGCCGTATGCGCAGCGGACTTTGAATATGGCCAAAATTCCCCATGTGTCTTCACACATGATGGCGCATCCGTCGGGACAGATGCTGGCGGCGCCATATCCCCATGGCACCGTTGCTCCCGTGGACCTGGCTATGTATCCCATGACCCCGAACTTTGGGTCTCCGGCTCCTTCGAAGCTTGAGAGACCCTCAGACCAGCTTTATGACTGGCCCCCGGTTAAGCTGGAGCAAGAAGTGAAGAGTGAAGTACACGGGGTGCCCGTCAAGCAGGAGCCGAAGCAGGAGCCGCCGCAGGATGACGATGAGGTACAATTCCAGGGTATGAGCGTAGTCGGAGGGACTGAGGCCATAGACGGCCGCCTGAAGTAGGTGTTTTTGCATTTCTTGTCTTTCCGGGATACGGCGTTGGGAGTATTCTTAGATTGGCGTCTATGATACTTGTTAGGCTTGATACAACAAGATACACAATGAATAGGATGGGACTTGCTTTATATTAGATGAAACCATACCCCAAAATGTTACCACTAGTATCCCATTCCCACTTGGAGGTGACTCTTTGCATGTATCTCGGCGTCCACCCTGGGATCTGTGTTGTTGACGCTCACCTAATCGCTATATGATCGTTTGCCTCAGAGATCGCCATGACGATTCCCACACTCACTTCGCGTCACGACGTCGTTTCACAGCAACAGATGATCATTCACAACTTGACGATGTAATCAAGATGGTGAGTCAGTGATCTTGCCATAACTTCTCCCACTTTTCTTGCGAGTTTTTGTTGTTGTTTTCTCTTCTCTTCATCCTCTCTCCCACCCTTCTCTCCACCACCTTCCATCAATATCTCACCAACCACTTACCTTGACATTAAAACACCTTCAGAAACATCTTTACCCATCTCTGGTAAGTCTATCAATCTATTTAAATATTATAAATCACAAAATTCCCCCACCCACTAACACCGACGGGCTAGTACCTGAAAGATGGCTCCCAAATCCAAGTCCGACACTAACGTCGACGGCGAGGTGACCCCTCAGGATGCCAAGTTCATCGTCGAATGTCTCAAGAGCATCGGCGACGACAAGATGGTAAGCGCGTCGTCTTTCATTCTAAACCTCACCTAAAAAGTTGACTCCCCACTTACAAAAACCCCAGGTGAACCTGGTCAAAGTCGCCGACGCCCTTGGGTACACCAACGTGGCATCGGTTGGAAACCGGTTCCGTGCCGTTAGAAAGCGCTACGGCTTCGAGCAACTCGAGGCCAAGAGCACTGGTATGAGCATCACCCCTAAGGGTAAAGCCAAGTTGGATGCTCTGGCCGGTACTCCCACCAAAGTGAAGCCCCAGGCTAAGGGCGTCATGGATGATTCGTCGTCCGATGACGACAGCTTTGTGACTGCCAAAGAGTACCAGTCTGGTAGCGACAATGAGGGCGAGACCAAAGCTTCTGCGTCGTCTGCTGGCCCTAAGAAGGCGATGGGTGGTCGTGGCAAGGATGTTGAGATGCGCGATAATGCCCAGGAGGCGCTTGCTCTCGCTGAGGATGCGGGTGCCTTTGTGAAGGTCGAGGAGTCGGCCGTTGAGGACGAAGGTGGGAGAGCCAAGTCTTGTTTAACCTTCTTCGTGATGTAGATGGTGGGACAGAGCAGTTGGCTGACTGTTTCTCCTTCAGTGGTCATCAAGTTTGAAGGTGCGGCCTAAGGGAGGTTGGGCTATGATGCCAGATAAGTTGGATTGTCTTCTTGTCTCTTGTGAGTCTTCTTTCTTTACTAGGTTTGTCTGGATGATGCTGATACAGGCCTAGTTGCATCTGCCCGACTGAGGTCGTGTTGCTTCTGGAGCTCGTTTGCCTTGAATGGATCTGGATTTGCAGATATCGGCTTGGACTTTTCTTCGTTCTTTCTTCTCGGTTGCGAACCAGTCCCTCGCTGGACAGGATTGCTGGACTAGGAGGAAAGAAAGGTTGTTGTCCGACAGGAATGATATCATGTTTCTAAATCAACTCAGTTAATCAAGAAAATTGTTTTCAACTTATTCGTGCTGTAGTAGACTAATCTAACTGGGTCTTGTATACTATTTCTTCTATTGAACTAGAGAAAAGGTGAGAGAAACAAGTGAGGTGGAAGTCAACCACCAACCCTTCACACTCCCTGACAACCAAGAGTCACTGACCCATTCACTACTCCATCTCCCCAACCACTTCTCGTTTGCCTCTTCTCACTCTACAGCCCATATACTCCAACTTGATATCTTCTCTCACAAGGGCTCCACGTAAACCAACTTACCATCCTACGCATCCTCGACGACGAGACCTCTAGCAAGATCTCCAACCTCTCTCCATCAACTATACCCTCACACCCTCAACTCTCACTATCCAAACTATCCCATTCTTAAGCCTACAAGCACAAAGGAAATACAAGCCAAAACAATGTCTCGAATCAGCGAACATGACGCGACCAAGTTCCTCCTGAGCTGCGTCCGCCACTCCAACAACGGAAAGGTCAGTGGAAATGAAGTCTTCACCGTTAACCAGAAGATCATCTCCTTCCATCTATAGGGAACAAAGAAGAATTGAAACTAACGAGAAACAAACCCACAGATCAACTTCGAAGAAGTCGCCACCGAATGCGGAATCACCTCCAAGGGAGCAGCGTAAGTCATGACGAATTTACTCGACAAAAAAACCAGCATACTAACAGGGATAAACAGAGCCAAACGCTACGAGCGCCTCGTCAAAGCCCACAGCTCCACCACCAAGGCCGCCCCATCCACCAACGACGAAAACGCCAACGCCAACGCCAACACTGGAGCGGCGGAGACCCCCAAGAAGGGGCGTTCTCCCGCGAAACGTAAGACTGCGACTGCGTCCGCCAAAAGAGCGGCTAAGAAAGCGAAGGGGAATTCGGGTGGTGCTGCCGAGGCCGAAAATGAAGAAGTGGTATCTAACAATTTGTCGAAGAGTGAGATGAAGAAGCTGGATGACGAGCTGGATGCTGCGAATGTTAGTGAGGATGACTACGCTGCTAGTGAGAAGACGGTGTCTGGTGAGATCTCTGAGGGTGAGATGAAGAAGTTGGATGAGGAGCTCGATGCTGCGGAGGTTCGTGATGAGATTTCTTCCCTTCTCTTTGAACAAAAGAAGAAACAAAACAAAGGGGAAAATAACAATGCTAATGCGGAGTCGGGAAGTCGTCTAGGTCTAAGGAAAGACAGATGGGTGTCTGTGTCTTTACAGAACAGAGATTTACCTGGGTGGCTATCTTGGGGGAACTTTCGAAGTGGATGATGATTGAAAACGTCGCGACTGCGCTGGGGCGAATCTGGGATTGTGCTATCTTTTGATATTCATGGGTTGGCCATTAGGGGCGTTTACGATGGCAATAGGGCTCCAACTTGTGTTTAGGAAGGGCGTCTAGGCTGGAGAATACTGGAAAGTGATAGCATCCAATACATGGCATTATTGATATTTCAATTCCATATGTCGTCTATCGTATATAACCTGATAGATGAACTAGCATGGGTATCGCTCAAGGGGTATCCGTGATCCAAATCAGACTTGGCGTGGACAAGAAAACAGCATCAAAGACTCGCGCTCCACATGATTGAAGTGACATGGGTGATTGCAAGTGGTATAGAAACATATAATGAAGAAAGAAAATAAGAAATCGAAAGGAAACACAGGCTGCTTCCACAGCTAGGCTGGATGTTTCTCAAACGACGACAATGTCGAACAAACATGAAAGACTCCCCTAGACGTCCGCCATGACGGACTCGAGGATTTTGCGTTTATAATTAGATAGAGATCGCTCTTTTTTCTGCATTTGAGCTCGGAGCTTCATGTACCGTTGCTTCCATGTTGCCTCCGACGTGGTGGGGTCGTCTCCGTCGATCTCAAATTCCGCGTCTGCTATCCCATCTAAGTCGGCCATGGTACTTTCTAGTTCGTCGGACGTTTTGGAAATCGGCGCAGGCTTGTCTACGCCACTATTCCCAAGGCTAAGACCGCCGTAGGTGACCTTGGTCGAGAAGCGGTATCCATGTTTGTATTCGTGAGAAATGGTATATATGGGAGGTGTTGGCGGGGTGGTGCTATGAAAAGCAGGTGAAGCGTCGACCCGGACTAGCATTGTGCTTTCTGTGACGCCGGGGTACCCGAAGTGTGGTCCTAGTCCGAGGTGGAGAGCGGACATGAGGACAGGCAAGCCCGACTGGAGTTGTGAATACGACGAAGTCATATTAGCCACTACCAATGCAGCCAAGCCTTGCGACTCCTCCACGCTGAGCGGGGTGGTTCGACCGATGAGTCGCCCGCGGAGCAGTTCGCCTGATAGCACGCGTACGACATCGTCAGATGTGATATCTGCAGTGGACTGGCTGCTGTTTCGGGGGGGATTCGACGCGATATGCGTGTTGGGGGCGGGTGCATCGTTCAGAACCGATGGACCGTTCCGTGGTTGGCCCTCGACTTTGAAGCCGGTGGGTGCCTTGTTGACTCCATTTACCATGAGAGTCGGCGGCGTTGCTAGGCGTACCGGAGCCCCTGAATGTTGAGGCACTTGCAGCTGCAGTTTGCTTGGTCGCCCGCCTCCGGGGAGTGGTGTGGGTGATTGTTGGTATTGGGCATTCGAGAAGCGATTGGGGTGGTCCTGTTCAAGGACGATCGCCGGAGCGGGGTGCACTTTCGATCCGTGCAGATGAGACGGTTCAGAGCGAATGATCGGGTTGACGGGAAACGAAGAGAAAGGCCCCGAGGACGTTCCCCGATTAGGGGGCCGGCCTCGAGTCTTCCCCGTGGATGACCCGACGGTCGTTGGCCAAGCAGAAGACACGGCAGGGCCATGGCGCCGCTTGGACCGAGTCTTCTCGCCAGTTGACGGTGTAACAGCAGATCGCGGTTCCGCCGAATGAATAAAAATGTCGGGGTGGTGACCACGAGGCAGGATCGCTGACTGCGGATAGCCCGCAGGAGACGGATCTCGCTCCAAGGGCCTCCATCGCAGCTCCTGGCCCGGCTGAGTGGCCGGCGTATCTGACGGTCCGTCGGCGGGAAATGAGGATGCAGCGGTCATCCACGGGTCGTGTGATTCCATTTCATCGGGGAAAGCGCTAAACGGAATCGCACTCTGGGGGAATGAAGCGGAGTGGGCCGGGAACGAGGTCTGCAAGACCCCTGCGGAGGTATCCAGCTGTGGTCGTTTGACGATCCGCTCCCCACTGATCTCCCGCTCTTCCGCTCGTTTTCGGCCGCGTTTTGGTTTCCACTGGGGCACTAACGCCCGCAGCGCAAGATCTTCCTCCAACGGGACCCCGTCACGACTGTCGCTCACCATCGCATTGTTTGCCGGAAGCTGTGTGTAGTACGGGTGTGGGTGACCTAGGCAATATTCGAAGAACGCATCGACATGCATCGCGCGCATCCACCTCTACTGTTGGTCAGGACGGTTCTCTTTCTCCTTTTCTTCATGGTAGTTGAGATGGGGTGGCCATACGAACCTTGAGCCGAACCGCGTACTGCTGAACCTTTTGCGTGCTTTGCTTCTTCTCCATGTCCGGGGGCTCGACCCCCAGCTCGATCGCTAGCGCAATCCACGTCTTCAGTTCCTTACTATCGAGTCTTTTGATCAGCTCCCAGAGAGCAAAGATGCTAAAGCTCTTGCCGTCGCTGCGGGGCGGGCAGCGGAATGTCTTCCGGAGTTCTGTCGTATCCACCGATGTGGGGACATTCGGATTGCAGTAGAAGACAAACGCGACGTATGCATCATCGATGGTTTCGTCTGTGATATCGCGCGCTGGCAGAGACCGAGGTTCTGCGTGATCCATCGAGTCCCTCATGGGCCTCGGACGGGCCGAATCGAAGACCGGAGGTGACATGGACGGCCCCGGACGAGTCGCTGGCGGCGCGGCAATGATTGATCGCGGAACCGTGGGCGAAGCTTGCAGACTGCGAGGAGTGGGTTTTCGATGGAGTGGAGGGGACCTGGAGGCGGCGACGCGACTGTGAGCACTGCCCAGCGACGAAGCGCTCTGTAGGCCGGGCTCGAGCGCCGGAGGATATCTTGCATATTGCTGAACGACCACCGGCGTGCCTCCTAGTTCGTTGCGATCCGGTTGGGTCATCACCGCGGGAAAGGATCCTTCCATGGCGTGCCGTCTAAATCCGTAGACGCAACAGAGACCTCGAAACGACGCAATGCTCGATAAAACAACGGCCGATGTAGGGTATCACAAAATCTCGGCGGAAGAAAAAAATATCAAGAATATCGTGCGCATGGGAAAAAGACCTATTAATAGAACGGTCGCGACAAAAAGGCAGGCGACTGGATCAGGGACCAGCCCAATCGCATTGACGGAGGGAACAGAGCGGCTTGGATCGAAGTATACTATACCACGGACAGGCATACTAGAAATCGACAGGATCAATCCACAACAACGGCGACAGGATTGATGAGAAGGACGCCATCATCATCGACTCAAAAGTCGGACAGACGAGAGCAATGAGGGGGGGGGGAAAGAGAAAAGCGAAGAGGCTGGAAGAAAAGCAGACGGCGCGTTTATGCTCATTGCTCTAGTGAGCCTTAGTAGAGCTGACTGTTTCATTTATTATGACCAACCGGGGTCTAGCGTGTGAACGGGGGACTGTCGGGCGGGGGATCGAATGCCTGATTGCCTGAATGGGGCAGCCGGGCGCTAACGGAGTGACAGGCACAGTCGAGCATTGCAGGAGATGAGGAGAGGGGGAGTCTATTGGTGGGGGTCAGGGGTGTGTACGGAGTATGGAGTACGGAGTAGTAGGAATGAATATAGTATACCTACCTAGTAGAATGAGTCTAGGAATAGGTATGAATATACTGCTATCGATGTCTGATATATCTAAGGCACCAATGCCAAGGTTCAGGCATGCTATTCTTATCGATTGAGTGCCTGAGGTTCCCCTCTCCCTTCCGTCTTCCCTGACCTCATCGTCATCATCCGGACTTCATCGTGACTGACTAACCGAGTTGACGGACTACTAGGGGATTATTAACTTCACACACACCTCGGACTTTTCTTTTACTGTTCCCTGTTGACGGGTTCTGACTTCCCAATATATGCTGCCAACACCCGAATCTCTTCGTGGAATGATGGTCCCCTTCCCTCCCTCTCACTTTCCATTCAACGTCTGCGTTTAGCGCCATCGGTGATCGCAAATGACGTGCTGCATGTTGGGTGCCTATTACCATCTCCCGATCATAGGGCTACCCCTTCCAAGTCCCGTCACCGGCCATGGCGTCCTCTGCGCGTCGCCCCGTCCGCTCGAGTCGCACCCAAGTCCAAACCTACAACGAAGAGAGCAGTTCGGATGATCGTCGGAATGAAGATACGGAGTCGGAGATCGAGGAAGCGAGGCGGGCATCGCTGTCGCTGCGCCCGCGCGACACCCGTCGAACGCGTGTGTCGTATCGCGAAGAGACCACCGATGACGAGGACGACCTGCAAGAAGAACCGTCAAGTGATCACGAAGCAACACGACCAGCCGATGCTCCTACTCAGTTGACCGACCCGTCTTCACAACAACGGGGCAGTAGCCGTACTCCCCGCCGGTCACGCACCCGAACGGTGAAGACCCGCTCCCAAGCCAAGAAATCAACGAAACCTTCGCGACGGAGCCGATCCGGGGTGGGAAAGCCGCGCAATAAACGGAGGAAGGTGGACGATGAACCGATATTTGTCGGGTCCGGGGTCATCCCACCGTGGCAGACCCTTCCGTACCAAGTGCTGTTTGACATTTTCATCTTCGCTTCTCGTCCACTGGTAGATGAGAAAACTATCGTTCGAATGCCCTCGGTGCAATGGCTGGTCAATGTCGCGACGCTGTGTCGTGCGTTCCATGAGCCAGCGCTTGCAGCGCTGTATCATAGCCCGCCCTTGATCCCGGCGGCGAAGGCACATGGCCTGCTCAGTGTTCTGTCCCAACCGCAAGATCACCTGTCGACAAACTATGTCAACAAGGTCCGCGAGTTGCACGTGGACGTGGAGACGCTCTTGCTTTACAAAAGCGGTCCGACCCTTGGATACTTCGAGCTGTCTAGACTGATCGAATGTACCCCTCAGGTCAAAACACTGCGTTTATACCACAATGATGATTACGTTGTCGGTCTCCCTCCATGGCAAATCCAACGATCCAAGTGGACCTATCCAGACAGTCTCTTTTCCGCGATCGCCGCGCGCTCAATTCGACTGCGCAGCTGGGATTGGAACAGCCGGTTCATGGAAACCACGCGGTTACTCCCTATCATCCTAGGAAAACACCTCGAACCGGCCTTCCGGGGTTTGCGGGAGCTCCGATTGTTACATGTGGCGTCGGAGTATTCCGATGGCGATGATGTGGAATCCTTGTCCAATGAAAGGGAGATCGTTCTTGCAACCGCGCTAAAAGAACTTTCCGAGCTACAAACCCTACAGTTTATCGAATGTTCGATCGTCAACGAACATCTGCTGCTAAACCTACCGCTATCGCTTAGATCTCTGACCATCAACAACTGCGACGATGTAACCACGGCAAATTTCAGCGCCTTTCTCTCCTCCCATGGCCAATCCCTCCGCGAGTTGATACTGTGCCACAACCGTCACTTGAGCCTATCGTTTATTGTAGGCTTGGCTCAGGCGTGCGGACAGCTCGAAATATTCAAGATGGACATCTCGATGTATGATTGGTCGAGTTATCATGATGTCGAACCGCACTTCGCACAACTTCTCGGCCCCACCGAGGTTCCGACTTGGCCATCGACCTTGAAAGAAGTCGAGCTGATCCAGCTGCGCAAGTGGGATGACGCCACAGCGGAAGTGTTCTTTACGTCGCTCATTAACAGCGCGTCCGATCTGAGGTGTCTCCGGCGCTTAGTGATCAGCGCAATTCTGAAGATCGGCTGGCGCGATCGGGCATCGTTCCGCGAAAAGTGGATTGGAAGATTGGAGAAGGTTTTCCTGCGGCACAGCCCGCCTCCCGATCCGACCCTTCGTACCATCCCGCGCCCCCCGTCACACCCGGACCGGACCACTCCACCCGCCAACGGTGCCCCGGTTGATGATGGGCTGACACAGTCGGATGCGCAACATAGCGGGCCCTCGACGCCATCTAAACGCAAGAGCGCTCGACTTGCCCAACGCAAATTCTCCGAGGCCGAGGAAAGTGAATTTAGCCCCGTGCGTCAGACCGGGAACCACGGGGATGATGACTCGGCGTCCCTCACCGTGCAGGGCATGTGTGAGGTAGTCATGGTGCGTATCGATAACCAGCGACCCACTGAAACGCAGTTCAACGAACAGGATTTCCTAGATGAGGAATTGAGCGGCGACGAGGACTGGAATGGCGATGACTTGGACATGTCGGCTGGCGGACATGCCTGGTAGGTTCGTCACTTCTGGTATTTGACTCATTGCATGGATGGTATGGTCAAAGCCCTCGTGTGTCTGTTTCAGAAATGCGTCCTTCACCCTCGAATTTCCCCTCTACGTTCTCTCCTCATGGGCAATTAATCCACCTACTTGATCCGGGCCCCTGTGCCCATCAGACACATTAAAATTGGGTTCGAATAATTCGGGAGTTGGGGTTCTACAGCATAAAGGACGGTCTCAACGGAGTGTGGGAACGGTCTGGGCTTTATCCTATTTGACTTTTTTACTTTAATTGAGTTCCCCCCGCTTTGCTTGTCGTTTACTCTAGTTTTATGGATGTACGAATGGAATAATGACTTAACTACCACTCGCCTAACACAGCGACAACTCCACCTATCCATGATGCACGTAACTATCGTTATCTAGGGTGTCGAATTGAATAAACTGAAACCCCGACCACTCGACAATAAACCCAATCAAGACTCATAGACAAGCTTCCCATCCCGGTTACCGATACGCTGCGCGAGGTAAATCTTCGCGGGGACGAATTCGTCCTCGGTGTTCCTCAGATGAGCGCACAGAACAGGCACGGCACCATTCTGCCATTCGAGATAGACGTCCTCGGCGGACTCGGAGAAGTCCATTTCTCCCCAGACGAAACGGCCTATTGTCGGGTCACAAACGGTCAAAGAAGACTGCAATGTATTGTAGGTAGGGAGTCACGAGCCATGGTAGAGGAGATTATTAGACATACCTTCGTTATTTCCAATGTACTGATCAAGGTCCAGGACCGATTCTGAATACCCACCACCATCACGTCTCAAGATGGCGATGAGGAGATGACTGTCGATCAGCTGGACGTCTGCGGCAGTCTGATGGAAGTCGCCCATTTTGAGTGGTTTCGTGTATAGAATGACTTTGTCTTTGCTTTGTCTGGATCTGCTTTTGTGGGTGAGAAGAAGAATCAAGGGGAGTAGAAAGAGGGACGGGAAGGAAAGTAGAAGGAGGGGAGAGATGGGAGGGAGAAAGAGAGAGCCTGAGGCGTTATAGTCCCCCTCTTCTGACCATATAACAAGGAGGTCAAGTCCGTCAAGTAGATGAATCGAGTTATCCTATTTTTTCCTCTCTTAGTAGAGTAACATAGCTCAATTACTATAAGTATCTAGTTCCCCCTACTACCAGGTGATTGCGTGTACATGCATTCAAGAACTCAACAAGTAATCGATCAAGGATCAAAGACAAACTCCCCATCCCGGTTGTCAATCCGCTCCCCAAGGTTAAGGTCCGCGTCGACGAGCTCGCCGTCGGAGGTCGGCAGTCGAGCGCGCAGAACAGGCACGTCGGCACCGCCCTCGATATCGAAATGGACGTTCTCGGCGGAATCGGAGAAGTTCACGCCGTCCCATACGAATCGGCCTATTGTAGGATCGCAAGTAGTTAGAGGGGAGGAAGATTGATCGTGATGCATGGTAGGGGAGAATGGAGCTTACCCTCGTCGTTTCCAATGTACTGATCAAGGTCGATGATCGACTCCTGAGTCTCACCGTCTCCGCATTCGAGGCTGGCGACGAGGAGATGGCCGTCTTCGATGCGGATATCCGTGGCGGTGAGGTGAAAGGCGCCCATTGTGAGTGAATGATGGCGTGTAAATGAATTTGTCTTTGAATTGTTGTTGCGAATGGGAGAAAGAATGGTAGTAGAAAGAGGGGGCTTTATATATGTTTCCCTCCTCTATGTATGCATGCATGCCCCTCCATCAATATCACAAGCTGTCAATAGTGGAGTCCCCTCAAACCCAGCCAACCAACCAACCAACCCCACTTCATCCTGCTATTGCGAGGATACCCAAAACCAAGCTAGCTCCAAACATCAGCCACGCGCGTAAACACACTTGTCCGCCAGCTATTAGCCAGTTCCAATAGCCTCGTGGAACAGTCCGGGAGGGCAAAGCGGGGGGTGGGGAGAAGTTGATTGAAAACCGCCCCATCGCTGGAACGGCGGTGTCGGGATTGCCGCGTCCAGGCAGCACAATTAATCGTTTGCCTTATCGGATGGGGGAACCGAGTGACGCCGGGATTCTCTTCGGCGTCAGGGGTGATATCCACCCCCACTTGGTGGGGGTTTTGAGGTTATTAGCGGACAGTTCAGGGGAGTTTCGGAAGGCGGGTGTATGGAGAGTGGCTTGTAAGGGGCTCGCAAAGGGGGAATTAGGCAGACAGTCTGTTGGAAATAGGCATAATATGTGGCGGGGGTGCTTTGTGTGATTTAGAGGAATTGTTGCACCATGATCTCACCACCGTCGATTGTGAGATGGCTCCCCGCAGATGCAAATCAAGGATGGCATGGATTGGTCACCTTTTGAGCGCCAAGGGGTTGAGGGGAACAAGTGGCGTAGGGCTGACTTGGGCTGCCTGGTTTCTTTGTTTTGCTTAGAGGTCAAGGATATATAACTATACCTTGTATACCTCATGTACCATATATATCCCAATCTCCAGAGATCTGCACCCGATACCGAAACGGTGCCAATCTAGGGAACTCTAGTATGTGGATCAGTGTTAGCATATGTATCGCAACTAAAAGAATACTGCAGATATAGAAATATAATTGATTTGAAATGAAAATATTACAATACTGAGGACGAGCAATCAAGCCAAGCGACTTACATCCAACCCCGCCAACTGGCCTGTTTTCTGTGGCTGCATACCAAAATTACACAAGGGCGATGGAATCCTACCAGTTAGAAGTCATCAAGACCGCGTGGCTTCCATCGCGTCCAAGCAGGAATACTAATTTGCCTAACAATTATACTTTCAAGGCAAACCTATATGCAGCTGCATTATGATGACGCTTGGTGCAGGAAGCTGCTAGGCATCCGGATAAACGTAATGAGAACCTACTATATTTATGTGAATCAGACATGAACCCTGTGGTGATCAGGATCATCAACCCGCCCTTTATCTTAGGTAGTGCTAAGTTAGAAAAGAATTAAGCTGGAATCAAATTAGTCGCACGGGTATATATATGGTTTTCTTCCTTCTTTTCTTTTTCTTCCCTTCTTTGCGCTCATCCATCTACTTAAAAGGGGTGAGCTGTTCATGTAAGATCCGTGTGGAAGCAGGTTTGTAAACCAGGAGAATTCCCTCTGAATCCAAGATTCTGTCGAGATAAGCTGTTAGTTCCTAATATCCATAATCAAAAGCTTCAGTCTCAGTGTACGTCGGATATTTGGGCCGCCCAAAAGCCGTATTTAGGACTCTCCTCTCATATTGTATACAAGTGGTTGGTTTGCAAGAGGCATATTCATTGTAGCGTGCACAGCTGATGATCATGTTTCCGGGGGATTGGCTTAACACCCCCCAAATTAAGTCCACTTGAGTATTATTAGGTAGAGAATGCAGGGGTTATGACGCGGTTTCTTGCTTGAGCTAATCCCCCATGCTTATCATATATATGACTAGGGGAAATCGGGAAATTGACCAATAGGTCTTCACACCCATGGTTTCGGTACATGGGTTATTCTGTTCTTCAAGTGGGTTGCCGGCATTCCTGATCTGTAAAGGATTTGTTTTTTGTTCCCTTTCACTAGACCGATCGATAGGACTAGACATACACATGGAATAAGACGTCGAGCGAATGATAAATCTCAAAGTTGAGTGCATCGCGCCATCGACCTAACCATCACTAGGATTAGCTGCTTAAGTGGGGCGAGACATAGAGAATGATATGCATTTCCCTGGCACTGAACGCGCCCAGAGGGTTTTGGAAATCCCAGACGTTATCTGACCACCGTGCGCACAACCGGACACGAAGACTTGGGATGATTATTGGTTGAGTGTGAACGGGAGGGAATGAGTGATGGGAAGTGGATGAAGATGGAAAGATCTGGTCGATCATTTTCATCTTGAACTCCACCTCCTAGTTGCCTGAGGCTGCCGAGGTCACGGACGGCTCTAAACGTAGTCCTTCCACTACAAGGAGGAGGACGTTCTCCGGAGTAGATTTCCTCTGGCTTGGGCTCCTACATCATCCCTATCGCGCCGTTCCATTCTCCACCCCACAGCCATCTTTGGTCTAGTCGGCCCCTCCCTGTTTGCACCACCGTTGATTCCCCTTCATCGGGCGGGAATCAACTTACCAAGGATTCGTCGAGGTTGGGAACCACGAAGACGACCGACATTTGGGAAAATCATCGAATGAGAACACCTTCATCCCCTGGATATTGTTTCCACCATCCTTTGAGACATATCGTACCGCATTCCGACCTGTGGTAGCTCTTGTCCACATTTCGGCTGATTCGGATAACCATGGCGGAGTCGGCGTCGACCCCTGGGTTCAATATTCACTCCGCACCGCTGGAGGTTGATGACTATGTATGTAATCTTCCCCCTCCGTTTCTAGGAATATATATATTGTTTCCTTTCGACACGACAGTCGGCGGATTTCCTCTTCAATGTGCCCGCCCATCTTACTGACTCCACGTTGTAGGCTGAAGTAGACGACGACCCCTCGTCGGATTATGCGGAAGACTTGTAAGACGCCATCTGTATGACAGACGGTGCACAAACAGCTGGCTTACGATTTGGAAAAAGCCCCAGCGACACCACCTCGTTGAATTCTTTGATCACTTCCTACCGTTTCGAAAATGGTCGACGATACCACTCCTACAAGGATGGTGCCTACTGGTGTGACCCTCCCATTGTCGTGCGCCGAATCATCATTAATTTTTCTCCAGGGGTCCGAATGATGAGCAACAGAACGAGCAGCTAGACATTGCGTATGTTCCCTAAAGACGTTTTTGGTGGGCCAGACTGATGGGTATCTTCGAACTAGACACCACATGTTTACTGTGCTCCTCGACAATAAACTGGTCCTGGCGCCTATCGATAAGAACATCCAGGTATGCGCGGCGTGGGGAACGTCGGCATCTACATGTCGGACGCACTTTGCTAAACCGTCTACAGAATGTGGTTGACCTGGGCACCGGCACCGGCGTTTGGGCCATGTGAGTACTCAAGGCTAACATAAAAGAATCAAGAGGAACTGACACGGTGCCAGTGACTTTGCGGACGAATACCCCGCGGCCCAGGTTTTGGGGACGGACCTTTCCCCTATCCAACCCAGCTTTGTGCCCCCCAATCTACGATTCGAGATTGACGATGCCTCGGAACCATGGGTGTATCCGGACAATCACTTTGATCTGGTCCACGTGCGTGCCTTGTATGGGGGCATTGCGGATTGGCCCGCCTTCTATCGCGAGGCATTCAGGTAGGCTTTCTCCGCAGATTGATTGTCTACCGATCTCTCACATCGTTGATTAGACACATTCGTCCTGGAGGCTGGATCGACCAGCTGGAAATGTCGATCCAGTTTTCTTCCGATGATGGGACCGTGACGCATGACCACGTTCTGGCGACCTGGTCCAAGATTTTTATTGAAGCCGGCGAGAAATTCGGGAAGACCTTTCGCATCGCCGATCTCGCCAAAGGATACATCCAAGATGCCGGATTCGAAAACGTGACCGAGCGGCGGTTCAAGCTACCGGTCGGCCCCTGGAGCCGTGACCCGAAGCTGAAGAAACTTGGGCGCTGGAACCTGGTGCACTGCGAGCAGGGAATTGAAGGTTGGGCCATGGCACTGCTGACTCGAGTCATGGGGGTGAGTTTGACCCCCCCCCCCTCGCTGCCTCTCGTACTTCTTGTGGAGTACCCAATCACCAAACGGACCGTTGTACTAATGGTTGGCCGATCTTAGTGGACCTACATGGAAGTACAGGTCTTTTTGGCCGAGATGCGGAAAGGCCTGCGGGACCCCAACACCCACGCCTATTTTTCTGTGTAAGTCTTCTTTCATTTTCCAGCTGCTTCATATCGCTTGATATAAGATAAGAGATAAAAGAGGGGTCCCTGTGACTGACATGGTTCTAGGGTGGGAGTGTATGGCCAGAAGCCAATCCAGTAGGCTGGAGACGGCTCGAAATGTTCAGTCAGGGGATGCGTGGAGGTATCATTGGTCGCTTGCGGCGATAATTTCCTGGTTTTCATGATTCCCTCCACATGGGTTGGACCATGCAGCCTGGTTGAAGCTAAACGTGCGTTAGGGCCGGGGAGCTCGGAACGAAGTGGTTCATTTAGCGGCAGTTAGCTCATTCTTTCCTTCATTTCATACAGGCTGGACGAAGCAGGTCGGACTGCACCGACGAGTACAAACTCATGGATGTCTGTACATAAATCAACTCCTCTCTTTTTACTATGGTGAAGCTGGCCGAGTTGATAATTAATTAATTATACGGGTTTAAATCTGGTTTGCAGCAGCAGTGATCGTCCACTGCGACTTGGCAAGCAACTCCACACCGAGTCTCTATCGACACCTACCGGACTTGTGATTGGCTTTGTGCTTCGGCAAATCATCGTCTATGCTGGGACACTGGTTTACCGGTTTCCACAGCTTTGTGAAGTGACACGGGATGGCAGGCGTTGGGTTGTCCAGCATACACCAAAAGCAAACCTAGGCATTGGGACTTAGGGAGTACAAAGGCATTGCCCTCATGTTAATTCGTTATACCCACGCACCAGCCCCAGCTCTCTGCTCGAAAATACCATTGACTCGGTGCCGCACGTCGCGCTATAGTCTCGGGCTTGATGCTTGGCTCCTCACACGCGAACCACATACGCCATGAAGAAAGATAGCAGTCGGGACAAGATGGTCCTTAGTGCCGATAACCTTTTGGGCCTCAAGCCCGCGACATTAACCCCTGCCTTTGACCGGCGACAGGCGAACATGACAACGCAACAATCCAAGCCAAAACAGATCATGAGCATATTTGAAGCTACATTAGGCTGTAGACCCTAGTCAATTGGCACCAATCACATTATTGTACATTGCATGGATATGAGGTCTTAGCCCAAATACCCGGAGGCCAGGCCAATCTCCTCACAACCGGAAATTGCAGGCAGTGTAAACCGTTGGAATGCAATACCGGTCCCGGAAATCAATCCCCGTGCCGCCAACTCTTCAGCGCGAGGCTCTGATAGCGGGGTATTGTCCACATGTATGAGACTGCAGCAAACAGGATGGATGGCTTGATCCTGATGGCTTATATCTGGACGCTGAGACTGGGCGATTTTTTCGACTATCGCATTCAGAATTTGTTGCTACCAGCTTTCCACCATGTTGACAGAGCCAGAGCACTTACCTTGGCTGGTATTATACTTCGTGGCTGGGGCGATCGTGCTACAGAAGGTTTTCACAGTAGCATATCGACTCTTTTTCCATCCACTGGCCAAGGTTCCTGGTCCATTACTCGCGCACGCGACTTATCTTTATTCTTTCTGGCACAATTTAAATGGGGCGCGGTTCTATCTGCAGATTGAAAAGTTGCACCAGCAATATGGTATGTCTCCCCTCCAACCTATGACTTGACAGTCAAAGTCCCAGAGACTCACGTGGATCTCCACTGTAGGTCCTATCGTTCGCATCACCCCCAACGAGGTCCATCTGAGCGATCCTACATCCTGCGACAAGATTTACTTCGTCGGCTCCCCGTACGGCAAGAGTGCCTTGTTCTATGGCGCCTTCGGCACAACCCACGCGACCTTCACGACCCCCAGCCCGGAGGTGCACCGTGTAAAGCGGGCCGCGCTCAACCCGTTCTTTTCGCGCAAGAATGTGTTCGCCCTGGAGGATATCGTGCATCAGAAGGCGCACAAGCTGGTAGCCCGCATGCAAAAGGCATTTGCCACCGGTGGTGCCATTGACCTCCACTACGGCTTCCGCGCCATCTCGGTCGACGTCATCACGGACTACGCGTTCAATCGATGCTCGAACCATTAGATGAGGAGAAGTTTGGTGTGTCGTTCTTCAAGATGGTCAAGGATTTTGGACCGGCCATTTGGTTTTTCCAGCAGTTTCCGTCTGTGCAGCCGTTCGCGCTGGCGACGCCGTTATGGCTAGCAAATTTGATGAGTGGACCGTTGACTAGGATGATGATGCATCAAGAGGTGAGTTCTACGGGGGTGTTCCGCCTATATGCGGCGGTCATCGGCTAATGGTACATTTCGCAGGGCTCGCGCCACCATATTCTACAGGTGAAGGATGCGGTCGATAGGGGAGAGAAACCTCAGCGTACCACCATCTTCCACCAGCTTCTGTCTCCCAATGCGGCGGAAGGGCATGTGGTGCCCACCGTTGATCAACTCAAAGACGAAGCGTTTGTTATTGTGGCGGCCGCTGCAGATACCACTGGAAATGCCCTGACCATCTCGACGTACAACGTCGTGCGAAATCCCGATATCTATGCGAAATTGACAGCTGAGTTGAAGGAGGCATTTCCGGATCCCGAAGCGCGGTTGGATTTTGTCACTCTGGAAAAGCTGCCGTATCTGGTAGGTAGTATTTATCCCAGGGCCAGAATGAGGCTAACCAACTGCACAGACGGGCGTTATCAAGGAGGGTCTCCGGTAAGGCCCTCAGTCAAAGATGTATATTAAAATTTACTGATTGCCCAGCCTATCCTTCGGTGTTGTCGGCCGTCTCCCACGAGTGGTCCCTGACACCGGCGCAGAATTCCACGGCTACCATGTTCCCCAAGGGGTGAGATACCTACATCCATGTTCTACCTGATTATTTCGACGAAGGCTGAGAAATGCACACGATTACAGACAACGGTCAGCATGAGCTCGTGGATCATGCACCACAACGAGGAACTATTTCCGGATGCGGAGAAATTCGACCCAACTCGTTGGACAGATCCTGAGCAGTTCAAGACGATGGAGCGATACTTGTTTTCATTTGGCAAGGGATCGCGCCAATGTGTCGGGATGCCGTACGTTTCCCCTTCACAGCGCTGGAAACTACTATATATACTGACACTGATTAGACTGGCGTACTGCGAGCTGTATGTGACGCTAGGCCGCGTGTTCCGACAATTCGACAACTTGAAGACGCCGGGCAAAAGCCGCGAGGAAATGCTATATGATGACTACTTCTCATCGTACCACCCTGAGAAGTACAACCAGTTCTTGTTCACGTCTAACGATTAGTGCACTCCCGCGCAGTGACTCGGTGATGGATGAGCTGGGGATAGTTCTGAATGGGTTCGTTTATGGTATTCTACATTGTTCCATAAGAAGTAAGCCATTTATCACGCATGTATGAAGCCAATATAAAATTGTTGGGGTCTTTTCGGCATTACTCACCAGTCCACACACTATGGCTCACAACCCCTTATACTGCCCGTACTGTCCATACGCGTGCTATACAGAACCTCTCGGCGTCGCCCCATGAAACAGCGAACAGCTCGGCCTCGGCGACGATAATGTGGGCTCGTCGCTAGGCAGATCTGAGCAACAGATGATACTGTGATTCTTTGTTATTCTTTTATCTTCTGATCCCCTGTTGATTGTTTACTTGTTTACTGTTCTCTTGTTCTCCTCTTTCTTCCACATCTCTCCCTCTCATCTCTCCACCACATTTCCCTTCACAATCTCTATCCATCTCTCACCACATTTCTCTTAACCACCATCCACTGCTATCCTCCCCTCAAAGAAACTTTTAAAACAGCAACAACCTCAAGTAAACCTCGTACAGTCTACTGACTATAAACCATTACTCAAAATGCCTATGGTTTGGAACGACACCGCTGATGTCAAGGTATGTTCCATCTTTAAGCCTATTCTAATCCACCTCTTACCCAGCCCTCACTATCAATCTAACGCCCCCCAACCCCCCCTTCATAACTTCATACAGTAAAACTAACAATATGAAAGCTCTTCATGGCTGTCCTGTCCGCCACCAACCCCAAGCTGAACTACCAGCAGCTGGCCGACATCATGGGACCAGGTACCTTCTCCTTTTTTTCCCCTCTAACATCCCACCTCCTCCACCGTAAGAAACAAACAAACACTAACATTAGGGCTATCAGGCTGCACCCCAAGTGCCATCCAGCACCGCATCCAGCGCTTGAAAGCCATGGTCGCCAACAACGACAACGTCAATACCAACAACGGCACCGACAACACCAACGCCGCGGAAGCCACCGAGCCCGCCACCACCACCTCCGCGCCCTCCAGCCCCGAGCAGGCCAAGAAGAAGCGCGGCCGTCCCGCCAGAAAGGCCAAGGAGACTGACGAGCCTGCTCCCAAGAAAGCCAAGAAGGGCGTCGCGAAGAGAACCAAGAAGGCTAAGGCTAAGGCTGCTGACTCTGATGAGACTGAGGATGCCTAAGTAGTGGATGTATCTATCCAATCATGGCTTATGGCTTGGTTGAGAGAAGTTCTTCCTACTTGATAGTGGAGGGTGGGTTGGTTGCGTTTCAACGTGTTTTGCCATTTCTTGATTTGAATCTTGAATTGGCTTTGCCTTCTACTTCTTCGTAAGGGACCCGAGAAGGGGGATTGGATTGGATGGAAGTGGATGCGAGTGAATGGATGGAGGGGCTGCGTTGGGTGCGACCTGTACTTGGGCTCCTGGCTTGAATTCTTGCTTCCCCTTCACCTTGTTTCTACTTCTTGTCTAGTTTGGTTCTCTGATTTCTCCACTAGTCTAGGTGACGGATGGTGATTGTCGTTGTTTCTGACCCGATCATGATGATCGTCGTTTGGCTTCGTTTACGAGCAGGTTGAAATGCACTCCTTTATTTGAAAACCACTTGTTATTATTGTAAATGTAGGGGCCGGGGAAATAGTGGTTTGTAAATGACACCAACGCTCCTGCAGTCCTTTTGACGGTCTCTTCTCCATAATTCACCATTTCATTCCTTCCTCCCTCCCATTGAACGAGCCCAGTAAAAGCCGGAAAATCTCAAAACAAAACGAGAGAAAAGACAATCTGCACGAAAAAGTAGATAAAAAAGAAACACGAATAGACAACCCCTAAGAAAAAATAGAGAGACCATCAAAGACCGGAACTAAGCAAACCCCATATCCTGATCGACGTGCTGGACCCCAAAGAGAGCCCGCTGCTCAGGCACATACTCAGAAGCAGAGCTCTCAACGTCCACCTCATCGTCATCTCCATCGAGCATGTAGCGCATCATCCCGGGAGCTGACACAGCAGCCCTGCGAGGCCTCTTCGTGGGACTCACATCCCTTTCACGCATGATGAGATCATAATCAACACCATCTCGATCGACACCACTGCCAACCTGAGTCTCAAGCCCAATAGTCGACCCGATAGCGCCCGTTTCATCCCGTCCATTCGCATACGGCACGGCACCAAAGGAAGGACCAGAAAGCGACGAATCCTGCTCAACCTTGACAGGGACACTGCCCACACTCATCCCGTCATCGAGTTCCTGCTTGATAGGCGACGACATCGCAGCACCGTTCGCAACACGCTTGCGTTTTCCCGAGCTAGGAGTCGCAGTCGCGCTTCCGGGACCCCTGCGCGGCTTGCGGGGCGTAGACGGGTTGGAGCTGCCGCCTTTTCCAATGCTGAAGTGGCCTTCGGAGCCCTCTTTGCTGGACTGTTTGACCATCTGGCGCATGCGCACGAGACGCTCGGTGATGGCGCGTGGGGTGGGGCGGGACTCTCCGGCTGCTGGATGTTGGTTAGCTTATTTTTGTTTGGTGGTGGTTGTTGGATAGATGGTGGGATGGATACGTACGCCATGCGTCGGCGACCTTTTTGGTGTCAACGGAAAGCTCGTGGGTTTCCAGGATTTTGAGAAGGAGCTGGTGAGGTTGATGTTAGAGTTGTGGCTTGGAATGGTTGGGATGGTTGTGGTTGTGAGGGGGGAGACTTACCAGTTGATCCTTCTCGGGGGTCCATTTCACAGGCATTTTGAAGGTTGGTTGGTTTACTTTGGATGGTGAGTTGGCTTTTGTAAGATAGTAAGTGTGGTTGTTGAGATGGAAGTTGGCGTGGTAAGAGTGTTGGTAGGGGGAGAGTTGAGAGTAAGAAGAGAGAGATGACTAGAGAGAGATGGATAGAGAGAGATGAAGAGAGGGAGAAGAGAGAAGAGAAATAAGAATGAGAGAGAGTAAGAGTGACAATTTATATGACGCAGTTAGAAGTAAGAAGAAGGCTGCTAGGAGGTGTAGGAGGTTCAAGTGAGAGTGACTCGACACTTCTATCACTGTCAAGTGAAGCCATTTAGGGCTGGTGATTTCCCAACTCTCCGTGATGCCACACAACTCCCCCACCTATTTTCTATGCTTTCATTGTGCACCCCCACAACCCTCTGGATATTTACACATCTATATTTAATAAATGACCAGCGGTGTAACATCCCTGTTAGAGTCTAGGATGTTCCTGCAGGAGGATCACATCCCACTGGCTGCGGCTTGTAGATCGGCGGGTGCATCGTACTTGGGGTCAAATCTCCTAGATACATCCATTTTGTGCTCCACTGCGGCGACCCCGTACAACCACCCCCATTGGAGAAGAGTGGGATTGGGTCTGGCTCTCTATCTGAGGGGTACAAGTGAATGGAGTTTAAGACTGGAGGGGATCCTCACTCTTCGGTGAAGGTGACAGGTGTGGGAATTTCCATCACTGCTACTGTGACCGTGTCGCGTCAGTTCCAGGTACTTATAGGCTGGGATCTCTTCATGGATTTGCTGTGAATGGTTCCTTCCTGGGTATTGACTATCACTGTTCTTCAACTCCTTAACTTGACTTCTTGTGGACTTGTCAGTTTCTCTCCCTACTCTTTACCCTCTCCCCCGGCTCGTCATCTTTACCAACCCTACTCTCTCGTCATACAGGTTGCGTCCATCTTCTCTCCACCACTCTGTCAGGATTATCAACATCATAATCGCTATCAACCATCAACATGGTCAACTGGAAAGCTCCCGAGTCCCTCGATCGCCTCGTTGGTGCCCTGATCGCCGCCCATCCAGGCCTCAAAGTACGTCTCCCAACGTCCATCTTCCGACAGAATACACAATCAAGATAACAGGAGGCTTACATGTAAATACAGCTTGACTACCAGGCCATGGCAGTATACTTTGGTCAAGGCTCTACGTACGACGCGATCGAAGGCCGTTTCCGTCGCTTTCGCAAAGTGGCAGAAGAATTGAAGACCGAAGCTGCCGGGCGAGGCATCACCACTCTGCCCCGCGGGCGCAATTCGGGGCCCCGTACTCCCCGGACTCCCGGGGGTGGTATCTCCAAGCCATCGTCGTCCGGACGATCCACTGCCAGAGCGAAGAACAAAGGCCTGGCTGCCGTGCTGGACACTCCGACCAAAAAGGGTGGTCGTGCTCAGAGTCATGGCCAGTCCGTGATGAACGCTATCCTCGTGGGAGACAGTGCTTCCGAGGACGAAAACAACATCAAGACAGAGGGTGTCGATTTTCTGTCTGGCTTGACTCGGAATGAAAAACGAGACTCGGAACCTGCTGCTCTGCATCCGATCAAGTTCGAGTCGAGTAATGCCAACGGCATGATGATGGGAGGCTTTGTTTCTTCTGTCTTTGGTGAGGTCAAACAGGAGTCTCGACCGGCTCATACCCAAGTCCCCACCATGGATACAGACACCACCACAGCCCCCTCCACCACAGCCAGCAACAACTTAATCGATATGTCTACTGGCTCTTCTACCGTGGCTTCTACCCCCGCCGCCCTCTCTGCCACCACGCCTTCCTCCGCCTCGTTCATGGCCCCAGGCTGCGGTATCGGTGACTCGGAAAACTTCAGCGACCTTGACGATGCCTTTACCGCGCAGATATCGACGGGACTATGCTTTACCGGTTATGATATTGATGATTTGTATGGGGGTGTTGCATAGGTCGCTTGTCCTCTATTTCGACGACTGATGTTTCGTGCGCTCTTAGCTCTGGATGTGGGAAGGTCTTGTTTCGGGGTTTACCTGGTGTTTTTCTTTCGTTCTTTTCTTGTTCCTCGTTGTTTCCTCCTTTCTTGTGCTCAAAAATCTGGAAGCGATACATGTCGAGGTCTATTGGTCTCCCATTCGTTTGTTGGCAAAAGTCCCTGGGGTGTAATCCAGTTGAACTAATGCGGAGATGATACAAGGATTCGTGATAGATCACAAAACAAATTGCTACATCTACTATCCACACGGCGTTCACAACATTGACTGCACTATGTAGGCCAGGCAGTTTGATTTAATACACTTACCATTTTGACTGTTTAACGATGGTCTGGTATTTGGTTTGGTATTTTGCTGCAAGTGGGGCATCGGCTTAACTATAAGTCGGCACACTAGATCATACATAGAGTCTGCGCGAAACGGAGTAGATATAACCGTGTTGCAATACATTTCTTTTATACTGCCAGCCTCAGAAAATTGAGTGTTCCACAAGCAAACGCCATAGGATCAACCACAATGCAGTGAGCAAACGAAATATAGATAGAAATGGCTATCCCTGCATAACCGGGCATAATCTGGATAAAACCATCTGTCCCGATTAGGCAAAGATCCCGCTGTCACATGGATACGGCCCCGTGATTCGCCAGCCCCACGTGATACGCGTCCGCCCGCGTTTTTCGGACCGCGTTCGATGTGGGTCAGGATAATAATCTTCAAAGAAAAAGAGTCAAAAGGAGAGTCCTGTCGACAGCACGATCAGTCTAGGGAAATTTGTCAACAACAGGTTGAGTCTATCCTGGCCGTTGTTTCAACCTCACCCGGCTGCATCTCCTGGTCAAATGAAGCGAGACTCGCCATGCTCCCTGGGATATATCACTTCAAACCCAGTCCCAATGTGCAGAATCCGATCTCGTCCTTGAACGCGTCCATCCTAGCCTAATATCGCATCTCTGACGCCTTTTTACGACCTCTCTGATACTCAATATGAACTTCTCTACGACCCCTCACGATGACATGACCAACAACTACTTCCGCGGCCTCCTCCGGAGCCCCCGGGCATTCCCCCCATTTGGCTGCTCCCCCGCCTCCAAACGGCCCATCCCCAGCACCCTCGTCTCCTTGTTCCACGAGCGCAAAGTCCCCAGGGAGCTGTCTGATCCGGACCTCACCTCTGACCAGGAGTGCGTCCTGATCGGCCTCCGCAGCAGCTGTCGCATCCACTACGATCTCGACCTGCCCAAAAGTCTCTGGATCGACATCTCCAAAGACCTCTACCGCATCACAGACCTCTTCTACCACTGGACGTTATGTCGCCAGCGTCTCCGCCAGAACATCGCCTCCTCCAAGAAACAAAGAATCTCCCCCCAACCCGGACACAGCCCTATCCACCCCCACCCCCACCATCATCCGCTAGACGATGTCACCACCGCCATGGCAGAGTTCATGGCAGACTGCGACCACCACCTCCAAGCACAAACATACCTCATCCAGCAGCGCCTCGACCCCGAAAGCGACTACTGGGCCACCCCCGGCCCGAGTCAACCCACCACAGACAATCATCATCATAATATCAACCACGGCCCCCCAACCCCAGACAGCACCGACCGCTCCTTCGCCGCATCTCCCTCCATCCCAGCCGCAACAAGACACTGGCTCCGCCGCCCTCAAGACCTCAAATTTCCCAGCCGACCCCCTAGCCGAAAACGGCCGCGCCAGGACGACAGCAACAGCGTCCTCGGCCGGCCCGCGCAGCGCGCGCGCCTCGACTCCCCCGACAGCGACCTCGCAGACGACGAGTCGGACTCTCCGCGCGACGCCCACGACGCCTTCGTGCGCTCGTTTGAGCCTGCGTTTGCCCGCTTCAGGGATGATCTCGCGCCTCTGTTCCGGGGCAAACAGCGCCGCACGCAGGTGGAGGCGGAGTCGATTATGCGGGAGATGTTTAGGGATGTGGGGTTGGCGGTTAGTAGGGCTGTTTTACGATGTCATGAGAATCAGACTTGTTGATGGTGAGGTGGGTGGGTTTTGTATATGAATTTCTTTTTGCCTTTTTCTTGGATATGTTTGATTGAGCTTTCTTGTTTATTACTTACTTTTTGGATGATGTCTTTCTTCGTGTTGTACTTTTTATTTGTTTGTTGTATCTATAATACTTGTCTTGGTTACTGTATATAGAGAGCTTCGCCTTATGTTTTTTCTTTATCAGCATCCACTGAATGGATGCTGTGGAGCTTTGAATACGACTGAATATGAGGATAGGAACATAAGTATGGTATTAGGACTCTGAATCCTCCATGTAACGAGTGTATAAGTGAGCCATGTGGCCTCAGGAATAAAGTAGCTAAACTCGAGTAGAGAACATTATTGTAATTGTCTGAACTGGTCAACCTGGAATCAAGCACCGTTCAGCCAAGCGATTGAGATGCCCTACAGTCATACTCTACGAGTTGGCCCTACACATCAGCCGTCTTCTCCGACTGCTGAACAGTCACCCCAGCGTCAGTCTTAACGCCCACGTCGCTAACATGCTTGTTCTTCTCGCGCGCCTCCTCAATCCTCTCGTCCAGTCTTGACTGGCCCGGTTTGGTGTGCCATGGCTTGGGGCCGTTATCGCTGAAGAGCTCTTCCACTTCTTCAAGGGTTTTGCCGCATGTTTCTGGGTATCTGTATCATTTTGTTAGCTAGGCTTGAGATATAGATATTTGGGGGGGTAGGGTAGGTCAATGTGAGATGGTTGAGACATACGTAAAGAACACTTGCACGGCAGCACCAACACACATAACGCCGAACGTGATGAACATCTTCCATCGAATATTGGCGAAACCGGGCGGCACGAAGAGGCCGAGGGCGAAATTGAAGAGCCAGTTGCCGACTGCGGCGATGGACTAGAAAGGCGACAGTCAGTTTGGGGGGCTCAAATTATCTAAGTATGAAGGATATCACACACCATTCCAGAAGCACGAGTCTCCAGGGACCACACTTCCGCTGCGTACACCCACGCGACAGGAGCCAGGGTCAATGCATAGACTATGATCAGAAGGTACGAGAACGCAATGACGCTGTGGGCCTTGGAGCCCTCCACGCGAACCTGGACATTCAGGTTGCCGTTGATGCCCTCGGGAACGATCTCGCCCGATGACAGGACGCCACCGACAACGAAATGACAGACGGCCATTCCCAGGGCGCCGTACATTAACAGATTCCGGCGGCTGAGCTTGTCAATGTAGAAGAACATGATGGACGTGAAGATGATAAAGAGGGCGTATTGGACCCCGGACGAAATGAGGAGAATGTTTCCTGTCAGGCTGGTTTGATTGTCAGTCTTTGATCTCTCTTAAATACGGGACGAAAGCAAAGAGGGATGGGATGGAAGAAAATCGGGGTGGGACGAAAGGGGAAATATGGTAAAAACAGCAGGAAATCGTGTATAATGCATGGATATAGCTTCATATCCTCGTACCTCGCCATTTGAAATATATACACCACGTAGTATGTCATAACATTGGCGCCCGATAGCTGTTGCCATGCCTGGACTGTAAAGCCAGCCATTGTTCGTCGCCACATGCCGTTGTATACGAATTTGCGCCATCCGGGCAAAGCCTCGCGCTCGGCGGCGAGAACCATGGTGATTTCCTCCCATTCGGCGACCACGAGCGGATCGTCGACGTTGCCGTTTGCCTGGATGCGCGCCAAGGTAAGGATGGCTTCCTCCGGGCGGTTGACTTTGGCCAACCAACGCGGAGACCGGGGCAGGAAAGGCAGGCCAATGATCATGATCACGCAGGGGACAAACTGCAGACCCCAGGCGAGACGGAAGGACGACGGTCCGGGAATGAACGAACAGCCGTATCCAACGAAGAACATGATCAGAATGCCCCATTCGATGGCCAGCTGCTGGATGACGATGAGGGAGCCACGCTTTTCCTTCTGGCTGATTTCGGCTAGATAGACGGGGACCTGAGACGAGGTGATACCCACGCAAACACCGTTGAGGACACGACCGGCCATCAGGGTTCCAAACCCGGAGACACCAGCCTGAATTGCAGTTCCAACAAGCCACCAAATGGAGGCAAACATGATTGAGTCTCTGCGACCGATCTTATCCGAGATGGGACCGGCCATCAGCGAGCCGACAACTGAACCCGCCGCAAGAGCGGAGTTGATGGCTCCCTGACGGGCTCCATGAGGGTTGTCGAAGTACTCGATGTATTGGTCTGTTCCGATGATGGCTGACATGGACGAGATATCGAAACCAAATAGCATGCCACCTACCGTCGCAATTAATGCGACGAAGTAGACATTGTATATTTTGGGAAACGTGGGGAGCTTCATAGTGAACAGGACAATCGCACCGCCTGTGCTATGTAGCAAACAAATTTGCCCCGAGGCTGAGGGAGGGGTCGGTAGGGGTTTTATAAAGTGGAGATGGGAGGAATATATACCGGGATGAGCTTCATACCCAACAGAGCGTACAAGGTATTGGAACACCCCGGTGGGAAACGCACTCGCGCATCCACTCGAGCCGTTAGCCTTGCATCGAGTTGCCCACTAATCGCCGCGGGGATATAGTGCCACGAGCCAGAAAGGGGTGAGCTTCGGCGGAATAATAGGCGGATATTGCTAGACCAAAGAGATTTCAGCTGGAGGGTCCAATCAAGACATCACAGCACGGTTCTTCGAAGACTCAAAACTGCCGTCGATCCCACCGGGGTTTCACCATCTTTGGAATAAACGAAATGAGTCAAATAGCTTATTGCTAGCCATGGCCTCGGTTTTGATAGGAATGTGGAAGTCGAAGGGTAGCATCGTGGAGTTAAGCGATGCCAGACCTGGCACTAGCACGTGGGCTTGATTGGAATGTTGGACAAGATGGTGCGGAGTGGCGTTTGTTCTCGAGCTCGTATAGGCTGGGGGGGAAGCTAGCTCCTTGGGGACTGAGCGAAGCTTGCCTCATGAGACCACACCGTAGCGCTTTGGCTTCACGTTTGGATTTACCATTGGTGGAAATTAAGGATGAATTCAGAGTTTTTGGCACTATTGGGAGTGTTGTGGCTGCAGAGGCTGCTAGACATGCAATCTGTAATTCAGCGCCTTATAGATTGTGCTCCCCTTGTTGCGCGGTCTGATCTCGCCGGGTCCGGGGGAGAAGAATAAATTACTCCTCAGTCAGCAATTATACAGATGATGACTGTAGTTAGTGGCTCACTACTTACCTGGTGGGTGAGTGCGATGAGCTGAGCAAGATTGATGGCTTGGATCGAGTTTGGAGTCTTGACCATGTGGTTGTTTTGCAGAACGGGAGAGCCCATCAGGAAAGTCGCATTAGCCCAAACTAGAAAATGATGTCTGGGTCTTGGAATGTGGGGGGTGCCAACACTAGTTGCATTCCAGGGGTGTGGTTGGGTCAGGGATGAATTTAGGTTGATGAAGGGAGGAAAGGGACGGACGGGAAACGGAAGATGGAGCGCAGCACGTGAAGCGTGACCACAAGTCGTGCAAGTATAGAACCCTACGCCGAATTACCCCGTGTATACTACTACAAGGATACCTATGTAGACACGATCGCAATGACAGTGTCCCTTTTAAGTAATAAAATCAAGCCGTCGCGCAACGTACCGTCAATTGTACATTTGCATAGTAATTAACAAGAACGAAAACAGACTCAGTGGCAAAGGCTGATCCACCGGTCAACAATTTCCTCCATGTCATGAGCGATTCCCCACTGGGAAATCAAGCAACGGAATAGCTTCTGCATGGAGTTCATTTCGTACAGGAGGTTTCGCGCAGCCCCGACGCCAGATAAGCTATCCGTTTGCCCTTCCTCCACAAACCGTTTGGTTTCGGTCCGCATCAGGGTTTGGACGCTGTGGGACCCCAGATTCAGATCAGCGTCAGACAAAAGAGCATCCTGCCACACAATGGTGTGTGGAAGATGAACCGTGGCGACCCCCGCGAGGGAGAAGACCACGTAAATAGTCGCCGCAGCGAAAAGTGAGCTGGGCATGTGGATAACGTGCGCTCGGCCCCGAGGGAGCTGCTCAATTATATCCTGAATTGCAATTGCATGGAGAAGAGATCGGCGGGCATCCTGTGTATTGATCCACTTGGCGATGTCAAACCCTGGCTTTGTTGCTCGAGAACCCGCAGAGACATGCTGAGGGATGTTATATCGAGAGCAGACATGCCTGCAAAGAATGGTAGAGTTAATCATTGTATCTAGACATATGGTATGCCATCGCAAAAGCACCTCCAGCTTTTCAGGATTAGACAAGCAAATGCTCATAGATATAGTCTCATGCACATGGGCCAACGCCTTCCGTACACTGGAGCGATCCGGAACCCCAACCGCGGCATAGTCACTCTCGTCCAAGTCCGATACGAGAGACTGTAGACCCTCGAGAACTACACGGAGGCCCAGAGCAGACAGTTGGTAGTCCAGGGGCCGAAGACTACCATCGGTGGGAAACAATGAGCGAAAGACCAGTCGGAATGAAAACTGTTCAGTCTTCTGGCTGCGCATGTGCACTAGCCACTCGTCCGGATTGCTCGCATCAAATGCTGCCTCGGAGCTGGGGAGAACGAGTGGATTGGCTAGATGGCGCGTGGATGCGCCGTCACCAGACATCTGGGCTACAAGACCATCTAGGATATGATAGGCAAGCAAAGCACGTTGTTGGATCTCTCTTGCCGCCCAGGTACGCCATTGGTGGTCTTTGTCGATACCAGGTGTGTCCGGACATGGAACATCGTCCATAGAAAAGGGCGCACTATCTACCATGCCACAGTGTCTCGCCCAGGAGAAGCCCATCGGCCGGAAGACCTGGCTCGTAGTGCGGATGATTCTGTTCTACCGAACGGTTTAGAGCGTCATCGCAGAGAGTTATAGTGTGGGGGCGGATTACCTTGGACAACGCGCCGTAGATCTGGCCCAGGAGGGCAGTGATGAGAAGCTGGACTCCTCTGCATGCATCATACGGCCCGCGGTGTGTAATCAGCGATTGCCACTGTGAAGACTCAGCGAGTATGCTCTGACAAGGGAATTGGGGCATACGATACCGACGTTGCAACTGCTGTGTGTGCGAGATGCCACAGAGCTTCGCCCTGAGACTATGTTCAGTAAAAGAAGAACAACCTTTGGATCGACAGACCCACCTTCGTAACAGAGTCCTTTGGCCCCAAGTACAGAGACCCAAGAGCCATTGCATTAAGGAGTAGTGGGTGGGTGCTTTCTCGGAAGACGAACGTTGCTCGATGGAGAATGGGAAACGTAGGGATGAATCGCACAAAGAACATATGCAGGCACTCATCTAGGAAGACAGATGTAATTGATGTAGCTTTGACCGCTGCCGTCACACTCGAGGACTAATAAGTGTTACTGGAGGTCGAGAATGGGACAGCCCAATCTAACTTACCGAGGTGTTTACCATCTCCGTTACATCACGAACAGCCTGGTGACTTCCCCCAGACGGAATGGCACCAATAGAGGAGGATCGATTGTCGAACGAGTTGGGAGACCCAAGATTGAACGAGTTGAAGTCCTGCACGACTGGTGGGAAGGGGTGCGTTCCCAGAGGCATTTGCCATTGGTCAGTGGTATCAGACGATATGATACTTTGGAACAGGTCCTCCGAGTCTGGCCAGATTAGGGCCAAGTCCAGATCCGGAGCTGTGGGCTCTCGCGCATCCTGATTGCACAGCGGCTCTCCCCATGATTGAGTCGGCACATTGACTGACGCTGGGGACTCGAGGGGTACCTTGGTGGTCTCCCAACTGGAGAGCGTCTCTGCGTCGGTGGTCTGGGACAGAGTTTCATGGGGGTCTTGCCCCTGAGTCACCTTGGCGGCTGGCACACGAGTGTGTAATTTCTCGTGTCTTGCTAGGGCATCTTGACGAGCAAATGGTCGGTTACACCTTTTGCAGATGAATGGCTTCGACCCAGTGTCTTCGGAAGCATAGCATTACTCGTCAGCAATCCTGCCCCGACTTCTGGCTTAGGTAAACGGCACATGACGATCAGGCTTGGTGCAGGAACCGTATCCATCACGGCAATGCTTACGGCAACGTTCATGTCTCTAGTTGCCGCGGTTAGCCATGCCCCCACCATAGGGAGGGGGGAAGAGATGAGGCAGAGACTAGATACCCTCAAATGCTCAGCCTTGGAGAAGGCTTTCTGGCACACACGACACACCAAGTTTTTCATACCTCGGTTCTACCGAAGACCAGCAGAAAAGAGGGCGACAGCGGTAGTGTAAGCCTTTCTGGCTGCTTGTATGATACTGCGATAGGAAGCAGCTGCCTCAAGTATAGATCTTGGACAAGAACAATCTGGAAATGTACAGTGATGCTCCAAGACCGTCAGCAATAAAAGCAGAAAAGAGAACTCCGTACAACACTTTCCTTAATGACAATACTTTCCCACAGGAGTGGATAATATCGTGTAAGTGGGGAACTACTAATACGTTGGGGAGAGAGAGAAGAGAGTGTGGGGTGCGGAGAATTCATCGGATACAGCTTATTACCAGATATACCCACCGCAGCCTAGGGCTATTACAACGTATTACAGAGATAATACTGGATATTACACTCTGGTCACGTTTGATCACGAGTCCACTTGATCCTCGATCTTTTCCTCTCTTTTTCTTCTTCCTGCCTCACTGTCTCCTACTCTTCCTTTCTTCATACCCACCATCAATTGACTACAATGTATCAATGCACCCATCCGGTTCGGGATATGACTCGGAACCAAACTTCGGGACCTACCCCGACGGGCAGAACTCTGTTATCCAAATAGTCAGAAGTTAGTGGAGTTGCCAAGAGACTAGCAATGACTTGACCATCGGGGTTTCGCCGTCGATATTCCCAAATCCACATTCCCCAGAGCTTCCTCGGGATGCGGGTGCCAACTGGGGTAAAGACTCGGCCTCTTTTCCGCCTTCGAATCCTCCTCAATGGAGCCGAAGGAGGATTATTGATGGTAGACTGAGTCTGGATCTCGGACCTGACTATCCCTCTTAGGGATGGACCCAGACCGATTATTCATGGTTCACCCAATGGACTTGTGATTCAATCGGGTCCCCATCCCGGAAGAGTCGGTACGCTAGGGAATGTTGCCCTGTTACTTGACAGATGCCGTGGAGACTGTCCCGCAGTCCGCGCCATATTGCTCAAATTCTGGTGCGGGTCTGGAAATACCCCGGCCGGCCAGAGCAAAATGAATTCCAACTGATAGGCCTGCTCATTCAACCCGGTCTTCGAGGGATCCTGCCTTGCTGTCAGTGATTTCCAGGTGTTCATAAGAAGGACACCGGGCTTGCCATCTTTGCTTCGCTCTAAGGACTAATACTTTTCTTCTGCCCCATCTTTCCGTTCCTCTTTGCTAAGATCTTAGAGCCCATGGGAGAACGGTTGCAGGCAACCTTGAATTGATCTGAATATCCCGCCTCTCCTATCCCAAGAACTCCCTGTTCATGGTTTTGTTCATTTTTCCATTTCCCTCAATCTCTATCTCTTCATATTACCACGGTAGTGTTTTCGATCCCAGTTGACTGCGTCCAAAAAGATGCGAGGTCCTCAACATCTCGACGCACAGCCTGTCGACCAGGTCGAAGGACTATCTTATCCTGAAAAGGCCGATGGGGATATGTTAGCAAGCATGGAGAAGGCAACCCAATCCACACATGAAAGCATGGGATCCTCTACCATTTCCAAGGCACACCAAGATTATTTGATGGAGCGTCATGGCACATTAGAGCTTGATCCTCTTCCTAGCATGGATCCCGCAGACCCCTACAATTGGCCTGCGTGGAAGGTTTGTGAATTTTTGAAGACTTATCTCTCACGATCTGCTGGCTGAGATTTCCTAGAAACTCATCAACCTGATTTTGGTGGCATTCCACGCCCTCATGGCCACGTTTGCGGCAGCTGGTATCATCCCAGCATATAAAATGTACAAAGCCTCCCCCAAAATACTAGAGATATACGCTGATTGGTTGATGAAACAGCATCTCCGAGGAGTATGGAATCACCATTCAAAAGGCCAGCTACCTTACCTCTCTCCAGATTGCCATCCTGGGAGGAGCGCCATTGTTCTGGAAACCTCTGTCGAACCGATATGGCCGGCGCCCCATTTTTTTAATTTCTTTGATCTGCAGTATGGTTTGTAACATTGGATGTGCGAAATGCACCGACTATGCTTCTACGGCAGCCTGTCGAGCACTTCAGGCCTTTTTTATTTCCCCTGCTTCGGCCATCGGTAGTGCGGTGGTAACGGAGACATATTTTAAGAAAGAACGTGCTCGGTATATGGGCGTGTGGACGCTACTGGTAACCATAGGTATTCCCAGCGGCCCATTCATCTTTGGGTTTGTTACGGAACGAGCGGGCTACGTGTGGATATATTGGGTCCTGGCTATGGTGAGTTAACCTTTGTTACAAGCTCCAAATTTTCGCAAACGCCGTCCCTAATAGCATCTACACCTCAGATCAACGGCGGCCAGTTCATCGTGTATCTCTTTTTCGGGCCGGAGACTCTGTATGTCGACAGCACGCAAAACACCAACGAGCCCAGCTGGAAGCGAGAGTATCTATACCTCCGGCGGATCGATCCCACCCCATTCTCATGGTACGAGTTCGTGAAGCCACTGACTCTCGTGATGCATCCCTGCGTGATTGTACCGGCCGCCGCGTACGCCATGGTTTTCTGTCTCAGCAACGTGCTGGCGACAGTTGAAGTGCCCCAACTGCTGCAGCACAAATTCCAGCTAGACTCGGAGCAGCTAGGCCTACAGTTCCTAGGTCCTATCATCGGCTCATTTCTCGGAGAGCAGGTCGGTGGCACGATGTCCGACGTATGGATGAATATGAACGAGAAGAAGACCCAGCGCAAACCCGAGCCCGAATTCCGGCTATGGCTCAGTTACCTTGGCTATACGCTGTCTATTGTTGGCCTGATTGTCTTTCTTGTTTGCACTGAGCAGGCTGAACCGGGTCATTGGGTTGTTTCGCCCATTATTGGCATTGCACTCGGTTCTGCGGGTAACCAGATCGTCACCACTGTTCTCATCACCTACGCGGTCGATTGCTATCCCATGGAGTCCGCCAGTGTGGGTGTGTTCATCACCTTTGTTCGGCAAATCTGGGGCTTCCTCGGTCCATTCTGGTAAGTTCGCAGTGAAAGAAAAATAGGATATCGCGTGTAGTTCGCTAACGAAGGACCTTAGGTTTCCGCCCATGTTCGAAACAGTGGGCGTCGCTGCGAGTTCCGGGGTTGGTGTTGCACTGATGGTCGGTGTCAGCGTAATTCCAACTTTCTTCCTGCAGTGGTTGGGTCGGTCCTGGCGCTTGTCTGGGGATACATAAACACGAATAGTGGGTTTTAATCCTTTGTTTTGCACAAAACGTGGCGAGAAAAAATGACAGTCCCAGACTGAGCGATATAAATAAGAGAACTTTTGTACGAATATACCTTTAGCAAAGATGGCAAGAAACATAGATCGGGGCCGCATATTTACTTACCCAATGCGCCATATTAAATTCAACAACTTACCCCAATTGTAACTCGAAAGCACAATCCAAAAAGCTGGTAGTACCGTAGTAGGTATTTCCGGCCCTAGCGAGTCATACTCAATGGCGTATGGTATTGGTCCATGCTATGGACACCGTCGGCATGCCACGCCGGCATCCAAGGGCCGACGACGGAAAAGCACAAAGCCGGCCAACTGGCGGCCACGGCGAAACACGGGATTTTTTCCCGCCCAGTATCGACCAATCTTTCACTTGATCTTATCCCTTACTTGGTCAACGTTTGATTTAGTACTTGAGTCGAGTCTCGACACTCGCTTTCATACTTGTTTATTTATGAATGCCGAAGTCATTCTTCCCCAATTGCAATCTTTCTCCCGACAAACGAACATTACCCATTCGGTCGGAGGAGAGAGTTACAGATCTAGATCTACCCCACAAGGATAAAGTTATACCCACACCTGCAGGTCAATGACTCGTGCATGCAGTCACCATGGCACGTGACATCAGCGCCCGGTCATGTGACATAAACCACAGGTCACATGATGCTAGCTCCGGTCATGTGACATCTGTCCCTTGCGTCCCAGAAATAGAATTCCAACGAATAATTATTTGAACCAGAAAAAATGGTCAAGGAAAATTGGCCACGAAAGTTTCCAAGTGTTCACCAGCAGTACAGCACATCATTTACAAGAATATTGGAGAAATATTGGCCTGATTTGGCTGACATAGAAGTTTATATCACGTGATGTGACATGTGATATATCTAGTCATGTGACAGTCACGTGTTGGTCCGTGCGTCTGCCAGGGGCGAATAGGGTGGCAGCGAATTATTGCACGAAGGATTTCTAATTCCCCGTTGGGCCTTTACCAAAGTAACCCAGGAATCTTAGATCTATGGGGGGATGTCCATTTGTGGAGTGGGCAATATGGTGGTTGGAGTGTTGGCTCCGCTAATGTATACACAATCTTACTGTGTTACAGCCTTGGAGCCGAGAAGTGGCAGGGATGTTTATACTTGATATTCGTGCCGGGGTATTCAAGTGCAAGGAAGGTTTCGATGAAGTAAGTGCACGTGTTAGGATAATAGGATGGCATGTAACTGTCTTCCATCCAGTTGGTTGGACAGAACGCAACAATCAAATAGACTGTTGCTCAAATATTCAAGGCAGTGCTTCGGTAATAATCACACAGAAAAGAAACGAAGGTATCGGAGGATTGTAAAAGAAAAATATCCTCAATGAAATTGGACGAATAGGTCGGGTAGATGCACTCATAACAATCATAATTCCAAGAAACATTCGTGATTCTAGGGGCGCGGGGCCCGGCGCACGGAAAGCTTCTTCCTAGTCAATCGGAATAGATTTCCGTCGCTGGGCCTCTTGTTGGACTCGTAGCCTCCGTCTTTCTCTCTCCTCTTTGTCTTTTGGCTTGTCCTTGGACCGGGGCTTGGACTTGTCCTTGGCAGGATCTTTTGACGCCGGCCGCGCAATGTCCTTCCGATTCTCAGCTCCGGGCTCTAGAGGGTTCTGCCGGAGCTTTTTCTTGGCTTTCTTATTGAGCCTTTTTCTGGACGTACTTCTTCCGTCGTCCGACGCGCCATTGATGGACATCGCCGGAGACTGAGAACCTGGTGTGCCAACTCGGATAGAGGAGCTTTCGCTTTCAGAGTCCACAGACGAGCGACGCGGCCTTTTTCTTGACTTTGTCAAGATAGCTTGCGCCGGGTTGAGGTCCATAGTATCAAGCGTAGGACCGTTGATAGGCTCGGACTCTGCAGGACTCTCCTCCTTGGGGACAATCGATTCTTCTGGAGCAGACAGTCCTGGGAAAGTTCCGGCTTTGCTAGGTCCCGGCGAGGCTCTCGCGGAACCCTGGCCGTTGATTGAAACGACCTGCTCGGAGAGGAGCTGATGATCGGCCGACATGGACACCTCCAGACTGTGAACAGTCCCTTCGAGGGCCTCTGCTTTCCCAGTAAGGTTTTCGGTGGTTGTGTCAAGGCGCTTGATAGAATCTTCAAGTTCTCGTGTGGTTGTTTTAAGGTATTGTGTGGTTTTCTGTAGCTCTTTGCCTGTGTCCTGGAGAGCGGTGAAGGTATGCCCCAGCTTTTCTGTAGTCCCAAAGAGTTCTGCTATGTCACTAGTATGCGACTGGAGTTTTTCATCATTATTCGTGCCCATGGCCCTGGCATCGGCTATGTCTGACTCTAGAGATTTATAATCACCAGAGAGAGACTTCAGCTGGCCATCAATAGTATGGCACTGCGTGGTGATCCCATGAAGGTCACTAGTAAGCTGATTGATCAAAGTGATTTGATCGTCTTGCTTTTGGTTCAGCTGCCCGAATTCCCCGGCAAGACCATCGAATTTGGTGGTCAGATGATCTCGCTCTGCGCAAATGCTTCTTTGAAGGAATTCGTCAGCTGCCCTCTTAGAGCTAAGCTGCATCTCGGTCCTTGAAATGTGCTTGTCGACCTTCTGTGTCAGACCCTGGAGATCACCCTCGGTCGCAAAGGAACCTGATTGGAATTGCCGCACCAAGGGCATGACCGACTGTACAAGGCCCGTATGATTTTGGCGTAGTGCGTTCATGTCACTTCGCAAACTCGGATCAGGTTGTGCTTGCTGTTGTCTACACTGGTCAATCTGCGACTTCATCAAAGAGACTTCTTGGTCAAACTGCCTTTTTAGTGCGGCAACATGCTCGGTCAGCTGACCTGCAGAAGGGTACATCTCTTGCATTGCGCAGATCATATTTTTCACGATCGGCTCTGTTGAAAGATTATTATACCTAGTCTCGAGAGAAGACAGTCCAATTTTCACAGTATTGAGTAAAGCTTGCGTTTCGTCGACGGTCGACTCAACTTTGGCAATCCTCTCAGAAGCCGCAGCCGAATTTTGCTGACTGAGGCTTCTCAACTCTTCGGATATGCGACCATAAGATCCCTTCAGCTCTGTAATTTCCTTGGAGTAATCTGTGAGGTTATTTGACTGTCCCGTCAAGGTCTGCCTTAACTCCGCGATATCTGCGAAGAACAAATCGTCCTTCATAGCACCAACATCTCGCAGGTCTCGGATTCCCGTCTCGAGACGGCTAACCGCCGCATTCAACTGCTCCTGATGTGGATGATTTACCAAAACTTTGAGTTTCGGGAGTAGGATCTTCAGTTCATCGAGCGAGTGATCACCCTTGTGATGAGCTTCTGTAGAACGAAGGAGACGATCAACGTCATCCAGCCGTTTCGAAAATCCTTCAATTTTGACAGCCCTAAGGCGCGTTTCATGATCATCCACTTGTTTGATGGCTTTCTTGAGTGAAGTCGAGTTTTGACCATTGGATTCCTGTGCTGACTGGATCTTGGCTTCTAAAGCCGAATACTTGTTTCGCAGGTCCTCAATATGAGGGTCTGGAATAAGAGGCGTCGCTGTAGAACCTTGTTTCGATAATCTTTCGAATTCGGATGAAAGTTCATCAATACGTTTTGAAAATGCTTCGACATTCTCTGCCAAACCCGACGCTGACTTCATAGCAGTACGTTTATGTGCGGCGTCCACTTTCTTTTCGAGAGTCGAGAGTTGTTCTGCGAAGGAACGCTTGTATTTTTCGAGCGAGTCCCGAAGAGTGGCATTCTCGGTTTCAAGTCCGGATGTCTTGACTTGGAGCCCCTGGGTTTCGTGTTGAATAGCAGCCGTTGTACCAATAGATGTTCCGAACGTAGTTCTCATAGCTTTCAGCGACTTGGCAGTGTTATCGGTTTCCGCTGTCCAGTGGTCCCAATCTTTTTTCATCAGGTTCTCCAGCTGTTTGTATTTGGATTGATGTTCACTCAAAGCTTTATCGATTTTTTTCATGTCCACATCTTCATTCTTGCACTTCTGTCCAAAAAAATCAACGGTAGATGGGAAGTGTTTGGTAACACTGGCCTTTTTTAGGAGCCCACTAGTCGATTCTTTGCGCTGATTTAATTTTTCCTTTTCTGACTTGGTGTTAGCAGCTGTCGCCGCTGCCTGCACCATGTCGGACAGGCTCCGAATGAACTGATCTCCGCCGACTTCATTCTGGCCGACGGGCGTTGTTGGTACCGATAGTGTCGGTGGTACTTGTGGTACTGGTGGTATCTGTGGTGCCGGTGGTGCCGGTGGTGCTGATAGCCTAGGTAGTGTTGGTATAGACCTTGTAGTGGGAGAATGCTTCGGTGATCCCTGTGACGGTTCGCGGGGTCGGAAGGGTTGGGGGGGCAAATGAGGCTGCTGGGGTCTCCGGCGCGGATCGCGAGAAATTGGATTATTATGGTCCATGACAACCTTTATGGGATGAAATTGACTAATATTATTGCACCCCTAATGGATCAGTTTAATTCGAGTGAGATAAGCCAGATGTAGACTCGGGGAAACGCGACTTCAAGATGGGGGAAGATCCGTGGTGCGCCTCACCTCCGTTGTCTTTATTTACAAGATGTCACGCGTTTGGACGTGCACGGACGACAGTATTGACCAAGACCGGGCTCCACCACCATCATAGAGCAAAATCCAATGACTGTTGAGTAAATCTGTGAAACACAACGAGCTGAGGAGAGAAATGAAGGAAGTTATGTTTGCCAGTCTGCGACACCTCGACTTTGTATATATTCTGCCGGGCGGTGGGTATGGCGGGTTCTTGGCTCCGCTTTTTGTCCTGCGCCGCAGCTCTTTCCTTCCTGCTCCCAGGCCGTTTTGCTGGTGATCCTTCTTACCTGGTAACTGTTCATCGCAAAGTGACTCTATAAGTCGTAGCCATGTCTGCGGTAAGTGTATATCAGTCTGTTATACCTCTCGTTCTTCCCTATCTAACAGCCAGGGGTAGCCAATTTCCACTGTCGCGGAGACGAAAGAGCTCCGGGGTCTGGATCTGATTGCCGCCCATTCCCATATCAGAGGCCTCGGTGTCGATGCGGATTCTTTACAACCACGACCCTCTTCCCAGGGCCTTGTGGGCCAGGAGAAGGCGCGAAAGGCTGCTGCGGTGATTTTGCAAATGGTCAAGGAAGGAAAGATTGCAGGACGCGCTGTGTTGATAGCAGGGCCCCCGAGTACCGGAAAAACCGCTATCGCCATGGGGATGGCCCAGTCCCTCGGATCGGATGTTCCCTTTACTATGCTCGCGTCGTCGGAAATCTTTTCTATGGAGATGTCTAAGACGGAGGCCCTCACCCAGGCATTCCGGAAATCGATTGGTGTGCGCATCAAGGAGGAAAGCGAGATTATCGAGGGTGAAGTTGTGGAAATCCAGATTGATCGAAGTGTGACGGGTGTAAGTGTCTAATTTTGGCCCCCATGTCTGGGAAGTGCGAATTGATGCTAATTGATGCAGGGTAACAAACAAGGGAAGCTCACAATCAAAACCACCGATATGGAGACGATCTACGATATGGGAACCAAGATGATCGATTCGATGACCAAGGAACGGGTTATGGCCGGAGATATCATATCCATCGACAAGTCTTCGGGCAAAATCACCAAGTTAGGACGCTCCTACGCGCGTTCTCGAGACTACGATGCGATGGGGGCCGACACCAAATTCGTTCAATGCCCCGAGGGCGAACTGCAGGTTCGCAAAGAGATCGTCCATACCGTCAGCCTTCACGAGATTGATGTGATCAACTCTCGCTCGCAAGGCTTCTTGGCTCTGTTCTCCGGTGACACGGGCGAAATTCGGAGCGAGGTTCGAGACCAAATCAACACCAAAGTCGCTGAATGGAAGGAAGAGGGCAAGGCAGAGATCATTCCTGGTGTTCTGTTCATTGATGAAGTCCACATGCTTGATATTGAGTGCTTCTCGTACGTCAACCGTGCCCTAGAGGCCGAGCTTGCTCCGATCGTTATCATGGCCAGCAACCGTGGCAACGCTCGAATCCGGGGGACAACATACACTTCACCGCATGGGTTGCCTCTTGACTTCCTCGACCGAGTGTTGATTGTGAGTACGGACTTGTACTCTGCCGATGATATCAGGCAAATCCTGGCCATTCGGGCTCAGGAGGAGGAGATTGATCTCTCACCCGATGCGCTTGCCCTTCTCACCAAGATCGGCCAAGAATCCAACCTCCGATATGCAAGCCACATCATCATTACGTCGCATCTCTTGAGCCAAAAGCGGAAGGCAAAGGAAGTCACTATTGATGACGTTCAGCGCAGCTACCAGCTTTTCTACGATCCCGCTAGAAGCGTGAAATTCGTGGGTGCGTATGAGCAGCGCTTCATTAACGACTCGGGGGCTGTGAGTTTCACTGCTGGTGCTGCTAATGGTGATGCTATGGAGATTTCATAAGTGTTGTCTGCCGTAAACGATACGACGGCTGGTGTTGGGAAGTTGGGATATTCTTTTAAACTCGCACAACATGGAAAGGGAACAAGGCGAGAAAGGATACTGGAGAAGTTTGCACTGGAAAGCTCCCCTCTCCTTTCGCTACCTTGTTTGTTGATTCATCATTAATGTACGGTTATACTGGCGCTTTTTCTCGGCTCGTATATATGGGCCTTCGAGGGTTGGGTCCGAAGTTAAATCTTTCAAAAGAGCATAGGCCTGAATGATAATTACGAACTTAATCTCCAGAACCATGCATCAGCTGAAGCTGCACATATAGACCTTAGAGCAGTTGTAGATGATTGACATTATTATACAAAAGTCGCGCTGCTGGACCACTCTCCCTCGTCTGCCTTCCGGAATTCCACGCCTTCCCCAAAGTAACCGGCATCCTTCCACGATGCCATTGTAGGACTATCGTACGGGCCGTGGATAACACCGCCGTCTCGGGCATCCGCCCAGCGGAACTGCCACATCGTGGCGGCTTGGCCGTGCGCTGCCGACGGCTCCGTGTTGTCCTTGGGTGGATCTACCCATTCTTCGCCTGTCTCTCGGCGGTATTGTCTGGTGAGAATCTCACGCTCGGTATCATAGATTTCGTTATTCCCCCTGCCCATGAGGATGTCAGCCGCACCTGTGAGGGCGTCGATGGTCTGCTTCCGGGCAACTTCCGCGGGGTCCTCTTCGGTCATTTCCGTATCCTCCGCCCCATTCTGCTTCGAACGGTTCTTGTTTCGTTTATTTTGCCATTTCGGTTTCTTCGATCCTCCCTTGCCGATTCGAGCCAGCGCATCCAGAATAGTTTCCCCTCGTTGTAGAAGCGGTATGACGGTCTTGAGGGCGTCCGAGGTTAACACGCTGTCTTCCATGCGGTCTTTTTCCTTCCTCTCCGCCTCCCTCTTCTCGGCCGCTTCTCTGGCGCGCCGCATATCCTTCTTCGACACCCCCTCCAGCCACGAGTCGTGGACAGCGTCTGGATCTACTGCTTTGCGGACGTAGTTACCCGCTTCGTCGAATCTGCCCTCCTCCTGTTCATCCCGCATGTTGAAGGCGTCCAATAACGGCGCATGCTTTTTCTTCGCTCCCGCGCCCAGTTCTTCATCAACATCGTCGCCAATCCTTGCGCGGTCTTCTTCGCCGATTTCGCTCTCGCTCTCGCTATCGTCTTGGTTCGCAGCGGCGGTGGGGTTGCGCAAGTCTGCATGCACGGTACCTCCACTTTTGGAGGACGCGACCTGGCCCTCTATCTCATCGTCCTGTAAAAAGCGCACGTTTTTCTTATTCTTCTCTGCTGTCTGATCGGCGTTTTCGTCGCCAAAGTCCTCTTCCAACTCCGCAAACATGTCGTCGTCGTCATCTCCGTCTTTCGCCTCGCGAGTGGTCTTGGTGTGGGCGTGTCGGGCATCGAAACCCTCGTTGTCGCTGTCTGATTCGTAGCCGTCGAGGTTGACAGCTTTGCGACGCACTTGCTGGCCGCGCCGGCCGATCTCGTCCGCTTCTAAAAACTGGTCATCGTCTAGGGCGTCGGGTGCTAAAGCGGAGGGATTGCGCAGGTCGAAACGGGGCTTTTTCTGCGAGGGGCCATCGGGGTCATCTTCGACATGCTGGGTGCGGGCGAAGTCTTCGCCTGCCCGCTTGGGACGTGGCTGAGAGCCTGACATGGGTAGTGTAGCGATCAACGAAAAGCAGACAGGGTGCGATCACAAAGGAGGATCTGTCAGACTATCACAAACAAGTGTACACCATGAAAGGAACGGGGGGCAGTGTAGAAAACAAACTGCTGGTTGCACTTGGTCCGGGGTCGGGTCGGAAAATCCAAGCGGAGGCATTTGCGTCACTTGCGGGCGATAAGGCCGACCGCCCGCTCTTCTGCATCATCTCCATCTTCTTTCTTCATCTTCTTCAACAGCTAGTTTCGGACGAGCTGTACGTGTACTATTTTTCGTCAAATATTGAATCGCTCAAAACTTGTCTGTCGTTCTCCAATCCCCTGGTCTTATTGCATCCCCATCGCCCGTCATGGTCAGCTACCCCCAAGCTCCGGTACCTAGCAGAGTGAACGCCATACTGATACCCAGCTATAGTTCCGATCCGGTTATTGGGACGACGACCCCATGGATGGGGTCCTTGGCTCATCGATGCTTCGCCATGGAGCGTCGCGTCGATTTGACGAGTACTACCGCTGCTATCCCGTCGCCATGATGCCAGGCCCCGAGAGAGAGAACGTCAACCATGGCGGCAAAGTCCTCATGCCTCCCAGTGCTCTGGACAAATTGACACGGCTACACATCACTTACCCGATGCTTTTCGAATTGAACAATGGTGCGCGAGAGAGGACGAGTCATGCGGGTGTGTTGGAATTTATCGCTGAGGAAGGAAAGATATACCTGCCTTTCTGGGTACGTATTCCACATTTCATTCCATTCTCTGTCGCTTGGATAAGTACTGATAAACAGGGCATTTACAGCTCATGCAATCCCTCCTTCTCGAACCCGGCGATCTCGTCCAAATCAAATCGACCGACCTTCCTCCGGGACAGTTTATCAAATTGCAGCCCCAATCGACCGCCTTCCTCGACATCAGCGACCCCAAAGCTGTGTTGGAAAACGCCTTCCGGAATTTCTCGTGCATGACTAAAGGAGATATTTTCACATTTGCCTACAATGACCAGGTATATGAGATGGCGGTGCTGGAGACGAAACCGAAAAATGACACGAATGCGGTTTCGGTGCTGGAAACCGATTTGGAGGTCGATTTTGCACCACCGATTGGATACGAGGAGCCCCAGCGACAGAGTGGCACAAGCACCCCCAGAAGCGGCGTGAACGGGAAGCTACCCGCTGGCGGTTTACTCCACCCGCATGGTACGATGGCACAGTCGATCAACTATGCGGCGATTGCCCCGGAGTCGACGGAGATGGCAGCAGGCGCAAAGGCCGCATCGTCGAACTTCGTGAGTGGCGGGCATCGTCTGAACGCGAAGAAAGGCAGCAAGACCCCAACCCCGAAGGCTTCCACCCCGGTACCCGGAACCAGCAACCCTCAACAGCCCCCTATCGTGCGAAGGACGAATGGGCCGCAACCCCTCCGTCTGCCGCCCAATCAGTTGTTCTTCGGGTATGCCATCAAGCCCGCACCGAAGCGTGATGAGCAGGGCCAAATCGTCGAGGAAGAAAAACCGCGGTTCCAAGGCGCTGGGCAATCGCTGCGGCCGAAGAAGAAGGATGCTGGCGGATCATCGACCCCCACTTGAAGCGCGCGCACTGGTGGCGTTGGATAGATCACTCGCGGTTTTCAAACCTGGCGCATGGAGTTCGCAGACGAGGAATGGCACTTGAGAACCTGCCACCTTCCAATCCAGATTTGACGACCTCTTCTTGTCTTATTAGTAGTCCATGACTGTTGCCTTCCCTGGCCTTTAATGATCTCGTGGAGCATGACTATCATCCGGTATAGCCAGGTAGCGGCTGATTTCAATGAGCAGATGATTCACGACCTTGATTAGTCTTCGTGCTATTCGCTGCTACGTCCAGTGGTGATCTTATAACAAAGCAAGCTGTACGAAAAGTTCCATGCCGGTCTGTAGTGGTCTTGAACACGTTGCGAGTCAAGTTATCCTTTGGTCTAGATCTGTAGATAGTCGAACGACGATCACGGCAACACATGGGGATCCTTGCCGAGGATCGCCGTCCCTCGGTCATTTTCCAACGCCCGCCATCTCTCCTCCACTCTATCCCATCTCTTTATCGCTTCTTCCTGTGATGTAATTCTGTCTTTTCTGCACCGTACTATATTCTGTTTTAGTCGCGTGGTATATCGGCATATTTTACCACCTATACCCCATATTAAACCCACGCTACGCGAATGATCCGATCACGCGGAGCATAACAGCCGAATCATAAGCAATATTCCATCGAATCAGTCTTCTTTGCTGCGCCCCAGTTGGTCGTGTAGTGAAGCCAGTTGTTATCGCGCAGTCCAGGCCAACATCATCATTACCTACCCAGAAAGTCGCTTCCAGCCTCATCAACTGCTTCTACGGTATCAAATAAACCCCCCAACAACGCCAACCACTGCGCGACAGATCTAAAATGGCATCACCACCCCACCCCCTCGCGCACTTCACCAAACTCTCCTCCTCAATCTACCTCCACGAACCGCAAACCCTCCCCCCAACCGACGACGCCCCCACCGACGCCCAAAATGGCGCCCCCAAAACCATCATCCTCGCCTTCTGGATGAACGCCCCCGCGCGCGCCCTCGCCAAATACGTCGCCGAGTACCGCCGCCTGGCACCTACCGCGCGCATCATCTTCATCCTCAGCTCCTCCAACGACTTCATGCTACGGTTTACCAAGTGGGCGCAGGAAGCGCGCCTCGCCCCAGCCGTCAAAGCCCTTCTCGCCTCTTCCCCCTCCCCATCTTCCCCTTCCACCTTGGAAGAGGGGGGAAACAACACCAACAACCCAGTCTACATCCACATGTTCTCCAACGGCGGCGTCTTCACCACCATCCACCTCCTAGCAGCCTACCGCAAAGCAACAGGCGGCACTCCGCTGCGCGTCTCGTCCACAGTAATCGACAGCGCCCCCGGCGAAGCAACCGTAACAGCAGCCGTAAAGGCACTATCCTTCTCACTCCCGCGCACATGGATCCTCTACTTCCTGGGCCGCTTCCTGCTCCGCGTCTTCTTCACCGTGGGGTTCCTCATGCGAAAAGTCAGCGGCGCGCCGGACGCGGTGAAGGTCGCGCGCAGGGCGATCAACAGCGCTCGGCTGGTGCGCGGGCCTGTCGCCTCCCCCTCTTCATCCTCCTCCCCGGCGGGTCTGAACACGCTTCCTCGTCGGTGCTATATCTATTCCGATGTGGATGAGCTGGTCGATTGGAGGGATGTGGAGAGACACGCGGATGATGCGGAGGCGAAGGGGTGGAAGGTTCGGAGGGAGAAGTTTCTGGGCACGGATCATGTTGCTCATATGAGGGTCGATCCGGAGAGGTATTGGGGGTTGTGAGGGAGTATTTGTTTACGGAGGGGGTGGTTGGGTGATTCTTTTCTTCTTCTTCCTTGATATATACATATATATTGTTGTTGGTGTATTGTTTATAGAATTGTTAATGAGGTAGAGGCTGATATGGAGTCGAGGAGATGGATTGATAGATACATATACAAGACTAGGCTGATCAGGTAGGATAGCCTAGAGAATTCATATAATGGACTGCGGTTACTGTACGGCCAATGAATAAGAGAGTAGCTCAGATATAGACCTGTATCTGTCTACAGTCATTCCAGCTATTTCTAAGAAAGAAAGAAAGAAAGAAAATAAACAGCAAGTATCCACTGTTATATAATTCACACCAATTCTAGGCATTCAGTGTAATCACCCTCGCTATGCATGCAATCATATATACAAAGACGGCAAACGCCGCCCCAAAACACAACACCAGACGAACAAACTTTTCAGTACCTTTTCCATCCCACTCGAAAACATCGTAGATAATGAAGAGGTGAAATATATTTACCGCCCCCTCGTCTCCGGGAACTCATCCTCCAGCTTCAACCGCGCCGTAACATTCATACTCATCAGCTCCTGGATCAGCAGCTTAGCCGCATAAGGGATAGCCATCTTGACGACGCTACGCGACGACTTGCACCGCTGACACCAGTTAAGGTAGCCCATGAAGCCGCACTGCTCGCACACGTCGATCTCATGACGATCCGACGAGATCATCAGCCGTTCGAGCAGGAGCTGGCTCGTTCCGTAGGCAATGAGACAGTCGCGTTCCATTTCACCCAGACGGAGACCGCCGTCGCGGGAGCGACCTTCTGTGGGCTGGCGCGTGAGAATAGCGCGTGGCCCGCGCGCACGCGAGTGCATCTTGTCTTGCACCATGTGCTTCAGTTTCTGGTAGTAGATGGGGCCCGTGAAGACGTAGAAGGGGAGGGCTTCGCCGGTGATGCCGGAGGTGAGGTAGTCTTTGCCGCCGTAGCTGAAGCCCTTGTCGATGAGGATCTGCGACATTTCTTCGACGGGGCTGCCGCCGAAGCAGGTGCCGTAGCCGTGGCGGCCGGCCATGACGCCGGCTTTGCCGGCGACGAGCTCGAGCATTTTGCCGACTGTCATTCGGGAGGGGAAACCGTGGGGGTTCATGATGATGTCCGGGTTGATGCCTTGGTCCGTGAAGGGCATGTCGGTTTGGTCGGCGATGATGCCGACCACGCCCTTTTGGCCGTGGCGGGAGGAGAACTTGTCGCCGACTTCGGGGATACGCGTCTGTCGCGTGAGCACCTTGACGAGCTGGTTGTCGTTTTCTTGCACGGACACCATGACCTTGTCGATGTAGGCGGGGTCGGGGAGCTTGTAGGTCATGGGCGTTGACATGTACTGGACTGGTCGGCCTGAGTCGGAGCCGGGGAACCCGGACGACATGGACTGATCTGGCGTGGCTTTGTTGATGTAGACTTCTCCGGAGTTCACCTGCTCGCCGACGGCGGCTAGACCGTCTCCTTCGAGCAGCGCGTGTTTCCGGATGGGCGCGCCGTTGTCGTATTCCGGCGGGCTCAGCCGGTCTTTCGTGCCGTTCGGGTAGCTCTTCAGGTTCGTGACGTATTTGCGGAACACCTGGCAGCGTCCGAATCCACGGTCCACCGATCCCTTGTTCAACACGAGGGCATCTTCGATATCGTATCCCGAGTAACTCATGACCGCCACGATCGCGTTCTGTCCAGCGGGCAGTTGGTCGTATTTCGTCAGTTCGATCGTGCGCGACTTGACCATGGGCTTTTGCGGGTACACCATGAGATACAGGATGGAATCGATCCGGAGGAACTGGTTCGACGCGATTGCGCCAATGGCTTGTTTACCCATCGCACATTGGTAGGTGTTACGCGGGGATTGGTTGTGGTGCGGGTAGGGAATCAGGCCGGCGACAGCGCCGAGGATGGTGAACGGCTCAATCTCCATGTGGGTCGTAGTATCACTGATATCTTTTTCGTAGATGGCGATCAAGGAATCGTTTTCCTCGTTCACATCCAGGTATTCTACCAAGCCCTGGGCGAGGAAGTCATCGAACTGCATGCTACCGTCACGCAGCTTTACAAGATGGTCCGCGTTGACCTTGGACTTGCCGTTTTCAACGATGACCAGCGGCCGACAGATTCGACCATCGTCTGTGGCAATGTGCACAGCACGTTGGTGGTGGTTGATGTATATACTGACGAATTCGGAGATCCGACCCATCCGACGCAGGCGGCGGAAGGCGTTCAGGAAATATTTAGGGCGACGAGTGAGGGCTAACGGCGTACCGTTAATCGAGATCGTGTAGCAACCAGGGCCATAGATCTCCTTGCCACCGAGCGTGGAGATATCCTCAGCACCGAGCATGAAGATGAGGTTTCGAATCGGGCCTTCTTCGTCGTTTGTGGTGATGTGGGTCATGAGCGCCAGGTTCTTCACCAGACCGCAAGCTTCACCTTCGGGCGTATCCGCTAGACACAGCATGCCGAACTGAGACGGCTGCAGAGCACGAGGACCGGAGACCTTTCTCGTCTTTTCGAACTGACTGCTAATACGCGTCATCATACCCAGGGCCGCGATATAACTGAGTCGACTAAGCACGTGCGTGACACCCGCACGTTCCATGCGGAAACGCTTCAGACTCCAATTACCGGTGGAGATGGCGCGGTTCATGCCTTGGGTGATGTGGTTGGTATGCATGCCCATGACGCTCCAGGCATCGAACTGCTCTGCACGGTTCCGTTTGTTCAGGACTTTGTCCACGTTCATCTTGATGTCGAAGCAGAACTTCTTGAACAGATCCTCAAACAGCAAAGCCAAGAGCTGACCTGCCAATTCCAACCGTTTGTTTCCGAGATAATCGCGGTCATCTACCAAGGCGGAGTCATTCTTGGCCATCAACACACGTCGAGCCATATGCGCCACGTAGACAGCCTTAGGTCGGAAGTTCATGTTCTTGACCTCAATATGGGAGATGATAACGGAAGCGATGGCTTCAACCGCCTCTTGGATATGGGTCCGACGGTACGACATCTGTTTGCGGTTGATTTTGATCCGCGAGCCGATCCAATCCAGCGCTTGCTGCTGGGTAAAGATGCCGAGCTTGATCGCTTCCTCGAAATTGATCGCGAAATCTTCCTGGTACACCTTATCCATGCCGGCAACCAAAAGCATCATCTCCTTGTCGGTATGGATACCCATCGCCTTCAAAAGGATCACAATCGGAATATCTTCACTCAAAACGTTGTGCTTGACGTAGAGCTTGTCTTTCTTCAAGATAATATAACTCTTCGACTTTCGCTCGTTGGACGAACTATGCAACCACGTCAGCACCCTTTCAACTCTGGTCACCGGCAATGCGGAATCTGTCCTACCTTGTCACCGACGCCTGGACGATCTCCTTCTTCGGGTCGGTTTCCACGATAATTCTGTTTTTACTCAGCTGCTCCTGAACCAGAATGACCTTCTCCGTTCCGTTCACGATGAAGTAACCACCGGGGTCGAGCGGGCACTCGTTCAGAACCGTCATCTCTGTGGGCGACTTATTCGCCAAGGCACACTTGGAGCTGCGAAGCATGACGGGCATCCGGCCGATAGCGACACCGCGTCTCTTCACCCTTTGACGTCCACGAACATATTCGAAGTCGACTTGGATCGGCGCAGCGTAGGTCGTGTCCCGGAGGCGACATTCCTGGGGGTTGATGGTTGAACCTTCGAAGGCGGGACCCACATCCTGTGCCTCATCCGCGCGTCGCGGCGCACCCAGATAGATATCGGTGAACTTGATGTAAAAGTTATGGTCGACATCACTGCGAATGGTTGAACTCGACTCGACGATCTTCTTCAGCTGCACTTCCACCAGGTAGTTGTATGAGTCAATGTGCTGCTTGACCAGTCCCTTGACCTTCAGAAACGCCGGCAACAGATTCCACTTATCGCGGGCCGTGTTAATCGGATCGGTCAATGATTTATTGTAGTAGAACGGCTCGAGTAGCGCATCAAACGGGTCGCGATGGCGGTATGTCGACGTGGGCTCTTCCTCCTCGACCGCATTGTCTTCCTCGGCGGGGGGTGCGGGCGGGGCCGGATCTGCCGGTGGCTTGGACACCGACGGACGCTTTCGTTTCGATCCTGCATCAGAGGCGCCTGTCTTGGCTGTTGCGGGCTATTCAAATGGCGAACCTGTGTCAGTCCTGGGGATCTGCAGCGACGCCGAGTGGTGCGGAGAAACATTTGACATACCTGCGAGGGCTGCGCCGTCCGACTGCCGACTGCAGCGGGCTGGCCCCTTCTGCGGGGAGGCATTACTCCAGTATATTAATTGAGTAAACGAACGAACGCCGACCAGAGAACAGAATCAGCGACGGGAGAGAAAGACCAGTCTCATATCGGAGGAGGGGTTATGGAGGGGAATGCGATGCAGAAATTCTTCGTTATCGGCGAGGAAAGGAAATCTTCCGGGCCGATTCTGGTCTTTTTTTCCGCGGCTGAGGTAAGCCACAGCTATCCATTCTGGGTTAGATGCATATCCACTATTTATACTGTCTCCACCCGCATAAATATCACTCCAACATCTACTCCCATTCTCGCAGTCGTAGCATAAGAGGGAGAAGTATACAATAAAGAAAAGAAAGACTTTGAGTATAATATATTAGACACGCGTGCAGTTAGGGGAGAGAATGTACTCAATTTTGGCAGATACAAGAATGTCTGAAGCATATGATGACCGTTAGATCCGCTTCTATATATTTCTGTGTACTATTCAGAGCGATAAGCTTGTCAAGCCCTAACAGTCCGATCAACCACTCTTTACATCCATCTTGCTAAAGAAAGGACTTGACACATAGAATGACCGTTCCACCGGTGTCTCAATCTGATCACTCTTTCCTCCCTCAGGGAGTGCCTCGCGTAAAGGAATCCCCGTGCCGCTTTGGTGCTGGGCGCGTATCGCCAGCCTGAAGAGGTTCATGATGTGCTCCATATAGTAGGCGCCGGCTCTATTATTGTTCATAGCGAACCATTCGCGCGCGCAAAACTAAGGTACTAATTTTAGTGACTAAGCCCGCCGGAGCCTGTCTCTTTCTTCTCAGCCCAGCCAGACCAGGGGCAACTTGAGGCGGATTCCCGCCTCACTTTCCCCACAACAAGTAACCAAGGATATAAGTCATGATTCGACTTTCTATTCTGTTTTTGACTTGGGATCTTGGATAACTGTTTAATCCACTGCTTTTTACCTCTGAGGCTTGCCATTTGGACAATGTCTGTTTCACTGGATAGTCGTTTACGGGATGCTCTTCCGTCCATATTGACTAGGTCCCGTCACTCGGAGATCTGGGGTGTGGATTTGAAGCACGCAGAACGGCAAGTATTAAATGTTATTTTGGACAAGGTACTTGGAGTATGGGTTCCTACGCCGAGACACGTCACTGAAGTATCCATAGTTCCTCCGTTGCCATTCCGCGATCCCAGCACTCCAAGTCCCCAGGGCAAGAGCGTCACTCGAGAAATCCCTGGAATGGCGACGCATCTGTGACCCGAGATCTCACCTTTCTGAGGCGGAACCCATCCTTTCAGACTTAGATTTGTGTCATATCACCTCACATGGGGGCCAGTATGTGTTGTGGGTTAGTATTAATGAGCCGGTGATCAAGGGATACTCGGCACTACATCATCTGGTATCGTATAGCAGGTTGGTGGACTTAGGGCTTGCCGTAATGGAAAAGCTGTCTATGATTCTGCTGCAATCGGTCGCTTGTACTCCTTCATGCGGATATTCGGCATCCTGTGTGGTCGACTTCAAATTACACCCCATTCGAAATACCGAACAAAGTCAGCCGGCTTTCCAGGGGCAGCTCCGCATGGCGCTCCAAGAATTGGTGACGTCCATCCGATATCACTATCCCAATATCCTGGAAAAGGCATACATCATCAATCCCCGGGATGAATATCTCGCGTCACTTGATATCGACGACACCCTCTTGAGAAACACGACACTATTGAAGAATCCAGAGAGTCTTGCTCAATATCTTGGCTCATCTATTCCACCACACTATGGCGGTACCGGGGAGTCATTGACGGATTCTAATCTTCTCTATACCCACTGTCCCACAATGGACACCACGGAGAAAATCAGTCTGGAGACTCCAGAGAAGGACACAGCAGCATCCACCGACACTGAGACTTCCGGGGTGCAAGACGAAAGCGCGGCTTCTTCTACCATTCCCGCCTCCGGCGGCCCCGAGGAAGGATTGGAAACAGAGGAGACCAAACTTCGCCTAATCTACTCCGATACCATCGGACCTCCATCGATTATACTAGATCCAGACGACCTGGAGACAGCAGAAGACCTGTGCCCCGATAAAATGGGCGCGCGTCTCGCTTTTGCAGACTCAGATACGATCGTGAAATTCGGCCATAGCGTCCGCTTGGCCGAAGCCGAAGCGCTGCATTTGGCATGCACTCGTACGACCATAGCAACACCACGACTTCTCAGCGCATACATCCTCGACGGTGTGGGATACATTTTGATGTCGTACGAGCCGGGCGAGCCGCTAGAGCACTACTGGGACCGTGTGTCAAAGCCAGAGAAAGATCGCGTCCTGAAACAGTTACGAGACTACGTGCACCAGATGCAAGCTATCCCAGGGGATTTCATTGGCGGCGCCGACAGATCACGCTGTCGAGACGGAATCTTTGAAGCCGGCTACGGTGACTACACCAAGTATAGCTACGGCCCGTACTCATCTGAGGAGAGTTTCAACGAGGGGATCGTTCAGGCTCTGCGGGACCGGTTGCCTCCGAAAGTACTCAAGCAGGAAAACGACGTCGAATCTCATTTTTTCAACAGAGAATACACGCTGTACCAGACGGTTCGAGGGCTCAAGAATCACAAAATCGTGTTTACACACGGAGACTTGCATTCGGGGAATATCCTCGTTCGGGCCGACGGTACGGTTGTTCTGCTGGACTGGGGTCTAGCTGGCTTTTGGCCGGACTATTGGGAATTCTACCGTGCTATGCATAGTGCGCACTGGAGGGCCTCGTGGGATCGCATGATTGAGAGGTTTATCCCGCCTGCTTATGTGGAGTATAGTGTTATTAGTAGGGTGTTTGCTATTGCTTGGAACTGATAGAGGGTAGCTCTGCTACTTGGGTAGTAAATATGCATATTTGGGATATAGAATTCTTGGCTTTATTCTCTTTACATTCCATAGTGGACCTCCAGCTCAGCAATATTGTACTGTATTCTCTCATGATTGTGCTTGAAGGTAACTATGCGCAACAGAGACAGACCATTCTGGAACGGCGCTCTTTTGGTGGTCTGGGGAAGCTGCCGACAAGTTATGGATCCCAAACTATACGGCGACAACGTGAGGGAATCCGGGGTGGTTTACCGTTTGGATATCAATGATAGATCAACTGTATTGAAAACAACAGGAATAATAATGATTATCTTGTATCTATTGCGAATAGGTTAGCTATGTTTCCATTTCTTCGCCCATACTGAATACGACAGGTCGTGCTACTCTCTTTGCGATGTAGGCCTTGGCGGGTAAGTATAGAGTCAAGTGCGCTTTAGCTCGGACCTAGGTAGATAAACATCTGGAATTGAAACTAAAGAACTCCCTTCAGAAATGATACCTAGAAATGCCGTGATCATGTTAGTGTTTGTGTATAGTAGTCACCTTATTCCAGTAAGATCGCGGATGTGGTTAGGGCCTGTCATCCTTTAATTACAGTAGGAACAATCATCACCATGCTGTGTAATAGATTAGCAATGTCTAGCATCATGTATCATGTACTCCAAGTCTGTAGAGATGAGCTTGCTTTCTCACAACGACGGTCATTGGGGAGCGGTATGGCTTGCTATAGCGAACGGCCTCATTTTAGCCCTAACCCGACTTCCGTGCCATATCTATCCAATGTAATACTGGGGGGTATAGTCTTCTATTTACCTAGTCGCTGATTAGTATCATATATGCCATGCTGAATACAGATACGATACTAATGTATATCAAATTGTGCAGGAATCCAGATCTCCAACGTCCGACTTGGTGTACGTCCGATGTCATGTTTTGCGTAGATCCGACGTGACCCTTGCCTATCTTTATTATAAAATTCCGTAAATATAGGCTTACAAGTATCCACGAGTAGTAAATTGGACGATTGTCTAGAGACAAACAATCAGTAAGCGCAGTTTACGGGAAGGCATGACCGGGGACGTGAGCAAGGAGAGGTTTTCGTCATTACCAGCGTCTGTGATCTCGAAGGAAGGCGCCATGAGGCCACTGCCCGTGTTGACATCTCAAGCCCTTGACTTTCTAACTTCAAGATCTTCCCACAATAGCATTGACAGTGCTCCATCATTGAGTCGTTTCCGGTCAAACAAAGCTTCAATCTCTGAGTAGCCAAGCTTGCGTCTCAGATGTTGAGATGTGGCTCTTTCGTCATCGAGGCAAGTAATACCCAACGTGCAAAAGCTGAGCGATGAGCGATCTTACCGAATTCAACTAGTCGTTTAGAACACCCCCAATGCCTCTCAGAAACCCGTACTTGATAACGTGGGCCTCTGTCATCATCAAGGCAAGTGATTCCATATGTTGCAAACTGAGGCTCTTGGAGCCAGTGATGAGAGTACCGCGGGATGATGCTCAGCTTTGGCTGACTGATGTGGATGTTTTTAGGGTGTCTTTCAGAAGCTCATGCTCAGTGAGCTATGGCTCTATCATCATCAAGGCAAGTGATTCTGATTGTTACGAATGAGGCCCTTAAGACCAATGATGAGAGTACATCTGGATGATGCTCAGCTTCGGCTGACTGATGGGACATTTTCATGGTGCCTTTCAGATAGCCTATGCTCAGTGAGCTGCGGCTCTATATCATCATTAAGGCAAGTGATTTCAAGCAACCCCTTGTTACGAACTGAGGCTTTTAAGCCAATGAAGACAACCAACTTGGATGATGCTCAGCTTCGGCTGACCGACATGGATGTTCTCAAGGTGCCTTTCAGAAGCCCGTGCTCAGTGAACTACGGCTCTATCATCATTAAGGCAAGTGATTCCATTTGTTACGAACCGAGGTTCCTGGGACCAATGATGAGAGTACTTCTGGATGATGCTCAGCGTCAGCTGATCTTTGCGAACGTTTTCACAGGGTGCCTTTCAGAAAGCCTATGCTCAGTGAGCTGCGGCTCCGGGATCATCATCAAGGCAAGTGTCTCCAACCCGAACCTTGTTACGAACCGAGGCTTCTTAGCCAATGAAGACAACCAACTTGGATGATGCCCAGCTTCTGCTGACTGAAGGGGCATTTTCATGGCACCTTTCAGATAGCCCACGCTCAGTGAGCTGCGGCTCTGTATCATCATCAAGGAAAGTGATTCCAACCAGCACCTTGTTATGAACCGAGGCTTCTGAGCCAATGAGGAATACCAACTTGGATGATGCTCAGCTTCGGCTGACCATTTTGTGTATTTTCGCAGAATGCCTCTCAGAACGCGATGCTCAATGAGTTCTGACTCTATATCATCATGGAGACAAGGGAACCTTGTTACGATTTCGTGTATCGAGGCGATGGATATCTCCACGAGTGCAATATGGCCCAACCATGGCCTGAACATATGGGACGGCCCACAACCCACAGTGTATGTTGACGATAGGGAACACGCTTGTAGTGGCTCAAATGTGAAGAGGGGTTCTGGGAATCATTTAGCGTAAGCTCTTGCTCAGCACAATACGGAGGTGTACTTAGGAGGGGCAAGTCAGAGAGAGACATTCGATTTGCTTCCCTTTTCTCTAGTAAAGAGAAGCGGCCCTTGAGATAAATAGTAGTGTTATGTCGTCTAAAGCTGGGTTCCGAGTCCACTGATCAATCGATTCTTTCTCGTTTATGTGCTGGTAAGTTAGGCGTAGTAGACGTACCAGGGTAGGGACATGCAACTGGGAGGCTGAAGGTCAAGAGTATGGACGATTCTAAAGGTTCCGGTGTTTGATGTGCTGCGTAAGTGGAAATACACTGGTCGTGGTTTGGGTTTTTCTGTAGTGCTGTGTGTTTGGTTAGAGAATCGGTGGAGTTAGGGTGCTGTAGTTAGGAAGCTGTAGTTAGGAAGCTGTAGTTAGGAAGCTGTGGTTAGGAAGCTGTGGTTAGGAAGCTATAGTTAGGAAGCTGTAATTAGGAAGCTGTAGTTCGGATGCTAAAGTTAAAGTCAGAGTCAGTAGAATATGAGCAGTGTGTTAAGAAAAGAGAAGGAGATTAGAGAGTTTAGAAAATTTCCGGTGACTGACGAGAGTTTTTCTCAGGTGACCGCATAATGAGCCCTAATTGCAGTCATTGTCGGAATTGGGAAAAAGTTTATATGGCCCGTGAGAAATGAACTTATACTTTGTATCTACATCAGTATATATACTAAGACAATGTACATTGACCATTTCGGCTCAGTCTCCAAGCACAGAAATTACTGACCAGCCTTGTCACGCTTCGTCCAGTGACTCGTCACTCTCTACCAGAGTCATTGCACCGAGGAGCTCCTCCACATCTATTGCACCTGCCCGGCCAGCTAGATCTTGCGCTGTGTTTCCTTTGTTGTCCTTGGCCTCGATTGCAGCACCGTGACTGAGTAAGAACTGGACTTCATGCTTTAAGCCTGCTTCAGCAGCCTTGTGGAGTGCTGTCTGTCCGTACATATCTTTGATCGTTATGTCCGCATCTCGATTGACCAACAGCCGCATTACATGGCCTTTCGAGCAGACTGCTTTGTGCAGGGCGGTTTGCCCATAGTCGTCCTGTAGGTCAATATCTGCATCGTTGCTAAGGATGAAGTCCACAAGCTTTCGATGACCATGTTCAGCGGCCTTGTGAAGCGGCGTTTCCCCGGAGAAGTTCGTGATGTTGATGTCCGCTTCGTTGTCTGCGAATAAGGCAACTAGTCGCCTGTCACCGGCGGCTGCAGCGAGATGGAGAGGAGTGTCCCCGTTTTCTACTTGGGCTTCCGGGTCGGCACCCTCAGAGAGCAGCATTTCAACGATTCTAGTGTGCCCGTACTTGACAGCGTAGTGTAAGGGTGTCATGCCGTTGTTGGCGGTCGCGTCTACCAGGGCTTCCATTTGGATGAACAGTGACATCAGCTCCTCGTCGCCGTCCTTGGCCGCGATGTGGAGGGTGGTCTGACCACTGCTGTCCTTTGCGTTAACGTTGGCTCCCTTTTGGAGAAGCAGCTGAAGTATCGCCATGCCCTTCTTGCTTCTATCGTGCATCACCAATGCTAGTAACAGGGGGAGACCCAAGTCTCCGGAAGGGGAGTTGATATCGGCCCCCTTCTTCAGCAGGTATCTAACCACGTCAATATGCCCCCTCCGACCTGCTCGGTAGAGAGGGGTCCCATCTTGACCCTTCTCTTCTCCGTCACCCTTTGCAGGCGGATGTGTCTCGATATTGGCCTCATGGCGGAGTAGCAGACGCACTATTGGTAAGGATCCATTGCGGGCCGCCCACCACAGGGGCGTTCGACCCCCATCGTCTGCTTCGTCGACATCAACCTTCCCAGTGCGCAGAAGCAACTTTACAACTTCTTCGTGCCCCTTCTGGACTGCCCACAGTAGCGGCGTTCGTCCATGGGGGTCTTTAATCGCGGGGTCTGCGTCACCTCTAAGAAGCAGCAGCACCATCATATGGTCTCCCCTCTCTACTGCCAAGTACAATGGCACATTGCCATCCTCGTCAGCAATATTGGGGTCCGCGTCTGCCTGCAGCAAGAGCGTCACGGTTGCCTGGTCTTTTTTCTCCACTGCCAGATACAGTGGCGTGTGCCCATCCTGATCCGCGGGGTTGGGGTCCGCATTCGCTTGGAGCAGCAGTGATACGATCGGCCTGTCGCTCTTCTCTACTGCGAGATACAGCGGCGTGTCCCCGTTCTGATCAGCAAAGTTGGGATTTGCATTTGCCTGGAGCAATTGCGACACAATGTGCTGGTCACCCTTCTCCACTGCCAGATTCAACGGTGTCTTTCCACCTTCTTCCGCGAGGTTAGGGTCCGCGTTCGTCTTGAGCAGAAGCGACACTATTGTCTGGTCGCCCCTCTCCACAGCCCAATACAGCGGCGTCTGTCCATGTAGGTCAGGGAGGTTGCAGTCCGTATCAGGACGCGATAGCAGTCGAGATACAACGAGTTGGTGGCCGTTTTTGGCTGCCCAGCAAAGAGGGGAGCAGCCGCTCTTCGTGTCCTGCAGGTTGATATCACCGCAGCCTCCGTTCTCCAGCAGCAATTGCACGACACTGTCGTGTCCTCCCTCCGCTGCTAGGGAGAGTGCGCTGCGATTGTTCTCATCTATGAAGCCCAGGTTCATGTGAGGGGTGTTGAGCAGCAGTCGTACGATGGAGTCATACCCTTGGCTGGCGGCCAAGAAAAGGGCCACCTCCAGCTTGCCTGGCACTGGAATATTGGATCCCATCCTTCAACAAGGGCGCTAGATCCTAAAGAATCGCAGTAGAACACAGCAGTTGATCCAGTTGACTATACTATACTTGGGATAGTAGCCATGAATTGGTAAAAAGAGGGGTCGGTGGGGATATTGATGACTTCTGCTTTTGGAATGGTAGCACACATCAAACGGATGCCGAAAAGCAGCAGCTGGGGCGAGATCCTGCTCCTGTGTTGGTCTAGAGAGGAGCCGAGGAACAAGCGCGTCTTCGTGTCTGGGAGATATGGTAGAGGGGTAATCCGAGATATCGTGAACCGAGTGTGTGGCGTGATATTCTTATTTTTTATTTCTATTTTCATTAAAACTAGTTCATTTTCCAGAGAAAAAAATGTCTAAATATTATTTCTCTCTCTGTTTACTTTTACTGTTTCTTTTCAAGTGTTTGGCAGTTGTCTTTCTCACCCGCCACGTGTGTCGCTGTCAGTGGCCCTTCCCTGTGCCCGGTTGGTGAGGCCATGATTAGGTACAGATACTAGGAGTGTTAATCTCGCCGGTCTGTTCCTTCGGGCTTGGTTGGTCCACTTGGAGATCTTTGGGATGTGTATACTTAGTATGTGGGGGATCGGGAAAATAACGGAGTTTGTTCGAGTGGGATCAATTGCTGGTGGATATTAGGGATCGTTAGGGTCTTTATACTGATGGTCTCTGAGGGGTTGCAAGCATCTACTTGGTAGTATGCGATATGCACGCTTACTTACTTGCTTTTTTACCAACTTGTGCTGTGTAGTAAGTAGTGCTATTCAGTATGGATAGTCAGTTGTTATATAATTGTCTTTAACTTATGGTTCCTTTTCGCATGAAGAGAATATAATGGCCAAGTGCACAGTGTCATGGTACAACAATTTGCCCTAGTTCAAGGCCCTAGTTCAGGCTCCTACCGAGGTCCTCTACGAGTCAGCATAACCCAATACGACGGTGCTCATAGCCATTGGAGCTGAATACTATCCCAATAATATGGTGGTCTCATATTATGAGGACCGCCAGGGTCATTGAAAAGGTGACGAAGGCAATGATATGGGGCGCAAAGAAGCTAACGTCGGAGGGAGTGCGATCGTCCTGGGCCAAAGTAGGGTATACTGTTGAGCATATATCAGCATGAAGAATACGCGGATTTCCATCAGATCAGTAGGTCAGATAAGAATCTCCATTAATTCTGTTGGTTCTGTGTGTTGCTGATGAGCATACAGAAACTGTGCGCGTCGCCGTAAATACGCATTCGCTGTCCCAATATCCAGATACCTAACATGAAATTCTCCGCATTGTGGAAACCCTCAGGCTTCCGGGAGCTCCTATTCGGAGGACGGTGTCTTGGTCCTCCTCAACCTGCATCCTCACTTTTCCGCCCATCCTTATGATTGTGCATAGTCAACCATCTTATCTATGGAATGATCCAGAACAGCGTACCCGCAGAGAATATAGTCGCCCAAAGTCAAAGCCCGGAAGTATATGCACCAAAACAAGAATTACCAGAAATTATATGCACCATGACCTGTGCAGTACCTATCCGTCAGGCCTAAAGTGATCAGCAACTTGCAGGTATGTCCTGTTGTCAAGACCCCTCATGTTTTCGAATGAGTGACAGATGCACCTGCCCGACATTAACCGAAGTCATCTACGGTTGGAGACAGGCGGGCGATGGTGCCATTGTGCGTGCTATGGTATTGGATATGGACTAACAAGGTTCATGCAGCGGGGTTTTATGAGTCAATGCTGGCTGGAATTCTGCCCAAAAGGCGATTTCGTCGCAGTTGTAGATCACACTAGTAATCATGCAGTATGGATAATGGTCTGTCATTGCAGAGGACCATACGCTGATCATGGATGTGGTTACTTCTTAGAGCCTATGAGGAAATACACAACCGATCCAATGGAGCTGCCTATGTCATCAGTGAATATGTTAGTGAGGGGGTTGGGAGTATAGACATGAGGGGCACTGAAAATAATCGAGATGATAGACACCAGCTCCACTCATCTCACCGATAAGAATGGAGACGCTTGACCCACCCCCACCTGCCTTTTTGGCTCATTCCATGGGAGAGGGGCAGATTGGAAGAAGAAGAGTGCTTGTTGATTAACATTGTGATTCAGATTGCTTGACCATCAAGGAAGTGATAGTCCTTAGGCCAGATGAGTTGTTATTCCCCCGCTATTCACCACAAACAAGTGGGGATAGGTCAATTGAGAGGTACTGTAGATTGTGATGTTTAATCTTAATCTGCTTGAAGTTGCAAATGCCTTGGCAGGTACCCTCTATATGTGAATATGCTTGAAGAGTCCAAGTGACTTGAGTGACTCCTTCTTGCTCGTGGTGCTTCACTGGCGAGTAATGTAACATCTACAGCAGTTCAACATACCAGTAAATCTCATCATCCTCCAAAATCAACAGAGTATTTTGCCGGACAATTCTATTGTTTCCACTGTGGGTTGTGTATGATTTTCTCAAGAAGATGTTGACCTTGGCATTCTCCACTTAGTATATAACAAGATGTCTAGGTCTAGATTAGGGCTTGATTTCATTAGTCTCATTTGCAACGGACTAACAAACTACGGGGACACTATACTAGACTTGAGTCATGGTCAATTAGCCCAAATAATAGACTTTCAATATTCAAGCTTGCTAATAGATCCTATTTTTGTTGGTAAATTGTGATAAACTCCAAGTAGGTTTACCTAGTGAAGGCCAGCAGTCACTGGTTTAAGGCACCAACATCTGTAACAGACAGAAAGGATCGCTGCATGTATATACCACCTTCCTTCTGTAGATGTGCAGGACTGACTCCTCCATGAAAGAACCACTAAACTAAATTCTCCTATCACAATCTGTCACAGCCGAATCCATACACCTTCCATGACAATCCCCAGCTCCGTCACAGCAGGCATCACGACGAACATCACCCGCATCACAACATCAACTACGGGGTCAAAGCAACACTATAACCCATACGCAAGTGATAGAGCCAATTGAAGATGTTTGCAAAATATGTAAAGGTGTCTTATCGCACACACCTACCAGGTAGACAATTACCAACAAACTCAACCCTCCAACTCGCCTAGAAATGATGCCCAATAAGCATCCATCTGCCCGGTGTCAGGCAATAAGGCTCAGCCCGCACTCCACCCCGAGTCTAGGTCCAGCCGGAAGATTTCATGAACCAGAGTACCCGGCCCAAGAGACAGGTATCCATTCAAGTGGGAGGCTGATGTAGTGCAGTGGCATTGACCGTCGCTCGCTCTGTCCCACTGTATGTACAACTCACTTGCAGCTTACTACTCCCCTCCGCCTACCAAGGTGATACGTGCCCTCGGCCGAGTGGTCTCTCACACGCCATCGGCGCTCGGAATGAGCTACTACTCGAGAACTGGGCTGTAGCTTGTAAGAACTCATGTACAACGAGTGAGTATAGTATACCTTAGGAGGTGCATCATATCCCGGATCTCCCTTCCGGCTACCGCTGATGTTGCACCACGACACAGTCAGAGTCACCTCCCCCGCGTGCTTGGTAATGTCTACACGACTGCAGTAGCGGGAGCTGCCAGACGACATACTTACATACTTACATACTTACATACTTACATACCTGATTGCCTAACGGGGATGACCAACCATAGTTAGGGACCGTTGGGGAAGGGCTCGGCCCCCCTAGCGAGTGTATACCAGGTATCAAGTGCGTTTAGATCCGCTCAGCGGCTTGTTTCGGACTTGGACTAGTTATCTAGTAGAGGCGGCTCCTGGGGGAGGCAAGGTCTAAACCAGGCCCTAGATTAGACCTTGATTGAGGCAATGACAGCTAGCTAGCGGAAAGAAGATCTCGGCGCGGTTGATGCCCCGAGCGACTTATCACGGCGTCGACTATCAGAGGCCAAGCTTGCGGGGTTGGGCAACAAAGATATTCTATCCAGTTCTTGTATATGGTATGGGGAAATTTTGACACGTTTCTCTTCTATCTAATCCTTTTTTGAGTTTATTCGCCACTGGAATCAGAGTTTAGTACCATGGCCTCATGTACAGCAAAGCTGTTATCCAGTAACCACAGGCGCATCTGGCGCAAATGATAGTCCGACCTGGACCGGCCCGGAATCGCAACCGGGAATCGCCTCGGTGGAAATTTCACCTATGGAGACGAGAGGGGGATCGAATCAATGAAACATCGAAGCTTGCATGCGTGCACGGCTATGTGGGGGGAAACCATCGTTCTAGTCTACCCAGAGAAAGCCAGATCAGATGTCTGTGGGGTGAGGAATGTGTTGACCGCAATTTCGAGGCCTGTTCGCCACCTGGCGTGGCATTCTAGAAAGGCCGCCCCCTCTTCCCCCCACCCGCCTTTCTCTTTTGTACTTTGCCTGAATGTATTTCCTGTCGGGGAATTATATGGACTGGTTGGTTTGTCGATGTTGTAGCGATAATGGCCGCATTGGATATACCGCCGCGCGGGATCCACTGTTCTATGTAGTACATAGTTATCCATTGTATGCACGGTTCAAAGGACATCACATGGTCTGGTTTATGGATTGGACGGTTTTATTCAACGGTACATTCACACGGTGCATGCCAGACTGACAGGAACAAGTTCTCCAACAGCTAGACTGGTAGGAAGTTAGATTGAGTGGCAACTGAGTCAAACGGTTGTGGCACCCGATGGAGCGCGGAGATCAATGAGGTCATATCGGGGTAGGGCTTTGCCCCCTGCTTGGCCAGGCCCGACAATCAATCAATCAACTTGATTGCTGTGGAGGGACTGGACCGGGACCGGACCCGGGAATAGGTCACCGGGTGTGTGAGATACCACGTTCAGCAAGGCGATGAGCGATTGTCATTGATGGACAGATTGACGGTCAAGGTGTGGTGAAGTTGCGATCTGATATTGAGGGGAGGATAGTGTAATTTAGATTGGGTATTATTGCCTATAGTGGCCCTACCTTACCTTGCTCGAGCGTTCGAAACCACCATCGTCGAACGAGCTAGTTTGATCATCGGGATCGGTGAGGGACTACCAGGATTCTTAAATCTAGAATTCAGCTAGGGCTTGGATAGACATTCGTATCAAGAATGCAAGACATCGATCATCCTCCCGCGGTCACCGTTTGTATCACGATACAACGAGTCAACGACCATGTCTCAAATGGACGACGATCCGTCACATACCTGCCTACTAACCTTAGGCACAAGCCCGTAGCCGAAGAAGAAGAAGAACGAATAGCTTCCAGAGCCCACGGCGAGAAAAGTGGCCCAGAGTAATTGGCTTTGGTCAGGCGGCGATATCCCCCTTTGGCGCCTCTATCAAACATGATTGGTATCTAGTGGTGGGGTGGTCTAGCGTCTCCAACTCAATTGCACTGCACTATGACTCTAGACTGCTCCGTGCAGGATTACAGCAACCCCGGGAATCACTATGCAGTGAGGCTAATGGAGGGGCTTAATTACGCGAACGGTTTCTGTGCCCTAATTCTGCTCCCTTAGTTTTACTCCCTAACTCAATCGTGCGGACTAGTTCCGCTGTCTCTTTTGTTTAAGTATCAATTTCATACTATATCGATCGTACTATACCTATCTACCAGTGGCAGATAGACGGTAGTAACTAGTTCTGTAGCTAGATAATTTTGCGTCCGGCGGCCGTTAACAGTAGTCAGTATCAGCACCTCACAGACCCCCGACTAGTCCAAACAACTGGCCTGGCGTTGTGTGGGGGTAAGGTAGGTAGGTAATTGATGGATCGAAAAGAGGGGATTCTGACTGATAGGGCGAGATGAGATCCGGCACGGCGATTGGTAGAAAGCGGCGCTCATGGTGGAATTCAACGCGATGGGACCAGGTTAAGTTTATTTCAGGCTCCAGTTACTTCCAGTATCCAAGTCGTACACCGCTTCTCTCGCACCGCGCCAATCAGAGGCTGTCAAATCCAGGGGAAACTCCAGCCGGATCGTAATTGCACGAGGGTGGGTCGGGATTACTGTAACTCGAGGAGTTCGTGGAGAAACAGTACGACTAGGTAGTAGGTACAATACATCGTAGAATGATACCGCCAGCAAGGCCCATAACCAGTGACCAGTCTGACAGTCAGCCAAAAAAAGCCTCCCTCTCTGCAAGGACAGCGGATTGCAATTCCAAGACAGTGCAGGCAGCAACTCAATCGTCAGTCAGACCCGTGGAACCGGGATGGTTGACCGCAGGGCGAAAACATGGATATCCGATACTCGTTCCCGTCCTTGCTGTCCGCAATCCCTGGTACGTATCCGCCTCAATACGAAACTAAGCAAAAGGGTTAAGGGCCCCCCCGCCCCTCTTTCCAGAATTCGATGGCGCGGGTTATGGAGATTGGAGAATGAAAGAATGGAAATGGAAGCGGAAGCGGGAAAAAAGAAAGAAAGTAATATTATAAAAAAGGAAAAAGAACAGTCCACAGCAATTGTTGGGATGGATCCAGACCACCTTGCTGCGCTTACCCTTGCTGTAATCGGTAATGTATTAAGCTCTTGCTCAATCGGTAACTAAATACGGTAAGTTGAAAGGTCCATCGCCGTCACGACACCGGTGTACACTGTAGGTAGGTAGAAACAACTCCTCATCGCCACCACGCCGCGAACCGCTTCGGTTCGCGCGTGGCAATCCGTAAAAAGGTGTTTCGGATGCTTTTGCCAAAGCATGCATGCAATCATGATTATCTTATGGACTTTTTTCGTCTTTTCTTTTTCTGTTTTGTTGGTCAATATTGTAATTGTTGGTGTTGTTGTTGTTGTTGTTGTTTTTGGACTCGGTCAGACCGATTCCCAACCTGGGGCATCAAATCGCTGATTCAATTCCAGGCATGATGTCAGATTGATAGTGAGATATCGCGATAAATTCCAGTAATCATGACTTTGGTTTAATAGGTAGACACGATGACTTGCACCACAGCTATAGCTAAAAAATGTCAATAACAAGCATCACAAACTACAATAGAATAAAGTAAAATAAAATAAAAAAACTCAGAATTGTGATGGTCAGTGGTTCCAGGTACGTGCGGTGGTTAGGGCGTGATCCGCCGTCACATCTTTTCTAAATCCGTTTGGGTCCTCGACTCCACTTGATGCAGAAACACTTGCAGGACGGCCACGCTCTCGACCAGCACATCGACCGCCTCTTTTGTGGCTCGGGGGTTTTTGTTCATTCTGTTATGACACGAGACGGTAATGAATAGGCTAGTGTATCCAATTGTCAAAGACGATCCTTTGTGGCCTCGGAAAGTCAAAATAAGGTAACAGGGTGGAAATGCAAAAGAGAGAAGGTTCAGGCGAAAAAAATCGAGTAAAATACAAATAAAGATAATAAGGATAGATGGAGGGTGGGGCATCATGAGCTTGAAATTGCTTCGTCATAGTGCAGCCTAAACACCCAATTTCATTTCCATTTTACTTAGTATTGTTATTCAAGTCTCCGACTCGAGGACAGAGCACGATCCCAACAAGGCCGTGCAGGAGCAGCATCCATCATGGATCCATCGCAATGACCTTGTTCAGATACGGGGAGCGTCCAATGAGGGCTCGTGGAGAAGGTGATTCAGTCTTGATCCGTCCAAAAGGCAATGCTGATCATCCGGGAAGGGGCTGTCATGTAAAAAGGAAAAGTGACAGCTCACTCTGAGGGACTGGCGAACGAGGTGAGAATAATACACTTGAGATTACATCTCCACCGAAGAGACCACCATGGAATGGTATAAGAGTGGTGGTAAATAAGGTGAAAGGTCTGCTATAATGATCCACCGGTATTTGATACAGTATTATTCGGTGTTGTCACACAGGATCGAGATAGAGGAGAGTAGTGTCTTGGCGAGGTATAGATGTATGAGTCAAATGGACAGCCAAGCCAGAAAGGGAACTCGTCGCGAATGTGTTCAGGCATTGTATTTGGAAATCAGGCAGACAGATATGTACAACTACATTCCCAAATGAAAAGAAATATAACAATGATCAATAATCAATCAAAGAATAGAAAAGAGACAAGGGATGATGCATGGGGTGTTGGACAACTAGCATCGATGCACGGTGATGCCGTTGAGGAGGCCCGGGGGGAGATAGCTCTGTAGATCTGATTATCTGATGAGGATGACCATGTTATTCCTGTTGAGCATGATTGGTGTCATTTCTATACTATGGAACAATTGGTATGGATGTATTGTATAGTGTCTGACTGTATTATATTGAGCATCGATAATGACCAACAGGAAGAATAATAGAGAATTATAGACAGGTAAACAATAGAGAGAATAGACAATATTTACAAACTCAATAGATAATAGATAATATCTACAGTTCAATAAGAATATATACCAAGGTACACTGAATCGATGGTATAAGATAAGGCAGTCAACTGGGAACCATGGATCATACAGACCCAAGATATATGTCGGTATTCAACCAAATCGCATCCAGTAAAATACATGAACAAAGCACCAACAAAGAATAGGTACTAACTAATCCATAAGTGCCCAAAGAACCAACGAATGAACAAGCCTCCCCGCTGGCTTTTCCCAGCCGCCGCCCTGGTTTGGTTTGGTTTGGTTTGGTTTGGTTTGGTTCGGTTTGATTTGGTCTGGATTTTTCCCCCTCTCGCCTCCCACTCCTCAACCATCAGCGGAACTCCCGACCTCTCTTCACGCCTTTTCTTTCCTCTCTCTCTCACCTCCTTCCTTGGACTTTGGTTGACCTGCTTATTCTTATCCTTATTTGTACAACAATCCTTTTCCTTCCCCCCCCCCCATCCTTATTTCACTCGTTTGTGTTATTATTCTTATCCGCTGGCTTCTTGACCCACTTGGCTCTCGATCCGAGGCCGTAGGGTTCAGCAACAGCAGCAGCAGCAGCAGTTACGACAACCTAAACCGGTTGGTGGTGCCTGACCCGACTGCGTGAATCACCACTGATCGAGATCTCCGCATCTTCAGAACGCACCGCGCCCCCTCTCCCCTCTCCGTCCACAAAACCACACCCATATCTCTCCATTTCCTTCGACATAGTCCTTACTTGCGACTTCAAAACAAAGCGCGACCACCGTCGTCCATTCAAGTCCCCGGAAATTAAACTCTCGAGGCGTTCATTGTGTGTGAGTCGTTGCGCTGTCTTGCGATCTTCTCCGCCAAATCACCCCTCAGCCCCTCTCCGACTCCTTACATGCTTCCCTCCCCCTCTCTCTCCTCCTCCCCCCCCCCCCCGTTATCGAAGTCACACCGCCAGCCGACCACCTCTTTCTTTTGATTGTGCTTTTCTTTTTTAATTTATTCAATTCTTTTTTCCCTTTTGATTTTATTTATTCTGTTTGGATTTTTTGCTTTTTTCCTTTTTATTTGTCTTTCCCTTGTACCTTGGTTCCCAGCCTAGCCTCGTGTGTTTTCTAATATTAGGCTTTGGAATCCGCTGGCCACGGCTGTTTATAATCCACCTCCCCCTGACATCTCCTCCCGACCTCCCCACCCCCCCTCCTCGTTTGAGCTCTCCCGCGGCCCTCTTATATCATGTCGTGATCGCTTTTCTGACCTGTCTTGGCTGTTGAATGATATTAGTCCCGTTTGCTTTACATCCCCACCACAGATAGCCGCCCATCATGGCCTTCAAGAACGGGCTTAGTGAACGCCTCGACGAGCTGCGATTTCCCTCCCCCAGATCGCCTCCGTCCGAATCGACCTTCCCCGGTTATAGTCCTCTGTCTCCTAGCCATTCGAACTTCGTGTCCGCATTTTCGCGCCCCTCGGGCGATGTCCGAGCGAACCTCCAACGTCGATTTACCACGGACTCTAGCAAGCTCTCGTCCTGGAACTACCTAAATCAGGTCGGCAATGTCGGCAATGTCACTCAAGTGCCGGACCCCATAGACCTCCTGTCATCTGTAAGTGTCCTGCAACCGTTATGGTCCATTGCGCCCAACACCAACAAGCCCTGTCGCCCCTTCAATCGCTTGCATTGTAGTTATCAGTTCTCTCACATACCCTCTTATGCGTGACCTCCCTGTTAAATGGGGCAAAGGTCGCCTTTCGCTCTGGTATCCCATATTGTAACAATTGGCGCTGTTGCCTATTGACACCTCAATCCGGTGTCATTGTGAACTTGCCACACCTTGACCTTTCTTTCCCCTCACTCTCACTTCATCGCCTGTTTCATTTCTCGTTTCACCCTTACCTCACTTGCCATTGGCCTCGCACTCCCACGACAATTCAGCTGACCCCATGCCAGTTTGAGAAGAAGCGCCAGCATATAGAGTACATGCGTGAGCAGAAACGCAGGTTCGAAGAAGATATGAAACTCCTGGATCTGCAGCACGAGAGAGAGAAGCATGAAATGGACCAGCTAGCGAAGGATCTCGCCAAAGCGGGCTTGTCGGGCCCGGTCAGCGAGCCAACTACTCCTCCCGAGTATCGTGAGAACCACATTCCGGCTGGATTCACTCGGCCCACCCGCTTCTCGACCTCCAGCGTGACCTCCTCTCCGGGGTTCTTCAACGTCTTTGCGCCTTCCCAGGTGTCTAGCCCTCCAAGCCAGCAGATGAACCACACTTCTTCTCACCCGCCGGCTGGTCGTTTCTCGGTGCACTCGGTGCCTGGGTCTCGTAGAAACTCGGAGAAAGAAGATTTCGGTCCGGAGCCCACTTCTCCATTTCGACCTGGTCCTTCGTGAGTCACCCCTTCATCATATTGTGATTTTTTTTGCCGCCCTTTGTTTCGTCTCCATTCACTGGTGTATTGTATTCCTTCACCGCCTTCCGCGCTTGGCGGCTTACAGCGGACTGTGAATCACTCAAGTGACCCCTGCGGAGAATGCTTGTCCATACCATTGTCCTTTTCTGTTTCACTGACTTTCTGCCAGTATTCACCGCTATTCAATGCCCTCCGCGGGGATGGGCTCTCAGGCACGCCCTAATGTCTCGGGCTTCAATGGTTCCTCCGGCCTGGATTCCTTCAATGCCGCCAAGTATCTCTTCCACAACGAAGACGACACGGGAACTCCCAAGGAAGACGATCGAATTCCTACCCCTGACATCAAGTCCTACCTCAAGATGACCGACCCTGACGAGAAGTTTCCTACTCTGTCCAGAAGAGATGACTCTGGCTTGGTAAGTCCAACTGTATAGACTGAGCCCTACAAGAGACTGACTGGACCTGCAGCTGTCTGCCAACCCCGTTGCTCTTGACCTGGCTAACTCCCGTACTCCCAACCCGGAGACTTGGAACTCGCACAATCGCCACCGGTCTACCCATCAAAGCATGCCGCAGCACTCTTTGAACATGTTCCGTGTTGAGAACGAGAACCAGTCCAACCCGTCCAATGCCTCTCGTCACGCTGCCAGACATTCCCTGGAGAATAACATCCTCTACAGTAGTGAGGGAAGCCAGGAAAGCATGATCACCCCTGCCTCCAGCCGCCCCATGTCTCTCCAGTCCTCCTACTCGACCAATGATCTCCCGACGGTCAAGGGCGATGGCTTCAACCCTGCCATCACACCCCCCAAAACCCATGCTGAGCAATTCCACCATCACAATGCCAGCCTGGGCCGCATCCCTGTGAATGCAGTGAACTCCCGTCCGCAAAAGGATTCGCCTGAGAGGGAGGAACCCAAACTACACACTTCCCGGCCCTCCCAAACCACCCTGCAGGCCAATGCTACGCCCTTTGGTCCCCAACTGACGTCGGCCCCCTCGGGTGCTAGCACCATGTCTCCGACTTCGCTCCCCGCCTTCCAGAACCCGTTCTATGGATATGGCATGCCAGCGTACATGAATAATCAGGTGCCGGTGAACGGCCAGGTGCAGAACTATCCTCCCGCCCCATCTTACGGCGGCTTTCCCCCCTACGGCAACTACCGCCTGGCGGAAAGTCCGGCCAAGGGTGCTGCATCCCGTCGGAACGGGGACAACGAATCTTCCCAGCTGTCGCGCTTTACCAACTACCCCCTTGAGCATTACCAGGGTGAGCTGTACGGCCTTTGCAAGGATCAGCATGGCTGTCGGTATCTGCAGAGGAAGCTCGAGGAGCGTACCCCAGAACACGTCCAGTTGATCTTCGATGAAACTCACGTTCACGTTGTGGAGCTCATGACTGACCCCTTCGGCAACTATCTCTGCCAGAAACTTCTGGAGTACTCTAATGACGAGCAGCGGACTGCTTTGATCAACAATGCCGCTTCCCAACTCGTTAAGATTGCACTGAACCAGCATGGTACCAGAGCTCTGCAGAAAATGATCGAGTTCATCTCCACCCCTGAACAGACCCAGACCGTCATCCGTTCTCTGGAGGATCATGTCGTGGAATTGGTTCAGGATTTGAACGGGAACCATGTCATCCAGAAGTGTCTGAACCGCCTTTCTGCCGAAGATGCCCAGTTCATCTACGACGCCGTTGGGGCCAATTGCGTGGTCGTTGGCACGCACCGTCATGGATGCTGCGTGCTTCAGCGCTGCATTGACCATGCCTCTGGGGACCAGAGAGCTCGCCTGATTGCCCAGATTACCTCCAACGCGTTTGCTCTGGTCCAGGATCCGTTCGGCAATTACGTGGTGCAATATATCTTGGATCTTGCTGAACCTTCCTTCACCGAGCCTCTCTGTCAGACTTTCCGCGGCAACATCCCTGCCCTGTCGAAGCAGAAATTCAGCTCCAATGTCATCGAAAAGTGCCTCCGCACCGCCGACAACCCGGTCCGCCGTCTGATGATTGATGAGATGCTGTCCGGTGCCGAGCTGGAGAAGATGCTGCGTGACTCGTTCGCGAACTATGTCGTGCAGACGGCCATGGATTTCGCGGACGCCGACACTCGGACCAAAATTATCGAATCCGTGCGTCCGATCCTGCCCTCGATCCGCCAGACTCCTCATGGCCGTCGTATCTCCGGGAAGATGATGGCTGCCGAAGGCTCGGGGAGGGGCAATGCCGCGACCAATGGCCAAGTGGATGCCAACGAGATGAACTCGTCCCAGCTCCCGGGACCTCTGCAAGGATCCCAGAAAACGTTCATGTATCAACACACCCCGTTCTCTGTCCCCAGCGTTGGTCCCCAGTTTGGAACCCAGAACTTTGTGCCCGCCACTGGCAACGGTTCTACCGGAAACACCCCCTCGGGCGGGGCTGGTGACAACCCGGGTATTTTTGCTCCTGCTGTTCAGTCGAATGGCAATCTCGGCGCTCAGAGTCAGCTGTACGCTTACTTCTGACCTGTTTCCGCTGCGCCTTGGATCGCCATTTCCTGACCATTGCTTGTACTCATACTGAGATGATGATACGATCTTCATGACTTACGGCCACCTTGAGACGCGCCAGCCGATTGGGGTAATTCCGATTTTGATCTTTTGATATCATAACCAGGATATCTATCTTCGAGCAACCCGTTTTGCATCGTTGTCCTTGGTTCACTTTTTTTGTTCTTCTTTTCTGTTATCTTGACGATTCGATGCAGTTTATGACCAAGACTACCCATCTTGCATATGCCTTGTATTTTTTTTCTCCCTTGTCCTGTCTTTTTCTCGTTTTTGCACCGCTTTGGAAACAAGGCGGATGAAGACGGATGAGATGGATGGTTGTATCCCAAGTTTTCCTTGTTTTCCCCCTTGTGATTTAATTTCTTTTTATTTTTCGGTCTCGCCCCCGGTCCCGGATCGCTCCAAGACCATTGTTTAATACATGCGTCCTTTCTATTAGCCCCCACAGTGTGTTTCTATCTTATTTTATTTCCCCTTTGTCGTTTGGATTGCAGCGAGCTTCCCCGAGCCAGGATCCGGTCATGTGCATCTCACGAAACATCGCGATTCCAAGGTAATTGGGAGATGATCTTTGAGGCACTTACCTTACCTGCGTGCTTGATGATGTGGTTGGTCTCGAATTTTTTGTACCATCTTTTTCTCCATATCTCACATCTTGGGATGTCTCTGGCTGGACGTTTTAACTACTGCCATTTCGCATGGAATTAGGTAGAATAGATGTACCCATAGTTTAGGCAATCAAGTATTTTTAACAAAATCTTCTAAAGAGTCAACAATAGAATAGAGAGCTACGTAGAAAGCAATGCCCATAGAAAAGACATAGTAGCCTTGCCCAGAATCTATGTAGGTGAAGTCACGTGGACAACATGTGACCACGCGCGTCCGCCCCGGAAAAGTTGGCGATAAGACCTCGGCGAGCTCACAGATCCAGTGCGCCGATCACTTTCAAAGCTCAAGCATATATGCTGGAATAGTCGTCCACAGTGAACGCCATATGTTGCCGGCAGAAGTTACGCGGTCATTGAGCCAGCAATGGCCCTGTCGAGAGCTGCAAAGCAGGCAACTTGCCAACCTGCTCGGGGTACGCGATCTCCCGGGCATCTTGTCTCGTCCCCGAAAACCAACCCGATATGTAGCTAACAGCTCATCTGTGATCGGTTAGGATGATTCCCCAAGCCCATCTACGGTAGTCGTCCACGGTATATCGGCAACATGCAAATCGACCATCGTCCGCGCCGTTCTCTCCGCCCTCGACGTGCCGCACGGGATTGTGCGCAGCTCGGAATGTATCACGGGACGGCATCTGTTGACGAAGATATTGTGGGCTGCGCTGGAAGCGTTGGGTTTGAAGAGCGAGTGGGAGACGTTCGGAAAGGGCAGGTGTGAGCATGTTAGTACGCTGGCTGTGCTCTTGGGCCAGTGTCTTGCTTCGAGGCCCGGGAGGAAGTTCGTGCTCGTTTTGGATGGCATCGATAAGCAGCGGGAGGCGCCGTATACTTTGTTGCCTGCTTTGGCGAGGCTGGGGGAGATGGTGAGTTCATTGCTGTTTATGACTTTGGGCTAAATACTAGCACGATGAGTTGTACCGCGGCCGAGTTTGGATGGTTATAGCTGACGTGCTGGCATTCAAGATCCCCTCGCTATGCGTCGTCTTCATCCTCAGCACCACGCCGCGCCCGCTGTTTCTTCACTCCGCCGGTGTTCCTCATATCAACTTCCCTCCGTACACGCGAGTGGAAGCGGCGAAGATTATTCTACACCTGGGCGCTCCGGCCACAGGGCTCGCGGAGGATGTCGCATCCAGGCTCTACCCGCATTTCGTGTACGCCATCTACGACTCGCTAGTCGGGCCTACAGTGGCATCCATACCTAATTTCCGCTCCATATGCGAGAGACTCTGGCCGCAGTTCGTGTCTCCCATCACCGACGGCCAGACACCCCCGGGCAACATCGGGGAGTGGGACTTTGCGCGACTGCTGGTCAAGAACCGGTCTATGTTCCGCCATCAGGGCGAGTCGGCGCTCGTGCACCACATTGTCACAGACGAATCGTCCCTCTCCGGCAACGGCACCACCAAGCTACCTCCAGCAGCCGTTCTAGCTCCATCTCCCCTCCCCACCCTCCCCTACTTCCCAACCCTAATCCTAACATCAGCATACCTCGCCTCCCACATCCCCCAACGCCTCGATACAATCTTCTTCTCCAAATTCTCCTCCTCCTCCCTCTCAGCCCGAAACAAGCGCGCCCACCACCGCCGCCGCCTCAAAGTCCTCTCCCAAGCGCAAGCCGAAGACGCCCGCAACGCAGCAACGGCTTCCTCCTCAACACCCAAAAAGGGCAAACGCACCAAAACCCGCATCACAAAACACACCCTCAACAACGCCTTCGCCACCTCCTCAGCCACAACCTCCGCCGCAGCCGCAGGCATCACAGGCCCCTCCACAATCCTCACAGCAAGACCCTTCCCCCTCGAACGCCTCGTCGCAATCTACCACGCCGTCGACCCCAACCCCCCCTCCAACCCCGTCCGCCTCGCCGCCATGTCGGACGCGATCTACGCTGAGCTGGCTACGCTGCGCCGTCTGCGCCTCGTCGTCCCTGCCGCGGGGCGCGACAGTGGTGGACGCATGGGACTCGGTTCTGGCGGGCTGAGTAGTGGGAATACGTCTGCTGATGCGGGCGAGAAGTGGTGCGTGAATGTCTCGGGGGATTGGATTGGGGAGATGGCGAAGACTGTGGGGGTTGAGGTTGGGGAGTGGTTGGCGGGGGGGTTGGATTAATTTTCTTTTTTCTTGCATGGGATATCATGGATGGTGTTTTCTTTCGATTCTTTTCGATTATTTTCATTGACATTACTCTTCGATATACGGGGGATATAGAACGACATATAATAACCAATGAACAAACCAACTACTAGAAAGAAAATCTCATATCCAATTCCTCCCTTGTGCATATGTAACAGAGTAGGATTGACTATTTACATTCCTGCTATGGTTTATTCCCAATCACCAATTCCACTCATCAACAGTAGCCTGCGAACACACCAGCAAACTTGGCGTCTGCGGACCCTTGAGACACCCATCGCCGGGCTCAAAACATATAGACGAGATGGGTTGCGAGTACTGGTATTTGGAGATGGGGGAGGCGATCTGCTCGCCTGTTGTTAGGGAGAAGAGTTGGATGCGGTTGTCGTCGGATGCTGTTGGTTGGTTTTGTTAGGGGTTGTTGATGATGATGGGATTGAGGTGGGAAGGGTATATGTGACTGACCGCTGGCGAGGAGGCTAAGCTCGGGACAGATGTCGAAGTCGGGGGTGCTGGTGGGGGAGTAGTCTGGGAAAGAGAGGTAGGGTTTTGTGGAGGTGTGTTGTTTGTTGTTTGGTTTGGGGTTCCGTTGGAGGCCGTTGGGTGGGTAGCGGATGTCGTACATTTTGAGCTGGGCTGTTAGTTTGCTATATGGGGATGATGGTATGTGGGGGATGATTTGTTATAGGAGGAAGGGGCTTACAGAGTTCAAACCCGCTACTACAATTCGATATGGATCGACTTTCCGGATCTTTGAGACGGCGTGCGTATGTTGTAGTCGGGTTGCTGTGCCTCCGCTGCGGAGGTCGTGCAGAAAGACTGTTGAGTCTAGGAGACCACCGGCAATCACGTCCGAGGAGAGCCATTCAACGCTGGTGACAAGGGCGTGAGAGGAGTCCATCTTGCGGTGGGTGACTGGTTTGCCTGTCAATACGTCGTTGGCAAATGGTTTCTTGGAAAGAGACCAGTAACTTGCGAATCCTTCAATCGTGTGTAAGCCTTGCGATGTGCCGACTGCGAATCGGGGGGTGGTTCCCTCTGGGCATGCTGCTGAACACCATAGGGAAGGGGTGAGGGCGATGCGAGTTGAGTAAAATGCTGGTTATGGGTTATTGATGAGGTTCAGTGATTGATGTTAGGGGGCAGCATACAAGAAGAAGGCCAGCGATAATCCCCGGCGTCGTCGGGGTCGGGAAGCATTCGTGGTGCCAGGAACGAGTCGCCCCGCGGGCCACTGTCCATTGTGGCTCTTGAAGCATCTCAATAAGAGGTTCAGGAGCTGAGGATGACAATACAAACTCACAGCAGGTAGCCGGTATGGCTTAATGATATCGATGAGATCTAATCCCAGTCAATTCTGCTATTCCACATTCAACAATGCGGGGTAAAGATAGGACGCACCCTGTATGGCTCTTTGAAGAGGACCCGTTCCATGGTCCGGTTGTAGGTCCATTTGCCTTGGTCGCAGTCTGGAAAGCATACCCTTGGACGGTCAGTATGCTCTGTGACCCAATTTCGAAAGGTTTGGCTCACGAGACTGAAGATTCACCACCACGGTGGCCACCTTGATCGGATCAGCAACCAATAGAGAATGACACCGGGGATGAAAGCCGTCTCACTCACTAGCAATCAGGACCCCGGAGCGTCTGTTTCGCAGCAGATGTTTGATGGAGTACTCATCATCTGGCCACGGCTCAAACTGGTGCACTCGATTCCGACGGAACTGGCTTGCGTAGATCAAGCCCCGCTGCTCCAGTCGGAAGCCATTGGACGAGGGCTGATAGCCCAGTTCGCGTATGGCTCCGATGAACGGATGTTCCAGAAAGGCAGCCTTCTTGATCTTCTCTTTGGCAGTCCTTTGGGTGATGAGGACTTTTCTCTGACGTTTCTAGGCGACGTCAGTGGGGTTGCAGACAAGATGGATCTCGTGTTGAGATGCAGGTTACAACCTCGTGTTCTTTACGTTTCCGCTTGACGGCGTCTTTGGAGTAATTAGATCCAGGGGCGGATTTATGGCTCGCCTCAACCTTGAAATACTTTTTCTTTTCGGGATCTAGACGGTATTAATGGGTCAAGCCACGGCTTAGGTTGCATTCGCACACCTACCATAGTAGAATCCAGGAATTTCTCGATTCATGGTCGCTTGGCAGCCGTCAGAGTGGCCGAGACTAGGGGAAGCTAGATATAGCTTTGTTGAGTATAGACAGATATAGATTCATGGAGGGTCTGGGCGTGACAGATGCCTAAGATATGCGTGCTGTGCAATATGTATAGTGGTAGTACGCTGTAGTCGCAATCGTGAACGGGCGATGCGATCATGCAGCAACCCAGCGAGTCAATAGATGATCAATCTGACAATTCTATAGGTCTCATGGGATGTTCAGTTCAAAATGGTGTAAATCAGAGGAACATGGTGAGATCTGACCCATCGTCCATGTCAAACAAAGGCGGAAGGTGGATGGATGGATTGGCGACGATGCTTGGCGCGTGGGCGAGTTTTGCCGATGACGTCTCTGCTTATCTCAGCATATCTTTTGGGATATCTACATCTACAACTCCTACTCAACAGGTACTGCAGGTGGTTTATGTCTTGACTCTACTTTCATCTCTCGGTTAGATCCAGATAGCTTGTCGATATTGCATGAGGTTTTGACTTTTACATAAGATACCAATCCGTCCCTCTTACCATCATGGGTGATACAAAGACAGCATGATACTACTATATATCACCAGTAGTATCATTGTCTGATATCCCATCTTCACAAAGGCAGCAGGTACGATCCCTCTTCCTTCTTCATTTGGGAGTCGTACCTCACTCTCCTCTCTGCACTTTCCTGTCTAATTGACAACAGCGGCTATTATCCCGGTCACAATGCTGTCATGGCTTTATCTCTCAGTCAATAGAAGACCTCGCCCACTGGGTATATACTATCAAATAGATCTACAAGCAAGTATACATCCACTTGACATCAATTCGTGACCCCTCTGGTAATCGTCATGCCGATCAGATCTTTTCCGACCCTGAACAGGGTCTTGTCCGCCTCTGGAACCAAACAAGACGACAAGCCGAAGGAGACCACCGCAAACAGAAAGTCATATCCGTCGAGCTCGGTGTACGAGTTCAAAGAAGAGGATGGAGAGTCCCAAGATGAGAAGGACGTGGATATTGACGCCCTGATCGAGGATCTCAAGTCTCTCGACGGTCAGAGTGATGTCGATGACGATAGGCTAAGCCAACCGGGGGGCCTTCTTCAAGTGCCAGAGGAAATAATTCAAACGAACCCAAACACCGGTCTCACGGAGGAGGAGGTCCTTCTTCGACGGAAGAAGTATGGCTGCAATAGAATGAAGGAGGAAAAAACAAACCTGTTCCTCAAATTTCTATCTTACTTCGTCGGACCAATCCAATTCGTGATGGAGGTGGGTTCTCACTCTCTGAGAATACTTTGGCACCTGGACTGATACACTGACTCTTGCAAACAGGCAGCTGCAATTCTGGCGGCTGGTCTTCGCGATTGGGTAGATTTCGGTGTGATATGCGCTCTTCTGGCCCTCAATGCAGTTGTTGGATTTGTCCAAGAGTATCAGGCCGAGTCCATCGTGGTTGAACTGAAGAAAACCCTGGCACTGACGGCTATGGTCGTGCGAGACGGCAATATAATCGAGGTGGATACAGCAGACGTGGTTCCGGGCGATATCTTGAAAGTAGAAGAGGTATTCCAAATATGCGACCTCCAGTCATGTCCAACAGCTGACCAATATCACCAGGGAACGATCATACCCGCCGACGGTCGACTACTCACCACGTTGACTCTGCAAGTAGATCAGTCCTCCATCACGGGCGAATCCTTCGCTGTTGACAAGACCAAAGGAGATACGTGCTATGCCTCCTCAGCTGTAAAGCGAGGCCACGCGCGCATTGTCGTCACGGCCACGGGAGACAAGACGTTCGTCGGACGTGCTGCTGCATTGGTGAATGCCGCTGCCTCTGGTGCAGGCCACTTTACTGAGGTCCTCAATCAAATTGGGATTGTGCTGCTGGTGCTTGTGGTTCTCACACTCCTCGTTGTCTGGGTATCGTCGTATTACCGCTCAAACGACATCATAACCATCCTTGAATTTACCTTGGCCATCACCATGATCGGTGTACCGGTTGGTCTTCCTGCCGTGGTCACCACCACAATGGCAGTCGGTGCTGCATATTTGGCGAAGAAACAAGCGATTGTTCAGAGATTGTCAGCCATCGAGTCCCTCGCTGGCGTGGAGATCCTTTGTTCCGACAAAACCGGTACCCTAACGAAGAATAAGCTAAAGCTCCATGAACCGTTCACAGTCCCCGGGGTGGACCCTGAAGATCTTATGCTAACCGCCTGCTTGGCTGCTTCTCGGAAGACGAATGGCATCGACGCTATTGACAAAGCATTTCTCAGGGCCTTGCCTAACTATCCTCGAGCCAAATCTCTGCTTTCGCGGTACAAGTTGCTTGAATTTCAACCCTTCGACCCTGTCTCGAAAAAGGTTACCGCTATAGTGCAGTCCCCTCAGGGCGAAAAGATCACTTGCGTCAAAGGAGCTCCACATATTATTCTCGGGGACCTTGAAAACAAGACCTATATCACAGAAACAGTGAAGGTCGCCTACAGGACCCAGGTAGCCGAATTCGCTTCTCGGGGGTTCCGTTCGCTTGGAGTCGCTCGCCAACATGGCAATGGGCTATGGGAACTCCTTGGGATCATGCCCTGTTTTGACCCTCCGCGACACGATACGGCCAAGACTATCAACGAGGCCAAATCTCTTGGACTATCGATTAAGATGCTCACTGGAGATGCCATCGGCATTGCTCGAGAGACGTCCCGTCATCTCGGAATGGGCACCAACGTTTACAACGCGGACCGTCTTGGTCTTGGGGAGGAGGCATCGATGCCAGGGTCTGAAATATACGACTTTGTCGAGGCTGCCGATGGATTTGCGGAAGTATTCCCTCAACATAAGTATAACGTCGTGGATATCCTGCAGCAGCGCGGATACCTGGTAGCGATGACTGGAGACGGCGTCAATGACGCACCATCCCTCAAGAAAGCCGACACTGGGATCGCAGTCGAGGGCTCCTCGGACGCCGCACGCACGGCGGCTGACATTGTCTTTCTGGCTCCTGGACTGTCTGCTATCATCGACGCTCTGAAGACTTCGCGCCAAATATTCCACCGGATGTACGCCTATGTCGTGTACCGGATTGCTCTGTCGCTCCACCTCGAAATCTTTTTGGGTCTATGGATCGCGATCATGAACGAGAGCCTGAACCTGCAGTTGGTCGTCTTCATTGCCATTTTTGCGGATATTGCAACGCTAGCCATTGCCTACGACAAGGCCCCGTATTCGAAAAGTCCCGTGAAATGGAACCTTCCCAAGCTCTGGGGCATGTCTGTCATTCTCGGGATTGTGCTCGCGATCGGGACCTGGGTGACATTGACCACCATGCTAAACAATGGTGAGGAAGGCGGGGTAGTGCAGAATTTTGGAAAACGCGATGAGGTTCTGTTTCTCGAGATCTCCCTGACTGAGAACTGGCTGATCTTCATCACGCGAGCCAATGGACCGTTTTGGTCGTCGGTCCCGTCGTGGCAGTTGACCGCAGCGATCTTAGTGGTGGACCTCATCGCGACCTTTTTCTGCCTCTTTGGATGGTTCGTCGGCGGACGGACTTCAATCGTGGCCGTGGTCCGCATCTGGGTCCTGTCGTTTGGGGTCTTTTCGATCATGGGGGGGCTTTACTACCTTCTGCAGCGTTCCAAGGCATTTGACAATTTGATGCACGGAAAGAGCCCCAAAAGCAAGGTCACGGTGCAGCGCTCGGTGGAAGACTTTCGTAAGTGGTCCGTTGTCTTCGCCATGGCTGATTACTGACTGGGGTAGATGTGAAATTGGAGCAAGAGTCGAGAATGCATGTGAGGAGTTCGCTGGGCGGGACGGTCGCGAAAGGGCCGGTCAAATGAGGGTTTCATTGATTCTACTGGCTCTGGGGGGCGGAAGGGGGGAGACAAGGGAATTTGCTGGTGCTGGATTTATCTTACAAACCGGGGACAGGTAGTATATCGTACTGTATGGATTAGACACTGGCTTATGGCGGATTATCAGGAAGGCTACACAAAGGTTGTATGAGAAACAAGCTATTAAGTAATGAGATACATTATGAGAACCACTAGCTAAGCCGTTCTTTAAATCAATGATTGAGTTGATAGATAGGTAGGTATGTATGTAGATATACATGGTGATGGCAGTAGCAGTAGCAATAGCAGTAAAAGTAGCAGCAGCAGCGGTATGTATGCGTGCATGTATATATGTGGTAGACAGAAGGAAAGAAAAAGAAAAGAAAAAGGAAAGAGAAAAGAGAGGAAGAAAGAAAGAAAAAAAAGGAGAGAGACGTAGAAAGGAGAGAAAGGGAAAAGGAATGGGAAAAAGAAAATGAAAGAAGGAAAATGTAGATAGAAAACGGGGTGATCCATGATCCATCAATGTCAATGTCAATGTCAATATCAATATCAAGAATCCATCGATAATCAACCAGATACAGACAGACAAACAGACAGACAGACATACGACTTCGAATATAAACCAGCAGACACAGCAGACACAGTAAACACAACAAAATCAACAGAAAGGGGGAACAAAACAAAAGAGGAATACAAAACGTTCAAGCAAAACCATGGCTAAACTTGTCTGAAAAAACTATGTGCAGATATAATAGATACTAAGGTAGTAGTAATAGTTAAGTAATTAGGGACAGGACAGGATAGGACAGGATAGGACTTATTGTGCGCATGTAAGAATTAAGATAGCGAGAGATGGGTAGAAAGAGGAGGGAATCAAATGGAGGTAGGGGGGTGATTTGATATAGTTGATTTTGGTTCAGGTTGAAAGGTTAGACTTTCGAGGTGAGGTAGTCGGCGGCCTGGTTTGTCTGTTGTTAGCTTATATTGTTTTACTTGGATTGATTCTCGTTTTTGGGAAGGTATTGTCCCAACAGGTGGAGAAAGAGGGGGGCTAACCTTATCAATATTGTAGTCGAATTTCTCCAACGCAGCGAGTGAATCATCCCGAGGGAAGCCCATACCCGTCAACTTCTGCAGGATCAGGTCGTCCTCAGTGTTGCTCTGCGCCCATCCCGGCTCCTTGGACCTGTCTACAGCCGAAGATCCATTCGGCGCGACGTTGTCCAGCGGGGCGAAGAGGGCTTCCCAGTCGTGGTTCTCCGTCTGGCTACCGCCGGGCGGGGGAGCCGGGGTGGTTGCAGGGGGGCTGGTGCTGCTGGGGTTTTTGTGGAAGGTGGAGAAATCCGGGGTCGCGGCGTTGCTGCCCTGTGCGCCTGCGGCTGCCGCCGCCTGCTGCTGGGCCGGGTTGTCGAACGAAAAGTCGAAGTCCTCGTTGTTCTTCTGGTCCGGGGTGTCGGTGTCGGTGTCGTCGTCGTCGTCTTCCTTGGCTGGCGCAAGGTTCAAACCCGCGAAGGCCGCCTCGAAATCAGGACCCCCGGCTTTGCCGGTGCTGGGCTCGGCGGCGGGGGCCTCCTTGGGCGCTTCGCCGCCGACCACGGGCTCGCCCGTCGCGTGGTCCACGGAATGGGGCGCGTCGGGAGGAGCGGTGGGATCACCGCGGCCGGGTAGGAGGCCGTTGAATTCCGGGGGAGCCTGCCCCGGTTCCGGCGCCCCAACGCTCTGCGTGTAGTTCGGGGGGCTCTGCTGGGCACTGGGCGACGGGGGGAACTGGGGGGACGTGGGCATGGATCCCGGGGTGGGGAATGCGGCCAGCTGCGAGGGCTCGATGGAGTCAGCGGGCTTCGACGTCGGCGCCGGTCCCGACGGCGCTTGGGCCGGGGTGAAATTGTCATCGAAACCCCTCGGGGCCTCGCTGTCTGTGGTCTCCTCGTCGTCGTCAAGCTCCCGGATGGGCGGGAATTCGAACGGAGCGGCCGCCTGGGCGCCATTGGGCTGGCTCCCCTGCTTCATGGACGCAAAGGCTTCGTCGAAATCGTTCTCCTTCTGCGACTGGGTGCGCTGGTGCGCCGGGCCGCCGAAGAGCTCGTCGAAGGTCGGGTCCTTCTTCCCCGGCTGCTTGCCTTCGGCCGTTGTCGGGGACACCGCACGCGCAGCGGCATCCTGGGGAAGACCAGGGACTTCGGGGAAGCGCTGCTTGGATTCTTCCGCCTCATCGAACGGGGAGGCGGCTGAGGTCGGTCCGGCAGCCTCGCTCGGCGCCCCCTGGCTGGCGGTATCCGTGCCGCCCGCCCGACTGGCCGGCGGGGAGGCCATCGTGGAGGAGGTCGGCGTGTGGAGCTCAGTGAGCGGCAGGACGCCCGGGGTCAGCTGCCGGGACTCCGGGGGAGGCGGCGGGGACATGGAAGGGGTCGGGACTCGCGACGTGCTTGGGGACTGGGCGCCGAAGGACGTCGGTGGGGGCGGTGCGCCGGCGGACGGTCCGCCGAAGGACGGTCCAAACAGGCTGTCGAATGCGCGTTGCTGGTCATTCGAGACCTGCGGCGACGGCTGATTCCCGTCACTGGAACCCGTGACGGTGCGTCGGAAGAAGGGGTTTGTGTTCTGGCTGGTGGTCGATTCCGCGGGGCTCGTGACGGGCGGCGGGCTGGCGGCCGTGGGAGCCGCGGGCGTGGCAGCCCGGTCTTCCTCCGGCACCGGCTCCGGTGCCGATTCCGGGGAAGCCTCAGCGATCTCCTCCTGCAGCTTGTCGCGCTCGCCTTCGACCGTCGCGAGCTGCTTCTTGTTGATGGCGACCAGGCCCTTCTGGCGCCGGGCCTCGGAGCGCGCCTTGTCGAGCGCGGGCTTCAGCTGGGCCACCACGGTATTGGCCTGGCGGATCCGCTCCTTTAGGCTGGCGTTCTCCTGGGTGTCGGCGGAGAGGGCCGCGGAGATCTGGTCGTACTGGTTCTGCAGGTCCTGCCGACTCCCGTCCAGGAGGGCAAACTCCTGCTCCAATTTCTTGGTCTCGGTGCGGGAGGCAGTGAGCCGCTCCTCCAGCGCCTTGTACTGCTTGACTTCCTGCTCGTACATGGCCCGAGCCTGTGCAAGGCGGGTCTCAAAGTCCCGCTTCTGCTGCGAGTTCTGCGTCAGATCCTGCTCCGCGGCGGTCCGCTTCGTCTGCACGTTTTGCATCTCGTTCGCCAGCGACCCAATCTGGTTGGAGAGATTGGCCAGCTCCGTGGTCTCACTCGTCAATTTCTTGGACTCCTCGGGGTCGTTGTCGCCCAGCAGATCATCGGCCGGAGGGGGCGGGGACCGGACCGCGGGCGGAGGACCACCCGTCACCTGGGGCTGGAGGCTCTGACCGAAGGAGGAGCTCGGAATGAACGGCTTGAAGGAGGTGGCGGCGGGGGACGGACCCGGCGGGGATGCGCGCGATGGCGACACCGGCGTCTGGAAGACGGAGTTCGAGCCCCCCGTCGACTGCGCGACCTGGGAGGGGGCGGCCGGCACGGCGGGCGCCGGGGCCGAGTCCAGGCCGAACAGGTCATCAGCCGCCGTCCGCGGGGCGGGAGGCGGGGCGGGAACGGAGGCGGGAGCCGGCGGTTGCGCGGGGCCCACCGCCGGCGCGACAAACCCGGAGCCCCGGCGACGCATACTGGGGGGGATCAGGGCAGGGGGCAAGACCTGGGGGATTGGGTCCTTGCCACTGCGCTGCAGACGGACCAGGTACATGGCGACGGCGAACTCATCCTTGGTCAGCTGTCCGTCGGCATCGATGTCCGCGAGATCCCAGATCTGGGCGAGCGTCTCCTCGGGCAGCTGCGCGTTCATGAAGAAGCCCACAGCCTGATCACCGCTGATGGAGCCCAGCTTGGCGGTATCGATCGTCGCGAAGATGCTGTCGAATTGGTTCTTCTCCGCGGGCGTGATGAGCCACTCCCCGCCGGTCGACTGCGCCGAGAGCGGGGAACCAAACTGCTGTCGGTTGATGGGGCTCTGGGTGCGCTGCGGGCCCGTGAATTGCTTGGGGATGGCAGGGACCGGGGGCACGTCGAGGCCAGGTCGCGAGCCCACCGACCCACGAGCGGATCCTCGGCGCGCCGCGGCTTCGTAGAGACCGGGCGGCAGGACTTGCGGGATGCCTCTCATGGCGCCAGATTTGTACGAGGTCAAGAAATGCATGGCGATGATGAATTCGGTCGCATCCAGAGCACCGCGCTGCTTGGTGTCGGCCAGATTCCATATGCGACCCAGGATATCATTCGGCAGCCGGGCGCGTTCAAAGATCTGTTTCGCAATTTCACCTAACATGGAGCGACCGGATCAGTACCACACGTACCGTCCCGTTCCGTTCCGGGAGGTGGGCTTACCTGAGAGGACCCCAGTCCGGGCGACGTCCGACTTGTCGAACAGAGACACGAATTTGTTGACATCCTCGGGGTTCAGGGGAGGGACTCGAATCGGGGCGCCGGCGGCAGGCGGCGGACTGGTGGTGCCGGCCTCACGGGGCGCGGGGGGTACATCAATCACCACGCCGTCGAACCTGGGCAACGGGCCGGCTGGGATAGGAGGACCGGTCAGCGTTTATTATTCTTAAAAAAGGGGAGGTAGAGAGGCCATCGCCCCTGACGAGCACTCACGTTGTAGCGCCAGTTCTTCCGTCGGTGCCTGGCCCGCTTGGGCGTGCCCAATCAAGCGCAAGACAATCCCAAACCCAGAGGGGGTCAACAGACCCCGGTTCTCCCTATCTGCAATCTGCCATATCTGTATACCGTGGGACGCAGCACGTTAGCCTCCGCTCCCCCCCAAGATCGTCGGACACAGACCCTCCCATCTGCGGGGGATATGGGGATGTCCTCGTTGTGATTTCTGATCGGATGAACCTACCAAACCGAGAGTCTCCGGGGCCAACTTGGTCTTCTCGAAGAAGGGAACGGCGACCTCGCCGGTGATGACGCCGAGGTTGGTGGTGTCGGCGGCCTGGAAGAGCTGGTAAAAGGCCCGTTTCTCCTCGGGGGTCAAATTGAGGTTTTGTTGACGCGCTGTAATTGCCAGAGGGCATTCGTTAGATCCGTCTGCATCCGATAGGGAAGATTCCAGCTGTTCTTCTGTTGCGGTGGCAGGGGAGTCGCGGATGTCGTCCCTGAGCCGCTAAACACGGGGGGACGGAGTCCACTCACCAGTGTCAGCCATAATGATCACCTAGGGGGGGGAACAGCGCCTCCCCTCCTTTTCGACGCTCGTGAATTTGAAATCGTGAATTGGGGTTGAGTTGGTCGGTGTTGGGTCGACGGTCGACGTTGGAGGTTACCGGGACGATAGCACGGGCATAGATAGGGCGAGGGGGGAGGGGGTATATGGGGCGGGGAGAGACACGGGAAGAGGGAGATTGGACGAGACGGATGATAGATAGAGTAATTGATGAGACGAAGATGTCGGAGGTAGTGAACCCTACAACAAAAGGTGGGAAAGAGAGGAAGTTGAGAGAGCAATCCAAGAGGGACAGGGAGAGAGAGGAGAGAGCAGGGAGGGAGAGGTGGAAGCTCCTCTGGGGATAAGTGGGTGCCTTAGGTAAGAGACTTGGCCCGGGCGGTCAGTCCCGTTCTTGACCTCCCTATTGCTCTGTTCTTCCAGTATGAGGATCACCACTCTGACCCTCCGAAAAGCGCCATGATTCACAAACTAATACCTCTACAGATACCACTTCTTGGTCTTGGAATATTGTAAATCTAAATGATGGGATTCCCCACGGTGTATTCATGTTCATCCCGTCTCTCCCACAATATGAATCCCACTAATCACAGAACGCAAAACATCGATTACAGAAATAAGAATAACGGAAAAGAAGAAAATGATCAACGAGCGGTAAATTCATCGCGGATTCCAGGGATATTAAAAATATATCAGACAAAGAAATCAGAGTCTTGCTAAGCCAATTTTCTCTCTTCCTATTTGCAAGGGACGCGACGCCCACGATCGATCCCTCGGACCCATTCCGTCTAGGTGGCCCAGTCAGGAGATCGACCCGTCGACGCGGACGCTTAGTACTCGGGCTCCATCTCCTCCTCCAGCGAGTCGCTGGCCACCTCCTCGTAGTCACGCTCCAGGGCCGCGAGATCCTCACGAGCCTCGGAGAACTCACCTTCCTCCATACCCTCACCGACGTACCAGTGGACGAAGGCACGCTTGGAGTACATGAGGTCGAACTTGTGGTCGAGGGCGGACCAGGCCTCGGAGATGGCGGTGGTGTTGGACAGCATGCACCTGTGGAAATTAGCACTGTAACAAGATGAAAGAAAGAGAGAAGGAGAGAAGAAAGAACATACACAGCGCGGTCGAGCTTGGCGAGATCGCCGTTGGGCACGGACTGCGGGGGCTGGTAGCAGATACCGATCTTGAAGCCAGTGGGGCACCAGTCGACGAACTGGATGGTGCGCTTGGTCTTGAGGGTGGCAACGGCGCCGTGGGTGTCCTTGGGGACGACGTCGCCGCGGTAGAGCAGACAGGTGGCCATGTACTTGCCGTTGCGGGGGTCGCACTTGACCATCTGGTTGTTGGGCTCGAAGCAGGCGGTGGTGATCTCGCTGACGGAGTTGGCCTCGTGGGAAGCCTTGTCGGCGGAGATGACGGGGGCGTAGGCCACGAGGGGGAAGTGGATGCGGGGGTAGGGGACCAGGTTGGTCTGGAACTCGTTGAGGTCGACGTTGAGGGAGCCGTCGAAACGCAGGGAGGCGGTGATGGACGAGACGACCTGGGCAATGAGGCGGTTCAGGTTCTCGTAGCTGGGGCGCTCGATGCCGAGGTTACGGCGGCAGATGTCGTAGATGGCCTCGTTGTCGACCATGAAGGAGCAGTCGGAGTGCTCCAGGGTGGTGTGGGTGGTAAGGATGGAGTTGTAGGGCTCGACGACGGAGGTGGCGTTCTGGGGGGCCGGGTAGACGCAGAACTCGAGCTTGGACTTCTTGCCGTAGTCGACGGAGAGACGCTCCATGAGGAGGGCGCCGAAGCCGGAACCGGTACCACCACCGAAGGAGTGGAAGACGAGGAAGCCCTGGAGACCGGCACAGTTGTCGGCGACACGGCGGACCTTGTCGAGGACCTGCTCGATCATCTCCTTGCCCACGGTGTAGTGACCACGGGCGTAGTTGTTGGAGGCATCCTCCTTGCCGGTGATCATGTTCTCGGGGTGGAAAAGGGAGCGGTAGGTGCCGGTGCGGACCTCATCGACCACGTTGGGCTCGAGATCGGCGTAGATGGTGCGAGGGACATATTTGCCCTGGCCTGGAAGGAGTCAATTGGGTTGTTGTTGTTGTGGTGGTGGTTGAAGCCATGTGTGCCATGTGCCATGTGTTATCCATGGTACGTACCAGTCTCGGAGAAGAAAGTGCTGAAGCCATGGTCGGGATCACCCTTCTTGCGTTCCTCGGTCAAGTATCCATCGGGCTAGAATGTGTCAGCTGAATTCCATCATGTGCATTCCGTCGATTGACACATTCTTGGGTCAGGCCGAGTATTGGGCTCTCGACTGGAGATGGCGGTCAAGCCACGAAGCCACGTACCTGGATACCGTGCTCGAGACAGTAGAGCTACCAAAGTCAGTTTCTCATCCTTGAAGACTTCTCCAAACTCTCATGGTATTAATTGATCATACCTCCCAGCAAGAATTGGCGATCTGGCAACCAGCCTGGCCGACTGAGGGGAAGAAAACAATTAGTTACGGAACGGAGACAGACGAGACGGGAGGTCCTCGAAACAAAACAAAAGGAAATAAAGAGGGGAGACGCGTCAACATACCGTTCAAACTAATAACCTCTCTCATGTTGTCGATATGGAATTGGGGAGATTATGGTGGAGAGAAATAGAGGGGAGAGAGAGGAAGGAAGAGAGAGGGAGAGATGAAGAGAAGAGGTAATAACAAACGGTGAGGAAAGTGGGAGGGGAAGGGGAAAAAATAAAATACCCTGAAATGGATCTGTACGGAAGTTTCAGGGGTAAGTCAGATACCTAAACGGGAAGAACAACACCCACCAGAGGAACGGGTGGGAATGGGGCTAAATTACGGGGGAGAAGGGGGGACGAACCAGAGATTATTGTATTGAAATGATTGAGAGGAAAGAGAAGAGAAAAGAGAAAAGAGAAAAGAAAGAAGAAGAGAAGAGGAAAAGAGGAAAAGAAGAGAGAGGTGGATGGGAAAGAGACCAAAACAGACCAAAACAGACACAGAACAAGACTACGAATGACAGCGCACGCCTAAGGCCGCACTACTGGGCGAACCGCTCTCTAGTCGGGCTGATCACGTTCCAGTTGGGTCGCGTTTGGATTGGACGTTGCTGATTGGTCGAGACCGCGGTTTATCCATGGTGCGGTGTGCAGCTGACTCATTCCCTGTTTGAATCCTTGGCGTCACGTGTATGACGCACTCTCAGGCATCTGAGGCAGCTATCCTGGCTACGATCTAGAACAGATCTATACACCATGCTTATACTCTATCTAAATTCAACATCCTTATAATCAACATGCATCTCTCCCCCTCTCTCTTGCTCCCCCTCCTTTCTCTTCTTACTACTACCTCTGCCAACGTCGAAAAGACCATCTTCCTCGCTCCCTCCCCCGTCCTCGTCCCCGCCCTCACTCCCAACCTCGACGATCTCGGTCTCCAACGTCTTTCTCCGTCCAGCTCCTACCTCCGCACTCAACTGAACGCTTCCTTTCCTACGACACACGATGACCCTACCTCCGACCCTACCACCGACCACTCCAACAGAGACACCGGCACAGACACATGGTACTTCCTCGAGAACCTCACCCCAGGCCAACGCTACGAAGTGCGCCTCTGCTGGCTAGCCACGGTACCTCTCTCTTCTTCTTCTCCTCCCTCCTCCTCCTCCTCCTCCTCCCTCCTCCTCGCTCCCTCCCTCTCAACCCTACCCTACAAATCCACCAAACTAACCAATATAATATAATCCAAAGCAACCAACAAAATTCACCCTCACAACCCACCACCCCCACACAACAATCTCCACGCCAGCCCTCCTAACCTCCCTAACCCTCTACTCGAGCCTCCTCCTCTCCACCCAGCCGCCCAAACCCCTCGCCGCGCCCCTCATCCCCGACAGCGCCTCCTCCTCCTCCTTCGCCCCGCACGACCCCACCCTCACCAGCGACTCGGTGCTGTTCCTGCGCGTGCGCGCCGAAGCAGACTATTACTCGCTGGATCAGGAGCTTATGAGGAGTGTGCCGCCTGTTGTGGTGGATGTGGTGCTAGATCCGTATTTGGGGAATGTGTTTCCGAGGTCGTTGGTGAGGACGGCCGGGTGGGTGGTGCTTGTGGCTGGTTTGGCGGCGGGGTTGCGTGCGGGTTGGTTGGGGAGGTGGGGAGGTTGGTTGCTGTATTAGGTGAGGGTAGGGGTAGGGGGGAGGGTAAAGGAGAGGGGGAAACAGAAGGGAAATCAGAAGGGAAGAAAGTACGATAATGACATTGTATAGTAATGATGATAATATGTATAATATAATGATCTTAATATTGACACTAGAGAAAAGAAAGCAGAAGAAAAGGTATGGAGAGCAGAAGCAACGAACAAGAAGGAAAGCTACGTGCTATTCAATAGTAGGGAGATAAAGATAGAGGCATCCATTGTAGACATCTATGTATGAACATACCTGAGAACGTGAGTCCCTCTCATAGTACAATAAAACAATAAAACAAGGCGTTGAATTAAGAAAGGGTAAACACAGCGTAAATACATCTCACATATAACATTGATAGAACGCACCATGGTAGAACCATAGCATGAGCAAAACCAGAACATCAAGCAAATCAATCCAACATAGGGGAGATTCAACCTAAACAATCATAACATCTAAACAACATGACAGCTCAAGAAAAGACAACCAAACCAAAGAAAGTGCCGAAAACAGACAGAAGAAAAAAAGTCTAATCTTCAAAGAAATGCAAAATTGCCCGTATCCCCTTCGACCCCAGCCCATGCGGCGGATAGGCGATAAACAGCGGATCGTCCACCGCGCCCAGCTTCGCCCGGAACTCGCTCTTCCGCACCAGGTGGAACTGCTTCGCCAGCGTGTCGTACGTATGCTGCAGCATCTTCGTCTTGGGCCCGTACATGTTATGGCCCGGCTGGAGGGAGCTGGTGGCTCCGGCGCCGAAGGTGAGGCTCTTGATGCCGGAACGCGCGGCTGTCTGGATTGCGTGCGTGACGAGGTGCTCGATGACGCCGTTGGGGGACCCGGGGAAGTCGAAGCTGTATTTGACTTGCATGCCCCAGGCGGGGGCGAGGGTGCATAGCGCGACGAAGGCGCACACCGTGCCGGTTTTGTCGACCGCGTAGAAGTACCAGCGGTGTTCGGCGTCCCACCAGGGGCGGATCTCTGACAGATGCACTTGGGTGCCTTTGCGGTTGGCGAGCCAGTCTTGGATGCGTTTGTCGATCTTCTGTCGCGCGTCGTCATTCGGGAGTTCGCCCTGGGTGAGGGTCACGAGCTTGACGCCTTCGCCTTCGGCGTGGCGGATCTTGCGCGCGATCTCGCCGTCGGCGGCGGCGAGGTTCCGGGACGGATCAACGCGCTCTTCGGCGACGCAGGAGAGACTGCGCCAGCCGAGTCGCTCGCCGAGCACGGTCTCGACGGCTGGGGAGCAGAGCAGCCACACGGGCCGGTACTTGGTTGTGCGCCGCAGCCATTGCAGGAACTGTACGATGATGCGGTGGTACTGCCGTGGGTCGCAGAGCGGGTTGCCTGGGATGATGGCGTAGTTGCTGCTGCTGGGCACGTAGGCGACGGCGGCGCCTGTGGCCAGGTCGCGCCAGATCTTGAACCGGTCGTCGCCGTAGGAGGTGGACGTGGCGTCGCCGTAGTTGGCGATGAGGTGCTCGAGCGGCTGCAGGTGGCTCTCGTCGGGCGCGGTCGTGCCCAGGTGGTGCTTCACCCAAGGGGGCTCGAGCGTCGACGACTCCGGGTGCCGCAGTCGCTCGACCGGCGGCCGGCGCGGGAAGGTCCGCGGGTCCCGGTAGAAGAGCGTGGCCAGGCGGATGTTGCCCAGGTTGAGGATGAGCATCAGCAGTCGCTCGAGGCCCACGCCGGCGCCGGCGTGCGGGGGCGCCCCCCAGCGGAAGCCCTCCATGTACTCCTCCATGCTGTCCGGGTCGATGCCGACGCGGCGCATGTTCTCCTCGAGCAGGTCCGGGTCGTGGATCCGCTGGCCGCCCGAGACGATCTCCTGGCCGCGGATGAAGATGTCGAAGGAGTTGGTGAAGCGGGGGTCGTCCGGGTCGGGCATGGCATAGAAGGGCCGGGCGCCGGTGGGGAACTTGTCGAGGATGTAGTAGTCGGTGCCGTACTGCTCCTTGACCAGCTGGCCGAGGCGGATCTCGTCGCGCGTGGACAGGTCGTCATCATGGGGGAGCGGGTTGCCGTCCTCGTCGCGCCAGCCCGAGGCGTTGAGCATGTCGATGCCCTCGGAGAAGCGGATGACGGGGGTCTGGTCCAGCCAGACCAGGTCGTCGATGGGGAACTGCTGCTTCACCGTGTCGATCTCGCGGCGGTACCGGGTGTAGAGGCCGTGCAGGATGTTCTTGATGGTGGTGTCGAGCACGTCGAGCATCTCGTGGTAGTGCTCCTCGATGGCCATCTCGATGTCCAGCCCCGTGTACTCGGTCAGGTGGCGGTGGGTGTTGGAGTTCTCGGCGCGGAAGACGGCGCCGATCTCGTAGACGCGGCCGAAGTCGGCGGCGATGCACATCTGCTTGGCCAGCTGGGGGCTCTGGGCCAGGAAGGCGGGGCGGCCAAAGTAGTTGACCTCGAAGACGCTGGCGCCGGACTCGGTGGCGGCGCCCTGCAGCTTGGGGGTGTGGATCTCGATGAAGCGCTGGTCGTCCAGGGCGTTGCGGAAGAGGTTGCCGATGCCGGACTGGATGCGGAAGATGGACTGCGAGGTGGGGGTGCGCAGGTCGAGGAGGCGGTTGTTCAGACGGGTGCGGTCGGAGATGTGGTTGCGCCGGCCGTCGACGTGTTCCTCCTTGGGGGGGTGGATCTCGGCCTCGTAGACGCTGAAGGGCACGGGCTCCTCGCGGCGCACGACCTGGTGGATGGACTCGACGGCCAACTCGACGTTGTGGATGGTGCAGCCGAGAACGGGGACCTGGGGCACCTGCACGGTGCCCTGGACGCGCACGATGGAGCCGATGCGGAGGTGTTCCGCCCACTGGACCATGGCCAGCGACTTGGCGCCGAGCTGCTCGTGCAGGACACCCTGGAAGGTGTCGAGCTGCTGGCGGAAGACGAGGAAGACCAGCTTGGCGCTCATGCGGCGGATGATATGCAGGCGCGCGGTGAACATGACCTCCTGGCCGGCCAAGTCGGCGGAGATGTCGGTGAAGCTGGTCCGTAACTCTCGCGGTCGATTGCGGGACTGCATCAAGGGGAGATCCCCGTAGCGAGCCTTCATCTCGGCGGTCTCCTCGCGGGCCGCTTTCTCGACATCCTCCCGGTGTCGCTGTTCCGAGCCTTCGGAATGCTGCTGGTCCTCGCTCAAGCGTGAACGCTGGCCACTGCGGCGTTGCTGGCGCGCCAGGCGTTTTTGCTGGTTTTTACTGAGGGCGCCGGTGATGGAGGAATCATCCGACATGTCTTCGGAGGAGGAGGCATATTCGCGATTGGAGAGGAAGCTCGAGAGAATGCTGCGACGGGGGGAGGCGGTAACGGTGGAGGTTTTTCGACGGTGGGGGGAGGTTGACGACTGGGAGGAGGCTTCCTCCGTTTCCCCCAATTTGGGGGTGAGTTTGGTCAAGGCGCGTTTAATGGACATAATTTCTCTCTCTCTCTTTCCAGGATGAGGAGGGAGGAAAGGAGAAGAGGAATGCGGTGGTTGAGACAGTGGCAACTGGCGAGATAGGTGGGGGTATCAGAATGACGGCAGACCAAGATGCTCGACCATCAACCGTGGACCACAATGCACTTAAAGATGTGTCTTGTGATCAATAGGAGAGGAAGAGTAAAACAGAGAATGAAGACAGAGGAGATATGTAGAGGAAGAGGAAGAGAAGTCGAGAGAAAACAGGGATCGGATGACGAGAGATGAGATGAGGGGGGTGATTATGGGGTTATAAAAGATGGAGGACCACAAACCAATAATGTCAATCGATCTCCTTGTCTCAGGTAAAGAAGAAATTGCCCAAGAATTCAAGAGAACCAAGAGTCATATCATAATGATCATCGCCAATGACATGAAGCGAAAGAAATGACGATCCGAACAAGCCTTGAACCGGGTCTCCATTCCGGCCTGGATGATGTCATACTTTACTTACACCCTGATACCACCGCAATACTGGGATTACCACCCATTCTCGGTGTCGAGATCACGATATTACCGGTCTCATACTAATCCATCACCGCATCTCTCTCTTCCTCCTCTTCCTCTCTCTTCTTCATCTTCACTTCTCTCTCTCTCTGTCTACTTCTCTCTCGATCTTCTTTCTTCTCCTCTGTATTCTTCAATCTTTTGGTCTTTCTATCTTCTCTCTCTTTGTGTTCCTCTCTTTTCTCTCCTGTTGTACTCTACCAGTCTATCATCGAAATTGCCTCTCATCCCCACTCCGTTTCTTTCGACCTTTAGACTGGTCTCGCCACTCTCTACTCTCTTAGTCTCCCGATCGGCTCTTCGTTCCGTCCTCTAATCCTATCGTCACATTTCTCTCTATCAATTCGATCTATTCTTATACCTTATCGTATCACACGTCAGTTCGCATGCACGGGTTAGAAGACATGCCCTCCCCCCCCTCGAGATGGTGGTTGCTCGCCCAGGCCGTCTTCTGGCGCTCTCTGATGCGCCTCGGCATGTTCCTGCATGATATCGCCCCTCCACGAGCCCCGTATCCCTCCTTTGTCCGCTCCTTTCCGTCCGGTTCTGCCCGGGTCACCTTGTCCTTCTACTGTCCGCCCGCCTACGTTGCCGGCCGCAAGGAGGGTCGACGACTTCCCGTCGTCGTCAATTTCCACGGCGGTGGCTTTACCTTGGGATCCCCCACGGATGACAGCCGCTGGGCCCAGGCGATTATTGAGGAGGTTGGCGCCGTCGTGGTCAGCGTGGGATACCGCCGCGCCCCCGAGCACCCCTTCCCCGCCGCCGTCGACGATGGCGTCCTGGCCCTGCAGTATCTCTCCACCAATGCCACCGAGCTGGGCCTCGACGTCTCGCGCATCGTGCTCTCGGGCTTCTCCGCCGGGGGCAATCTGGCCGTCACCGTCCCCCTCCGCCTGCGCGCCCTCATGGCCCACGACGTGCACGACCGCTGGGTGAGCCGGGCCGATTCCACCCAGGAACTGATCAACACCGCGGCCAGTGACCTCAACATCGTCGGTCTGTTCTCCTGGTACCCCATCCTGGACTTTGAAGAATCCCGCGACCACCGCCGCGCCATGAGTGTCATGCCCAACAAGACCCTACCCAACTTCTTCACCGATCTCTTTGACGAGGCCTACTTGCCGGATCGGACGGCGCGCCAGTCGCCCTACGCGTCCCCCGTCCGGGCCCACGACGACATCCTGGCCGATGCCCTGCCCCGCGACATCTTCCTCTACATCTGCGAATGGGACATGCTCCTCAACGAGGGCCAGCACTTTGTCCGCCGCCTGCTGAACATCAACAAGCACGTGCGCGCCATGATGATCGAGAAGGAGCCGCACGCCTGGGACAAGTCCCCCAATCCCTTCCGGGACCAGAAGAAGGTCAACATCCTCTACCGCGATGCCTGCGCGGATATGAAGGCCATTTTCGAGAAGTCATCCTAGATCCTTGGTTTGATGCTGTATTCTTTGATATCATTGCATCTATTGTTACCATCACTATCTCTTGATTTCGTTTTCGGTGTTCCGGGCATTTTTCTTAAAAGCGTTGGGATTACGACAGTCATGTACAATAGCGTCTGATCAATTCGATTCCAGGTTCACCATGAGACCATCGCGTCACATTCCTCCCGTGGTTAGTGTGGGATCCACAGCGATCGGCATCATCTCGGGCTCTGCCCCTCCGGCTTCTGAGCCGTCACGGCCACATACTTCCACCCACGGCGGTAGTTCACCACGACCGCACACGTATTGATGAAATACGACTCCACCCCCAACGCCACCACGATCAAGCACGGAAGGGACAGGAAGAAGACCAGCCACCGCAGCAGCGGCCGGATGTGCGCCGAAATGTCCCGCTCCTGCACGTCCACGAAACCCGCCTGTGCCACCGCCTGCGCCAGGCCATCCCACCCTCCGCTGCCAGCTTCTCTGCCGGTAACTGGAGACGACGCACTCGCGAGTGCGCCGTACCGACGAACTTTGTCGTCCATAGCTGGGGATTCGTCTCCGGCGCCGTCGACCGACGCCGCCCCTTGATCCCGCCAGTGGTCGTATTCGTACAAGGCGATCCGGCCCCCGGGTTTCAAAACGCGGTATAACTCCCCCAGGACGGTCGGGAGGTCCGACGCGTGCACGAGCGTTTCGATCGTGTAGATCCCGTCCATCGAGTTGGCGGTCACCGTGGTAAGATGGTGGTAGTCGTCTGTGTGCACGGTCACCGCGCCCACGGCCGCCTCCGCCTTGGGTTTCGATCGCGCGATCGCATGTCCTCGCGATGTCGCCGCCGCGACATTCTGCCGCGCTCGTTGGACCTGCTGAGGCAACACGTCGATGGCATGGACGCGCAGGCCGCCTTGATCCGCCAAATGCAGCGCCACCTGGCCATCCCCACAGCCAGCATCAAGAACGCAAGACCCCGGAGCCAAACGCAGCGACTGGGCCATCTGATCCTCCATAGCCAGGAGTGACTGATCAATAGGGAACGGCCACCAGGTGTCGCGGGGATAGTAACCCAAATGCGCGCGACCCCCAAAAAGCAGCCAATTGCCAACACGGGTTTCAAGAGCGCTGTAGTACCGTTTTATATCCATCTCAACGGAGTAAAGCCCGGATGGGAACAATATCGAGGTTGTAATTGAGTTGTAGTAGGTTTGTTGGCTGACAATGGTGCAGGGTGTCACCGTGCATGCAGGGCACGAAAGGCTCCTTTTATTGTTGCCGACGCCATGATCGGGGGTGCAGGAGGTATTGTTCTTGGCCTTTTTAGGGATTGGGTTGTGATTGTTCTTGGTTCTTTGTTTGCAGTGGATGATGCCAAGATATCCAACTAGTTATGTACTAGGTTTGTTAGTCAGAAGTATATTATGCGGATACGAGACTTGCCTGTTGTGGTTATACGAGCACACGTCAACTCTACTTAGTATTTTTATATCTGGATACCTGTCTATCTATCTATATATGTCCTCCTCCCCAATATTCATCCTTGAAAGATTCTCTCAACATGTTCTTCATTCTCCCTTTCCCATTCCAAGGAGACATCGTGAACATAACCCCAACCCTAATATCTACTCTCTTCCCCATCTACCCCCACCCCAGATTGAAACCACAACACAATGCATCTCCTCCTCCACCTAGCCAGTGCTTTATACTTCATACAGACCTCCACAGCCCAACTCCCCCCAATCCCCTCCCTCAAGCCAATCCCCTCCTACAGCGGCTGTCCCCGAGCCGGGCCCCTCCTCCCCAAACCCACCAACCTGTCCCAATCCGCGCACATCAAGAACGCAGCGCACACCCTAACCACAGCCCTAGACTCCGCCCTCAAGGGCGAAATCCGCGCCGGCTGGCCCGTAGACAACGTCTCGTTCTCCATCGGTCTCGTCTCCCCAAATGGAGGACAGGGCGCAAAGCCCATCTGGGAATACCACCACCGGGCAGCGCTCAACACCCAGGGAACTGAAACCGTCACCGGCGACTCGCAGTATCTTATTGGGTCTGTGTCGAAGGTGTTCTCGGATCTCTTGCTGTTGAAATCAGGGGTGGATGTCCGCACCCCTGTGACGCACTTCTTTCCTGAGCTGGCGGCGCCGGAGTCTGCTATCCCTTGGAGTGAGATCACGCTGGAGACGCTGGGGGAGCATCTAGCGGGGATTCCGCCGAATTGTATGCATGCCCTATTCTTCTCGTTCTGTAATCATGAACGATGCTAACAAGATAGATGTCTACGAGTTCTACTACCTCCAGCCTTATTACGAAAGTATGGGGCTGCCTCACCTTGATCCATCGGATTATCCTCCCTGCGGTGTCGTAGGGCTGAACGGTACCAAGGCTTGTACTCGACAGGGTATGTCATCTCCGTTTATAGTCTACAAGGCTATACTGACGCGCATGCAGAAATCCTCCGTGGCCTCCTGTCAACGCTGCCCGTGAACCCTGTGAACTCCAGGCCCACCTACTCGCAGCTGTCGTTCCTCCTGTTCACCTTCTGTCTCGAGCAGGCCACCGGGAAGAACTACTCAACTCTACTCCAGGAAACGATCCTACAGCCGTTGAACTTGACCAACACCGGTGTGTCTCCTGGAGACACCCAACAAGCCGTGATCCCACCGGGCCCCTCCTCCTGGGGATCCGACTTTGGATTCAACGCCCCGTATGTCCATCCACCCACTATACCCTCATCCCCCATACCAACCCTCAACAATCCCATCCCAATACCCACCACCACCCAAATATACCCATCAACTAACCAACAACCAGCGGCGGCGGTCTCTTCTCAACCCTCAACGACCTCACCACCCTCGCCACCTCAATCCTAGCGCACACAATCCTCCCCACCCCCGCCGCCGTCCGCAAATGGCTCAAACCCACCTCGATGACCAGCTCACCCAGCACCCTCGTCGGCTCACCCTGGGAAATCCTCCGCACAACACACCTCATCCCCAACAACCCACACACAGTCGACATATTCGGTAAATCCGGCGGTGCACTAGGCTACACTGCCCAATTCTCGCTGGTAGACCAGTACGGTGTTGGCGTTGTCGTACTCACAGCGGGCCCCGTCGGCGCGCTGGATCTATTGTATCGTGCTGTGCTGGGGACGTTTCTTCCTGCTGTTGAGGCGGAGACCCGAGACCAAAGTGCCAAATATACTGGGACGTGGACTTCACCATCATCATCCCAGTCCAACCCCAACATAACCCTCTCCCTCTCCCACACCACCGGCCCAGGCCTCCACCTCACCACCCTCACCCAATCCAACACATCCATCAAAGACGCCCTTACAGAAATCTACAAAACCCAATACACCCCCCTCGGCTTCGGCCTCCTCTCCCCCGACATGCGGCTCTACCCGTCGGGAATCGAAACACCTATCTCTCCCGCAGAAGCCAGTTCGCTCGGACATCCCTCGAAAAGATTAGTCCGGCAAGACTGGAGAATCAATCTTGATATCGTCCCGCTTGATGGTGAAGCTATGTCTGATTTACCGGGACAGGGAGGATGGAATAGTGATGGGGATGCGTATTGTGCGGGGTGGCAGATGGGGGATTGGATGCGGTATGGGGGGGAGGCGCTGGATAGGGTTGTTTTTGTTGTTGATGTTGGTGGGGAGGTGGTGGGGGTTGAAGTGCCTGGGTTGAGGAGTGGGATGTTGGTATCTGCTTGATGCTTTTCGTTTGACTGTTTTTTTGTTTATTGAGTTTGGTTCTGTTTATACTGGTTTGATGTTTGCTTGATTGGGTATGTATGTGTCATATAATCTGGTTCTTTCGATAAAATAGAGACAAAAGGTGCAGGATGGTCTGATATACAATAGTATAGTATAGTGGTCATGAATATATACAAACTCCCCATCCACTCACTACCTACGTATCTGATCACTTTTACTACCACTACTAATTAGAGTAAGAATCTTGAATGTTCAAATCATTGTATTTTCTCTCCTTTATGATACACCGCACCACATTCACACCTGTGTATCATGTTCACTTCAGTATCATTTCCATCTTCTCATCTTATCCTCTCATCTCTCATCTCCTCATCTCCTCATAATCAATCAATTATCAAATCAGAAACAAGAAACAAGAAACAACAGTATGGTATCTAGCGATCGACAGATCAAGCAAGCGCATACACAAATGAACAGAGAATAGAACAATCAAATCAAATCAAATCAAGCAGTCGATGAGAAGTCGGGTAGGGTAGGTAGGGTAGGTAGGTTGATGATCTCCGAACGCCACGCTAACGGTGTATCAAAATAAAGAAGACAAAAAAAAAGCAGACTCCATGGTAAACTTTTTGCAGGCACTGGTTTTGGGTGGTGCTGTTGTTTATTGCGTAATGCAATAGAGACGGGGTGTTGATTAGAGGTGATGTATGTGTCTCTGTAATCGGAATCACTTGGGAATTCAGGAAGGAACTTTCGTGCCTCGACCTCTCCTTATGCGAATAGCCTTTCCCCAGATAATTGAACCTGGGAAGGAAGGCGCGTCTGAGGCATAGAGTTGGGGGAGGATTTATTCATCATCATCCGTACCCGTCCCATCACTCAAACTGTCGAGATCATCGTCGGCCTCACTCTCAGACGAGTCGTCATCGCCCTGGCCCGGAATACCCCGGTACTCGATATAGTCACCCTCCAACCAGCGGCGACTGCGAGGCAGCTGGTAAGGATCGAACGGGAAATACGCATCAAGCTGGTACCCGAGGTCATCGCCAGCGCGAATCTCGCGCTCGACCTGGCTGAAGCGGGGATCGGCGAGGGCGGCCATGTTGCGGTAGGAGGAGATGCGCAGACGCTTGTTCGTCTCGAGAATGCTGAACACGTACATGAAGTTCAAGTGCTGGGAGATGCGCGCGAACTCGGCCACGATCGCCGGGGAGCAGACCTTGAGCGGGTTCAGCTTGGAGTGGATGGCTTGTTGCAGCACGCTCTTGACTGATGGCGGGAAGATGATGTCTTCTGGCTCGAGGTCGTCGACTTGTTCGGGCGTGTCGCCTTCAATGGCGGCCGTCGTCAGGTCGCGCCAGCGGAAGCAGAAAATGTACAGGAGGGCCTGCGCCGTTGAGTAGAAGGGTCCGTAGCGGCGGAGGTCTGGGCCGCGGCAGGAGGATTCGCATTCGGAACGGAGGTTGTTCAGGTGCGTGCCGAGGAGGTCGTATACATCACGGACGACCTCGCCGGAGATGTGAGCACCGCGGGCGACGAAGCTGGCAAGGTAGGCGGCTGCCGACTGGCGCATGATAGCGGGTTGCGTCTTGTTGAAGATGATCGAGATACATGTGGCCGCGAAGCGGTCCACGAGAATGGAAGACGACTGGGAGTAGTGGAAGAGCAGGAATTGGGTGTGACGAGAGCGGTACGTCGGCAGGACAATGGTTTGGAAGTGGCTCAGTAGCAGGTCCAGGGCGTTTTCCTTGTCGTCCAAGGTGCCACTGGTGAACGGAGGGGCATAGTACTCGAAAAGCGAGTCGATCATGCCATCCAGCTTGACGATGTTCTCCTTGATCGCCTTGACGCGGCGGGACTCCGGGTCTACCGACTCGTCGCTCATGACCGATGCGTTGTCGTCGTCGTCTTCCTCGACTAGCGCTTCTGGGGATACATTGTGCAGGACATCCTCGCCTTCCTCGTCCTCGATGTCTTCCATGTCCACCTGGATCTGCACATCGATCTTCACCAGTTTCTCGGTCACGAGAGCGAGGATGTCGGCTTGCAGCTCCGGTGCGTAGCCAATGACCCGGATCAGATTCCTGGTGTATGCAATGTTGGTCTTGGCCGGATCATTGTCGAACGGGAACTGCGTGGACAGGATCGGAGACAGCGTGCCGCTGCCAGAAGGGATCAACTGCATCACATGGCGCAGCGCCATGTGCACCCGGGTGTAGATATCTGGTATTTGGACGAGGCCATAGCCCGGTAGTTTACCCGTACCCTTGGGAAGCTCCCCCAGATACCCGACCAGCATTTTCAGCACCGACCGCAAATGGGTACCCTGAGCGGCCGCCAGATTACCAAGGAATCGGATATACAGCTTGATGTACGACTCGTCCCGCCCGAGCCATTCGCTGTTCAGCACAGCGCTCACCAGCCCATCGCAACTGCGATCCAGGGCGGCGACGTTGGACAAAAGTCCCAACAGATGGTGTCTCAATGAAGTGTGTGTAGGTACATCAGGTGATAAATGCCCATCCTCATCCCGTCGCCGGGGATCCACCGCAAAGACCTCCTTGATGCGGTCATAGCTTTCGCTGTCCGCTCCCGAGACGTGCCGCTGGATGGCCCTGCGCACCTCTTCCCGCACCACGGCCGCGCTCTTGCCGGGCGCCCTTGTAATCTGTGGCGTCTTTTCCTCGTTGTCCGACATTTCCCGCATCTCGACGGTTTTCTCGAACTGGACCCTGGTCCGCTTCCGGGGACTCGGGTGGGCATCTGGGTCGGACGTGACCGACGAGGCCGGTGATAACGACAGATCCATCTCTTCCATCCTGTGTTTAATCCCCGCGGTGGGAGTATTGATTTTGGAGGTTTTCAAGATCGGCACGGGTGACGACGTGGCTAGCATCTTGGAGGAGTTGGTCGGTCGGGGAGCCGCTGGGCTGCGCGTTGCCGACGAGAGAGAAACCATGACCGATCAAGGGATAAAACGCGATATGCTGGTGCGAGGGGATGAAGTGGGTTCCTATGTTTGATCATGGATTGACCAGCAAAAATGGCGTTGTAAGCGGGTGTTGCAGGTCGGCAGGTAAGCACACGACACGACTTGTGGCAAGGCTGACCGATCCACCAGGTTCAACAACCGGGCGGCTACGGATCAAAGAGGCTCTGAAATTAGGGATAAAGCTAGGGAATCAACTGTGGGATACTATCCAGACGGACATGGCTGCCGGGTACAGATGCAGATTGACGAAGCAGGGGGTGTTGAAAGAGAGAAGTGGAAAGACAGGACCAGAATCGGATCGACCAGGAAGAGAGAGAGAGAGAGAGAAAAAGTAAGGCGGAGATGCAATTTTTTCGTGTGGGGCGGGTGTGGAGCCTGAGGCTGCCACCCCGTGATCCGCGCGTGACCAACGCGTGACCACATCTTTCTCTGCTTACACCACACTTGTTTCTCTATCAAGAGAAATAAAACTATCAAAAGAGGTGCTCATAAGATAGATAGAGCTAAATGGACGCGTTTTTGCAATGAGCTTTGCGAATGGGTTGAGGTCAGGCGCTTCAACACACCATGTCAGAGCCAGAGACTTGACTACAAATCGTTCGCGAGGACAAATGAGCAAGTCGTCGACTAGGTGTTCTTTCATCAGATCGAGTTCCTAATCATATCGTATATCGATTCACAATTCACCAGACTACCAGATAAACTAAATCAAACTCCCAGTATACTCCCGAGGAGCCAAAAGGCCCCTCGTCACATCGCAGATCCGTCGCAAGTCCCACGCCCATCGAGGAGCGGTCACATACAAGCCGAATTTAACATCACTGAATCATAACATAGGGAACAAACGTCCTCCCCTGGTATCTAAATGGTGAAAACAAGAGCAAACAAGGTTCAAACAGGCATCAAGCGAATGAAGAAGGGTGGGTCATGGCCAGCGTGAGCGCAATGGGCTAAAAAATAAACGAATAACAATAAAAGCAGAGAGAAAGAAAAGCTCCGCTCCACATTTCCGGTATTTCCGGCGGAGTCAAATGAAAATGTTCCGTGGCGCGTCAATTATCCGTCGAGCGGGAAGATTCTCATAACCATGGACCCGCGCCGATCGGACCTAATTGATCGTCGAAGATGCTGCCGTACAGATCTTGGATCTCCACGAGGTAGTCGTCGACGGTGAACTTCTTCAGGCCCTTGTTGTACAAGAACATCTCCTCCTCGTCGAAGATGCGGGTCCCCCCGAACTCCTCGGCCACCTCGTTGACCTGCTCCAGCTCCTTTCCGAACGGGTGGGGTTCCGGCTTGTAGTCCTGCGAGGGTCGCATTTGGGGACTGCTGCGGGTCGAGCTTAATGGAGGCGGTGACAGCCGGGACAGCGAGCGGTGGCGGGCGAGCTCTTGGTGGGAGCGCTTCGTATGCGACAGCGCGCGCTTGGGGACCAACGGGGCTTCGGTGGAGGACGCGGTCGAGGTGGAGGAGCGGGGGTGGCTGGTCACCGTGGCTGACCGCTTGGGGAAATACGCGGAGAGCGGATTGGCGTCGACGGGAGAGTCGTCGGGGGTGGTGGCGGGGGACCCGAAACTCTGGTGTGCAAAGGACAACTCGGAGTCGTCCGGCGACTGCAGCGACGAGGTCGAGGATGATCCAGCGGATCGCAAATTGGGGGCGTTGTAGGCCAGCATATTGGTCGTCGACAACAACTCCATAGGGCCCGAGATCTTTCCGCGCTTGATCGTGCCGGCTGAGAACTTGGTTTGATTCTCGCGGTAGGGCATCGGGGCGGAGACCTCGGGGCGCTTGTTGCGCTTGGTGAAGGCCCGAGTCAAGGTCGACATGGTGGTGGTTGGATAGGGTGAATTTCTGGGTAATCGATCAACGGTTCAACAGAAATTCGATAGGTAGTTGCGGGAGATTAGACGGTCGGCCAGCGTCGATGATATATCTGTCTGTCTGTATTCGTGTTGAAAACCGAACGTCGGATGCTTCTTCTTCTCGGGCTATTTTTAACAAGTGATCGTTTGCGCCAGTGCTGATCCTTGGTGAGAAGACAAAGAATGTGCGGCAGTTGATCTCGGGGGTGGTGTCACAGAAGGAATGGAAGATCGGTATGTGATTGGAATGACCGGTATCAGACAGATGAGGTGGACGTATATCTCGAAATATCGCGAAGTTGGAGGATCAAAGTAGTCGTACAGATCCAGATAGCCGTATATTTTTTTTCTTCCTGTTTCTTTGGTTTCCCTTGCACAGCAAAGGGTAAAATAAGAAACTCGAATGGATGGGGAATCTAGACCCTCAATCGACTGGGAGGCGAGGACTGGTTTATTTTTATTTAATTTTTCGGAATATTCCCTTTCAAGTGTTTTACGACTCAAGGGATAAGAATCTGCTGCAGTGACACAGTAGATCAGGGCGGACAACCAGGACGCGCCAGGAGAAAGGAAGTAGGAGTGTAATGAAGGAGTCCCGGACAGGACTGAAGAATGGAAAAATGAAAGGTATAAAGGAATGAAGCGTTCACCAAGAATTCCCCCAGGGAGGTGAACGAAGGATGACGATGAAGACAGAGAGAAAAGAAAGAAGAGAAGAGGAGAAAAGAAGAGGAGGAAAGAGGAAGAAAAGGCGGGACAGTTGAGATGGTCCTGCCTTAGGCGTTTGGGGAGGATTTCTCCACAGCGGATTCAAAAGTCTGGAACTTTTTCTCTTCACCCGTGGGTCTCCCGACCTGTTCGTCTACTTCTTTCTCCTCGCTTTTTCTTTTACTCTTTTTTCTTTCTTTACCCTTGGGTTGTCCCTTTCCTCGTTTGCCTCTGGTTCCAATGCGCTATTTTTTCCGCTTTGTCAATGGTTCATGGGAATACCGCGTCCCTTGGTAGACCGGGGTTCTTCCGGAGGATATATGGAGACGGACTCCGGAGGCGACACCATCCACCCCTCCTCCCAATATGAAGCGGATGATGCTTCGGTGTGACTTGTTCATTTTCCAGACTAGCGTGACGGAGATTTAATTTGAGGTAGTGGGAGAAGGTAACGTTACAGGTCAGGGTGATCCAGGGTATCCCCAACCTGGACGAGTCATATCTCTCGCCTTGGGTTCCTCTATTCCAGCCATACCGTTCGACGTGTACAACCTGATGGCGGTACCTACATTGTACCTACATTGGTTGTGCCCCTCCTACATTCGTCAACCTGGATACCGACCAACAATCTCGACCTGTTGGTTCCCCTCGACTAAAAAAAACTAAGAAAGACAGAAAAAGGAATCACTCTAACGGAATAACGGCCCAAGCGCCCACTTGGCTGATCGAGTCAGAAGCTAAAGCGAAACTGCCCCGGTGCCTCACAATTGCCGCCACTAAACCACAGTGGGGGTTAGGGCCGGCGATGGCGCCAGGGACGGGGCCTGTGGGAGCCCCTGGAGGTCCTCTCAGCCAACCCGCATGAAACCGACGTCCCGTCCGCGTTGTCTCAGCCCGTGACCCTGTCACACCTGGTTGTCTGGGGAGTCTGCGATGATATCATGTTTGTATCTTTTTGTACTCTTATCTCACTCTCAAACGCTTCTTGCAGATGTCTTGCCATGTTCCCTATCCAACAGAGTGGTAGTAGACTCCAAACAAAACAGTGGAGTCGACAGAAAGAAAGGGTGGGTCCAGTGGATCCAGAATGAATTGTCCGCCAGATGAATCGTGACCTGTTCTTAAGTTTCTGACCCCTCTTGGCATCTCCCAGGATTGGCCTGATACCTACCATCAAACAGAGTTGGCAGATCACCACCTCCTAGTACGGAGTACCTAGGACCAAGGTCCTAACTAAGTAGTCCTGGCGTTCTTCTTATCCATCCCACGCTACGTATCCAATCCTCCCCAGTGACTATCGATCCTGGCTCGACATGTCTGTTGAGTAGCAGGATGCAGTAGTTCTTCACATCCATCGGACCAGTCCAACTTCCGTACCTTAGAACCACTCTGAACGGTGGATCCCATCTGAGCCCATCGCTCCGGATATCTTCTGTTCTCCCAGACCGTGACGAACGATGGAACCTCGGACAACACGTAATGTCCACTGCTTATCCATGCCATCCTCTCCATCCAACCCTGGGTCGAAGCGCACGGCCTTGTTACTGCCCGCCGATTGGTGGAGTTAATGTGTGTCACATGACTTATACTTTCGGCAGGGCATTCCGTGCCTGAGGTGGAATATGCCTGAGGTGAATAATGCCTAAGGCTACTGTTTAAGGTTGGCATGTTTGTACGTTTGCATCGCATGCCTGAAGGGGGCGTTGCCTTACACCAAATATAACCCAGATACAGTCATGTAGGCAGCAGGAGATAGGTATATACTCATCAATATTTAAACCAATATTCTAATCCGAATGCAATCATCATAACGTCACGGGTCTCTCCTTTTTTCCTTTTTCCGTCCACTTTAACATTATCAAATCAATCCTCGTCCATCGACTCCCAGCCATCGCCTCCTTGCACGGGTCCCTCCTCCGCCGGACCCTCATCGTCATCCGATTCGTCGTGATCGGCCGGCAGACCGACCATCCGCTCCTTGACCTCGCCCTCCAGCTGAGGCGCGCGCGACACGAACGCCCGGCGCACCGCCGCGTTGGTCGAGGTGTCCCAGATCTGGACGACGCCCTTGCTGCCCGCCACCGCCAGGCGGAACCCGACCTCGGCGTCGGGGGCGAAGGTGGTCGAGAAGATCTTGCCCAGCTCCATCTTGCGCGACACCACCAGGGTGGGTCGGTTGTTCTCGACGTTCCACAGCTTCACCTGCTTATCCGTCGACCCCGTCACCAGGAACCCGGGGATGTTGCCGCTGATGTCGAAGGACGAGACGGACGAGTCGTGCGCCTGCAGCGACCACACGGGCTTGCTCGCGCCGGGGGTGGCGGGGGGGTTGCGCGCGTCGAACTTGTACACCATGCCGGCGTCGGTCGTCACGTAGAAGAAGTTGGGGTCGTGGACGTCCCAGCGCACGGCCTCGACGTCGGCGTCGACGGCCCAGCGGGCGGTGGCGTCCGCGCCGCGCATGTCCGCCGCGACGACGGTGCGGTCGTAGCTGCCGCTCAGCAGCACGGTCGACTCCCGCGGGTGCCAGTCCAGCGAGCACACCTTGTCCGTGTGGTGGGAGTAGGACTTGGCGCACTTGCCCGTGTTGAGGTCCCACAGCTTGACGGTGCGGTCTGCCGACGCGGACGCCAGCAGGTTGCGGTGCTGGCGGTTGGCCGCGAGCGCGAGCACCGAGTCGACGTGGAACTCGGGGTTGGCCTTGGTCTTCTTGGACTTCTTCTTGGGCGCCTTGTCCGCGCCGCCCTGGCCCAGGATCGCGTTCGGGTACATGCAGTCCACGATGTCCAGGTCCCAGATCTCAATGTCGGACTCCATGGTGCCCACCGCGACGAAGTTGCCCGTCGTGCGCCCCTCGGCCGCCTTGCCGACGGGCATGTCCAGCCACTCCAGACACAGCGGGATCGCCGGCAGCATCACGTCGTGGTGCACGTAGAGATTGTCCGCCGCGTCCTCGTAGACGTAGACTTCCAGATGCGCCACCTCGTCCTCGATCTTTCCGGCCAGCAGGAGATTGTCCGTCGGCATGATCTGTAGCTCCTCGCGCTCCTCGTCTTCGTCTGCCTCCTCCGGCATCACCAGGTAGGGGTCTTCCTCGTTGGGCTCGTGATACGCCAGGGACTTGACATTGCCGAACATGGTGATCTTCTCGCCGTCGTCGTCGACCTCGTCGCTGTCGTAGTGGTCGAGATCGTATTCTTTGAGGTCGTCATCACTAAAATAATTAGAACCATAATCACCACGATAAGAAAGATCAAGGAAACCTACTCATTGCTCTCCTTCGCATCACCCTTCTTCTCACCCCCACCCTGCACGGCCGCCTTAGCATCCCCACCCTCATCCATCTCATCATCGTCGCCCTGGCCCTCCTGAGCAGCACTCAGATCCTCCCGGGCGTCCTCGAGCTGCTCGCGCGCAAGCTTCGATATACGGTTCATCTCCTCCTCATCGATCTCATATTTCGCAGGGAACTGCGCCGCCACGCCGCGGCGCACCCACGCAGAAGTCGTAATCATGGACATCGTCTCGTATCACCCGAATGGGCTGCTGTAATAAGAATGTGTCGCCTGTATAGTGGACAGAAACTTCAACCTCCAAACTCAAGAGAAGGCTGGTAAAATAAAAAATACCCCGTCAGCGACTCACCCACAAGATGAAAGTCTGCTATAGTCAACGAGAATAGAAAGGTAAGGTCAAAAAGTCAAGATAATCAAACCATTGATCGTTGTCAGTCCGTCTCTTTTTTTCGACATTTTTTTTTTATCAAATTTCCCCTCTGGTCTTTCCGCCCGGCAGAATCCGCCCGCTTTTCGCTCACCGCCCGGGATGCGCTCGGAGATTTCTCCATCCTTGACTGAGTAGATAGCCTGATCTGTCTATCTACTTCTCTCGTCAACTTCAACCACAGGACTAGATATACAAGCGACTTACAAAGTCAACCCAGATCAAGATGCATTCCCACTTACACACGCCCTACAACGCAAGTACGTCAATTCCCTCCGTCTCCACCCCATCCCAATCGATCATAAACCACCTCACCCACCCACCCATCCACGCCTACTCTCCAAAAGACAAAACCAACTAACAAACAATAAAATAGACTGCGAAGAAATCATGACCGCCCTCGACGAATGTCACGCAAGAGGCTTCCTGCACAAGGCCATCGGCAGCTGCAACGACATCAAGCGCGACGTGAACAAGTGTCTGGGCGAGGAGCGGTACGCGCGCGCAAAGCGGAACCGCGATACGGCGAGGGAGAATCGCAGGCGGATTGAGAAGATCTGGGCGGATGAGAAGGCGTTGGAGGTGACGGGGGGTGCGGCTGCTGGGGAGAAGTAATCTCTCTCTGTTCAGCTGTGTTGGTGTATATACGCCTGCCTATGTGTGAGGTCGATTAGGTTGGGTTTGACTGTTAATGCGTGGGTAGATGGTGTTGGGTGTTTATTGGCTTTCTTGTTGCGACCTTTGTATACTATACTATCGGACTACATGTATATCAACTACTCCTCTTTCTATGGTTGAAGTACTACGCCCATGATACATGTGTAGGTATTGAGATCTATCGACTGTACATTATCAACGAGACGCACTCGCTTCCAACCAAAACGCCATACCATAGTCACTTTTAACCAATATTCAAAGAAGAAGAAAAAGTCCACAACCAGACAAAGAGATCACTCCTCCATGGCATCCCCGCCAGCAGCAGCCGACTCCGCACCATCCTGGTTCGCGCTCTTATGATGACGCCGTCTCCTCTTCTTCGGCGCGCCCTCGCCCTCGCCTTCATCCTGCTCCGCGGCGGCCCTCTCCCCAGAACCACCCTCCTTCGACCCAGCCTCACCACCAGGCGTCTTCTTCTTCGGCTTCTTGACACTCAACGGATTCGGCTGCTTCGGCTTCTTCACCCCACCCTTACTCTTACTCTTATCCTTATCCTTATCACCCGCACCCGCACCGTCACCCGCAGCACTCCTCTTCTTCTGCATCGCTTCATCATTGAGTCCCACGCGGAACTTCCCCTTCTCATACCCCTCGCGAATCCCATCCGACGGCGCACTCATCGGCTCCAGAATCATAACGGACCGCTTCACATAAACGATCGGCACACCAGGAATAGACCGCGCCGCAGAGCGGAATTTCTGCGCATGCCTCAACGCAACAGCAGCTTCATCAACACCACCGCGCTTGCGCTTCCTCCCCGCGTCAGCCGCCGCGTCCTTCTTCGGCGCGGGCGGGTCCGACGTGGCCAGGATGTAATGCTCTTTGTTCTTCTTCTTGGCGTCCGCCGAGGGACACAGGAGGGAGAGCAGACACTCTGTTTCGTCGATGGGGGTCGAGTCCGCGTTGTGGGAGCAGTGGCGGAGGGGGACCTCTGTGGGCGGGGGGAGGTGGAAGGGTCTGTAGGGGTTGTTGGTTCTGGGGTTGATGGGCTGCGCGGCCATTATTGCTGCTAGGGAGCATTTTGTGAGGACTATTCTGTTAGTTTTTTTCTTCTTGTTCTTTGGTGTTCTCTGCGTTCTTTACGCCGTGATGGGCGACTCAATATAGAGAAGAGAAAAACATACGAGGCTTAACCTGCCCCTGCAGCGTCCGCTCCAGCGCCGGGATCAACTCCATCTTGAACGTATGCACAGCATGTAAAAAACTGGAATCAACTATCACAATCAATCCAGTCAGTCATATTCATACCATGAGACAGTTCAATCAGGTATACACACCAAGCACTTGATACGGCTCGCGGAACCCGAAAGCGAGCTCATACTGGTGCATGAGCTTGCGGTACTTCTTCGATCGCTTGGCCCTCATTTTGAGCGTGTGAAAATGAGGTTATTTGGGGGGAAAGGGTGGATTGGCGGTTGTGGTCGGTTTGCGCTGCTGGTGGAGTTGAAACTTTTTTTGCGGGATTTTGCCGGGCGGTGAGGCGCGTGTGGATTGGTCTGTGCGGTCATACTATGGACTCTGGAGTATACATTTGGTTGTCAGAGTCAGACTACGCCATTACTGATGCTGATATAGGAGTGTAAATTATTAATTATGTATTGTTATAGCTAGTGTCATTTCATGTATCATCCATAGTACAAATAAATCGCCATGTAATCTAGTTAAAGGTAATATGTGTAAAAAGAAAAATAGAGAATGAAAGAACGTATCCCAATAGACCGAACCAGTACATCCTTTAATGCATTATGTTCATCGCACGTAGTAATGTATATGCCTCTAATCGGCTGCGCTTTGGGCAGCGTTTGGAGCTGGCGCTCGTGGTCGGGAGGACGTAGCGGCCGGAGCGGCATGTCTGCCTGTATCGGGCCGGACGATCGTCAATGGCCTCCCTGGATGTCTCGGCGATCAGTAGTCGTATGAGACGGGGTGTGGTTCTTAGCCACAAAAGACTGTCGAAGATTTGAAATCTGGGATCGACAGCTGAATTCAGCTCTCTCTCCGCCGGCAGCGACCGACGACCACGCTGATGTCGTCCATTTTACCTAGTCCATGTCAGTCACATCAACTACCACACTCAACACCGGATGATCTGCTTACCCCCTTGAAAAGCCAGTCCCTCATCGATCACCTTCTCCATATAAGGGCTCTCCGCGTAGGGATCCTGCGCGATTTCAAGGGCCGCGCGGAGCAGCTCGCGCGCCACAAACACCATGCATTCCTCGGTCAGCATGGCGGGATGCGTCTGGTCAGGAGCTTCACTGTCGTGGCGGCCCTGTTCCCATTTCTCCAAGCTCTCCAGCGTCAGCGTGAGCACCTCGTGCTCCCACAGGTTGTCCAGCACGCCGTCCGACGCAGCCAGCACGATGTCATCCTCTTCCAGGTCGACCAGCGACAAGACGGCATCCTTGCGAGGGGTATCGACGCTGTTAGTCCCCAGCTGCATGGGGCAGTCGAACCAGTGCCACTGTTCTTCGGTGCGGAAGAGCACCTTTTTCTCCCGCGGCCGGATGACAAGCACCTTGCAGTCGCCCAGGTTGGTCACGTAGAGGAGGGGTTTGGGGTTGCCCTCGCTGTCGCGCGAGTAGTGTAGTAGCGTCGTTACTGAGGTGGTTGTGCCGTACCAGGCGCTCGGGGTGGTCGTGGCCCGGGTGGTTTCTTCGTAGGCTCGCTGGAGGTACTCGATCGGATCGGGGGGGTTTTCGCCGTCGGGTTCGCGCTCGACCTCGAGGGCCCAGAAGTGTAAGAGGAGTCGGGACCAGAGACTAGGGAGTGCATGATCAGGTTAGGAGATTTCTTTCTTTGGTCTTTCTCGTCTGTTAAGGAGTCGACTTACGCAGCGTGACCTCGCGGCTTGGTCATCCAAGCTCCCACGCCATCGTTGACGGCCAGGAAGTTGTCCGCGACGAGGACGGCATCGTCGCCGTTGTTGAGCCCTCGCACGAGTTCCCCCCCAACGGACAATCTCCTATCCTGACTCAAGGAATGGGTAGTCAGAGGATCGGAGAAGGAAGACGACGGCGGCGACAGGAACGGCGGGGGAAAGGGCCGTGAGGGTCGTTTGGCGCGCAAGGCATAGCCCGTCTGGAAGCGGAAGGGCGATTTGGCGATAGGGAACTGCGGAGGCGGATCGGGGACGGGAGTGGTGATACCGTAGGAGGGCCAAACGGCGCCCTGGTATCGGCGGGACTGTATTATCGAGCCGCGGATCCGCAGGGCGTGGTTATTGAGGTGGTGGTTGTGGTGGTGACCATGACCGGGCAATCGACAGTGCGATGCGAGGGAGCCAAGTATCCGGAAAGAGGGTCTAACGGGGGAACAGGCACCGGTCGGAGGTACCATGCCCGCGAGTGTGATGTGTCTGGGAGGAAAAGACCAACGAGAGACATTCGAAATAAGGAAAGGGAAGAGGACAATAAATGGATAGATGAATCGAAAGTAGGAGGAGAAGGAGAAGGGGAAAATTCTATTTGGGGAGTTGCATATTTGAACCGGTCGAGAATCCTTTCAATCCCTCGTTATTTTTCAGATTTTATTTTATTTTCTTCCTTTCTTTTCCTGTTCAGGTAAGTAAGAAACGTAAATCCTCCAGGGATCTTTTTACCCTGTTAATCTTTTCTCTTTTCTCCTTTTTTCCATATATTTTTTTTTTCTATGCTATTTAAGGCACCCAGGCATCCGCACGCCAGTTGGCCAACCACAAGGCGGCGAATCAGCAATTCCCCGTTACTGTTAGGCTCTCTGATGGATCAAATGGATCAACTGATAGACGTGGATTGATTCTATCTTTATCTTGGCCCTAAAGGTTTAGCCTGGTTGTCGCCACCACTGGTGTCATTCTAGACTACCGTTAGAACAGTTGTCGCAAAACATATCATAATCCTCCTATCCCATCTCCTGACATACTACCTAAGAATTGCAATTCTAGTTCAATGAATGATCTGCCCTGTTTACAACCTATCTGATTACCATATGACATCATCGTGCCGTTTTCTTTGGCTCATGATACCCACTAGACCCGAGGATCGACTCCATAGAATTGATGAAATGGGTTAAATCAATGGATACAGTCCCTAGTCCACCCGTCGATCACATGATGTGGGATGGCCTCGTTTGTTTCGGACTTCATCATGAAGTGGCGTGTTGTTTATTGGTCTTGGGTCTTTGCTGCGGTCGAAGCTGTTATGGCTGAGTGAGGCGTTTGGATGACACGGGGAATAGTCGGGAGATCGTCCAGGGATCACACCGTATGTTTATTAGTGCTGCTGCGGTGGATTACGAACGCAACACTCCCTGCTACTAGTTACACGCATGTACAATATACACTGACACATACAAACTTCCAGGCCATGCAATTCATATCTCTTGTATTCGTTGGTCTCGTTAATTGTAGACTATCCGTCGCAGTTTCGGGGTATCATGGCATCTCTCGTCGCGTCATGTCATCGTCAAAACGTGTTTTGAAAAAAGAACAAAAGAAAGATAGGAACAGGGAGGAAGGCAGGGAGAAAGAAGAAAACACGAAACCGAGAAATCAGGGGAAAAAAGAGAAAATAAAGCAACAGAAGAGAGGCAACCCCAGAACTCTACACGACTCACAGACCATTTCTAGCCATACTAGTCATCGAAGCCACGCGCTGTTTCTGAATCTCTTCCGCGAAGAGCAAAAACGCCCGGTTGAGCTCCACCGCAATCTCAAAGTCGTCAATGTCACGCTTTAGACACGAGAAACCCTGGAACACAGCCCGCGCCAGACTGTTGCAGCGCACACCGACAGGGCGATCAGCGTGGTTCTTGCGGTGCTTGACGAACATGACGCGCATCACGCGGTCTCCGCAGGGGCATACACGCTCCGGGAACATGGTGCAGTCCCAGGCGCAGACGCAGGCCGAACGACAGGTGCACTTGCGCTCCTTGGCGTATTCCACCAGCAGTCGGCGGTCGTCCTCGCGGCGGATATCCCCGATGCAGCGGCCCTCCAGCTTGGCTAGAGTCGCCTGGCGATAGTCGCGGATCAGCTCTCTTTCCCAGCGCGCGGGATCGTCTTTGCGTCGGACCAGCGGCAGGACGGAAGTAGGAATCTCGTCGGCCACGAGCGCCTTGGGGGTAAAGGTCAGGTATTTCTCCGACTGGATAGCCAGCACTTCCTGCACAGGCAGCTGGTACTCGATGGACGGGTTGTCAGACGCCCACTTCTGGCAAAACTGCGAGTCCGGGTCGCCGACGATGCGCAGGACAAAGCGGCGGTAGCCCAGCAGATCGTCCAGAGGGAAAGCATGGCCAACGAATCTCTCCATGGAGTAGCGGAGAAAATAGTCCTGGTGCGTCTGAACCAGCTTTTTGTTGCGAACGACGCAGATGGAGGGAGAATCCAGCACCTGTTTACAGAAAAGCAGGATCTTGACCAGAAATTTGGGCTCGGGCAGACGCGACTCTCTGCGATGGCCTGCGGGGGCTAGATCCGCCGTGAAGTAGGAACACAGCTCGACATTCGCAATCTCCATGATGAGACGCGCATAGGCGGCATAGTACAAGTTCTCCACATTCTCGATCAGCGCGAGAACCGAATCGCAAGTGGCGAGCTCTTCCGCTCTGTTGAGATGGGCCATGATGCCGTCCGGACCGTCATCCAACTAGCCCAGTCAGTTGAACACCGTTGACACCCGACCGCGGGACTTGGACTGCATTGCTCCTTACCTCCACGCCATAGTGACGAAGGATCATGACAAAGATCTTTGAAATAGTATAGACCTTCGTGAACACCCTCAAGACGCTCGCCAGCCACGCCTCCGCCTCATCGATCTGAATCTCCAGGTACTTGACCGCAGACGAGTAGACGTTCCATTCAGGCGCGCTGATGGTGTAGGGAAGAGTAGGACGCTCCGGAATCATGAGCTGCTCTTTCGTCAGATCTATCTCTCAAATGATTGCAGTCAACTCACAGCAGAATGGTAAGAAACATCCGTGCTGTCAGATCTCTGCTGCACCAGAGCCTGCATCTTCTTGCGCTCCTTCTCCATCATAGCCTGCGAGTAGCTATCCATGCTGTCTACCTTCTCCGCTTTGAGGCGGCAAATCTCCTCGTTTGTGGATAGGCTGTCGGAAAGGTAGGTGAGTTGGTCAGACGGAGTGGAAGGACGTTTGTGAAAAACTTTCTGGCGCACAAGGCCCCAGAGACGGGAGGGGGACTTGCGAACTGTAGGGCCCATACTGTCGTTCACTGTAAGCGCCGAGAACCGTCGCTGGCGAACGCTGTCGACGATGCGATCTGAAACTAAGTAGTGAGGTGAGCAGTTCGTGATGTGGAGTTCTGGGACAGAACGGACGAGAGTGAGAAGGCATTGAAGAAAGTCATAAGAGTACATTTTCACTCTCTTTCTCTCTCGTTTCTCTTCCCTTCCAGCTGAGGTTGGAGTGAGACGGCTGGACTGTTAGTGATTGTGGACATGATGGATGATCTGGTGAGGAGTTCTTGGTGAAGGCTCAGTCACTGCCTCAGGTTGGAACGGCCCAGGCCTCTTTCCTTTGACAGTCACTTTGCAGGACGTGACTACTATGATTTGGTCTAGTACGATCACTAGCAAACATTATATGCAGGACACAACAACATCAGGTTATTATACACCTGGGCTTTATATGTGGTTGAATGCGACTGGAAGGCACATAGATATCTCTTCTGCAAGTGTTAATGAGACAACACCAAATATAGACAAGCCATACACCTTACAGGATTAGCTGAAAGACACATTGATAAAGATACCAGAAGAACCAAAAGACGCAATGTGTATCACTCTAGAATCATTGTTTAGACCCCAACATTAATGACATCGTTCATTCTTGATATGCAATCCAAGGACAATCAAAATCCCGCTCAATATCCAAACTACCCGCTAATCCGAACAAGACCAAATAAAGAGATATGCAAGACAATGTGCCAGTCCCACCAAACGCCCATTGATCGTCATAGATTATAGCAACGCCGGGTCCACTTCGATGGTTGAGTCAGGGGAGTGGTAAGAGTATGGCAAGACGACTTCGTCGATCTTCCAAATAGTCTGATTCGCCCGATCGACGCACTCGGATGAAATATTCATACATTCGTTGAGAGAGAGAGACTTCGGCATGACGGTTAGCTTACGGTCTGAAAAAACACAACACCATATACACACCTTGAGGTTCTTCAGACCCCGGACCCATTCAAGCCCAAGATCACAGCTGTCATGGGCCAGGTCCTTGGGATGCTCGTGAGATTTGGTCACAATCTGGTGGCAATTCTCCAGCCAGAGGACTTCCAAATTCTCTCCGGGCACATGGCATTTATCTTCGGTCCGCAGGAAATCCTCCTCTTCTGTGTCTCTGCTCACCCCTCCGAGCCAATCGAGGAATTCGGGCTGCACGCCGCGGCAAGTCCGCATTTTGAGCACGGTTAGTCGTGGATTATTCCTCACGAGCATCATTAGTTGCCACGGCGTGATGCCTGCCCTCTCCATTACCAGGGACTCCAGGCCCGACATTCCCATGCCCTGATATTGTCCAATGCCGATGAGAAGATTCCAGACAGTGCTGGCTGGTGCAGGATGAAGCCAAGAACTAGGCCTCATGTAGCCATCTCGGATATGCGGATGCTCGAAGCGCAATGCCAGATGACGCAGGGTGTGTTGGCATTTGGTGGACAAAGCCTGGGCACCTTCGATGTCGATGTCATACGCCATGAACTCTAATTTTATCAGTGACGGCCCGTACCGGTTCACCAACTTGGTGAAGACTCTATTCTGCATGCGAATCATCTGGTCCTGGACCCGAGATCTGTCCTGCTGCGATTGGCTGCGGCTTCTTGGCTCATTCGTCTTCGTTGACGGCTTGCGGGCGGCGTCGTGGTCGATGCGTTTGACATTGGGTTGGATGATAGAGATCGTGTAGTCTCCTCGGATATCCTCATCCCCCGCAAACTTGCCTACTTGCTCGGGAGTAGCCCATCCCGCCTGGAGATGAGAGATCATGCAGTGGATCCGTTTTTCGAAGACCGCTAACCGCAGGCGCCGTAGACACAGGATGTGTGCGCGATAACTTGCGCGAGATACCCCGCCGAAGGCAACAAGTGCCTCAAAGGGAAGATACGACAGGATGTGGAGGATAACCTCCAGCGGGAGGGCGTTGAAATGGCTAGACATGAGGCCTTTGTTTCTCTCATTCCCGCCCGTTGTCTCGTCAATAGGGCCTCTGCTTCCGCTGGCAGAATGATTGTGAATTGTGCTTTTCTTTCTGCTTATCGATGCATTAGTACATAATTTCCGCTTGAACTCGATTTCTCGAAGAGGAGCGGTGATTCGCCGTGCCAGAGATCTTGAAAACGTGCTTGACTATAGGGATGAAGAAGATTTGGTATTCGCACTGCACATTCTGGTACAAATTGTAGCAGCCAAAGAGGCCATTGCCCTTGAACTGAGGTACGTAGGCAGGTTGGGGCAACCCGGCAATGGAATCATGAACGATATAACGATATAGAAATGGGTTCATGAGACTGATTCGATTGGATGATCTCTAAAGGACCATCATAGAATCTCGGGGAAGAGTAATATTTTAAGAGGTGATAAAACAAGGCAGAACAAGTGTTCAGACTCACAAAGCTGACAGGAGATTTTACTTTAGACCGGAGTTGAATCAAAATACTCGCATGTCATTACATTCAATCCCGCCCACGTTATATCCGGGAATCAGTCAGGGAAAGAGAACTGGCCGGGGAGGAGAGAGCGGTGTCAGAGCGCTGATTCCGGGGACGAAGAGACAAAGAAGTAAAAGAAACAGGTCCTGTGTGATGCCGAGGACCAAGCGGTATTAGTTCCGAAGTAAGGAATTTTGTTGACTGGGATAAACCCGGGAATGGACCAGAGGGCGGAGAGCCTCTCTTAGAACACGGGGAATAATACGTGGTAAGAGGAGCCGGGGAAATGCCAGAACCTAGTCCAGACCAAACTAATGCCAGAATCTATACGTTGTAGCAGTTGCATCCGGGGGCACCTCGGACTTGGCGAGACGCCCCAAAGGCCCAATTACCTGGGTCAGCACAAATCGAGTTGCAGGCACAGGTTGGACAAGAATGCGACGATGGCAACGTTTCTTTTTGTGGCATGATCCCCTCAAATCACAAGGCGGGTCGGCTGGAATTGTGTACAACCAGGACGTGCATGGATGGGGCCCTCAGCATTCGTAATGTCTGCTGGCGTAGGCGTTCTTCCTTCTTTAGGCTGACCCAGTGCTGGGGACACTGGGAGACGCCAATGCAGCCTTAGCCTCATCTGCCGGGATCACGCAAGCAGGTATGTAGGGGGTGGGGTGCCGTCACAAACCCTTGGATTCTCCTTTCATTTGCGACCAAAGCGAGGGAAATCCCACGGGTGGAATGATTCTCACTGATCCGGGATAACCGAAAGGTTAATGTCCTGCAACGACGGGAAGGTGACAGATGTCAGATCCCTGATCCTGTTCGACCGAGAATCTCACAATTTTCGGGCCTGTGTGATCCAGCGAAACCACAAGTCAATCGGGTTGTCGCCTGGTCCCAGTCTCCATTCCGCCCAACTCCTCGGATGCAGACAAGGATTGTCCCAGCTCGCGTCCAGGTGGGCCAGTAATCCATTCTCCTTGCATTGTTTGCGTGACCGTGAACCAGTTTGTCGGGCCCGTCTAGCCAATCGAAGCCGTCCCAGTCAGATGAGGATAGTCGACCAGCATGGTGTTGATCGCTTGAATAGGGAATAAATTAGAGATTTAGATCGTCCAATCGCTCACTACAGATGGGGCGCCAAACCTGTCTCTGGTTGGGTGGACATAATCGGCCGGGAGGATCGGACGGGCATGATCGGGTCCACTTCACCCAGATTAGGTCCAACTTTCTTCGGCGCCGCGGGTTGAGGCCGAGGGTCTGGAGATTGTACAGATTGGGTACGAGGCACAGTGCTAGAGGGCCGATCACCGCAGTAGTCTGTCACTAGTGAGACCAGAGTCATGGGTTCGATAACTAGCTTGGATGGGCTGACATCCCTGGCTGAGACGGCGCTCCAGCGATCCAGAACCATGGGGCATGGAAAGACACATGGAAATCAACAATGACTCCTGCTGTGGCAGAGAGAAAGCCACAAGCCAGAACACCGACTCACAATAGACAAGTTCCAGAAGTCGGGAAGAAAATGGGAAATTGAGGGTGTTGGTGTTGTGGGAGACTAAAAAAGAAGCAAGGCGGCCGAAAGACAAATAAATGTGATGGATCACGAGTCGCGCGCATCGGCTCCCCCACTTAACCTGCACGTCGTAACTTGATCCAGTGGAAACAAGCATGTCTCCTCAATAACTCTGGATATGACTACAGAAAATAGCATACCATGAGTATGCTGTTTGGTTGTGGTTACCGCCGTTTCTATACTGGCCGATTGATTGGTAGGAGGGAATGCGGAAGATACGAATGTACGGGCTCAGTATATATTAAAGGAGCCACAGAGATATCTCTCTGGAGACGCCATCCTGTACAATTCGCATATTCGGTTTGTCTGTGTAACATGTATGCTTGACCCTCGTTTGTTTCCTCGTCAACACAAACCACATACACTCCACCGCCAGTTGCTCTACGCCTGCACCCGGAAAGTCCGGCCACTGGCGGTCTTTCGCTCCCGCTCCTCGTTCTCCGGCCGAGCTCGGTTGAGAACTACCCTCTGTTAGCATATGGGATCGACACTGGAGGTCGTTTCTGAGCTTACCCTGGAGGAAGTCGGCGGTTCTCTTGCGCATCCGGGTATGGAGGTACACCTGGGGAAAGAAACACATGTCAGCAACGAACAGTCCATCGCAAAAAATGCAGCACTGGGTATTCACCTTCGAGGCTTTGATGTGGTAATGGAAGTAATCGCGGAAGATTTGGATATGGGAGATGTTGTCGTAACGTCGCTGGGCGGACAAGTGGCGGGGGAAGAGCACTACACATCGTCAGCCAATGTTTGTGCCACGGGGGGTGCCACAACAGCCTACCGAAAGTTACGTAGCTAGTCTTGCCATCGTTGGCAAGGCCAGGAACACCCTCCAACTCCAGGGGAGGGTCGTTCCGGAAAAGCACTTGCGGGGCGTTTTGCAGAGTCAATACACGGCGACGAGCGTCCACAAACTCCTGCACGAAGACCTTGCCAAAGATGCGATCGGTCTCTTCACGGAAGACGGTGCTGAAGATCACCGTGACTCGGTCATAGCTGGCCTTGACATAGATGGCTTCCTCCTCCCGGTAGTGGATTGCCATCACCTGTCCTCCCTCCTTCACCCCCTGGGGAGCTGACTCAGAAGTGTATTGGGCAGCCTCCTCCGCAAGGCTAGAGAATTCGCTGAAGGCTTTCTCGAACGGAGCCGCCATGGCGTTACGCTTCATCAGGGCCAGCCGCATGATGAGTTCATCCCGCGCTTCCTGGTCAGCGGGGAGGTTTTCCAAGTCGATCAATACCGAGAAATCATAACCCGGCTCGGGGGCGACAATGTACGACCCATATTCTCTCTCCAGGACCTGCTGGGCACCACACTGGACCAGCTCTCTGAAACACTTCACATTGATCGAGATGAGGATCTGGGACTTCGATTCGGGGGTAGACACATGGAAGGTAACACCGTCGAAGTCGGAAACGACTTGATCAATTGATACCGGGGGAGCACTATTAAATTCGGAAGATCATTTGTTAGCAAAAAACATGTTTGTAGATGTATACAGCAGTTGGTGGGGTGAATATGAGGAGGGGGAGGGGGAGCCGTACCCCGAGAACCGCTCCGTGAGGAGGGTGTGGATGAGGACGTTATGGTATTCAAGAAGCAGCATTCTGTTGGTGTTTATACCATCAACAACTGAAAATATAACAATTCCCCAAGTGTTCTACAGCACTTGTTTGCGAAAGTAGGTTGGAAAGAGTCAAGGGGAGTAAATTATAAGATTAAGGGAGTACGGAGCAGGAGTCAGGCAGTTACGTAGTTCGCTGCCCATGATAACCCCCGTAAGTGTTTCGGGGAGGGGGGAAGAGAAAGGGGTAGGCGGTGGACATGGTTCTGCCCGCCTTAGTTGTTGCCGCCCGTGCTATTCTCTTTTGCGCCTAAGAAAAAAAAAAAGTCGACCATCTTTTGGAGCTCTCCAGTTATTCTCCAGACTCGGTCACCCAACGATGGTCAAGTCATACTTGTAAGTTCAATGGTTCGCCGATTGGATATGGAAGGCTAATTGGGACAGAAAATTCGAACATTCGAAAACGTTCGGGCTCATTACGTCCGCGACGTCGAATGCTGTCTGGGCCCGAGACGATGGGATCGCAGGCGCTGCTCGCCGCACGGGCTCCGGAAGGGCTTTCGTCGGGGCCGGTGAGGAGATCCTGTGTTGGGATATAAAGAAGGGGGAGTTGCTGGGGAAATGGCGAGACTCGGCGTGTAAAGCGCAGGTCACGGCGATCACCCATAGCCCGACTGATGAGGATATTTTTGCGGTCGGGTAAGTTTACTCGATCTGAACAACTGAGAGACAGTCATGATGCTAATCATGTGCTGTATTTTATTCTAGATACGAAGATGGAAGTATTCGCGTCTGGGACTCAAGAACCGCCACGGTAATCATCTCTTTCAATGGCCATAAGACCGCGATCACGGAGATCGCGTTCGACAGCACCGGCGCCCGTATTGCGAGTGGCTCAAAGGACACGGATATCATTGTGTGGGATCTTGTGGCGGAAGTCGGTCTCTTCAAGCTCCGAGGACACACCGACCAAGTCACGTCGCTTCACTTCCTCACTCCGTCCTTGGAGATGCTCAATGCGGCCGGACTCAGTGAGCACGCGGGATTCCTGATCACGACTGGCAAAGACTCTTTGATTAAGGTGTGGGATTTGGCTTCGCAGCATTGCATTGAGACGCACGTGGCACAGTCCAACGGGGAGTGTTGGGGTCTGGGCCTGTCCCCGGACCAGAGTGGCTGTATCACTGCCGGCAACGATGGAGAGCTGAGGGTCTGGTCGATCGACGAAAGCGCTGCGATCACGATCTCCAAGGAAAAAGTCGGCTCGGAGGATATGAAGATCTTGACGGACAGAGGCACATTTTACCGGAATGGAAAGGACCGCACGATCGGAATCAGCTTCCACCCGCGCGCTGATTACGTCGCATTCCATGGATCCGAGAAGTCTGTCGAGATTTGGCGGATCCGCTCTGCCACGGAGATTCAGAAGGCTTTGGCGAGGAAGCGCCGGAGAAGAAGGGAGAAGGAGGCTCAGAAGGCCGCCGAGAAGGGCGAGTCTGCTCCGCCAGCGGACGACGACAAAGTGGACGACATCTCCTCGGCACCCGTGTCGGAAGTTTTTGTCTCGTACGTGATCGTCCGCACCGGCGGAAAGGTCCGTTCCTTCGATTGGATTGGAAGCAAGTCGACTGGCAACCTCCAGCTCCTTGTCGCGACCACCAACAATCAACTGGAGTCTTACAACGTCGCCATGGCCAACAAGAAGAACAAGGACGAGGATGAGTCGGAGTACACGCGAAACCTCGCGGTCGATATACCGGGACACCGCACCGACATTCGGTCCATTGCTCTGAGCTCGGATGATCGAATGTTAGCGTCTGCTTCTAACGGCAGCCTCAAGGTCTGGAACACTCGGACCCAGAGCTGCCTGCGTTCCTTGGAGTGCGGCTACTCTCTCTGTTCCGCCTTCCTTCCTGGTGACAAAATCGTTGTCGTTGGAAACAAGGAGGGGCAGCTCGAAGTCTTTGATATTGCCTCCTCGACTCTCCTGGAGACGATCAACGCCCACGATGGACCGGTGTGGTCTCTCCATGTTCATCCCGATGGAAAGTCCTTGGCGAGCGGTAGCGCCGATAAATCCGTCAAGTTCTGGAACTTCCAAGTGGTTCAAGAAGAAATTCCCGGCACGAAGCGGACCACGCCGCGCTTGAAGCTGGTCCACACGCGGACGCTGAAGGTCGCGGACGATGTTCTAAGTCTCCGTTTCTCGCCCGATGCCCGGCTGTTGGCTGTTGCTATGCTCGACAACACCGTCAAGGTGTTCTTCACCGACTCGTTGAAGCTCTTCCTGAACCTTTACGGCCACAAACTCCCTGTGTTGAACATGGACATTTCATACGACAGTAAGCTTATTGTCACCTGTTCGGCTGATAAGACGGTCCGTCTGTGGGGTCTGGACTTCGGTGACTGCCACAGGGCATTCCTGGCCCACGAAGACAGTATCATGGCGGTGGCATTTGTGCCCACCAACAAGGAAGGAAACGGGCACAACTTCTTCAGCGCCAGCAAGGACCGCACCATCAAGTACTGGGACGGCGACAAGTTCGAGCAGATCCAGCGACTGGGCGGCCACCACGGCGAGATTTGGGCCATGGCAATCAGTCAAACCGGCGAGTTCGTCGTCACCGCCAGTCACGACAAGAGCATCCGCACCTGGGACCAGACCGACGAGCCGCTCTTCCTCGAAGAAGAGCGGGAGAAGGAGCTCGAGGAGGTGTACGACAACACCCTGACCGCGTCCTTCGAGCAGGAAGACGACAAAGACGGCGAGAAAGCCGAAGCCGTCGACGCCGGCAAACAGACCACGCTGACCCTCATGGCCGGTGAACGCATCATGGAAGCGCTAGAGCTAGGCATGGAAGATCTCGAGATCGTGCGCGAATGGCGCGCCGTCAAAGCCAAGCAGCCCAACGCGGCGCCTCCCACGCGCAACCCGCTCTACATGGCGCTAGGCAACATCTCCGCCGAAAAGCACGTCCTGAGCGTTGTGCAGAAGATCCCGGCCGCATCTCTCCAAGACGCACTGCTCGTCCTGCCCTTCTCCAAGGTCCCGCCGCTGTTCACCTTCCTGAACATCTGGGCCACCCGCGAGTGGAACGTGCCCCTCACCTGCCGGATCCTCTTCTTCATCCTCAAGACGCACCACCGCCAGATCGTCGCCAGCAAGACCATGCGGCCGATGCTGGACAGCATCCGGTCAACGCTGCGCCGGGTGCTCGCGCGCCAGAAAGACGAGATGGGCTTCAACCTGTCTGCGCTGCAGTTCATCAGCAACCAGGTCAAGGAGGAAAGCACCAAGGACTACATCGACGAGGAGCTCTACGAGAAGCAGCAGCGGACGACGGGGACCGGCAAGAAGCGCCAGTTTGTTAGCGTTGCCTGAGTCTGTCCTATTGTACGAGCATATCTATTGGCGTTGTGAGGTGTTGGTTCATGGGCTACTACTACCAAAAGTTATATATCCGGGAGTTTACAAGACGCTTTTTTCTACCTAGGAGGGTGTAGGTTAAAAAAAAATTATGTATATCTTCGATGTAATTAAAATATGTTCATTATGTTCAATATAACTAGACATTACCCTATAATAGTCCCCCGTAGCCTCCACTAATCTACAGCGTATAAACAAGAAACCTAGAAACTAAACCGAGTCAGCATGATCCACCAGAAAAGCAGAAAAAAAAAGACCCGACCACAAAGGACAAGCACAAAGACAAGGCCAAGGACCCAAGTAGCCAACAGCTAGCCAGATAGGCGAGTAACCACCAAATCCAGCGAGGGTTCTAGACAGAAAGATCGAAAAGATCCTTCCACCCTTTCCCCCCCAAGACCAAGCGAAACCCACAAAAACAATAATAAAACACATCCAAGACACCATCTCAGAAGAACCATTCTAAGCACCGACGACAAAAGACACCCTCTCATAGGATTGAGAAGGGCAATCCCTGCCATACCTTTTCCGGCTCTTCCTAAAAAATACCGGTTCTAGAGAAACGTTCTCATCATTTAAGGTGTCGAGGGTGTGTTTTATTATTATTGTGTTTGTTTGGGTTTGGTTTGGCTTGTGCTCTGCTTTTCCTGTCTGGTCCTGCCTTGTCTTGTCTTTTGTGGCTTTGTGGTCATGGCGGGGTGATGATGATTGATTGATTGGTTTGGGAATTGATTGTGTTTGTGGTAGAGTTGGATGTTGTGAGCATACCTGATGGTCAGTGGATTGACAGCATTATCTCATTATTGTTGGTGTTCGTGGTTGAGTTTTTCCACAATGGAGAAGAAGAGGAGAAAAGAAAGAGGAAAAAAACGAGTAAAAATAAGTTTTGGCGTCGGGATCGGGATGATGGACGGGCCGGGTAGGGTATAGTTAGTCATACATGGCATATTGTGGATAACTATGTGTGCATAACTGGATAACTTCGAGCGCCTAATCTATCAATGATATTTGTAGAGATTCCGCATTCTCGAGCTCTGGATCATGTTGTTATTCAAAGATTTTGAGTTTAGATCTATTAAGTTTCATGTCTCGTAATCCGTGACACATTGCTATGCTACGGGCCAGCCCAGGAGGTGCAAGCAACTCTTGCGCGAGCCAATCTCATGACGCCCGCTTCATTTTCCCGCAGTTCGAACAGGTCCACCATTCTGTTTCCATAAAGCTGCCGCAGTCGTCGCAGAGCCACCCCAGGGGCCGTTTGGCAGCTTTCTGTTCTAGGGATGTGAGGGACTCGACAGCTCTGGTTCGATTCCTGAACGGTTCCTGGGCCGCGGAACGACTAAGGGGTCTCTTGTTCGATTTCCTACTCTCTGACTCATTGGGTCTAGTAGTGGCAGGGCCCGACACAGATCTGGGCTTGGATGGTCGAGGCCGCTCGGCTGCGCAAACGTCACAGCAGAGGAAGTTGGCGGGGTTTTCGAGGGTGCAGGTAGGACATGTCCACGGTGACTCGTATAGTCGATCATCCATCGTTAAGTCGATGGGATCTACTGACTGAGACGGCCCTGACGGCGCAGGAGGATTGACGCTCTGAGGTGGTGGAGAAAGCACGGAGCGAGGTCCGGCAGGGATCGCTTGGCTGGGAGGGATATAGCCAGGCCCGTACCGCTCCCGCTCTTCTTCCTCGATCAAGTCAATGTAAGCTTGCATGATCGCCCGCTCGTTTGCATCATCTTCTTCAGCTTTG